GATAAATATAAATAATATTTATTACGCGATGTTTCGACTGTTCTTCTTGTTTCGACAGTCAATCAGTCAAGACGTATGTTTTACGCCAAGTGTATAAAGAATATTATAATAGAGCTTAGTTTTTACACAAGTGTACTGACTCAATTTCATTTTAAAGCGGGAAAATTGTAAGTTGGCTCTGCATAATCCCATCGATTGTTCGCAGGATGTATTTTTCTATTGTAAGAAAATATAATATTGATGTTACGATACTGTAGCAATTAGGAGAATCGCCTTCGCCAGGGTCTAACGACACTCGCCTTAAATGTCACGAGGCGGTCCGAGCCACGATAGATCGAGTCGTGAGCATCGTTAGACCCTGGCGCAGGCAATTCTCCCAACTAATATTAAATTTTCCGAGACATCCTGCGAACAATCGGTGTTGTACAGAACCTATAACTGTCCCGCTTCGATCTATCATTCCGCAAAGGCACATTAGAATCAAAGTGAGGCGGTTGGATGTTTCGTGGCTCTCACCCCCTTTTGGTCTTTGGGTATCTCGCGTGCAAGAACGGGGACGCGTAGGATTGGAAATACCCTCGGAGCGCACACGGTATGCATTATAGATCCTCCGGACTCGGTCTCAGATTAGAGATGGAGCCTGGTCGGGGGCGTGCGGCGCAAAAATAGTCCCGGGCTCGGAAAGGCAATAGCTTTTAGTCGAGCGTGTGTGTATTTTAAGCACGACGGGGGAGGAGGGGTAGGCGATGCGTCGCGCGTAGACGACGCGGGGCCGCTCCTCCGACGACGGCGGGTCTCTACGAATTTTAATGCGAGCTCGGGCAAGAAAAAGTTGTCGGCCAGGGGAACGCGCGCGAGCCTCTGATGCCGGCGCGACAACAATCGACGATAAATAAACGCGCCCGGAGAACGGAGCACGCAATTATTCGGAGGTGCGCCGGATGAGGCAGCGCGGACGCGTTATTCTTTACGCGGAATGCGCGCTCGGGGGCCTAAACGCGCTGTGGCGGGGCCCCGTGCTAACCAATGTGGGCACCCAAGGTCGATTTACTCGGAATATTACAACAAATGGGTCAATTTTTATCCCTGTCGTGTCTGTGTTATTATAATAGCTTCGCGCGTCGTGTCGATGGCGCCATTTTGAATATCTTCCCTGAATGCGCGCGCATCGTCTCCGCGCTAATTAGTATTTTTCTGATTCTGATAGTATTGAATCGCGCTCTATTTTATTGTGTAAACAATAGAAAAAAGCTATCCTTGCAGTACTTGTACATTAATTATTACTAACTTTTGTAATCGACAAAATTTTTTCTCGTGCAATTTTTATTCCCTTTTTCTTTTTCTTTTTTGTACCAAAGGGTTTTCCCCTGAATAAATAAATAATAATAGTGATCCCAGTTTGAGCTCGGGACGTCGGTCACCGGTGACCGCCTCCGCCAATCGTTCAGACGAGCAATGAATTTTCACGAGCCGCGTATTTCAGCAACAAGGAGCCATTGTTTGCTAAGAGTGATACGTTTCTCTTGGATCCTCGCCTCCCGTCTTCGCCGTCGGACGCAATAATATAAGGACAACAGTAAATACCCTCATCTGCAATTACAATGGGCCACTTAGCGTCCTATAAATCACAAACCGGCGCTCGCGGCAGGCGAATTACGGGAGTCATTCTTTCCGCGCGAGCTGGGATAAGAAAACTTTCCTCCCCGTCCAATCCGACTACGGCTCGTCCCGCTACGAAAGTTGCCGCAGAAAGGACAGCCGGAATTGGTGGCTATTTAATTAGGGGCTCGGAAAGACGACAAGTTTCTCCTATTCGCTTCGCCTCCTTCGAAGAAACCGTACCGTGAATTTCTTTGGACGAATAATACGCAAGACGGGTTCGATAATTGGTTCTCGATGATAACGCTCGAGTTACGACGATACTGGGTGGCTCGCCGGAAATCGAACCGAAGTGCCTCGTTTTAACCGAACGATACAAATTCGGCCTCTTAGATCGAAATCGGTAACATTTCTACGCTTCTGCTATCGTACTAAAAATAATTTTTTCACTGATCTATACTAGGCGTCAGATGGGGTAGAAGGGATACTTGTTGTATAAAAAAATATGTAACTCTAGTAATAGTCTAGAAACTAATTTGTTTTTTTTTGTTTTAACGCAATGGCTGGACTCGATTGCACGGGCCACCCTGTACGACGGGGGACCGGAGCAAAGGGAATCGGACGTTTGAAACTGAAACTTCATCGTATCCGCTCGTTTCGCGAATTAATTCGCGTCACGGACGAATTTTCTTGGCGATATCGATCGCCGTTCCGCAATCGGTGTCGTTCGTCGCACGGTCCAACGAATAAACCGTTTGACGGTTGCATCGAAGCTGCTGATAAATATGTATCGTAAATCCATAGAGAGGGTGGAAATCCTATACAGCGTATCGGGCCAGTCGGTTTTCGGTGTAGGAGGACGGTGTTTTATAAAGTATAATTTTACTGCGCCCAACGGTGCGCGACTCTATATACATTGTACGTTTTATGTGACACGAGCGTTTTAGTTTCAAAAACGGTCCTTATATCGGGAGACATCGAACGGAATCGATAACCGTCGCCCTCTCGATTAATTGCCCGTAAATGTTTGGAAATTGATTTTTTTAAAACTCTATACGCCGCGCCTACGGTGGTTGAGCGCGTTCGCGAGACCCGGAAGCCGCGTTTAATAAACGTACGACCGCGAAACTTTTCACAATTATGAGAAAACAGCGTAATGCGGCCAGCTACGAGCCGGATTCCGGTTACGAGTGCATTTTAAGTAGTTTCGTTGGCCGTGCGCTGCGTAAGATTAGAAAACGGACGGGGAAACCCGGCGCACCGTGCACAGGCTGATTCACAAATGAGCGTCGAGGCATCAAAAGTTGCACGATCTCGTCGAAAAACTTACCGAGAGAAATGATTTTATCAATTCGATTTCAGACCATCGAAAATCGCTCAACATTTATCAAACGTATCGATTGTGATCCTCGAGAAAGGAAAAACGAAAGCTGCAATGCGTCGAAAACAAATTCGTACTCGTTAAACAGATAATTTCATTTTGGCGAAAAAGCTTGAAAAAGATTTATTCGCATTCGTCCGTGTCGACATCGTGCGCATAAAATAATTATTCGCTACGCCGTTCGAAGTGAAAATGCAAATATATCCGGGACCAAATATACCGATTATTAAAAAATTCCAATAGGTCTAGTGCGATATTGGGATTGTTTTAGCGTTCACGTTAGAGACGAATATATACGAAATATTACAAGAAGGAATCGAACGAGTGTGATTAATACAAATTGGAAATACTATGTAGAATTAAGAGTGAAATCAATAAAAGGGTACAATGATTATTTAATCGAAAACGAGGAGAAGTAATTTACGTGTTATTAACGACTACATGTACGGTTATTCAAACGTAAATAAGAGTATGTTAACAGAAAATTTTAATTAAAAGTTTTCTACCGTAGCATTCTGAAATTCATTATTCCTCTCTTGTTGTTATTTTATAATAAATAAACTCAAATTTAATTGTGTATAACAATTAATTTTGTTGGGAGATACTCATTGTTAATAACAATCCGTGATTAAATGTGCACACGCTTCGGTGTGTTTTTCTTCTGTATGCCGTGCTAAAAATAATCCACAGGACAAAAGCTACCGAATTTTCAATTAAAATTTTGATCAACTTCCCAATAACTCATCCATATAATTACCCAAAATATTTCTTTTGATATATTAGTGAGAATGCCTGGAAAATCGCGATCAAACTTAAAGAATGCCTTCTGAACATAAAACAAACAAATTTCACGAAATTGGAAACAAAATGGTTGTCGAATCGAATTCGATACTATTATACTGACGCTACGTTTGTCGAAAAAATATTTCCCAATGGTTCCCTCGATAGGTTATTACGTAGTACGTAAGAAACATGCATGGATCCCCAAGGACATCGGAGGTTATGTAAAAAATGTTAGACGACGTTCGTTTATAAATATTTCCCGATAATATCTGTCCGCCGGTGGATATCATCGAATTTATGGCGCAATAAAGTTAATAAACTCCTCACCTCTTTCGCTGTAGCTTGCAATACGATGGACTTCCAACTTGGACTTTGAAAGCGCGCCAAGCAGGAGCCAGGTAACCATTTTTGCGCCTGAACGAGCCAAACTTCCAGTTCATCTTTAATTTAACACAGTTTGAAGTACTTCAGCAGATATCGACGTTTTGTTTACTGCACTTAATTAAACTGCCGGCGTCTGCTTCCGAGTGGAAAGGCTAGAACTGCAAATGGTGTCGCCATCTGCAGTTGGAAGCTGGAATCATTTTAAGCGGGAAACGCCGCGGCGTCGCGTGGCGGCTAGTACGAAAGGCATCTGCTACCTGTCGAGTAATTCTAATTAATTAATTACTCTTTTTAACCTTTGGCTACTGTAACTGTAAATCACGTGATTTAAGCAGAATTTCATTGGTTTGTTTGTTATATATACGGAATAAATAAAGAATGTGATATGATCATAAATTGTACACACCTTAGTTTTAGAGTTAGAGACGATTAAAAAGAATGGTCGAAAAGTCTGTCTCGTGCCTCTGCATTAACTTGATATTTTCTCTGACATTCTGACTGCGAAACTGTAAATATTATAACAAATAGTAACTTGTTATACTTTTATCTAATATCTGTCTATGTGGGTCACATCGTTTCGATCGTGTCGCGAGTCACGCGTCCGTTTTAAAATCACCTCCGTCGGACGAAGTACAGAGACTTTCCATAAAATTAAATTTTATTAAATTCATTTTTACAAGAACACGAGTCTTTATTGCGTACTCGTAGCATGTATAAAAATTAATTTACACGCTCGATAGAGAGAAGTTATTAAGCTCGAGTTATATATTATTCCACGGTAACGGGAATGCGAAAGAAGGAGTTCCTCGCGCAAGCGTTGTTATAACTTTCAAATAACAACAAAGGGGGAAAATATTAATATTACAAAAAATTAACAAATATATAGTTTTTATTACTAAAAACAATTTTTTCTTCGCTCTGAGCGTCATGCCGTGGAAAGTGTGGACACGCCAACGTGTTTCGTTTCGCAGGAATGGAACCTACATATTTCTCGCTCCTTCTAACACAATTGTTAAACAAGTTACTTCTTTAATTTTCGAAAACGCGAAAGCTTCCTGTAAAGGTTCCTTCCTGCAAAGCGTCGCAGCACGCCCGAACAGTTTAGCATATTCACGCTTCTCGCGTTCAAACATAACTAGAATTGTGCAACTAGTCGTGACAGAGTAACATATAGCACCTGAACTTCGGAAACCACCGTAACCGCAAAGTTTGACGATTTCAAAGGCCCTCTGAATCATACCGTACTATAAATAATCCCCGAAACCTACGCACAGTTCGAGAAATTCAATGGAAATTAAAACGCTCGTCAGCGTCTTGTAACTGTCGTTCGTGACAAGAAGAAAAAGGAATGTTTTATCGATGTACAGCACTGCCTCGCTTCTTGCGCCAGTCTGCGTTACGGTTACTTGCAACGGAATGGCCCACGCCCCTCGAATCAGCTGTGCAATTAACCCTAGAATACTATAATCTCGTCCAAACCTCTCCACATGAAATTTAACTGCCTCGATTTGTTCGCAAGAAGAGAGGCGATGCTGTACATTGTTATCAACATGCATAAGAGCATAGAAGACTTATCGTGAAGCACGTAGATCCACGGAACCGAAATATTCGTGCAGATTGCTCGGGGGCCCGTCGATGGATCCCCGTAAAATCGAAACGATTGTGTCCATAATTAATATACACAAAGCACCTCGCGTAATAAAATAATACGGTGCTCCTCGATTCGACGACCGAAAACGCGAAACGAACGGCGAAACGCGATTCCAACGAATTGAATTAAAATGACCCCGGGTGTAATTGGGATTATCGCTTTGAACTGGCAACCGGGGGGCGAGAAAGTTTTATTAATTTGGTCGGGGGAGCACCAAAGCTAGTAAACTATAATTGCCAACTTTCCCGTGGAAAAAACACGAACGACAGCGGGCACCGGAAAAAATCAGCGAGTTAAATAAGGGCCCTGATCGAATATACCTTAGACTACCGCCACAATTATGCTGCTCGTTTGCGCCCTTCCGCCGTGCAGCACGCGCGCGATTAGACATAATTTTTCCTCGATAATTAACGTCGAAATATTAGTAAGCTTACCGTTATTATTAACTACGAAGAACGTGGAGGTAGCGCGTCTTGGAATCGTCGGGTCGCTGCAGGGGATTCTTGGGAATTCTTGGGAATTCTTGGGGATTCTTGAGGATTCTTGTACGCGGTACGATACTCCCTCGTTTAAACGTCGCGTTTGTACCTCGGTAAAACGTACCTCACCAATATTTATCTGCTTGAGCAACTTACTGAGGTAATCCTCGCTGCGCGTGGAAATAGATTCAGCAATAAACACCTTTATGGTTGTCGATATACAGGGTGCCCGATGAAGTATCCAACGGGAAGTTTGGTACAATACAGACATTGTATTATTAATGTTAATGGATGTATGATATGGGTTGAATTTATTGAATATCTCATCAGACACCCATAAAATATCACCAATGGGATTTTATATCATCTTGAGGAGATAAAAGAGGGAAGAAATGTTGAAGGTATCTTTTTCCCAGTTTCGTTACCTTAATCAGAAATTGCTGAGAAACATTAAATACAGTATTCCTATTTTATATGCTGCAGCAACCCAATATTTGGCGTCTCTCGGGACTCCTCGCGCTCAAGGATCTCCTCGTACCCTCTCGGAACAGTTGCACCCTCGATCCCGTTCTCTTTGCTACCATCGCGAAACACCACCTTTCGATACCGTTTCGCTAGTTAACAGATAATTTACTGGCAAGTAAAGGCTAATCTTGCGGATTAGTTCTTTGTCGCGTCACTTTAGACCACCCTACCCCGAGTGGATGAAAAGACACACACGATGGCGGGAAAGGGAATTGAAGCACCTTTAGCGATCATCCGCGATGCGATTCGTCTTCTCGATCGGATCGATCGAGCCACCCCCCTCTCAGCGAAATAAGTTCTCTACGACCGTCGACGTATCTAGTTCCGTTTGCTGGAGTTGATCAGATACTTGCAACAGTGCGTGAGCAGGTGCTTTTCGCCGGTGATGTCGTGAGGGACGCTGGTAGGGCTGGTCGATTCCCTGGTGTAAATGTCCAGACCGTACTGGCCCTCCTCGGGAAAGCTGATCGAGAAAGTCACCACGTCGTCGTCCGCGATCAAGTGCGTGACGTATTTGGAGAGGCGTTTCTCCTCGATCCCGTTCTTGTGCAGCGTCGCCATGAAGTCGGTCAACGGTCTCGACATTCGGAATTGGATCTCCAGCTCGCGACCAGCGAACACCAATGCCTCCTGCCATCGTTAACGAGTGAGATACGCGTACACGAACACGAACACGAACACGAACACGAATACGAACACGGTGTCCCGGGATTAAACGATTTAAATGGTAAAAAAGGATATTTGTCATGACTACGTATTACGCGAACTCGGTGGAACAAATACAGTGACTTTTGCAAACGTTAAAGGGGTACTGAGGTTACTAAATTTGTTTCGCGTACTGTATTTACCTGATGCGTGATGGGAATGAGCCCGAATAGTCTCGTCGCTTTCGTGGGGCCCCATTCTCCGCTCGCGCAATCCGGTAATGGTACCATGACCGTCTGCAGTTCCTCGCAGGCGATTTTAAACTTGCACACGCTCTTGAACTTCATGGGCTCGCCCGTCAGATACTCCTTCGGGGTCACCGCGTTCGCGAATATGTCCAGGAGGAAAGCTCCCGAACACGGCGCGTGCACACGAAACGCCACTATGTTGCCGACCACGGACTGTGAACATGAATTATTTTTTCATCGTTAACCCTCTATATACCGAATCATATTTGCCAAAAGATGGGCAAAGATTAACTTCGTGTCTAGGAAAGTCTCCGCGTATCCCCTTTAATTTATCGATATTCGTTAAATTAAAATTCGTTCCATCTTAATTTGCCTACTTCGGGCACGAAGAAGCAAATGAATGGATCGTGACGTAATATGAGTGATACTGTGACTCCGGTCTGAGGAATTTCGCCCGTTGCGTCGATGAGGACCTAGTTTCTTGCGACGAACGTGTGCGAAATAGGGAAACAGGGTCAAAGGTAACGAGGGTAAATTGTACCGCTGCTGGTAGTTTCCGAATTTTTTAACGGAAGATGCTCTCGACATTTATGGCCGATTTAGAAAGCCGATTTCACCGCGATGAAAACGGGAGTGTCGTAAAAAGTAAAAATTTATTGCAATTGTAAATTTCACTGGCTTTTCCGACCCGATTTATTCACGAAATTTCTTGCTACTTTACGAAACGACAATTAAGAGAAACAGCCACCGTCGAAGATCAATATTGAAGGGCGTTATTATTATTGCAAACATTGAACGTTGACACTAGAACGGACCCGCGTCCGAACTCTTCGCGCATCCCAACCGGCCAATTAATTTCACTTCCGACCAATTAATTAGCGCGGAACACTTAAAGTCCCATTAAGGGACTCCTCCATTTAATTATACTTTTCTAATTAGTTTATACGAATGGCGCGGGAGTAATTAACTCGACGACGCACGATTATCGCGGAAAAGTTTCGTTTTCGTCGTGAAACGACGTACTTCTATGCGTGGCAAACAGGGACGGGCATAGGTATTTTTTGCCCGAGGCAACAACAATGTACCTTGTCCATATGTTTCATAAAAGAGTCAGAGTTTGATTATTATTACTCCTGAGTTGTATAGGAGCATTTTGAAGAATCATTGAAGAATTTTTTAATTTTAAAGGCGCCTATTGGTGCCCTGGGACTCGACCACTTTGCCCCTTGTCCTTTGACGGGTCTGGTTCCAAATTACCTGCATGACGAAACGCTTCAGCGACACGCCGTCGTATCCGTCGCCGTCGTTGTCGTAAAACTTGAGGTTGTAGTGAAAAATGAGGGACGACTGCATGTGCGCCGGCATAGCTATCCTGACGGTCGCAGCGCCCGTAGAATCCGTGTACATAACGGCGTTCGTGTTCGTATCCGGAAAGTAAAGGCCGTACCTGTCGAATTTACATAGATCGCGTGGTTTACAGAGAACAGAGGACGTTCCGCCCAACTTGACCGTCTCGAGCACATCGACGACAGTCGTGCAATAATTTGCAAAAGAGAAAAGGAGGATACGGTAGCCATACCTGAAGAACAACGATCGCACGAAAGGCAGCTCTTCGAAGTCTTTAAGTGAAATCGGTTGTTTGAGCAACTGCCACTCCTCTTGGAGAGGAAAGAACTCGTATATGAATTCTCGAGGGTCCGTCAAGAAGTAATGGTCGTCGTACTCGTATCTACGAACCGGAAGAGGGAAACTAAAATTATTAGGCGCGAAGATCGTTGCGTTAAATTCAGTGAAATTCAGTGCTGGGAAAATTGTTTTTCTCTCTGTAGAAGAGCATCGCGTCCACTGGACACGACTATGCTTTCAGAATTCTATTATAGAAATTTGGAAGCACGATGGTGCCGCCGATAATTCATTGGAATATAATTCCCATCTATTTTAATTTATCGGAATATAATACCAATGTATTATAATTTATTGGAATATAATTCCAATCTATTTTCATAAATTATCGGAGGCACGATTGTGGTTCTGAAGTTCTGTAATTGAATTCTGAGGGCACTGTCGTGTTCCCTTCAATTTTTAACTTATTCGATCGAAAAGCGATGATAAGTATAATGAGCTGTCGTCTCGAAGTTGAAACTCGTTAATTGATCGAAACGACGCGAAGTGTAGATCATTCAATTTGAATAGCTTCGAATGAACATCACCTGAGGCTATCGTTTTTGGCTTTTGGTTGACCTGGACGGGGAACTTCTTTGGCATTGACGAGATGTCGCGCCCCCCAATTGCACTGAACGAATCTCCACGCGCCGGCCACGTAAACCGCGTTCCAACTGTTCCGGAATCTGTTGTCCTCGAAACAGACTCCCGGCTGATAACCGGCCGACTTGCTGTAACCCTTTATCACTACGCAGTGCAGACCAGCGTAACTGGAAAAATAGAATCAGTTTTGAATACGACTCCTTGCGATTATCACTAAAATCCACCCCATTCTAGCCTAAACTTTGCCTCTGACGAGCGTGTAGCGAGGGGATAGGTTCGCGTACCTGCACAGTCGCTTGAACAGAACGTGGTAACTCTCTGTCCCGTGTTTTATCCCCCTCAACAGCCCCATGGGCGTGTCCCCGCGCAGATTTTCATCGAACTGCATGGTGTTCAGATTCTTCACGGTTATCCACCGGAATATCGTCCTCGCCTTTTCTATATCGGACCCGCATCTGCTCACCAACTGTCGCACCAGATCCGTGAACGTTTTCTGATCTTCTTGGGCTACCTGATTTATGAAAGAAAAAACATTCGATCGCCATTGCAAACGAGTTGAGTTACCAGGAAGCATGGCATGGTATCTTGAAGCAGATCTTGACTCCACCAGTTTAAAAGGATTCGCGATTTTGGAAAATGTAACGCGACTGTTTAAATTTTTGGTCAACAGCTCTCGAATCGACTACCCTATCGTATCAAGAGACCCACGATGCGTGAATATTTTATTGCCTCGCAAAGTGCGACGAAATAGGGAGGGTCGCCTAAATCCGACGAGTTGAACGTGTTTCAACCCTAACGTTTGATTCGTTTCTGTTTTTGTATCTGGTTGGGGTTTCATGGTGGCCCCGGATATATCCGTGGAACGAAAGACGGATCGTAAATCGATTACAGAGGTCTTGGAAGCGCGCGGGGGCCGGATGGGAAAGCCGTATCGCGAATATATGAAAATATCGACGCCGATTCGAGCAGGCCTTTAAAATTCCGTGGCTGTAACCGGCGTGCTCGCATCGTCGATATTACATTTACAGGAAGATCCACCGCTAAAAGGACGCCCTACGTAGGGAGCTTACCGAAATAGCTATCTGATCCATGTCAGCAAACTCCAGAGGATCATTGTAGATGTGATACTTGGCGAGGGCCGGGGGTTGAGGGGGTGGCGCGCGCGAAGGATAAGGCATAGGCGGCGCTTCCTGGGCATAACCGTCCCCCTCGTCCAGATACAGGCTCTCCTGGCGCATATACTCGCTTCTCGCCTCATTGATCAGCTCCAGCATCTCCGAGCTCTGTTTCTCCACCAACGCCGCCGTCGCTGCCCTGGAAATTTATCGGGAGTTACGGGCGACCGACAGAACCCGACAACTTCGAAACTCAAACTCGAGTTAATTCAGTGAAAAAAATTAGATCTCTATTTTGAAGTTGGTAAACGAAAAACCGATTATTTTCCCTCGTCGAGTGTCCAAGATGGTGACATAAAATGGAACAAGGAGCCAGGGAAAATTATTGGTACCTTTACCTAAATTTTCGCGATATTGTTAACGGGGAACGTGGAAACAAGGTTGAAGGGTTAATCGCGAGTCAGCTGGCGCAACTTGGCCGAGCCTTGCAACTAGCGCAATCCGGCCAGCACGGTATGGAATCAGTTTAATTAGGTAATGAGTACCGTTCGTGCTCCAGCATTTTGCGCGTGAGACTTTCCTTCTTCTTGTCCCTGCGGAGAGTCATGTTCTTCTCCAGGTCCTCCTTCTCCTGCTGAAATTGCTGGGTTCGTACTCTTCCGCCTTTTTCGCGTTCCCATCGCGCCGATAGCTGCTCCAGCTCTTTCTCCCATTCGTCCTGTTTGCCAGAGAAACGCCTGTTAATCTTCCACGCTCCCGATACACCCGATGGGTAACGTTAATTAATAAGCCAAGCCAACGTTTAACGATACGAAATCACGTACCCTGAATTCCTCCCGAATCCGTCTGTCTTCCTCTTCACGATGGTGAGCGAACTTCCGGTAGAGGTCGTCCTCCTCTTTGCGATGCTTCATCTCCAGACGCGTTTGCTCATCTCGATCCTGGCGATCGCAAGAAAAAGTCGCGTGAAAATCAAGGAACAGAGATATATAAACTTTACGATAACCCTAACAGCTTCAACAAATGTCGACGTCGCTGGACACGGTGACTTTTTGCGAGAAAAAATTCGAGAGATCGGTTCTGCGAACAATTTTCACTCGAAGACTAGGCACAATTAAACCGGAGACGTCTTCTTCGACAATCAAAAAGCTGAAACCGCGCCTAAGCGTTCGAAACGACGATGCTCGTCCAGTTTTTATCGAGTTTACTTTCACGCCGCGTTTCTGCTTTCCTCCTGTCGGTCACCCGCCGGAAACGGCGAGTTCTTCTGCGACAAATTGGCGAAACAAACAAAGGAACGATCCCATAGACGCACGAATCCGTTTTCACGAAACCACAACGGTCGAAAGTCACAAAATTTCTAATTTTTCTCCGAGAGTCAGTTCTTCGTACCCTCGTTACGGTTGTATTTTACAAAGAGATAATTTTACGCGATTCCTAACGTCGAACTTTAAAACGGAAAAGACCATATTTGGAAAGCAACGAACGACGAAAATTCGCGAACACGGCCAAGACACGTACCGGGCGTTAAAGGACTTCGGAATTGCCGTTCCATTGCGCAAGCAATTTCCTCCGCAGTCGCGTGTACAAACAGAGAAGCCCACGCTACACTTACGTCATGGCGGCGCACGTTATTGCGTGAAATAACCGCAAATAAGGACAATGTTAGAGAGCATTGACATTTCTAGGCATTCTGAACGGGTTTAGAAAGATTTCAGCGAATTAACTGCCGCTGTTTCGTTCGACTCATTTGCATCGTACGGGAAAAATGAAAAATCTGCTCTTGTCGACAAATTCTCCTCTACTCGATTTAAGTAGACCACCATTATTCAGTCGGTAAATGAGTTAAAGAACGTTTGGAAACGTAACTCAGGTTATAGAGAGTTTAAATATACAATTGTAGAACGCGTAGAAATTTGTCTAGAAATCGATGTTGTCAGTTTCGAGCGTCCTTCGCGACTGATCCAAAACAACTTCGACGAGCCGTGGCGATGGAAATTTCGGCTTCGAAGGGAAAAGAAAAAATTTCTCAGCCGGGAGATCGGTGTCGCGCGCGTTTACATTCTCGATTCTGTAATTTACGAGAGTCGTTCGTTTGTTTGTTTTGCGAATCTCGCCGCTTAAGGCTGAAACGAGTTAGTAAGAGTCCTGGTACTTTCGAGACGACGAGAAAGCGCGCGCTAATAGGATTAATTCGGTCAATCTGTTTACTCGCCCCATCGAAGAAGTAATTTCCTCTGATTTTTCTTCGCGTGACTGGTTAACCAAGATTCCACCGACTTTTGTTTGCGTTTCCCTCCAACCTGGAAACTACGTTTAATTCGCGACGCGTTCCAGCTAAACGCTCGTAATGTCAATCTTACTGAAAGTCATCCGTCGCTCGCATGCTTTCGTGCGTATCGACACAGAGTAATGACAGTAAAAGTCCACGCTGACTTTTCGATTCCAAGGAAAACGTTACGCTTCGAGGAAACGTTTCGTCCCCTCCCCCGCGCAAACGCGTATTCTACTCGCGAAGCTCGATTTTGCAACGTTCGTTAGCTTCGTAACAAAATTTTTGCATCCGTTGCGAATCGGTGCGGTTAATTAAACGGAAAATTTAATTATCATTAACCACACATTCGAGGACAATAAAAAATCTCATCGAGCGTTTCGATCCTCTCGCTCTAAGTTTGTTTTAAACCGTGCTCGTAAAGCTGCCACGATTATTTACGCGCGTTCGGGGTTGGATTGAAAAAATTCGACGAAAAATTGAATTTTCGAAGCCCCACGGGCAAGAATGAATTATAAATGTCGATTCCAGTTTAATTAAAGTGTCCCATTATTTCGCGCCGGTTCTAAAGTTACACGGTTTAGTAAATAATCATGAAAGTTTAATTAAAGTCTGAGTTTGACGGACGATAAATACTTTGCGCACAGTCGATGCCAGGTCCCGGTAACATTGCGCGACAAAATAATTCGTTTCATTTATGCTGGAGCGCGAGCTTCTAATTACGAGACACGGAAAACTTTCGGTCGAAAAATAGTCAGCGGTTCTTTTATGTTATTTTATCAAACGCTTCTCGTTTAAATATTTCGAAGCAAGGGATACACAGTCCCATATCGTAATCTATGATAGAATTCTTGTTACTATTTATACTTTACGCAACGAATGATAGGTTCGAACATAATATAGTCTGTTCGAATATTATAGACTCTAGAAAAGAGACAAGAGAAACCGCCCTGATGCGCAACAGAGTCAAGCACCCTTTATGCGGGGAATATTGAGACTATTTAACCCTTGGTGCGGAGGGTAGATTCCCCTGTACCGTGTTGGCAGAGGCACAATAAAGCCCCCTGAAACGCGGAGCAACAGTGTCCTGCAGTGTGGTAAAATGAATTAGCGTCCCGGTGTATCGGTCGTTCGACAAGGCGCGTGAGACGCGAGCCCGCAAAATCGTTGTTCGCGGGATACGCACACGACCATCCGCGTTTTCCTTCTCCGTTGTTTCGCGTGTGCGCGGCCAAACGATCCTCTAATTAGCCATCAAGCGTAGAGTACCGCAAGCGGAAGCGATTCTGCGCGCGGGCTTTCCTTCGCGTGCTCCCGCGAACGAGGGAAAGAGGGCGGACGTACGCGTTCTTCCGTGGTAACAGTTCGAGTAATGTTCACGAGGACGTTCGCCGTATTGTTCACCGAATGGTCCCCCCTCCCCTCCCACCCTCTGCTTGGAAACGAGCAAGAAAGTCGACGCGCCGCGCGAAAACGCGAAAATAGGAGATCGGGCACGATCTTCTTTGTCCGTAATGATCCTTACGACCGTTCACGCTTCGCCGCGGCCGCCATTGGGGTTCTTGCGATCGGTCGAAGGAATCGTTCGCTCGAAACGACCGGGGATCGACGGCCAAAGGAATTCGCCGTCCACGGTTCTACGAATCACGGAGATCGACGACTCCCCTACTCTGGGGCAGAGATTCTTAGCTTCGCTGACTATTGGAAAATTGTTTTCTGAATTATAGATTTGTAGAATTCTCGCATCCTCGTTAAAATCTATCGACGGAACTAAGTTTTATTATATCAGTAACGATATGAATATGTTCTTGCTCGAAAATATTAACGCCTGGTAGGGAAAGTAATAATTTCTCGCGGTCGTGAGTGCATACGGTTCCTGCAGAAACTGTATTGCTCTCACGACCATAAAGAATTATTACTTTCCTTGTCACGCCGGATCCGAATATTGTTTTATTTTGATCCAAGCCGCTAAGGATCGCTGATCTACCGGAGGAGAGAGCAGACGACGCCTCCGCGAGCGTCCTGATAATTTGGGGAACGCGTGGGCGGCGTCCAACGAATCCTGACTGCATCATCGTTACGAAAAGTGCCTATTTGTTTGATCGTGCGAGGTAACGGTGCTGTCGAACGCGGGCATCGTCGGTTTTAATGAAACGGAGACGAGCATTCCGCGTACGGGGATGCTGCAGGAATCCTCCGTGGCTTAAATTGGGAGCTTTAAACGTTAATTGCGACGATGCATTGTACAGGGCGAATCGAGGAAGTAGAAAGCCTTTAATTATCTTCGTTATTATTACATAAATTCGTACGGAAATACTCGACACGAAAGTTGATTCGTTTAATGAGGGTGAAGATTGCTTTTCTACGAGTAATTAAGATCGTTATTATGTTTTTCATGCGGAGCACAAGGCTGGAGATGTAGTCGAAGGAAACTTGCAAATCTAATGTAAATTGCGTGCACGTTTTGTCATAATAGTCTAGATAAAAATTTAGCTTTTCAAACGATGATAGTTGCCTATAATTCTGCTCTGTTGTTAAGTAAAGTAGAGCAAGAGCATCGAATGCTGCTTGAAAAATATTGGAGTGTGTTGCTAGCAAAAAAAATTCGACAAAAACGTGCGGTTAACCAAGAAAGCGAATATTGGAAAGTGTGGAAAACGCGTAAAGAGTGCACTGAATCCACGGAAAAATATTTGTTCGCTGCGAGGTGCGGAAGCTAACACACTTCGACCGACAAGAAACCTCTGTTAAGCATTAAATTACGGCGTTTCGATCTCGTAATAAGAAAACCGCAGGAATCCCAGCCGCGACCCAATGAATTATACCGGTTGAACCTCGCGAATCTATCGGTGCGTGAGATTTTCCACGGATCGTTCTCTTTTTTCTTCTTGTACGCGCGGAGGAAAACCTCTATTCGATGTCCACGATGCTTTCCACGATGTATCAAGGTACTATTTAATTTAAGGGGCCTTTCTACCTTGTGGGATTAAAAAAATCGATATTTTTTTTTTTGCATTTTCCTTTAGTATGTAGTCTCGAAAATATGTCTACCAAATATTAAATTGAAATTCGGAAAACTAACGAAGTTATAGCCTGTTGAAATGTACCGCGCGCAGGTATAACAACTGGACATGAAACTTTAAAGCTGTTTTTCTCGAAACTACATTTTTCGGCACTGCGTGCGTGATAACTAAAAAACTATTCAGGATATCAACAACAAATTTATACAGTATCTTCAGAACTGGTCTCCCTATAGCATGAACTAGGATAATTGCGATATATGCAATACTTTTTCTTTTATTAACAAAAAAGCAACCAAATATATGAAAATATTCAGTATTTTTTCGTAAAATAGCTGCCATTTTGCCATTTTTTGTTTTTTTGAAAAGATCCTAGTTCATGCTATAACCACACTCATCTATATTAAGAATATCGTTGGTTTTAGGATTTCGAATAACTTGTTCGCAAGATATCACGTACGCAGTCGGGTGCCGTTCGTAAAAACTGTTGTTTGATGATCAACAAAAACAGCGTAATCAATAGATATTATGCGTTGCAAAAATTCGTAAATATAGCTAAATATATAATAAATGTATCTACAAAATCCGGAATTAATCGCTCTTTAATAACCCGCAAAAAAAAATCACAAAGAAACACGTATTTTTCATGCCTACAAGGTAGAATGGCCCCTTAAGGGACCAAAAGCTCAGATTCCGCGTGCAATCGACAAAGCGCGTTTCGATGATCAAACGGTGGAACGTTTGCCTTATAAATAACAAGTCCAACGGCGAGGCATATTGCTGGATGTGCACGCGAAAGCGGATTGAGAGAAAACGCACGCACCGATAGTGGAGCGACTAGCGGCTCGGCCTTCTTCTACGCCTGGCCCGATGGGAAAAGCGGCAATCTCATTTTCATGTAGAGTCCGTCTTCGCCGCGGTACACATTCCTCGCTTGTCGACCGATTCGCGCATGAAAGTCACGGCCCGACACGGAATGCCGCCGCGGACCGCATTCCGTCCTTCGAAAATTCGGGGACCGACCATTTTCCCATTAAAATGCACCCGCGACGCGCGTTACTCGCTCCGGGGCTAATCGGACCCGCTCGCCTCCGTTTCCACGCGTCGCTGAACACGATCGAAATACCAGATTTTAGCGTGATCAGTACCGGATTAACCTCCACGAGAGCCCAACTCGACAACCCTTCTTCGACCCTCGTTGCGTGAATTTAAAAATTTTTTATTCGCAACTCTCGTGTTAGCTCACCAAGACGTACCCAATTTTATATTATGAGAGCTTAATGGTAATCCCCTTGTTTTCGATAATAAAAAAAATGAGAAAGAGTCTAATTTTTCTTGAGTAGATTTTGATTTTTCCCGGTGGGCTTAATGGTTTGAGAAGTTTTTGGTCGACTGCATGGGCAATTAACCCGTAGCGGAGTAATTGCTGGATCGCCGCATGGAATAGGTAACCCGCTCCTAATATGGCGGCGACCGTGACGAATGATTTCACCGACTATGCCAATGACTCACCAGATAATAATCGATGGGCTTCTCGCGTGCCTTGCTGTAGCCCTTCTGAAGTTCCGTCTGCTTAAGGGCATGGGCGATGTGAAGCGCGCTCGCGTCGAATCTCCCGTACTGGTAGCTCCCGTCCCCGGCATAATTGTGGTTGTACGGCGAGGACGCCCCTCCGCCGGCATTCCCATGGAAATCACGATTGGACGAATTCGTAGCCGGCGGTGAACCGTGTCCGTTTAGGTGCCTGGCATAATTAGGCGAGTCTACATTATCGTAACTGCAACAAAATTATGCAACGGGTCTTCAGGGGCCCAGGGATCGTCTCCGAATATTCCCGCGAGTACGCCGCCGCGAGAGAGATGGAAAATAGGGCACCGATCGCCCACCATTCGAGAACACTGAAACCACTATGCTCCCGAACGCGAACTGATTCGTGAAAATATAATAACATCGATCTATAACGCTTCGCGACTCGGGGTTAAAATTGATTTTCACAACGGTACTTAATTTATCTCAAAACTTTGTAATAAAAATTGGAATCTTTTCTCGAACGAATACGATACATTTATGTCTCGAGATTATTCAACTCGTGAAACGCGGCTGCAAGAAAACGATTCTGTCGCGTTCAGAAAACAGGAAAAACAAATTGGAAGGGCGCAAACCCTCCTGGCGACTTGATTTTTCTCGAGAGACCATGGCAAATCGATTATCTTTTTCGCGACAATGGGAGAAGTCTGAGCCGCCGTTTCACCGTTCTCGAAATTATTTAAGAGGCACTGATTAAAGAAACAAACTCGAGAAGGAAAGCTGGGGTTCCGTCGGTGCCCTAAGTGGTCGATACGAATTTTCGTTTAACGCAACGGATCCATTCCGGAATTAATCGAAATCAAATAGGCTTTGCTGCCTTTTCGTTTATTTTCCTGTACGTGTAGTAAAATCTCAGCGATACGGCCTCGTTAATCCGCACTTTCTCTCGATTCCGAACGACCTCTCTCTTCAATTAATCTGGATTAACGATGTTTCGCGGAATATAATCGCGTTACTGCGATTAAATTCGCCCTGGGGTTCGATAAAATTTTGTTTACCCAGACTTGTCATGTTATTAAATTTAAATATTTCCCGCGGCACGGTTCCGATTTTCTCTCGGTTAGATTTTCGTTCGACCCGTTCCCCAATTACGGCGAAGGAATTAATTTTCACTCCACTCCCGAGCGTGCACGTAACTTTAGTTTTTAAACCGGCCTGATTATAATATTTTTAATAATACATAATGTAAACTAATGGATTCAGATTAAATATGTATAGTGTATAATATACGTTAAACATGCGATGTATAATAAATTACTCGTTGCTTTCTTTCTTCCGGTAGAAAGAGAGTTTGTTAATTAATATTTAATTAAATTTATTCGTAGGATCGATTCTACGCGAACTAATAATTTGAAACTACGGAATAAAGTCTTTCGGTATAAAAGGTCCAGAAATAGTTGAATTCGAGAAGTCTGACTTGTCTGTCCATCACAGGCTGTTTCTACTTATCCCAATGACCAAGCGCACTCTATTCCAGATAAAAGTTCTCGATATACCTAAATTGTGGGTGTTTAATTCTAACGATCAAATTCGAGAGAATAACAGGAATTTCCTTACATTTATTTTCGCCTGAAAGGTATCAACCACTTTGCTCAAACTCGCTCTTACGATCGGCAGATGTCCGAATGTAGAGCAGCGACGAACGTCTTGTGGTTTCAGCTGGCACGACTATGTTTACGTGTGCTTACAATGTGCCAATAATTTACATAGTTAAATACACAAGGGCGGACGAAATGACCTAATAAAGTGATGTATGGTTTCTTTTATTCGTCGACGACTCTGGGATGAGATACAAGCCCGACTAAATTTCTTCGAAATCCTCGAGATAAACCCCTGGAATTTACAAACACGATATCGTAGATGTTCCTGTCAGAAATTCGGATTCAGGAGAAAATGGACCACTCCCCCAGTTCATCGTCCAAGGGTTAGATTCCTACGACGCGAAGTTCCCCGGATTTCTACCCGGTCGATCGTGGAAAAAAAAGGAGGCGCTGTTTGTTCGAATCCCTTGTAAACGCACGCGTGTGTCGCGGGTTGGTTGGACGGAATCGGGTCAGCCATTGACATTCCGGCTGAAGAGCAAGTGCGGTTCTCGCGCGCACAATCGCGGTCCTGACTTTGTTCGAGACATCATCGGATTAAGGCCAACGCGGCGATGCGTTATGTAACGAAGATGAACGAGGCGGCTCGCAAAGAGAGGAGGAACGACACGTATATAGAACTCGAACGCGGGGACACGAAGCGTGTTTGTAGGAAATAATTGTCGCGCGTTCGTCCGTGAGAAAAATTCAGCACGGCGACGAACGTGCAGAAAAGTGTCCGAGTTACGTGAGGGACTTGTCAACTTGCCGCGAAACCAGAATGATTTTTTTTTCTATCGACGTTTCTGGGAGGAGGGGGGTGGGGGGGGGGCGAAAAAAGCGCGAGAGTGTTAATTCAAAGACCCTCGAGGAGATTAGCAGCCGACCTTACGTTCCTCTTTCTCGAATAATAAATAGCTCGATCAAGCGTGCACACCTTTCAGAGTTAATTAAATGTTATGTTCCATGTAGTCCGTCCAGGAGGTCAACCGTGTTTTACAATGCAAGGCCTTTGTCTCATTACGGCTCTTGTAATCCAATTAATCCCATTGCTGTATCTGCGAGCTGCTACGATTATTTTATAGACTTATTTTCTGGGTCATTATCATCGTTCATATTTAACCCGACGACAGACCACTGAACGATATAATCAAATAAGTTCTATTTTGTACCAGAAGTATGGCACGCAAATAATCTAATTAGAAGAACTGTCTCGAATGTTCTCACGCTAGGAATAATTGAAAATTTATGTTCACCGGCGTTTACCTTTCATTCGATATCTCATTATTAGTGTTTTACATGTATCGCGTAATTGTTTTCGGAAACGGAATGTAATTGGAGATATCGAGGGTTGAGCGTGTAATGGAAGATAATTGCTTCCAAGATTAAGTAACGCGTCGAACGGAATCGTTAACGGGATCGTTGCAGATAAAAGACTGTGACTTTTATACCGACGTTTGATGTCCATTTAACACCGAAGGGAAAGTGGTGAAACCGAACGTGAAGCGAAGTCGATCGACTTTCCGGGGTATCATTCGAATCCCATTAAAACACAGGAAACGTAAAGCAGTTCGCGTTAATTCTCTCCCCGGGCATTGTAGTTCGCGTTTAACGGCCTCACGTATTCCGGCGAGTCCATTAAAAAAGCAAATAGGTACTATGACGAACGACGATAGAATCTTAACGACACCTGAACACCTTGTCGCGACGATCGCCGTCGTCTGGCATCGATTATCAAAATCGAGAAGAAAAGAAATCGCGCGTTGAAAGTATCCATAATGGAGTAGTCGCTACTCCGGAAATGAAGCACAGTGTAGAGCATGAATAACGATCGGATATTCCGCCGCGATAATGACGCGAGGTACACCTCCCACGACGTACAAAATTAGCTACGACCTAACGAGGCGGACGCCGTTAAAAAGCACGAATCCACGTGGAGGTTTTCAACGATAACAACATTTATTTACTTCCCTTGGAGTCAATAACGAGTAAACAAAAAAAGAAAAAATGTGAAAAAAAGTTCTAGATCAAGTTCTCGATCGCTTTCAAGCTATCATTAAGCCGGCGTGAAACGTTCTCGCGGCGTAACTCAACCCGTAACCTTTGCAATGGCGATACCGGTTGCATGCGAACGGCCACGTCCTTGGAATCGTCAAACGGATTCGAGACGGTCAATTACGCGCTCGTCACGTCCCCGAAAAGTTACACGTATCCACGATGTCCCGTGAAACGCGACAGTTTTCCCAAATCGGCGGCTCCTTCTAGAGCACTTCCGGCGCCCCGCGAATAATACGAGGGTCGGAGAAGCTCTGTAAAAGGAAAACATAGAATGGGACAGGGTAGTTCTCTGTCTCAATTTTTATCTTAATAAGATGGCTAAATTATTAGTTAGATATTTTTGTAAGAATTCTATTATCTTTTGAAAGGGTGTCTCGCTGCCTTCCTCGAGCGACAGAGACCCTGATATTGTTTCGGTTTCTTAAACGGGACAGGCAACGTAAAGTTGACCGTGAGAAAATACCGGTTCGTTCAGAAAAACTCCCACATGCAAATTAAGCAGCGTATACTTTCTATCGGAATATAACGAGCGACCAAATAAAATATCACCTGGATCGCGTTCCGAATTTTGTATCAATTATTCGAGGGAGAGAAAAAATAGTAGCGTTCTTTCCGACCTTTTCTCGTAAAAAGGAATTCGAGGCCATGCGAACGACCAGGCTCGTTTCAATTTCAGTCAGTCGTCACGCGTGTTACGTGCAACTAATTTACGTTTTACGGTTACTGTTATTTAATCAAGTCTGTTGCGCTCGAGGCAGGGTCGTTCGATGCATCGTCGATGATTTTGCTCTGTTCTCGATACCGCGACACAGCGACACCGAAGGATCATCGCGAAAGAGGATTTGGAATTAATCTTTTGGAAGAAAAATGTCGAGAGAATCGGCTTGGATAACAGGAAACAATTGAAAATTGAATTTGCAGGAATCCTTTCGTCGGTTCTGCGATTGCCTCTGACAAGGATGGGAAAACTCTGCTCGAATCACGAGGATGTTAAAACGTACTCGAGTGCTCGTGAGAAATCGGGGAACACGAAGAATGAGTTCGATAGAATAAACAGGTTTCTGAGAAACGAGCCTTTCGCTTCTAGCCTCGGTCGAACTTGACATTTACACTAAACTGGCCAATGCTTCCGAACGTTTTGCTATCCGGTCGTGTCGCAACGAAACAATAACACATAAAACCGAGAAAAACCGAGCCAGATCGATCAGTTTCCATTTAATCTAATTCTCATCGAACAGAATTAACACGGTCTACCTTTCACGGATCTCTTGTATCGAAGGCGTAGCCTTATTTACACAGATCGCCGCTCTATAGTGCGTACACCGAGGCGGTCTCACACATTTTCCCGAATACCGGACAGTAAAAAAGAAATTATTCTAATTTCGTATGAACTATCCAACTTCGTTAAAGGATGAGATCAAAGGTCCCTTACCAAGGTGGATAAACTCCGCGCGGTGACGCACCACCGGCTCTGATCTGCTCGTTGACGTAACCGCTCCTCGGCACGTTCAGGGCGCTCCTGATGCCCACGCTGGACCCATCCAAGGTGCCCGGGCCCGGTTTGGGCACGTGGCTGCTGCAGTAGACCTCTTTGTCGTTGATCGTGTGCTGGTTGTTGTAGTAGGTCTTCAGGGTCAGCTTCGTCCCGCAGATCGCGCACTTGAAACACCCTGCGTGGAAGAACGTGAAGTCCTTCAGCGGACCCACCCTGTCCACCTGGTACACCGTTTGGGCGCACCTCAGGCACGTGCTCTCGTAGAAGTTCGGCCGATACATGATCGATATACGGCCGATAACAGAAATCCTGCCGCGATCCTTCCTCTGGGCTTTCCTCTGTCCTCAGTCCGCGCTGCACCTCGCTCTGCTGGCCACCGCGTGCAACCTTGGCAGATAAACAGCACCCTGTTAGGCGAAATGGGTTCCAATGTGGGTCAGGAATGCTCCAAGGGTGCAACAATGCTACAGATATCCATTTTTTACGAAGTTTACGTAAAAATATTTTGAGAAGTTGGGGTCTGAGGTACATTTCGAGCAACGGGGTTGGGAAAATCATCATTTGGATCAAATGATGCAATGAACAATGATTATTTTATACAGCTTCTTTGTCTTTCGAGTTTCAAATGGCTGTTTGGTGGCTGTTAATTCTAATTTCCAGGCTGGCCGCTGGCGGGGAAGACCCGACAGACCAGCTCGTAAATTTTGAGCGCGGCCAGTGCGGTGGCGCGATTGAGATAGAACGTGGATTGTTACTAGTTGAGGATGCGTGTGCGTGTGCGGTGAAGCGCGCGGGGAATGCGTTAGAAAGTGACCCGACCACGGGAGGGCGATGGTACACCGTGTATAGCGGCGACGGTGATCTTCGATCGTACGATCGATCGATGGGTCGCGTAACGATTATTTTCGGAACGATCGAATCGTCCCCGATACTCGACGACAAGCAAGAACGACGGATTCGAACATCGAAGGCGGAAAAAGCGTTTCGTAAGTTCAGCGATTCGCGAGTCCGGCAAAACGCGTGCTTTTAATTGAGGGGGTAATTACCGTAATGCGAAAAAACGCGCGCGCGAATCAGACCGAGGCCGTTTCCTAACTCTCAATAATTACGCAGGATGTCTGGAACAGAGAAGGATATACAGAAAAAGAAACGTACAGTGGCTCCGTACGATAGGATCTTCGCTGGCGAGATCGAACGATAGCTAAACGCATCGGCGTTATTAAAAAACGTAACGCGCCGCCGACACTTTCCTGCCGGCTTTTGCAACGACTCGTTGCCAATACTTTTCATAGTGGGCGACCACGAACGGTAATTGCAACAGATTTCACGACCACCGGTACACATTGCCCGCGACCAACGTCATCGAGATTTTCACGCGTGCGAATAAACAGCACGTCCCCGTTAACGCTTCTGCGTACAACCTTTACGCGTGCACGCAACCTCCGGGTACCCGGATAAGCAAGACAAGTGTTTTTTCGGCCGTTTCGAGACCGCAATAATCGGCACGAAAGGATTAGACGCGAACGAGTCGAACGATAAATTACGATTAACGACCATGGTGATGATGGCCCTGGTAGGAGTCCCGATTTATAGAGTTTGCAGGAAGCAAAGGAGGAAAGTACAATGAAAACGATGGTATCTGCGTATATATTTCATGGCTGGTAGACAAGGAACATAAAAACCATGAAAAAAGTTCATATATACAGGGTGTTCGGCCACCCCTGGGAAAAATTTTAATGGGAGATTCTAGAGACCAAAATAAGACGAGAATCAAGAATATAAATTTCTTGACTGAGGCTTCGTTAAAAAGTTATTAAAAAATTAAATTAAATATTTCAAATCATTCTGAAAAAATTATTTTAGATTGCGGGGGTCAATTACAATCGTTTTTGGTGGATAGACATACCCTCGAAATCCTGCGCATTTTCGAGAAAAAAAATCAGTACGAGCGGAACTTTGAACGTTAATAACGTCTTAAGGAAGCCTCAGTCAAGAAATTGATATTCTTGATTTTGGTCTTATTTTGGCCTCTAGAATCTCCCATTAAAATTTTTCCCAAGGATGACCGAACACCCTGTATATGCTTCGTACATTGTGTACAACTTATTCCACCGAATTTATCGGAATATTTCTGATCATCGTACGAGTCTTGTGTATCCTCTCGAAGCATCTTCGCGGAGAACCGAAGTCGAGCGTCACGCGAAAACTTTCTAAATGATCCGTGACTCATTTTTCAGAAATTATTACTTTAGTTTCACCGTTCGTATAATCGAGCGTAGTGTTACACAGACCGATCGAGGTTTCCCTTTTCTTTCCGCGACTGCCTCGGCCACGAATTCTCTGTTGCACGGCGAACGATACCACAATGGCGGTTACGTCATACCGTTAGCGACCGTGCACAACAATACCGTAATAAACACGGGATAGTCCCTATCACGCATCAACGAATCGTGTTTTTTTCCAGTCACCGGACACGCGTTGATTCGTTTTTTTTTTCTCGCTCCCCCGCGATCGACGGCGCATCCAGGACAAAATCCGCGCCGCGGAAACGCGCACGGATGGCCTTTCTTCCGGAGAACGAGCACGTGCCGCCATATCGAGAGAAAGCACTTTATTCGCGACACGTTCGCCGCCTGGCAAAGTACAGAAGTTCTTATCTTGATAAAAATTGGAGCCTAAGCCGTACGAGCGCTCGTGGCTCAAAAATCAAGCAGAGCTCCTTTTCTCGTCCCCCGGTAAACAGCGACAATCGCTATTAAAGAAACGGCAATTAAAATAAGAAAGTCACGATACAATGAAAAGTGTGTCGAACAAGAAACTCGAAAGAAGAAACCTCGCTATGGGAAGCCGTTGCATTACCCATACATAATATGGTTTCTTACTCTTGGAACGGCCTGGACGATCTTCCGATTTACTACGTTTCTATCGTGAAATTTTTAACGCAACTGTGGACTGTGAGAAAATAATGTGAAATTCTCCACAAGAGAATGGACGTTGTTTCTATAGTAAATACAATTAATTTTCGTGTATTGAGACCATTTAGCTAATTTTGGTCGGAGGAGAGCCTCCAGAAACAACATCAAGGGACCCCGATACACACACGGAAGCTGTTGGTTGCGGAACTGCGGCCTTTATACGGGCGATAGTGCTGATTCGCGTCGTATTCGTCGGGACTAACGAAGAAACGGGCCCGATCGATCCGAGTCTCACGCTCGACATACCGGTAGTCGTAAACCCTTATGGATACTCGTAAATTCCGTCGATACCGGGCGTACCCTAATTTCGTCCTGCCTCTTTCCCTCTTTTTTTTTTTTTACGAACCGCATTTTTCGTAATTACCCGGCTCTCGTCGCGCGCAAAAAAATCGACGATCCAGCGCGCGTTTCGATCGCGACGGCGTTACGCAACGTCGAACGAGGAAATTGTAACGATCCCCGTAAAACGCGACACTTCCAATTACGGCCGGACGTCGCGTCGGTTTTCATTCATTGGTCGCGCGTATGCGGCCCACCTTGGCCAATGGGCACGGTCGTCTAGCTATTACTACGACGCAATAGTATCCTGATATTTTGCGCGATTCCCGTTCCCCTAACAGAATAAGATCGATCGGACAAAATTCGAGAACGGTCGATCGCACGACTTTCTGCGCCTCGACCTTCGTTTTGGCTACAACAAAGGCGAAAAATGCAAGACGATGCGGATGAAATCACTCGCCGAGATGTTAAGAATCAACCAACTACGCTTGGAGAACCGTATTCACCGACCATGTTTGAATGAATCATTCTATTAATGAATAACACAAACAGTTTTCTGCTCTACAGTTTATTGACAATCAGAGCATAAACATGCTTTATGAGAATCGCAATGAAATCAATGGAGAATGCAGTGCCCCGCTACCAGTATTCCTGGGTTAAAAAACAAAAACAGAATATAGTTTGGAGAAGCTAATTTTAAGTATGACGTATGAGGTATCGGGACAAGCGATCAGCTGATTGATTAGTTTACATACAAAGAACGACTCGACTGTCGAGAGTCGATAACCCGAGTTGTGACTGCGTGGAATCGCAATTATGACAATAAGCAGGTGTAGGTGCGTAGGCAAAATAGGAAACAAGTGTTTCGGGGAGACCCAAGTTGATCTCTTCGGGGTAAACGTTTTGAAAATTTGAGGATGATTCGCTGTAATGTGTGTCGATCGAAAACTGAAATCAAAATGGGAGGATAGAAAGAGCGATTACGATCGGACGAGAACCGCGCGAAAAATCGCGACGTCGCGCATGCGAAAATTATTTATCGCATTCCTCGCGCCGTTTATCACCCGATAATGCTCGCTGGAATACCGGTGTCCTCATTCTGGCCCACCTTCTCCTAGGTATTTACAGCTCGACGCACACATACAGGCGCACTCGCGAGCGCTCGCGTACAGGCGACGCACGCACGGCCACGTAACGCCGCGTATCGCTTTGAAGTAACGAGAAACTTCATCGAGGTAAATCGAGGGGAGTAGGGCTGTTCGGATTCGACGGAACAGGTTAACGGCATCATTGTTCCGGAGGAACAAGGCGCGACAGTGTGTCTCGTTACTCAACGCGCGAAAGTACCGGTGAATAGCAGACATTCCATCGGATCGGCGAGCTCCGGGAGACTCTGGTACACGTTGCCACGAGCACCGCGATCGAGGAGAGATTCGAGTTTGTTCTCGTTGGTACCGGGCACGGGAGGGAACCAGTTCCCCGAGGCGTATCAGATTTGTCAAACACGTGTACCGTGTCCCCCGGGAACGTGAAATAAATCTTCCGCCCGTGAACGTCCGACAGAAATATTCAGATCCGAAGTCGGTTCGACCGGACCCGGGACAATTGGAGCAGCACGCGGGTATTAAAAAAAAAAAGTCGAGTACGTTCTAGCAAGGCCAGACCTCCCTCCCTGGGGCCCGATGGAACGTCACCGACATTGTATCCAGTGCATATACTCACCTCCTCATACTCCTGCGTTCGGCGTGGTCCACGGGAATCCTCGATGCTCGTCGCCGCGCAGTCCGAGCATCTCTCGTACCAGCCGGAATGCCTCGCCGGACTTACTTTCTATCCACTGGGGCCCGGGTGCCTCCGCCTACGGGGAACCACGACACTCCGTAAAATCGCGCACGATGTCACTGGACGGGCTTCCCTCTTCCGGTTGCGGCCGCGGCGAGCATTGAAATCACCAGACACGGCCGACGAGCGCCGCGCGGCCTCTTGACGCGCGCGCCAAACAGAAAAGGACGGACGAACGTTGGAATTCCGGGAACAGATCCACCTGCCAGGTATCACCGACGTGTCGACTCCACGGAACAGTCCCCCGGTGTCTTCGACGATCGCGTTCCGACGCCTCGACGGCAATTGCTCTTTTACCGTGTGATCGGCGGCGTAGACGGCGCGCGGACCGCGACTCTCGACCTTCGTCGCGACGCGTACGAACGTTTTCTGGCACGGTTTTCGTGTGTGCCAGCCGCCTGGAATGAGGTCTCGCCACCAACCGAGGCGGCCACGCGAGATTTCGAACCTGAATATCGCCACCTGCTTCCTCCGACGTTCCAGGAAGGTCTGAGGTGAGAGGGACGGCCATTTTGAGGGACCGTGCTGGCTCTCAGGTGGCGCTATGGTTGGAGAACCGAGGCTACCACGGTGTGGGTATCACTCTCTTACGTGCGCTCACCTGACGAGGTTCTGTCTCTTTGTCACCTGTGCCGAGACGGTCGCGCGCGTTTCGCCAGCCGTTAGAATCGCGTTAGATCCTTTTTTTTCTATGGATGAACGACGTTTCTGGTCGGTTCTCGCAGCTCTTGGGATCGTTTTAGGTCCCGACGGTCGCTGCAGATCGCTGGAACGCGGTCCCGATTCGCTACTTTCGTTCCAGCGATCGATACGCGATGCGGAAAAAAGAAAGCGGCGAAGCGGCTCTGTTTACCGAGATCGATGGCCACTGTTTTAGGATATCCTCCGCCATATCGTCTGTGAGACGCGTGCATCCTTCCACACATTGTATCTTTGGAATGTAATTGTCAATAATATGCAACTGTTATCGTTTACGGTCCTTTTATTGCCTACCTTTTTATAGCCAACTTTCACCAGCGAGAGAATTCGCAGGTATACTACATCTTAAAAACACGTAGGAGTGTTTCATCGTTTAGGAAAGTAATTTCTCAATAATCAAAGTCTAGAACCATACAAATATCAGAGACCATTACTATTTGAATGAATGAATCAGAAGTATAGAAGAAAACTCCTTCATCAAGTACACACCTGGTTACCAGAACGATTATGATTGCTTTTCTATGAAAAGTCTATGATGAATCGAGAATGACCTTCCTAAATATTTCCAGCAACCTTGTCGCGCTTCGGTGCAACGAATTTGTCAGCGATCGAGGAGAGAGCGCGATTTACTGGTCGGAAAGTCGTGTAAAAATTCCAGTTAATGAATGTTACGCCCATAAAGACGAAGCATCGACGTTCCATCAACCTGCTTATGGTTGTTTTCACTCGGCATACCGAGATATCAGTCTTCGATATCTCGAATGAGATCATTCGCTACGGGCGGAGCGCCGTAGGTGTGCGGACGTTTTTTCGTTCGAATGAAAAGCAGGTTGCTCGCTAACGGCGGATTCGATAAATTATTTAAACGAATTGTTGTTCGTGATATACGAGATATTCAAACGACCCGAGCACTCGTACGGAATGGAGAAAAATTCGACGAAATATCCGAGTTCTATTATACGGCTGCCAGTTTATTAAATCGCTCGACACCGTGATATTTGCTCCGCATCGGGCGAACGAAAAAAATTTGTGACGGAATGGTAAGGAGTCAAAGTTTTCGCGTGAGTCGGCATTTGAAGCCCACGCGTGCGCGAATGTTTCTGCGCACGTGGGAAGTAAGTTGTAAGCGATGATGCAATGTGGATATAATACGGATGCAAATATATGTCGGTAACGGCTCGCATATAATTACACCTTACTGTATTTAGTTTTACGACTATACAACTTCCACTCTGAATGGTTCACCTTTCCAGCGCCATACTTTCCTCTTTTCTTGTCCAATAAAGGAATCGCTACGCGCGAATTTTTCTTTCCTTCAAAATGGCGACGTAGAAGATTAATTTGATGAAAACTAGAGACGATAGGAAAAACATCTATCTGACTTTCTCATGTAAAATTTAATATTCTGAAATACGCACAATTAACGTAATGAAAAAGAAAAAGAGTACTAGGGGTAAGATCGTCATCCACGATTCAATTTTGCTAAAACACAATACGAGGGCGGTTAAAAACGATTGAAGAAATGGGGAAAAGGGTGTGTGAAATTTTGATTGTTGCGTTCGTTAATCATCGTCGGAGTAAAAGAGGACGAAGATGCCAATATATCGCGGCGTTCAAATGACGCGATTCTCGAGTGATTCCTCGAGGTGTGCCAGGCTCTAAGCAGCGTTAGCACGCGGCGTCGCGATATATTTACGCGAACGGGGAGACTTCGGTAAAACGGTGGCAGCGGTCCAGCAGCCACGCTACGGAAATAGATTTCGGCTGCGGCAATGCAACAGCTCCCCTGAAGACGAGCGCCGCCGAGGCAGTCGGAAGCAACCAGTACCGTGACGACCAGTTCCCGAGGAAAACCGGAGAAATCGCCTCCGCGAGGTCCCACATGAATGTGAGTGCCGATCTTCCTTTCACGAGTGCGTTATCCCGGTGGATCGCAAACGCTCCGACCGCGGGGCACCACAGTGCGTCTTTTGTTCTCCGCGGCGGGTTTCAATCATGGTGCATCGGCCTGGAAGTGTTCGGGCGCGCGTCTTCCTCTCGATCCCGTTCACCGTGAAATCCCTCTCATTCAACCACGGACAAAACGTTATTCGAATAATGGACGACGAATAAAACCACCCGTTCGTTCGTTCGACGGGGCCACTTTTTCCCCCGTCCACCGTGAAATATAACTTTAGTCCAAGTTATTCGATTAAACGAACCGACGATATCCTTGTTTTTTTTTCCTTTCGGTATTTAAAACCCAAATGGTAGTGTGAAGTTTGTTCGTTACGGAGAATGCTCGCTTCGAGGCCGAATTTTGTTGCTATTAATAAGTGTGTTTAAACATGTTGGAAATATATTCGAATAATTAATCCAATGTTGTAACGATCGTAAAATTGTGAATCGCCGAAGACGACCCCAAGTTTAAAATGCTGTGAATTTTTCGTTATTTCTAGGCGAACGAACAAAAATGTATCAATCCGTTACTTTAATAAGCTTTTGTCCGTCTCCGTCTCTTTCTCGAGACGGAGAATCGAACTCCCTTTTTCAACCTAATCGAGACGCCAATTAAGAGCGTCGACGAGATTTCACCGAGTTTTACTTTCGCGAGAGGAGACAAAAGATGCCTCGTTGCGGATTCGCGTCGCGGAAGCAGCCGGGGGAATCCCACACGAAGTTCCGCGTTTTGTCCCCGTGCGCCGCAAACCGGAAACGGGGAGATCGGTTCGTTTGCGGAGAGGACACGCGATGCTGCACCGCGAGGCGCCACGTGACGTTATCTGGAATCTTCTTCAGGAGGAAATTGTGAAGGGAATAGCTGCACATAGACGGATAGTTTAGTTGTATCAACAGTTTTCAACCCTAATTATTATAAATCGTACACGATCGGACCTTACGTCCCCCTTGATTCATCATTCGCGACACGTGTCAGTGAAACGATCGTTTGTTTTGAATAATTTATTTCAAAAGTGTACGGGGATCGCTCACCGGAATGTAAATTCGATCGAATCCTGGTATCGTTCTATAACGAGAAAAGCGAGGATGATGTGCGCGATATTACACCGCGGGGCAAAATATTATTGCGTAGTTGGAAAAATGTTTTGAGAAGAAACTCTAGCGGCGGAGGCTAGAACTTTGGAATGGCTCCAACTTTAGCAGACTTTTGCAATTTCATCGAGAAATAGTGTCCCGCGAAACACGCGAGCCTCCATCGAGACGGATTTTCGTTTAAAATTAACGCTTCGCGGCGATTAACGCGATTGTTTTTTTGATCGTACAATTTTCGTCACCGAAGTGAATCATTCAAGTATAAATTATTACGATGGACAGCCAATCATAGGTATTTTTACCTTCGATGGGAGGTTTCTCCAGTCGAAACTGGATTGATACGTGTCCGTAACGATCGGGTGCGCGCGTCTAAATTTATAATTCTTGGAAATCGAATGCTTTGTTGCTCTCGTGGTGGACAGAATAGCAGCATAGAACAAAAGAGTCCGAACCGTCGGGAAGAACAGAAGGGGTAAACGTTCTAAAGATACGTATGGCTCTAATTCGAGGATCTAATTCACGCGTGTGGAACTCGCGCGGCAACGCCGACTGGAATCGCGGATAGAAAATTATCCGTCCATCCTAAGGCGTTCCCCTTCGACGCGCGATCAACGATACGCTCGTCACTATCCAGAACGAAGGAGGCCACTCTTTTGTTCGTAAATAAATTCAATTTTCCCGGTCTACAAATTTAAGAAGAGAAGATTTCTTCTTTTGACGCAACAATATCAATGCTCTCAATAAAATCATACAATACTAGATGCATGAATCTTTTTTAAAAAGTTTAATCGGGACGCTTCTTATCGTAGTAAATTAATTTCCAAATTCCTCGAGCTTCCAACATTACAACGTATTTAACATTCCTACGAAATGACCGGAAAATCATGGCTGATGGGGTGAATTAGGTGAATTCCTATCATATAAATGGCCCGGTTGTACGAATCCACTTGTCCCCTGACAGGTTCATGGAAACGGAGCTCTACAGCGCGTCCATCCCTCGAGAAAAGTGGCGCGAACGCGATCGAATTGATTTGAATTTCATCGTTTTGTCACGGTGAAATCGCGCGGAAATTTTTGCCACGCTCGAACGTCGGGAATATTCTCCGTGGAACGTTAACGTAATCCCGATGGAAAGGTTGAATGAATGGTCGGGCATAACCTCACGGTATTTACGGAATCCCCGCATTCGTGTCAACGCGAAGGAAATACAGCGTCGCGTGTCGTTCGGCTCGATTTTATTTCTAGACGCGGAACACACGACTTTTTTTCCGAACCGCAGAAATAGACTCGATTTTGGCTTCTTCCGGCCGATGTATCGACCGCGTGACGTCACGCTTTCTCGAGGACCCACTCGAAAAATCTCGATTCTGCATCATCGAGATTGCTCGGCCGCCTAAACCAAGGTGCGATGACATGAATTCACGCATCGTTTGGCAGCCGTACGCGAGTCAACGACGCTGCCAGCTTGTCTCGACGCCTCGATTCGAAATTCCACGTAAAAATGCGGCACGCCGATAAACAATGCCTACACTGTCCACTGCACAATCGTCGAAACGAAATTCGAAACGGTGGAGAATGCACCAGGGTGCTAGAAATGCAATTTGCAGTCGGGAAAAGTAACGACACGTGCATTAAAACAGTATTTGACAAGCCCGTCTTCCTATGGGTGCCTTGAATTAATTGTTTGGGAGGCATGGTCCTGAGAAAAGAACCAGAGAAAATGAAAAATATAGTCTAATAACAATTGAAAACGGCCAACGTATTAATATAAAGTTAGATTAAATTCTAAGATCCCCCCACCACCACTTTAGAAAATACCGTCCTAGATAAAGGAGTATTTTTGGCGGACTCCCTAGAGTAGAATGAACTTCTTTTTAAATATAATTCAAAACTGTATGAATCACGGTCTCGTTGGAATGATTTCACACGATACAACGATGCCTACTGGGTATACGAGAGAACGTGGTATACATTTTACAACCGTACTGGGAAAATCGTAAGCTGACTCAGGAAACGCAGATCTAGATAAGTCGCGTGACCCCAGAATGATTTCATCGAATGCAGCTGTCCCGATAAATACGAAAAGATACCATACATTATGTGCTTGGTAATCTCAATCGAGTGACGCAAACCGTATTTTAAATCTGTCGCCATTGAGCGTTGTTTGACTGCGACGTTTTCTATTGCAGAACCCGGGAGCTGAAAAATGGCGCCCGATGGCCATTTCGAATCCATCGACCCGGTTGCGCATGGCGAGATCCATGCCCCATTGGGTGCTGGTGCGTACGCAAAACGTAGTAATTTTTAAAAAACTATCCGTCTTTCGAGGGTTAATTTTTTTATTTAATCTTTACATCTCTTCCACCTTATATTTTCTATAAAATTAAAAATCCACTTCAGGTTGGAAGAAATGGGGTCGATTGTTCCCTATATTTGAAATAGAACGTTCCCAACAGGCCCAGCAACAGAAGGAAGCGGATCAGCGACGACGACCACCGACCCCGCCGAAGATACCGCCGCCGTCGCTCTCCGGGGACTGTGGTGACCCGGACTACGAGATCATCGAATTTCCGACCCGACCGCAAGCGCAAAGGTCCTCGAAGCCGATCGCGAACGTCCTGAAATGCGTCCTGTGCGGCACAGAGAATGTCTTCGCCCGTTGCGACAGCTGCAACGGGAACTACTGCGAGGCCTGCGACGACATGAACCACAAGCATCCCAAACGAAAGAGTCACGTCAGACGAAGGATCCTGACGGACCTTGCGACGAGAACACGGCCGCCGTTGCCGCCGAAAGGGGAAAACGCGTTGAATCCGCCCCCGATACCGCCGCCGCGAAGAAACCGCAAGACTCAGGTAGGATGCATTCTGGCCTGAGGCTTTCATCCCTTTCCGTGAATCTTCTTCCAGGACGACTCGACCTTAGGTACCGCGCGTTTTCTCCAGACTGTCCGGAATCGGATCAGGGGATCGCTGAAGGATTCGATTGCGATCAGCGGAAACCAGGTTGCGAGAGTCGCGAATCCCATTCTATGAAAGTCTTCGTCAATTTTTCGTCTTAGTTTCCAGTTCCATTAGTTTACGAAGGATCGACGGTAGCCAACAGCCCTTCATCGATTATCATCGATCCTTGTAATCCTTCCATAGCTTTACCTTCGTCGAATTTCCGACGACAGCGACGAGTCGCAATTTTGTCTCCGGCGATTCGAATCGTTGATCGACGTCGTCGTGCGTTCGTAGTTGTTTATTGTTACACGTTGTTGGTTGTACGAGCATCGAGCAGCGGCCAGAGTCGTCTCGTAGAAAACGTCACACCGAGGCAACGAAGATTGTTAAAGCGCGACGGTCGCAGGGAGCCCTCGATTGCCGTTCAAGATGCTGCTCGCCCGTTGCGCACAGAGATTTTATTGTATATTGTCGTTGGTACATTTTAATACACCACGTTACCGCAAAATGAACACCACTGCCGTATTCACTGAACCCGTTTCACTCATTCACACATATTTGGACGAAGTAACGGCGGGAAAAGACGAACAGGGACGTGGCGATCGGTTTCACGCTTGCGTTTCTCGCGACGGTGAATATGGCAGAGCACGGTTTAACACGGTAATACTTCATCGTCCACGACCCACGATCCTTTTCACCGTTACTGTGTGCTGTCCCGCAATACATTTGTTCTACACTCATTATTTTCAGCGCGAATTTTCGATACGACGATTTTATGATTTCGAAGGGAAACATGTCTCGTTCTCTGTATGTATTTATTTGAGTTGCGGTTGTACCTCACCCTCGTCGAGGGCCATGATTTCATTCTGTTCACTAACGCTTTGTTTACGATCGATTTAGCCTAGCCGCAATTTAATTTTAGCACCGCTTCAGCTGCGACAGGCACTCCACCGAAGACGCACCGTTCTCTCTTTTTATTTCGATTTTATTTCACGCCGCCCACGCAATCGCAGTAGAAAACCACATCCGCACAGTTCCTCGACAACGACACCTCCGAGCTCTGTTCGGATCAGCTCGACTGTGTAATAAAGTTCAAGTTTCCGCGCTTAGGCTAAATCGACGCAAAACCAGGGACCCACGAATCTCTCCTTGATCGAGAGAGTCGGCAGCTTGAAGCGAACACTTCCGAACACGACCAGGCCGCTATCAGCGACGCTCGACGCGAAAACAGTGTCGAAATCCACGCAATCGGTGAACGCGGCGTCCGTCGAGGGACCTGGATCGGGCACCGACAAAATGTCCACCCTCCAGGTAACGTTCACCCTACAAAACGCGACACCTCGGCTGGTACACGACGCAGGTTTACAGGAGGTTTATCGAAAACGATCGATCAACTGGTCAGACAAACCTGTAAACGATCCGTACACGGTTCACGTTTACGGAAGTTTTGCCCGCGGGATTGGTCGACTGACTCGCGAAACAGAATTAGGATAAAGGAGGACAGTCGATCGAATCTGCGGCTAAACGTTTGGTTTAAACCTCGATCGTGTATGGGCCGTTTACGAGAGACAGGAAACATGAACTGCGAATCTTCAGGAAAGGTACAGGAAATATCAGGAAGCGATGCGAGCGCAAGACGCGAATAGGAGAAGGCACACTTCCGGTGACATTGCCAGAGACACGTTGAACACGAGGCCGATGAGCATGGGCAGCCCGAAACCGGCGCCAATGGTGCCGCCCCCGCCACCCCCGAGATCTATGATACAGTCGGCGAGCGTTTGCGATTTATCGTCGCCGCACATGTGGAATCCCGGAATGCACCAGGTAAATGGAACACCTCAACGAAGAGGATATTCAATTTTTTATCATTTCTTTTCCCGTCGAAACGATAAGGAAGAATACTAAACCGCTTCTTAAGGATACGACGAATTTTTCTAGATGAACCTCGATAGATGGAACGATCAACAGAGAACGAATCTGTTTTAGGCCCAATCCATGGCTCACCTAGGACCAGGGGGAATGCCAATGATGTGGTACCCGCCTAACGGCCCATGGGACATGACCATGGGCGGTTCCACCATGAGTCTGAATCACCCAGCGATGTGGGGCTACCCCATGGGGTATCCTCCTTCCCAAGTACTGCCGCCACACTACCCGGGCCCACACTCGAGGCCCCACAGTCCCGCCAGAAGTCTGAAATCGAGCAGGAGATCGAGGGCACCTTCGCCGGCGCCCAGTCTGAAGTCCAGAAAATCGTTGGCCTCCAGATCGCGATCCAGAAGGTCCCAAGGATCGCCCTCTGACGCGAGTTCCGAGGACTCGGGGGAATCTGACTTCGACGACAGACTGTCCCGCAGCTCTAGGGGCACCAGGCGTGGCAGCGTGTCCAGGAGTGCCAGACACAGGAGTTACCACGAGGACGACGGCTCCAGGACTCTGTTGACCAGGAACCGTCGCGAGTAAGACTTCGAAATTTTAGACACTGATTGTTAGACATTGGATGAATTTATGGAAATAAACTGACTCTTTCAGGCGACTGATGTCCGAAGAGAGGATGCCCAGCACCGAGGATCAATGGTCCGAGACCCATTCGAGCAAACGATTCTCGACGCCGTCTAGAAATTTCGACGAGCTACAGAAGAACACTCTGAACGCCCGCAGACGATACGACCAAGACGAGCGCCGATTATCGAAGGTGGATCCGCGAATCGATCGCGTGCAAAACGGCAGCTACCGCGACCGACGAAGGCGCAGCACCGACGAGGACGAGTCCGACCGGAAGTCCGCCCTACCCGCGAGAACCAGAGTCACCAGCTCCTCCGACGATCACTTCGAGAGGGTCGAGGTGTCGCCGCGAAGAGCATCCTCCGTGAAAAGGGACACGAGGCTGGACGATCTCGAGAGAACCTCCCGCAGAGATTCGCGAAGATCCTCGATCGACAGCGACGCGCAAACCTCGAGGAAAACGCCGTCTCGGGAGACGGTCGCCAGGAGAAGCCAGGAAGTCGAGGAGCTCGACAAAGCGGAAGACGAGAGCGTACGAACAACGACGAGGAGTCAACGGAGTCGCGAGCCCTCGCGCGATCGAGAGACGTTGCAGAAGAGAGAAACTTCGGTTAAGAGAGACGTTTCCGTCGACGAGACGGAGAAGTCGCCTGCCAGGCGAAGTTCCGTCCGGTCGTCTTTGGATTCGAACGGTCAGAGGGCACGGAAGACACCCTCCCGCGAGGATAGGGAAACCGAACGACCTGATAGCAGAAATCGGGTGTCCGAGGGTCGGGAAATCAGACGTTCCGTCGAAAAAGAGAAACCGACTCAAGAGATCTCGCAGAGGAAAACGGAAAGTCCGACCGTGAAACGTCCGGAAGTAACGATCCCGCTGGAAACGGAAAAGAAACGTGAGGAAGACAACGTACCGTCGAAAGGTGTCCAAGAGCAGCCTTCGATGATGGAGATCCCGAAAGAGGAGTGGGCCTGCGAGCATTGCACCTTCATCAACAACGTCAAGGACCGCGTCTGCGTGGTTTGTTGCAAAACAAAGAGCAGCGCGTTACCACCGAGCACCGAAGACACCTTGGAGGATGTTCATGGCGGTTTCAGCGAGATCCCCAAGAGCGAATCCGCGACGACGTCCAGCAACCTCAGCAACCCCAGCCCCGACCTAGAGAAAAGGGCGAGTCTGTTAAAGATATCGAACAGCGAAGAGAGCGGCGACAGTGGATCCACGAGGAACAAAGGTAGAACTAGGCGCAAAATCAGCTTTTCGTTTGGCACCAAATCTTATCAGTGATTTGCTATCTACCTTCGCGAGTTACCTGTTGCCTTTATATCCGACTCCAAGTGTGTCTTCTCCTCGTCCCGGTCCGCAGAAGCGTTGTGCGTTTGTCGATCTCTCCTTTTTCTTTTTTTTTTTTACGAAAAGATGAACGGATTGTCCCTTCTTGATGTATACCCTTGGATGAATAATAAAGAGACATGCAAACTGTTTCGTACGCAGTACCGGTGGGAAACCAAATGCATAGTCGTATTTGAAATGAACTCTTCCTCGTTTCTTTCGTCCCTCGATCATGTCTGGCACGTTATTATTCATTCAAGAGGAGCTAGTTTCAAGCACGGGCGTGCATTTGGCTGGTGTTCTTTCCGATCCTGTTGGAAACTCGTGCTCGAAGTCCGTTCCGTCCCGTTGTGCATCCTGAAAATTGACATCCGAATGAGACTGCTCGTTTTGTTCCCGTCTACGGTCCGTGGTTTCGAACATGCCAGATCGTTTAAACATTCATATTTGAATAGAAATGGTAATAATTGCTTTGTGATGAAATTGGACTGCAAGGTGGGTGTGGTGTTTCGAACGTCTGCGAGAATTCGTACGAACGTATTGAGTCGGAAATAGTGACGCAGTGACTTGCATTTACAGATATCGCGAGAGTGGAAGATACGTCTGCAGTCGCGGAGAATTCGCTTCCGGGATCCTTGTTGGTAACAAAAGGCGCGACGCCATTAATGGCGAACGATGCGTCAGCGGCTACCGAGAGCACGCAGGACGCTTCCTCGAAAATAAACGACGCAAAGCGTGCTCTGTCGCCGATCAAACGACCCACGCCCGGGAAAATCCCGAAAAGCCATTCGGTTTCCACCGGAACGTCCCCGCCGCCTCAGAGCATTTCGACTCAAGTAAGAGTTTTTCTTTAACACGTTGAACCCTGCAACACTGACACCCACTTCAAACAAATCGGTGATACAAATGGTTTCGAAGAGCTGCTTGAAACTTCAGTTACAAAATTTCAAGCGCACAATCGCGCCTGCAATAAATTACACAATTTATTCCGGGTTTGAAGCTTCGGTGGCAAAGAGTTTTACAAAAATAAATTGGCGTTTCGACCAGGTTTTGCTGATGGTCTCGTCAGCGAGACTGACTCAGCAAACCTTGCCACGCAAGAAACATCACATTCGTGTACGGCGTCTGATTTTTGTTCGTTTTACGGAGCATCGAAAAACAAAGTTTAATCATTTTTATACGGGCTCAAGAACGTTTTAAACATATATGAATAATATAATATCGACGCGGGGCTCAACGTGTTAAAAAATACGCTCGATTCGACGAAAGGAGGATTCGTTACCGGAAAAAAAACACACGGCTTGCAGACGTACGACTACCTTCCAGCGAGAGGAAACGCAGGATTCGTGAGGGCAGCATCGGCCTCGAAGAGTCTATTGTACTACGAAGACAGCGACCCGGAGGTAAAATGCACGATCGAACGAAAGGCTCGATTCGATTCCTTTCGAAAGGCAGTTTCGTAGTTTAAATGCTGTTATTTTCAAAACTTGTATTCGAGCCACGTTATTAGCAAAAGGGGACCTTTGGAGAAGTTTGGCGAAGTTTGACCGAGCTGGTCGATCTTCGTACGAGCAAACGGTACCCTTAAATGTTTAATGGCGCGTCTCGAATACGGACCCGCGAACGTAACGGAACGGTTTAATGGAAGGAACGTCGGAGCGTCTGTTCCAGGAGCAAACCAGGTTCGCGAACAGCCCCGACGACCTGTATCCCCGCCAGGAGCAGTATCTGCAACAGCTGATCGGTGGACCCAGCAGAGATCGAACGAGACGGAACTCCATCGACTCGACGCACCTTTATTATCGTTCCAGGGTAAACTTGACGCCTGTCCCTACGGGAATCGTTGGTTTCTAATCCTCGGCCTAATCCTCGTTCTGTGCTTAACAAGACTTTAGTTTGACGTTCCGTAGCCTCGGTGTGAACGTAGGCAGGATTACATCCAATGTACGACGCTGCGATATTTACCAAACCCTTGCCCGCAATTCCAGCGATCTTGCGCTTACGTAGACAATGATCATCGAGCGTTGATTGTTAATAATATCTTTGTTTGGATCAGTGGCGATTTACACATGGTTTTGTTAGACTAGCGTTTAAGCCTGTAACACTGTTGTTTGTATTCGATTTGACCGTTAATCGTTGTTGTTACACAGAAGTCATCCTAGGACGATCACGCCCCTTACGAGTGAGTCCGTTTCGTCGATCCTGCACCGTATCTCGCCCCCCGCGTGCTCGCGTTTCAACCCCGATCGATCATCGACGCTCGCGTTAATTTCGTGTTACAGGAGCCCAGTCAGCCCCGATACCTCGAGGCGGCCTCCAGTTCCCAGGAAGTTTCAACGTTGACGCGGCAAGGCTTGGAGATCGTCGAACTTCTACGGGAAGCCGAGAGGCACGGTTATTCCACCGACGACGTTCAGGTGGCTTTATCGCAGGGCGCGAGCAACCCGATCGACTGGCTCAAGGCGCAATGGCCTCATTTGGTGGAGACGGTGCAAGTTCTGGCAACCACTCACGGCAAAGAGCTGAAGGAAAACAACGTCGGGACGCTAACCGGCGCCGAGGCGAAAGAGGCGTTGAGATCGGCCAAGGGCGACGTTTGGAACGCCGTTGCCGTCGCGATTCAACGCCGACAGCAGAAAGTAAGAGTTTACGAAATGTCCCTGTTCAACGCGATGGCGTTTTTCGTTCACGAGGAATATGAAATCACTTCGACAGTGCGAGGATATAATGAAGAAAGGTAACTTCGCGACGGCGGAAGTCGTGAAAGCGCTCGAGAATAACGACGGCGCCGAGGACGCGGCATTATTCGAGCTACAAAAGAACCAGCTCAAGCCGTTTTTGATGAGGATCTGGGGTCCTCCGGTTGGGGTGGAGAACGACGAGGCTGCACCGCGGGAAGGTCAGCGAATCTTTCACACACGTTACCCCAATTCTTTCTCGAAAGGTGTTCTTTCTAATCGCCATACACCAACGCTCGTAACAAAGGGACACAATTTACACGGTAGAACCTTGATTCAACCCCATTTAGAAAATTCAAAGGACAGGGAATTTTATATGATCCTGTGTGTGTTAACGTAAAGACTGCATTTTCTTCTAATTGGTTCTTTAGAATCGAGGTTCTACTGTAATAAGGGAAACCATCAACAGATACACTTGGGAATCGAACCTGGGTCTCTGAGATTTGTAGTTGAATATTTACCACTGTCGCCTAGACTTCTTTCTACTGTAGAGATAGTATTTTTAGTTATTGGTAGACGAGACACGAATCAATTGACGCTTAAAACGATCGATGAGTCGTAATTATGAAAATATTTGACAATGTATCCCGTTTCGTTTAATTTCACGGAGGCTAGAACATCCCCATAGACGGTAGAAACGAATCCTCGAAGCAACCCAATAGATTCCCAGGCGAACGTGATTGTTTTAGATGCGGCAGGTGCGGTCGGTGGTGGAACGTGTGTTACCGAACAGGTTTCCAACGTGTCGGACTCAGAAGCGAGGAAGCAGGTAATGTCACCAATAGTTGAAAATTTCGTGGCGTTGCAGGCCGACTTTCAAAAGCAACTGGCAGCCCTCAGACAACTGACAGATAACTGGCAACACGATAAAGACCCCCTGAACACTCTCGGTAATAAGCCTGATCATCTGTGTGAAGGTAACGCTGACGATCGAACCGTTCTAATCGATAAAACTCTGGTCCCAAGGGCCGCGCTAGACCTCGATGTAGCCGAGGCCGTTAAAGCGCAGGAGAAACGACGTTCTATCGGTCCCGACGGAGAATCCATGCAAATAACCTTAGACGAAACTAAGCTATTGCAAACATCAGACGATACCGCGGTCAAAAAATCCCATTCGCCTGTAAATCGCGATCAAAATATAATCGAGGCAAAAACGCAGCAGGATTTATGTAACGGAAAAACAGACGAAACTAAGTCGTTGTCAAAGTCGGACGATACTGTTAGTAAAAGCTCCGTGACTACTGAAAATCGCGATCAAAATATAATCGAGGCAAAAACGCAGCAGGATTTACGTAACGGAAAAACAGACGAAACTAAGTCGTTGCCAAAGTCGGACGATACTGTGATTAAAGGATCCGTGACTACTGAAAATCGCGATCAAAATGTAATTGAGGCAAAAACGCAGCAGGATTTACGTAACGGAAATGTAGACGAAACTAAGTCATTGCTAAAATTAGATGATGCTGTGATTAAAGGATCCGTGACTACTGAAAATCGCGATCAAAATGTAATCGAGGCAAAAACGCAGCAGGATTTACGTAACGGAAATGTAGACGAAACTAAGTCATTGCTAAAATTAGATGATGCTGTGATTAAAGGATCCGTGACTACTGAAAATCGCGATCAAAATATAATCGAGGCAAAAACGCAGCAGGATTTATGTAACGGAAAAAGAGACGAAACTAAGTCGTTGCCAAAGTCGGACGATACTGTGATTAACGGATCCGTGACTACTGAAAATCGCGATCAAAATGTAATTGAGGCAAAAATACAACAGGATTTACATAATGGAAATGTAGATGAAACTAAGTCGTTGCCAAAATTGAACGATGCTGTGATTAAAAAATCTGTGACTATTAAAAATAACGAGCAAAATATAATAGAGGCAAAAACGCAACAGACTTCGGAAAAACAATTGCCAAAATCTGACGTTACGAGTGAAAATCGAAAATACGATCAGGACGCTTCCGCGAGTACGGTCGAGGTAAAAACGCAACAGGCTCCGAGGCTCGCGGAGAACTTGTCGGAGCGGGATTCGCGCGACGAGAGGGTAAAAGAGATTTCAGAAATTGATAAAGACGCGGAGAATCGATCGAACGAGTCGCGAGGGAAAAACCTGACCGTGGTGAAGGATGAAAGCGCCGATGACAGGACAGAAAACACCAGCGTCGAGAAAGATAAGCCGTCGACGGGAGTAGAATCCGAAGCGAGTGACGCGAAAGAAACCGTAGAACGAACGAAGAATGCCCGTGAAGTATCTCGGACGAAACTCGAAGAGACACTTCCTCCGCGTGTTAAAGAAACCGAGGAGACTGGAGCTCCTCGTCAAAGGACCGTAGAAGGAGATAAACCTTCTACTTTGCCTGAAAGCTCGAGCTCCCCTCTGCAATCTAATCCGCCGGAGGATGGTTTGTCGGTACGTAAACACGCGAGCCAAGATTCGTTGAACCAGAAGGCGATCGACGCACCGGAACAGCGTCCTCAGCAACGGGCGATCGACACGGAACCCACGAACGCGACGGAAAATAAAGAGTCGAGAAACTCGGAGCCCGAGAAGCTACAATCGGCGTCGATTACACCGGAAGTGAGTTCCTCGGCGGAAGAAGCCCCGCGGAAAAGTAACGAGACGCACGTAGCCACGGTGGAGGCGTTGATATCCGCCGTGAAATCGCTGCCGGAGCAATTACTGGGTCCGTTCATGTCGGCGATGCAAAAGCTATCGCCGAGGAGGTCCGCGACGGAGGCGGGGAATGAGTCCGGATCCCTCGAAACTCTCGACGAGGACGGTTCCAGCAAAAATGAGAACGGGAAAGAAGCTGCCGCGAGCGACACAATGGAGCCCGCGACGACCACGGCCGCCATCAAAAAGCTGCAGGAACTCGAAACGGTACGTACGAGCGAAAAAGACGCTGTCGCGGTTGGAACTAACGCGAAAGAGAGGATAACCGAGACGCCAGCGAGCGTGTGCCAAAGAAAATTTGACGGTAACGAGGTCTCGGAGGAGCCGTCGAATCGCGAGGCGGAAGCGGCGCCATTACGGGACGGCGAAACAAAAGGGGCGACGATAGCCGCGAACAACGCGGTCGAAGTAAGTTTGCAAAAATGTTCTTCCGAAGTTGCAGTCGACGCTAACGGAGCCCGAGAGGACGCTGGTGGTGTTGTTAACAGTCCTGCAGGCGACGAGGCGAGCATTTTTAAAGCTGATTCACCTCATAGCGATCACCACGAAACGAGCACGCGTTCAATCGATACGCAAGACCGATCGATCCATACGCGATCATCCACAAAGGAAGCGAACGGCTCTTCCGTGAATAATATCGAAGATTCTCTGCCTAACAATGCAACGGATAGTATCGCGAGCCGCGATGAAATCATTGGCGCGCAATCATTGTCGAACGAGACGGCGTTTCCGGCAGGGAGTGACCCGGGAACGTCTGTTTTCATCGAATCATCCGACACGCGAATTCAGAGCAGCGACGATAACGGCGCGGAATTAATCGAGGATAGTTTAGAGGGTAGAAATTCCGTAGAGATTGTAATTGCCGCAGAGCTTGAATCACGCGCTGGCGAATCGACTAATTTCACTGTAACACCCTTATCCCTGGCTTCCGCTATCGAGGCTTGCACCGTTTCCGAAGTTCGCGAAGCTGAGGTTGTTCCTTGCACGATAAATCACGAAATTCCTGAAAAGGACTCTGTAATTATTACGCAGGGGATTCTTAAAGATTTGAACATTCTCGAGGAGGCTAAACGTATTTGCAAAATTCCCGTAGATACTGAAATTTCTCTTTTTAAAATTTTAGAAAACTTTGAAGTTAATGGACAGGATAATTCCGCAGCCCTCGTCGAAGAACTTCCCGTAGATCCTGAAACTTTTGTCCCTGAAGTCTTGGAAGATCCTGCAAACGTCACTCGCGAAATTTCTGTAGCTCCCAAAACTTTCGACCACAAAGTTTTCGAGAATTCTACAGTTAATGCAGAACAAATTTCCAATAATTCGAAAGATCTCCAAGAAGTTTCGAAAAATTCTAAAAACGACGGAATGGTTATAGATCCTAAAACTTTTGTCTCGGAAGTCACCGAGAATTCTAAAATTATGAATAAAGATACCGAAATCGTTGTCGAACGCGTTTCTCAGGACCCTAATCGCGGCGATATTATTTCTGAAACTAACGTACGTAAAATTTCTGAAGATTCCGAACAACTTGTCAAAGATCGCGAGAATCCGAGAACCCACGAAGTTTCTAACGAGTCCAAAATAGATCTAGACGCTAGTGTTCAAGAAATCCCCAAGGATCCCCAAACGGAAACCCACAAAGTTTCTGACGAACTCGAAGCGATTGTTCGTGAAATTTCCAAAGATCCCGATGCTCTAGAATCATCCAAGGATCCCAAAAGAAAGACCCTTAAAGTTTCCAACGAACCCAAAACGATTTCCGAACTATCCAAAAGCCCTTTGCACGTGTCTGAGAAAGTAGAGCAGCCTATCACTGTAGCATGCCACATTCCTCAGTCCGGTGACAGAATCGATAATCGTCCAATAACTTCCGTAAGTAAGTCGCTCGACTCCGAAGAGAATCTCGACCGTATCGATGGTCGATCGGAGACAGAAAACAGTAAACAACCGGTATCGACGTCCACCGGGCAACTTAATAAGGTAATGAAAGACGTCCCTTCGACGGAAGTCAAAAATGATTTCCCAGTTATAGAGAAACAGGATCTCGACGAGGCGGTAAGAACAAGTAATTCGGAAGACGTATCAAAGATCGAGAATTCTCTGTCCGTCGCAGACATTGGAAAGCTTCCGACATCCGTGGAGCCCTCCTCGATATCCAACAACGTCGACGCAAATAAAACCTCTGAAGCACTCGCGGATACAGAATCGGCAATTTTAACTGTTTCAAGTGACTCTCGTATTACCGGGTCGTCGTCGAGCTTGCATACTTTGGACGCCGAATCCGCCGTTAACAAGCTAAATTCTATAGATACTAACAAAATTCCGAAAGTTCTTGTCGATCGTAATAACGTTCTCGATACGTCGCGCAATGGGTCCAACTCGGATACGGAAACTACCTCCGAATCGAGTTCCCCCGTTACGATTCTTGAAAGTTACTCCGACTCTAACGTGCCTGAAAATTTTAACAAACCTCCGGGCACGATCGCGAGGGACTCGAACAACAACGCGTCCGATACCGCGTCGCGCGATAGTGTTTCCAACGAAATGCAAACCATTAAGGAATATTCTAATTTTACCGTCTTGGAAAACTCGAACGAAAGTATGAGAGAGACGGACGATCAGGCTGTTGGAAATCTTGAGATGCCACCTGGGGTACCGGAGATCATAGAGATTCAAATAACCGAATGCCCGATGATTGTCGTCAACGATTGCGCGCCGATAAAACCGTTGGAGACCGCGTCTGACGTAACGCCGCTCGCAGATATCGAATCTGTGAAATTGTCGACGGAAAGTCCGGTCGAAAAGAACGAAACGACTTCTAGAGAAAGCGCGGTGGCGGTTGAAAACGACGTAGACGATGCAAGCGGAATCGATAACAGCGTTGTTCCGAGAGCTGCAGTTAAGGAGAGATCGAAATCTCCGGGCAAAAAGGTCGCCAGAAGGAGGTCCCCCGTGAAAGTGATCAAAAAGCCGACCGGCATACCGAGAAGAAATTTCGGAAAATCGAGCCCGAAAGGCGCGATCGTCTCGAAGGCTAAAGACATCGCGGCTGAAATCGCTCGCAGATCGGTGCTTCCGAAGCACACGATGACGAAGAGGGAACCTATGGCGAGGGAAGTCCCGAGAAACGTTCCATCTACTATTAAAACGAGACCAAACCCGAAATTTCCGATCGTCGGGGTCCAGAAGCAAATTTCCAAAAGCTCGAAATCGAGCGTGGCTGCGACGGCGGGGGAGAGGAGGTCGAAAATTTTGCGTACGATATCGAAGGGCTGCGAGCAGATCAAAAACTCGATTATTCCCGGGCAGACCAGGGACAGGAAAGCAGGAATTTCGAACGAAAAGAAGATGGAGGCTCCCGCGTCGAAGCCCAAGGCTTCCTTCTTTTCGAGGATTCCCGTGTTCACGGCGAGATGCCGTCCCGTGCAACAGTCTGCCAACAGTGCGAGTAAAACGCCACCGAGAGCAACGTGCCAACGGTCGATGAGGAAAACTAGTTCGACGGGGAACGCTTCGAAGGTAGAAACGCATCGAAAAATCGGCTCGAACATAACAGCGGATGTTACGAAGCCAGACGTTTCGAAAAGTAAAAAAATCACGAACGAATCTAATGAAAAGAACAAGCCTACGATGGAAGAGACGATGATTGAGTTAAAGGAATCTGCTTCGACTGATTTAAACCTAAGTGACACGAATTCTAGCGAAGAGTACGAGGAAGACTCGGAAGTAGAGGCGTCTTCCGTTTCCGATTTTGAGAGTGCAACGGAGTCCGAAATATCGAATACGGACGCACAATTGTCCGATCAGAGTTTCGTGAGTATCGAAGAATTAACGGACGCGGAGATATTATTGCAGGAGACGATCAACGCGATAAAGGCTAAAATATCGGACTCTGAGTTCGAGAGCGAGGACGAGGATGATGTTAGAGATCAGGAGGACTCGGATCACGCGGAAACGCGCGTGAAATTGGACGGGTCTGACGTTTTGGAGGCAGAGGACTCGTCCCTGGAGGAGGAACAAGCGGACGATGTAACCTCCGAGGACGACGAGACTTTAAAAGCTGACGACGTTGGTCCACGCGTCCGCAAAACGACCAACGTCGTTCTTCAACGACCACCGGCTCCGGTTAACCAAAGAACTAAGAAATTAAACAGTAACGTTAAAAAGACACCGAAGATCGCCAAGTTTTCCAAGAGTCAGTCGTCCTCGAGGACCATAGCAACCTCGAAACAATACTGGGACACAACGGATTCGAGCGACGCGGTCGTAGAAAAGTCTTCGAGACCGAGGAAGAAGCCGGAGACCGGCAAAGTCGAGCAAAGTAAAACGGATACGAGAAACGGGACCAAAACGACGAGACGCGGAAACGAGAAAGGGATTAAAGCGAGTCGTAGAGCTAGCGCGGGCAGTGATAGGGGGTTGGATCAGGGTGGAACGTCGAAGAAACGGTTCTCCCTGGTGGCCAGTTGTATACGTCGGTTCGAGGGCGAAGAAAAGACGGAAAGGGAATACGTGGAAAGTAGAAGCGGCTACGTGACGACGGCTGGGTCTCCCAAAACGGAGAGGGAGGTCAGTAAACGTCAGTTGTCAGAAACGCTTGTCGACCGTGTCGGTCCTCGACAGGCCAATGTCTACAAACAGCTCGAAAATATCAAGCGAAACTAAACGAGAGAAACAGTATCGAGATACCCGACCGAGGCTGTCCTTAGAGTCTTAACCCTTTTGCCTTTTAGTTTTATATTTGTTACGCGTTCCCTTTTTCACCAGGTAAGTAGTTCGCACTTTGTTCTTTGTATCGTGGCTAATCTTGAGTGTTGCTTGTTTATCCGCGAGAGAATCGAAATATAATTGAAAGTATTCGCTGAGGTTTGTACTTACGTACGTGTTCCCGTATTCGCGTCGAAGGCACACCAGGAAGTTTCGATCCCGTATATACAGTTACTCCCACTCGTATTCGTACACTATAATAGCGATTCTTGTATCAGTTTAAAAAAGAAACAAGCTTTCGTTATTTATAGCGAATCGCCATTACGGTGTACGAATACGAGTGACTGTATTCAATCGACAGATTGCTTCGTCGCAAGGAAAACAACTCCTTAAGATCGAAGCACACGCGTCGTTTTGATTATTCACTTTGCATACATCGCTCGTCGCTCATTAACGCATTAACGTTCCTTAATCATTCTTTCCGGCACGCACGTAATAATTATTAATATCGCGGTCACGTTCGGTCACTGTCGAGAAGTATCAAGAGCTCGTTTCTAGACGTTGGTGTAGTCTCTCTGTAGTTCTTATGCATGTCACTTTCCCCTCGCATCGCTCTTCGCACCGAACTCTGTCTAAAAACATACAAAGTACATACATTTGTCATACATTCAACATCATTTGTTAACACTATCGTAAAACAACTCGTCGTTTTTTAAAGTAAACGCGTATCGATCGTACGAAGAGATGAATCTTGAAAAGTACTTTCTTGAATGCGCAGAGAATAGCTCGCCGTCTGTTGGCGGAGGGCAAAGCGTCGAACTACGACCAGGCGGAAGTCGCCGCCAGTTTGTTGGCCCTGAAATTTGGCGACGTTGAGGCCCTCCACGCGGCCAAGGAATGTTCCAGCGTCGAGTCGGCTCTAGCTTTTCTTCAGCAAGAATGCGAGCTCTGCACGGGTCGTTTCGCGATGAGCCAGGTGAACAGAACTACGTAAATCACGTAGCTTCTAGATTTCGACGGTAAAATAATCTCTGAAGCCATTAACGCTCTTCCAAAGCATGATGTATCGGTTCGTCCTTAATTTCTGGCCAAGTTCATCCTGCATCCGTGATCATAATTGTGAAAGTTTCAATTCTTCCATCCGAGAGTCCAATAATATCGTGAAATAACTTTCTAATTCCAGATGATATCCATGTTGAAATGCGTGCACCGTTGTTGCAACGATTGCGCGAAGAATTACTTCACGATCCAGATCAGCGACAGAAACATCACGGACGCTGTCTGCCCGTATTGCAAGGAACCGAATCTGAAGGATGCGACCGAGGACGAGGTCCTGGAATACTTCAGTAACCTGGACATCCAGCTAAAGACACTTTTAGACCCTCCGATTCACGAGCTGTTCCAGAGGAAGCTGCGGGACAGAACGCTGATGCAGGATCCCAATTTCAAGTGGTGCATTCAGGTGTTCCCTCTGCACGGAATATTCGATACCCTTCTATTAGGTAATCGGTGTGTAATGTAGGTCGTCGGTTTCAGTGTTCGAGCGGGTTCTACGCGGATCCGGATCAGAAGCGTTTGATTTGTCCCGATTGCCGATCGGTTACGTGCGCCTTCTGTCGAAGACCGGTACGTGCACGCGTTGATGATCGCTCGAAAATTAAGCGAACATTACGCAATGGCGCGCAAACATCCTTCTCAACCGGTGGTTTCACTTTCAGTGGGAGAAACAGCACGAAGGAATTACGTGCGAGCAATTTGCCGCTTGGAAAGACGAGAACGACCCGGATTATCAGGCCGCGGGACTAGCCAAGCACTTGGCGGACAACGGCATAGATTGCCCTAAATGCAAATTTCGATACTCCTTGTCCAGGGGAGGTGAGATTTAGTTTTATTAACATACCACGTGCTCCAATGTGGACTCTACTAACTACAATTAACCCTTTGTACTCCTCTGAGGGGACAAAAGGATGTTTCCTTGGAGTCTTCGCTACCTATTTCGTAACAGTGTTTGAATTAGGTGATCGAAGATAAGTCCCCAAGTGCAAAGGGTTAATATTGTCGAATTGACGGATGAATCTAGCGTTACCACGACATCAAAATTTAAAGATCACGAACCCTGGCGCAGGTTGTATGCATTTCACGTGCAGCCAGTGCAAGTACGAGTTCTGTTGCGGTTGCGGCAAGGCCTTCATGATGGGAGCGAAATGCTCGGTGAGCCAGTACTGCGCTAAACTGGGCCTGCACGCTCATCATCCTAGGAATTGCCTGTTCTATCTACGCGATAAGGAGCCCGCGCAGTTGCAACAGTTGCTCAGAGATAATGGGATCGAGTACGACACGGACGGTCCGGCCGGGGAGCGCAAGTGCAAAGTGCAGTTGCAGAAAGAAACTCCCACCGGTGTTGTAGACGCGGTATGCAATTCAGACGTCGTCGAGGGCCACGCCGGCTTATGCAGGTAACCCGTTCGTTCCTGTGGAACTCCGAGCGCGTTTCTATTATTAAAACCACCGTTTTTATCATTTAACGGGGTCGTTTACGAGGGTGGCATTAGACTGCCGCGTACGAAATGTCCGTTCCTACAGCGCGAAGGAAAGATAATAGAACTCCATGCTCGGAGTACTATCGAGGGAGGTACTAATGGAAATTGCTAAAAAAATATTAAGAACGAGCGAAACAGAGCGTAGCACTTAACGTTTGTCTATGAATCCGCGAACAATATCGAGGGAGTACTTATTCAAAGTAAAACTATCTTTTACAGTTCCCCGATCGGAATATTCACGGTTTGAATTTGAACAAAAATCGTCGTCGTCGGTCCATTACGAATTCTAGTTGCATTCTCCTCGACTTCGCTCTGTATATTTTAATAAACGAGCGGAAGGGTCGAAACCTTCGCATTACTCAAAATAGTAATCTTAACGCGTCTAAAATTAGAATCGAGAGATACTACCGTAATAGTAGTTTTGTTAACGTACGTAGGAATTTTTGAACCCCCTGTCGGAAGACCAAAACTTGTTCGACCCTATTCCCTGATATGCATTTACGAACGACCCTCTTAACGAGTCCTTCCGACGTTCAAGGATCCACTACATCGAATACCTAATCCGAATAATCCGGAAGACCCAATTGGAGCCGCTCCCGTTGCTAAACGTGGACGACCTCGAAACGTTCGTGAGACGCGCGGGGTCAAAGTTACCCCCGAATTGGTATGGACGCGATCCCGAGCATTACAGGAGAGATTTGGCCGAGGTAAACTGAGAAGCATCGTGCATGGCATGACTAAATTCTGGGTACTTTTCCCCGCAGGCAGCACTACATTGAGTACTTGGCGGGCCTGGTACTGAAGGGCAGGCTGGACCCGGTGGCAATCTTTGACTTGAACGATGCCAAGCAAGAGCTGCGCCGTCGGGGAAAAGTTCCCCCTGCGAAGGACCAGGAAATGTCCGAGCGGGATTATCTCGAGGCGTGCATTCAGGTGACTAACAACTCCTCTCCTCTGCACTCCTGCCCCCGACACACTGACCGAATTAACAAACACGAAATGCATGAAAGCGTACCTCCACGCACGACTTTCGCAGCCGAAATACCGCGCGCACGCATCCCGGCGACGTTTTCTAAAGAACGAAAATACGTGCTCGTGAACAACCCTTTATCGTCCAGTATTTTTGTTTACCGATTTGGAAGCCCCCGCGAAAAATTAGGTCTGGAACTACGCGCTAAACATATTGCATCTCACCAACGACGGACTTTTGAGCTTTAAAGAGATTTCATTCGCGGTACTCGATACGACACATGATATCCGAATCTTTTACAGGTGGTGCGAAAGGAGATTCCATTGGAGTGATAGAAGAGAAGATTAATCAATATTCGACTTTGTACGCGAGACTCACACATTTGACGCATATGTTGTATAGTGTATTTATTTTATTATGCGGACAGCGATGTAGAGAGGAATTTACAATTGAAGTAAACGAAGATTATAAAAGTTGTGTAGTATTTGATGTAAAAAACTAAGTCACTCTTATGGGTAGGAGAGGAGTGGCGGAGAAATTATAATAAAAGAATGTCGATTGTTTTGTAAATGATGCGTGTTGAATATTTTTAACGCAATAAAATAACAGTTTATAGTATTCAAAAACTTTTATAACGATCCGTCAATAAATTAATTTTCAGCAGAGTTCTGTTAAAAAACTATGTAGACTTCCCCTTTTCTGCGGCGTTGCACCGCGATTCACAATGTCTTTTAATCGATTTATATTTAATTTTTTTACTTTCTGAGGCGGTGTAACATAGTTTCTAGTGATTTTTGCTTTCTTCGCTTCTGTTTCTTTCTGTCCTTCCACAATATTTTCTGCACTTAAATTCAAAATTCCAGAAATATTTAAACCAGCAGTTTTATCTTTGGTCTTTCTCTTTTTACGTCTTTTTGGTGTTTGGACGCTATCTTCTTTCTGTACTTTTAGCCTTTGTGGTTTATTAAAAGGTATCTTTGTACTTTTCGAACAAACCGAACATTTAAGTACTAATTTATTCATTTTATTTTTTAAACATTTCTGTGCTAAATTTTTACGAACTTTGGGTATTCTTTTGTCATTGTCCTTCATAGACTGTACAACCCTTTTAACAGATCTGGAAAGTGGTTTAGCATGAGATATTCGAATGTTATAATCCACTGTACTCCAAAGTGATCCACAATATTGACACATCACAGAGGGTCCAAAATTTCTAGAAGGTAGTTGTACTCCTTGGCTTAGTCTTCTACATTTTTCTCTGATATTTAAAAACATTAAATCCTTAATATGTGTTGAATTACTTATATCTCTAGACTTAAATAATACTCAATAAAAATAGATACATATTCTGAATATTACATTGAGTTTAAACAATCTAAAGCTTACATGTAAAATGTCTGTAAATTCATACGTTGAGGACAATTTAATTTTGTAATTAATTGATTCACATTCCATAAATGTGTTATTTTTTCCATGTCAGATATTTAAGCATATATGAAATATAACTATTTCAAACCCACTTCAAATTCCACTTCAGTTATTGCAGGATGTTTATGTACATCCAGAGCAATTTATGTACATACAATGTGTCTGTAATGATGGAACATTCCTACTTTGATGATACATTATGATACACAGATTCGTTGGTTGTATTATTACATTTGTAGCATTAAAATTAGGAAAATTGGGTATAATAGGATGGTCAATATTTATTTACTTATTTATTTATCATATAATACAGTACAGAAGAGATTATAGTAAAACAAAAAATGCAAAGAAGGCTAGATACAACAGTTATCATAAAACCTAACCTTAATTGTAACGATGCTTTCCTTTTTAACCCTTTGATAAACACCAAAAATCCATCAAGGATTCCAACCTTATTATATCGTTAATAACTCATTGATTTAATTAATTAATACTTGCCATTTAACGTAATCCTCTCTTTTAACTTCTTTAAACTTACACTGTGGTAACGTGCTTCCAAATTACCGAAAAAGCTTTTAGCACGTAACTGCATGCTTTATATAGATAAAAACTGTTTTAGTTTAATAAACATCATATCAAAACACTTGAAAAAAACAAGGTATCTACAGCCTCTTTGAGATCCGCGGACTACAGGTTAAGAACCACTGATTTAGCTAGTCTACATAGATACATATGTGTTCAACCCAAGATACGGACAAACACAATGACCGTTTACGTCTGTTATTAAAAAGAACTAAACATAACGCATAGTAGTTCGTCAAATGACTTATGTAAAATATATAATCAAATCTGTGACTCACCTTGTAACAGTAAACGTTTAAAGAGCGTGTGTATATATGCATCGAGAAACCTACTCCTGGGCGGAAGCAATCAAATCTCATTAAAGTGTGTCAGTGCGATGTATGATAAAGCGGGACATATCACATGAAAGATTACTCTAGTTTCCGTAAAAATCGTTGATTTTTACAATATCGTGACTAATTAAAAGCGATCATTGTTGTGTTGTCGGAAAAAAAAAAATGAAAAAGAATAACCGCGAAACATGAATACTCAGATACGTTACTACCATACTGAATAACAGTGCAGCCAACGTGTGAAAATGTTGAATTGCCCATAGAATTCCTAAACCAATCTATTAGAGATCTTCGATGTATTAATGCAGGGCATATCTACTCCTGTGGATAGTTTCTATTCTATACACAGACAGAACCACGGAGGGTGTCAGAAAAATTTGTATTTTGTCATCCTTGTCATCAAAGCACCGGGAATACTGTCAAAAACAAAATAAATTATTACAAAACTTTAAATAAATTGCTGTCGTTAAGGGGCAGATTAAGTGTTGAACATGGGAGACGGCAAGGAGGGCGAGCAGCAGCCGTTATTAGAAAATGAAAATAACCCTTTCTACGGTTTACACGGCGTTAATCATACAGGTAAATAATATTCAATCTCGCCCACGATAGGATTAAGGAAATGTTTAATCCGATTGCTTGTCTCACGTATAATACTTGCTCTAGATGAGACACAAACTATAGACACAGTGTCCACAATTGGCCCGGATGAGTTACCTCCTCCATATCAATTGTTCCAACCAGGGGGTACGCCTATGGTTACTTGCAGAGTTTGTCAAGCTATGATAGATATATCTGGTAAAAAAGACCAACATGTTGTTAAATGTTGTCATTGCAATGAGGCCACAGTACGTTCATATACTAGTTTATCGTTCTTCAAAACTTCCTATCAAGACATAAAAGTATTATTTATTTTTATAGCCCATACAAAGTGCACCACCGGGAAAGAAATATGTCCGTTGTCCGTGTAATTGTTTACTAATATGTAAGAGCTCTTCGCAACGTATTGCTTGTCCAAGGCCAAATTGTAAACGCATTATTAATCTTGCTCCAAGCCCAATTACACCACCTGTTCTTTCCATGCCTGGAATGTGTAGAGTAGGCTGTGCTCATTGTCACGACACATTTTTGGTAAGTTTAAACTAGAAATACACTTTTAGCAGAATTCAATTATAACAAGTGCTATGTTTTTCAGTTTAATACATTGCACAATGCTTTGGCACGATGTCCGCATTGCCGAAAAATATCTTCCGTTGGTCCAGACTTTGCTAGAGGTCGGGGTATTGCATTCGTTATTGTTGGACTATTAATTTTAATAATCGCGATAGCTGTGACTGTAAGTATCTTTGAAGCTCATAATACAGTAGTGCCCACTTAAGTGACTGCACTTTTGCCCACCTAAGGGTCCGCGGTTATCTCCACCAATTCTTAGAAGCCAAGCGGCTTCGAACATCGAGCGTATCGAGCGTAATTTGACGCTGGTCGTTATCGATATATTGTATATATGGTTTCGGGTGCCAGCTATTGTATCTCACTCGCACTTATCCTCTTTCCTTATCTCCATTGAATTCTGGGAAGTAACTATGCCCACATAAGTAACTGCAGCCGGTCCCGAGTTTGGTCACTTAAGTGGGCACTACTGTATTTATTTACAAACTTATTTAATAAATATTTAATTTGCATATATTCTAAAATAAATTCAATTGTTATTATTTTATTTCCAGGTTGGGACACATGCATATGCAAAAACTCATGGTGGAGTGTATGTAGCATATGTAGGTATGTATCACATTCTAATTTGATCCTAATTTTCTTTTTAAATTCTACTTATAAAAGCTGCATCTAATCTCGTATTGTAATTTACATAAGAACTACTCTCAATGATATTCGTCCTTTTATCTTTAGCTTCGTGAACGTATTGCTGTTTATAACTTGTGTATTATGACAGTGTACTGTTAAGTATCTACAAATATTTTTAATTATTTTATTATTACAGGTGCATTTTTATTGGCACTTTTGTGCTTTGGGCGCAGCATTTATTATTGTACAATGAAAATTAGTTTAATAGAAGGCCCCATGTAGTCCCCTAAATGACAATCAACAACTAATACTTTAAAACCAATTCCTCTACATCTATGTCGTATAATAATATATTTAGATCAAATGTTTATAGTAATGACAAAAGCGTGTCCTGGTTGGACATAACTGATAGATGTATGCATTCTGACATCTGCATATGCGAGTCTACATTGATAATACTGCTCGTTCGAACATTCTCGCATATGTATTTGTAGATATACATGACGGGTAAAGAGACATATTCGGTATGTGAGAGATTTTCGTATAAGGTAATCTATTTAGAATAACTAGATGAAGATGGGGGTGTCCATTTTAAACACAAAGGATTGTTCCTCTGCACTTTTATATATAGAAGCACAGGACCAATGCAACAGCCCCATTATATTGTTTTCATATATTAAAGTATACTATACATGCTTTCTACATCTACAATAAACATATAAAATGCACATACGTATAAACATAAATAAAACATTCTCGCATGAATATTATTCCAATTATGAACTGCTATACATACAGCTGCAAAAATTGTGTTTCTAAAACTATACTTGCATCGTCATTAAATATCTTTTACAGATCGGTATCGTTTAAAAGACATTTTTGAATTATGTATTATTTGACATGCAAGTAAAATTATATAAAAATACATATATTAAATGTTATTATCTATTTTATTACTATATGTTACTACATAGTCTAAATTATTTTATTGTTTTTTTCCTTTAACCATGAAATAATACTATATTTTAGCTAACAAAACACAGGAAACATTTAAATAGCTTTTCTAATATTTCGATATATATCGATACTTGTATTAAAACGAGTTGTTATTCGTCATGTCAAGCATTTTAATGTAAATTACAATAAATTGCTTGACCCGGTTAATAAAATTCAAAATATTTATCTTGAATATTAAAATTTGTGCATTTTTTTCCGTTTTATGGGATTCCTGTTTATTGAAATAAGTATAACATACGTAATCAAACATAAAACCGTAATCCCTTATTTTCAATTCAAGAACATTATATAATCATTTTTATTGTGAACTACCAAAGTGTGTTCCTTTCATTTATTGTTGCGTATTTAACCTAAGCTTTTTCTAGTAACTTTTGTGAAAGTGCTCTTGACGTATTACACATTCGAATATACGTGTTCGTGTGCAAAATAGCGCCAACAGTGAGAATGATCATACCGATAAAAAGGTATTCCCATTTGTACGTAATTTGTTAATAAACTTTTATGGATTTATCGTAAAACGGACTTGTTCTTCGTGATTTTATAGAGACGGCGAAGTTGAAGAATGGGCGATCATTGAATTACAAGGCGATTTAAAATTTGATTCAGCAGATACTACAAATAAATACATCGGAGACGTACATTTTTCAAAGTCTGGTACACCAATATTCATAATTGGTATTCACGTACTACACGGTAAAGAAGTAGAACTTCCAAAACCATTTGCTGTTTTACAAAAAAAAAATAACGAAACTGATAAAATAGCAGATAATTCTGAGCTACAAGTTGAATACATTGTGAAAGCTCTTGTAACAAAGAAATTGGTGTTCAGATCAAGACCAAAACCTATCATAAAAAATGTTCCAAAATGTAATTAAATTTATTTTCCTAGTTAAATATGATGCACCTACTTTTGGAAAAATAACTTGTTACCAGTAAATCTGTTTAAACAGGTTTAAAAAACATTGTACTTTTATTTCATTGTTACCTTATCTTACTTAATCAAAAATATTAACCTAAATTGAAATATAAATATAAGTGAAGTTAATCCTTCATTTCTCCTTCTTCATCTTCTTCTTCTACTCCTCGTATGTACATTACATTATTACATCTAATTAGAACTTCGCCAAGATTGCCAGTACAGTTTCCATCTATGTGTTCTTCTGTATTAGCTAATTGTAAATTCATATACCCATCGACTGATACTAGATACCCTTTATACTCGTGGCCCCATTTAAGTTTTACCATTACAGGTTTACCTGTCAAACCATTTAGAAATGGTTTTGGGTTTATAGGCATTGTAGCAGCCATGGTATCCGTTTTTGAAGCTTTCTACAAAGAAATTGAGGTTAAGATCATGGGTATAAAATATTATCGATACTAAAGAATTATATTTATTTTAGTATACGTAAAATTTCTAAGGATATTTTTTGCCTATGATACAAATATTGTATACTTACTTATTTAAACAGGTAAAAGTGAAAAAGGTTTTGTCTCGCGGTTGCGTGCCGGGCAGAATCACTGTTTTGAAGCAGTCTGTAACTATATTTTAAATGACTGCCACTACACTAGCAAAATAACCCAACTCATGTAACAAAATTTTCTAAGAATTGTTGCATGTAACGCAATTGCAGTTACTCAAATTATTCATACATTATCATAATTAATGGAATCTCTTGCGAATATGCATATAAGTATAATTTAAGAAACAAAATTTTGGGTATCTAGCCTAATTATAACAAAAAGAAATTTGCCTCTAGTGTGAAGAGTAATTAACTTCTACTAAATATGAATATTCTACCTAAGAAAAGGTGACTAAACTTTCCTTATAAATATTTAATTAATATTGGTTTAATTAGTGTATTTTAATACTCCGAAAATTTGTATCATTTAGGTGGCATGTGCGTACCAAGGAGAATATTGCTCGTGTACGAAGAGATGAAGCAAAAGCTGCAGAAGAAGAAAGAATTATACAGGAAAGAGCTCAAAAGGCTGTAAGTATGAATCAGAATAAAAATATGTTTATTGCTGTTTACATATATAGCAAATGCACTGTTAAGTTTAAAAAATTGTCATTTCGTATTAGGAAACCGAAGCAAGAATTAATTTTCTAAGAGAAACAGCAAGATCAAAGTATGATGGACGAGAAGAAGTATCAAAGGTTGAAATTGTTGCATCTACCTCAAAGCAGGAACATGTCAATTTTTTTGCCGATCTTGAAGAAGGAAAAATTGATTATAATAAACCTAATGCAGAACATGAGAAAGAAAAGAAAGATGAACGAGAAAAATATGAAAAACAAATCGGTTATCTTACATATCTTGGACAAGACACTAATGAAGCAACAGGCAAGAAGAATTGGTACGACGAGTTGCCCGAGAGGCTAAGAGACACTGAGAAAACTGAAGAAGTACAAGTTAAAAAGAAGGCAATGAGTGATCCGATAAATGATATTAAAAAGTACTTAAATATTATGGGAGCCAGCTCTATGGATAAACCTTTGAAAATAAAATCAGAACCTGTTAAACGAGTAAAGCATGATTCAGAGGGCAGTGATTCGGATCACAAAAGCAGTAGATCTTCGAAAAAACATAAACATAAAAAATCTAAAAAACATAAAAAAGAACGACATCACAGTAAGGATAGACAAACTATAGAAAAGTCAAACATAGATATACAAAAATTAAGAGCTGACAGGCTATTAAGAGAACAGAGTGAAAAATTAAAAACTGAAGCATTATTAGCTAAATTAAGAGGAGATCCAGTTCCAGTAGTGGCACCTGAAACACCTCTTAGGCCTACTATTAAACAAAAATATAATTCACAGTTCTTTCCTGAAATTGCTAGACAAAATGCTGAAAGAACACCCAATGTACATTCAGTGAGGGAATAGTGCAAAGTGTAAGTTGGTCTTTATTTAATAATTGTGCAGTAATTTCAATTATTTAAGCATTGAAAAATAATTGCTATTATAATTGTGTAAACATCTATTCGTGTATAAATGTTTAAATAATATCTTGTAAAGTCTATGTCTAGTTACTAATACTGACAATAAAGTATTAATGAGTCATTTACGAAATATATTTCCATGAAAGTTCTATTTTATAAAATGGATTAAAATATACTATGCTTATGAAATGGAAATAAAAAAATAGTCAGAACGAATAATTTTTTAAAATTCTTGTCGAACGGATTGTCGGGTATCCCTCGCAAATCTGTTTGATTATACTAAATTTCTCAGTATCACGTGATGCAAGATGGTGGAATATCACGGATCTCATGGATAACGCGTTAAAATTTGACGTTTATGTCATTTTTTCAATGTTCTTGCTCATTGCTTGACTTAAATTTTTTGCTCGTAAGTAAAACTATTCCCTTCCGCACGCAATGCGTTTGATATTACAATTTAATATTTCAATTTTCCGTTTAAAATCTCGAACCAGACGCTTCCAACGCGCGAGTTGCTTTCGCGAAATATGATTTTCGAATTTGAACAGCTGTGAATGCACTTGACTACAAAAAGATGACAGCTTATATAAATTTATATTTCATACCGTAAAAATAGAACGGCTTTGCTTCGAATGTTAATAAAAATATTATATTTTTTAGCCATGTTACCGCTCGACCTTAAGATAACCTCTTCGCTAATTTGCACAACAATCGCCGTTTTGAAATACGATTTTAAGTAATTTTTTCTATTCCGTGAATTTTATAATATATACATTTGGCATGTTCCGCAAAATATTTAAATCGGAAAGGTAATGTGTAGTCTAAATAGACATAAATACCGAAAATTATTTAGTTAAGTGGAAGGCAATATGATGTTCCATTTATGTACGTTTGATAATTTTAACAATGGTTTTCGAAGCTTTCGAATAACAAACTAGAATGAATATTTGATTTTTCGTTCGTAACTACAATGTTTCGATGCATTTGTATTTCAGACAAAATGTTACTGTTAATTTAAATATCAAGCATTTTTTCCGAAATGAGTTAACCAAATATTATTGTGACCATGAATGAAGAAACAAGCATTGAAGATTCTTCGTATTTAAGTTATGAAGTAAATGGTACTAGATATATTTTGCAACCAATATCAGATCCAACTCTTGACATAGTGAAGTATATATCAACTAACGAGGAGCAAAATGCAATTAATATTATAGATGAAACTCAAGCAGAGAATGAAGAAGAATCAGTTTCTTTAGTTTGCTTAGATGGTAGAGTCTATGCATTTCAAAATGGAGAATTACAAGAATTAGATTTTAGTCAAATTATAGATCAGAATGATCCACAAGAAAGGACAGTTCTATTGTCCAAAGAAGTTGATAATTGTGAAACGCAGTATATTACTAACACAGATTTAGTAATTGGAAATGTCGATGAACAGTCCCAAGAACAATTTGAAGTTATCACAGAACAAAATGAAAAGAATTTTATTGTGGAGAAGCCAAATGTTAATGCTAATGATTTTGTAGAAGTGGTAACAGCGTTTAAATGCAAGATATGTACTTACACAACTCAAGATAAAACGCAATTATTTCAGCACTTTCAAAAAACACATGTGAATCCAAAAGCAGATATGGAAGTGAGTTTTTAAGTTACTCTTCTTGCATTCATTTAACATTTATATTCATACTTTGCTATTTCTATTTTATAGATAAAAGAAGAATTCAAAAATACAGATGAAGTAAAGTTGTTATACATGTGTGGCGAATGTTCTAATTGTTTTCCTTCCATAGAAGCTTGTAAAGAACATATGATAAATGTAATGATTCAAGATATTTTTATTTCACTATGAAAAACTTCATTTTTTGTTAAGAAAATATTATGTAAACTATGCCTGTTGTAGGACCATCAGTTGACAGATACAGGATCTAATAAAGGTGGCAAAGAAAACATAACAGATGATTCAAAAGGTTCTGGTGTATTGGATGAGTGTATGGGCGAGAGTGTTGAAAATAATGATATAAAACGTCAAGTTAAAATTCAGAAGCCTATAAGTTCTGAATATATGCTCAATAAAAAGATGATTGAATTAATGGAAAGAAACATAAAGTAATTATTAAGCCGAGATTTGAAGCTTCCGCGGCCAAAGCATATAAAATGTTTTCTTTCTTTACGATATAAACGTTTTCTCAGGTGTTCATATAGAGGATGTCCGTACAAATTCTCCACGGAAGAAACAATGCAGCAACATGGGCTTTGTCATATAGATTCGCAAAGTGGAATCGCGTTTAAATGTACTGTTTGTCGCGACATGAAATTCACCAAATGGAGGCAGTGCAGCTTACATTTATGGAAAAAACATCAAATTGGTGAGTATCCTGTTTCAGTATTTGAAGAAAGGAATGAATATATTTTACGCGCACTATAAGCGTCTGTTTTAGACATAGGTCTGTTTACTTGTAAAATATGTAAAGCATATAAAAGTGCAACAATGGTGAAACTTTTGACTCATATGCGAGTGCATAGCGAGACCCGCGAGTATGAATGTTCCGAGTGCGGTAAATGTTTCAAACAAGCCAGTCAACTACGTAATCATAGAGTGATGCATTTGGATCGTAAAACATTAGAAGTAACGCGTTGGTACACTTCAAAAAAATGTGATATGTGTGGGAAGATGTATGCAAATTCCAAATGCTTGAAAAGTCACATTCAAGCAGTACATTCGAAACTACGGCCATACGTTTGTAATGTTTGTGGACATTCTAGTGCTAGAAAAGCAATGTTGCAAATGCATTTACGTCAGCATACCGGTGATAAACCTTTCAGTTGCGAGTTGTGCGAATATAAGACTGGTGATCACAATACATTACGGCGTCATATTATGCAACATACAGGTATGTTTTATATAAATGAAACATTCCAAGTAATGCACACATATATTTGACTATTACAAGCATAAGTGATCATTTTAGGATTTAGACCATACAAATGCCCGCATTGTTCTTACACCGCAATACAAAGTAGTAGTTACAAAAATCACTTAAAATCTAGGCATCCTTTACTCTCGGGTTTGTTCACGTGTGATTTGTGCCCTTTTAAAACTGTTAAAAATGAAAGTTATATACAGCATGTGAGAGATCATGAAAAAGGATTGATCAAAACGAATATGCAGAAAAAAGGTATTTTTCAAACTGTTTCGAGTTTTAAAATACATGCTCGTATTCCTAAATACCAACGGAAGATTTTGTATTGGTTCATTTAGATGGTGAAAATGTTGAAGTTTTTCCTGGTAATATCGCAGCGGCGCAATTGATTTATAGCTGCTTGGGTGCCTTCTCAAAAGTCGGAGATACTTTAGAAGCAAACTTAATGTCTTCCTCAACGTCTGCAGATGGTACATCACAAACGATTACTATACAAATACCATCTAAACACCTTGAAGGTTCACTGCCAACGAGAGAAAACGGAGCTAAAAATAATTCGTCGATCGAACAAGAAGATGAAGAAACGATGCATTGTTTTCTAAAAATTCCAAGAGAAGAAGAAGAAAGTATAGATACTGGCGGTATAACTATACCCGCAGAACCGGAGGAATCAGGTGCAACGACAATTAATGTTGATACGTGAAAATATAAAAAGTTAAGTTATTAGAACAAATATTTCTGTATGTTTGGAAATACCGGAAATCTACACGTCGGAAGAAAATGAAAAAATGCTAGTCACACGTTACTTAGATTATAAAGATTAACTTGTTCTTTTTTGATAAAAAAGGAAAAAAAAAAAAAAAAACTAGAATTAATGCTTTAATTTTTAAAAATACTAATTGTGATACTATTTTTGAAATTGTATATCGTATCTACGACGAAAATATTAATAATCCAAATGTTCTATTTGACAAAAAAAAAAAGAAGGAGTAATTTTTGTATGTTGTTTTAAAGTGACGAAAACGTATTTGAAATGTTTAATTACATAATAGAATCAACAATTTTACGATCACGTTAATTAAACGAAAAAGTTATATTTTGCTTTCAAATAACATTTTACAACTGGAAAAATTGAAATTGATTTGGGATGTTTTTATCTCAAAGTTTATTAAAATGTTAAGAATAGTTTGTTATATACTAGAACACTTTTCATATTTTGAATGTATTTATTGATAATTAATAGTAAATTAATAGAAGTGTACATAAAAATTGTAAAATAATAGTGTGGAAATCGTTGTAAAATGTAAATTACAGTATCTCGTATGATTCATAGTAAGATTAAAATAATATTTTACATGATAGACTAAAAAAAAAATGCCGTAGTTTTTTTTTGACTGAATTGGTCGTCACGTAAAAGTAACACTAATTAATATTATGGAAGATGGAATTTACGATTTTCGAGAGTGTTCATATATTAACTGTTGAACTTCAAGAATACGTCCCCACAAATTGATATTTCTATATCAATTTGCTTAAGTGCAAAATTTGTGAGAATGGTAACTGATGGAGTTATGAACATATTATTCTTAAACAATTTAGTAGGATGATTTAAAAATATATCGGTAAATTATAGTATACAACAGATGTCTTTTTATATGCATTTTGTAAGGAGGAGTTTTAAGTGAAATAAAAAGTACTGCTTCTCTCGGAGTAGCCTAAGCAAATTGATACGAGTTATTATTTACAGCTAGTGATTCAAGAAATGTGAGAAGCTCCTTTTTTTCAAGCAGCTGATGTGGAACTTCCTTTAAATTACACATCATATCACAACTAACAGTCCTTGGGCAGTTCACCATAGTAAGCCGTTAAAGCTATTAACCTTCTGTCAAGAAAGTTCTGCTCCACTTCTAGACCACAACCTACACCGGCTAACATGGCAAGCTGTAATATGTATATATATATATGTATATAAAAGTATGAGGTAAATAATGTACAATACATTACATACGTACGAAATTCCAAAATTAAGATTTTCCGAATTTTCTCGGATCATAAAATTACCTGCATAGTATCTGTATTTTTAGGTAGAAAGTAGGCCACATGATTTGTGATTCCCCTTGCTATTTTAAATATATTTATTCCGCCAATGGGTTGCATAATCTTACTGAGATCAAAACTTTCATCCTTGATATATCCAGGCCCTCCCCACGGGGGGCTTAGAAATACAACGTCTCCTATTAAGTTTGGTGCGAGTTGAAAAAAATCCCCAACAATGAACTCTATTCTGTCTTCCACACCATAAATTCGCGCGTTGTTTCGAGCAAATTTAATTTTAACCGGATCGATATCTATCGCTAGTACTGTTGAAGAAAGATATAAATATATTTGTTACTTAAAGTATTTACATACGTACAAGGAAACACGTACCTCTTTCACACGTGAAAGCGAATTGAATAGCGTTTCCTCCTACACCGCAGAATGCATCGATTATGACATCGCATTTGCATCTTTGTGCTATGTGTTCGGCAATTTTTTCTGGCGTCACTGAAAACCAGCTCTCTGGAAAAAAGTTTTTTAGTAGAGATGTTTAAAATATACATACAAATATTAATAAGTAATTTCTGAAATGTTTTAAAAAATTCATCGCGTGTTTTAGTTATTTTATAAATACGAATAAAGAACATACCATGATCCATTTTAATGCCTTGATCGAACTTGCTAAATAGTCGATATCTCTTTAACCAATACTTCATTAACGTCTTGTCAATGTCTATTTCTGCCGGCAAGCTTATATTTCTTTTAGATTGCTTCCTTCGTTTTTTCTTTTGCGTCTTTTTCACGCTATCTTCGTCGGATAATTTCATATTCTGTATCTCGTTATAATTATATTTTTCATCTATGTCCATGTCAGTAATCGATGCATCAATTTTTTCCTTATCTTTTACAGAAAACTGGTTTTCTGATACACATTTTGTGGAGTTACTATCACTTTGGTCGAAGTGTATATTGTTACCTTCTTCGATACTTTTAAAAACATTATCCTGTTTATCTGATACATTCCATGAATCACTCGCGTCATCAATTTGTTTTTTGTCCGCACCTGATTCTACCGAACTTGTGCTTGGTTTACTAAATAAAAGACGTTTCGTTTGCAATTTTGTCTTAAGACTAGGATCGCACTCTTCATCAGAACTCGATGTAAATTGTGCTTTGTAGGAACCTTTTTCAGAGGGTAAATCTGTTTCTGCTGAAGGTACAGCTGGACAGTATGACAAATAATGTTTTACCTTATCTATAGTGTTAGTAATTTCCACTCCATTATCATCAAAGTAAATATGTTTGTTTATTGGTTTGGGTCTGAAGTATTTCATTTTCAATTGTCTATTTTGTAATCTAATATTTCTTTTCCTGTATACTACTTCTCCTTGCATTGTTAATTGCTTGTGGCTTTCATTGAAAGTGTAACCCATTAAAGAAAATGCCTTTTTCACTGTTTCTAGACCCTCTCCTGTTTCATCACAATCGGCCTCGTGGCTTCGTTTCAACGTTATAGGTTTATCATCGTTGGGCTTATCTCCATCTCCCTCGTTAAAATATTTTCGTTGAGTACTATAATTGCTACTGGTGTTAATAGAAATAATTGCACTATTTTCGTGTATAATCGAAGCCTGATCGTTGTTTCTACTCTCGCTCGAATGTTCGTTTTTATTGGATTTTCCGTTTTCACTTTCGGTAGGTACATCGTCTTCTTTCATTGTTAAATTTTGTACGAGGATTCCTACCGAATCCATAATTAATCGTTTGTTCCTTTTTTCTCTCTTAGTGAAAGAATTTGTGTTCGATAAGTTTTTATTTCCGGAACTATTAATTTCATTAAATGTATCTGTTTCTCTTTGTGTAAAATCTTGATGCATACTTTCGCCACGATCTTTATTATCAAATTTGTCGGAATAATTTGGCGCGCCGAATTGAAATCGATCCTTTTTATACCATTCTATAAACAATTCGTAGTGCTTTTGGTACTGTAATTGAAAATTTTCCTTCCATAAATGCTGCCAATACCTATCATTATCTTCCGTTGTATATTCATTATCTTGATCAGAACTAGTGCTTGTTATATTGCTTTCAATGGAACTAGTTACAGAACTGATGAGACTAGATGAATGCATAGAAATAGAGTCACAACTAGAACTAGTAAGTGTCATTTTTGTAACATTTGTCATGGAGTCTGATGTTGCGTTTGTTTTGGCTATCGATTCATTAATAGAATCGCATCTTGTTAAAAGTCTTTCATCTTCTGCATTGGACTGTTGATTATAACTTTCTTCCATGCTAAAAGGGCTTAATGGATTCCATCCATCCCCAGTTTCGGGCGAACCTTCGAAGTTCGTCATCCTCCTTCTATTTTCCTCTGCATCTTTATCATTAATTTCTTGCTTGTTCATATCATCGAATGGAAAGTTAACGCTATACGCGTCTTTCGTTTTTATTTCGTTATCGTTTGTATTATTACTTTTACTAAATATTCCTTCAAAATTTGAGCGTCCAAGTTCACAATTTCTGTGCGCTTGACTAGGGAAACATGTATTTTGTTCTGAGAATTTCTCTATAGTTCCTTTTACTTCCAACTTTTCCTCTCCTATCAAAGGAGCATTTTGTTGAAAATATTCTGGGTTTATGTAATCTGCATATTTTGCAATCCAAGATGTCCAAATTAATTGTTCACCGTTTAAAGACCAATACTTCTCCCATGCAACGTCCATCACACTTTTAATTTCAGAATACATAATGTAAGGGGTAACTTGAGAATTATGACCATATGTATATGTGACATCTTTGTGATAAGTCTGTGCACTATTAGCCGAATCATTTTGTAAGGTGCTTTGTACCTCGGGATCTTTGTCTCCCAAAATGAATGATGGGCTTTCTACATGAAATTTCTTTTCATTACAATTGGATGGATTAATACTTAAAACTTTGATATTTTCTGCAAGATGATCCGATGAGTGAATGTTTGTTGTTTCGAATCCAAAATCTGAGCGCTTATTTTCTTGATTCTGTGGAAGTACATTCACTTTCTCAAATTCATCTTCCAGTTCAGTCTCTGTAGTTTGGAAAGTCTTTCCATACGATGCTAAAAGGTTCTGTATACTTTTAGCCTCATGTTGATCATGATATTCTGATAGGTCTGCACCCGAATCGGATTGGTGCAGACCCAATTTTTGGGTGAGGGAATGCGCAGCAGGTCGATGTGCAGAGTCACGAACAGAGTCATGTTCATCTGTGGAATAATTGTTGTCTGTGTGTGATGCGCTGCAGTAACAGCTCACTGGTTCTTCCTAATTTTAAGGATGAAAAAATATGTGCTTGTTCAAATAAATATCTAATATAATACTGTGATATCAGACTAGCTGGAATTAATCAAGTACTTTAGTAACAAAAAAAAAAAAACAAAAATTAAAATATAATCTTACATCATGCTTTTCATTGGATTGTGCTTCTATGGTAGACCTTTTATGAAGATCTAACATTTCTCCGACACAATCGCCCTCAACATCTTCACCTTCACTTGCATCCTCTAAAGCAAGGACAGTGTATACTTCTGGGATTCTGGAAACAAAAAGTAATAAATTATTTTCGTATAATTATTTCTCGTAAAAATACATCTACGAGTGTTGGGAGCTTAACAAGGGCCCAGTATCCTATTTCCTTGTTTTTGCAATTATCACGTGGTACGCATTGTTTGTTTTCGATACTTCGAGAAATCGAACGTAAGAATAAAGAAACATGTTTATGAATTACTAATTGCTTTAGAGGGCAAATAAAAAACGAAAACAAAATATACGCAGACGATGCTGTCGTACTTCTAAAACGCGTTTAACAAAGCAAACAAAAAAATATATATTTTTCGACTATATATCATGACCCAGGTTATTTGAGTGGGTGTCAAGGTTAGGTCAAATGCCACACTACTGATCGATAAACGTAAAGATTTTTTTATTTTACAAGGGACAATAAAATTGGCACAAAGACGAGATGTAATAGCGATACCACAACATTTGGAAGGATAACGAACGCATACTTTGTGGGTGTATTTACCGAATAAATACTCTACTGCAAAGGCAATAAATGTGAGTATCAGGGTCAGAGAACTCTAACTGTTCCCCGATGTACACGTCGGCTAAGGGTTCCCAAAAGTGGTCGCTCATGCCGAAAGAAAATCTTTAATTGGCTACTTGCTCGTGAATCGTCACAACACCCACATGTCTTGCGCTCAGATTTTTATAACTCCCCCATGTAAAAACAATCCGCCATTTCTTCGACGGCACACCATCGTGAAGTTACGTGCAATCAGTGTTACCAGAAAGCAGACCGGTGTCCGGAGGAAACTACCTCTCCATTTACGTACCCTGATGTACGTGTACTTACGTGAGCTCCTGCGCTTCGGACAGGTCTGTTGTTTGGTAACACTGCACGTAATTACCATCGCCATAGATGATATATAGCATAGATGAGTAATTACGATATAAGAGTAACACCATAGACTTTTGTGTGACACAGATTATGGCTTGCGAGTTCCATTATCATTTCCATACCATTACCAAGATCATTCGTTTAGATTAAAATACGACTTGCGTACTCGTAGTGTTTGGAATTAAGCAAAGAAATTCATACATGGTGCCTAGGTATTTTGGCGCTCTGGTCAATAATAACATACGGCGCCCTCTGCTTATTCGCTTTAAGGTAAATGCACATAAGTGCTTAAACTACAGGGGGGGTGCCAGAGATTTTCGACGAAAAAAAAAAAAATTTCAATTTCTTCTGAATCAAATATTTTTGCTTGCGGTGGTCAATTACAATCATATTAGGAGCAAGAATACCCTTGAAATCCTACCCACTGTCGAGAAACAAATTCCAAAAGGTATTGAAATATTTGATGAAATTAAAAATTGATATTTAGTTGCAGCAGAGCTTGAAACACAGCCCATGGGTACCTACAAAGACGTATTAGATTATTTATCTGGTAATCGTCAAATAAATATGTTAAAAATGACTATGGAACGGATTAAAATTCATTTTTGAATCTATTGGTAACGTTTCGAATGACACGAAAATGGTAATGGGGTTTCGAGAGCACATAAAAATGGGTCCAAAAAATCCATTGGGTGACAGATCTACCTGTATACCTCGTCTGTGACAATACTCTTGATTCTTTGATGAATCAATGAGAATTAAAACTAACCTAGCGAAGAAGCTCTATATTTATGATGATCTATGCAAAGCGGATCGCAGCTAATTTGGTAATATTATTCAGTTTTTAATTAATAATTGCATTACGCATCTGAGAGTGATGCGATTATTAATTAAACGGTAATTATTATTACCCAGATCTCACCACATGGAGGTTGCTGCGAATGGAGACCCACCCTAACCGATTACCAACCACCCTCCATTAATAAAGATCTTCTGTGACCAACGATCGTTGGTTGAAGAAGAAACAAACGAAAGTGCAACCAATGAAAGATGCACAACCAACGAAGAGAGTTGAAAGAGTTTTCAAAAGAATTTGTCTTCAAATGAAAATAACTTGCCTAGCATAATGCCTAACCAAACACCTGCTTAACTATAAATCTAAATTCGTTTATTATATCAAGAGAGAATTCTAAATTCGCAGCCATTAGCTCAGTGTCACCTACGAAGAATAACTTTTCTATCGTGGGTGACACCGATTACCAGGTCTCACCACGAGGAGGTTGCTGCGAGTGGAGACCCGAAGGGAGATGGATGGAATCAAAGTTCCAACGATCTCCCTTTTAGCTAAGCTTAGCTAGATTACTAAACTAGAGAGATAGAAGGAAGCAATGTTCCTTCGATCTTCTAGTTTAGTTGTACCAAGTAATTATTTTGTTTAAAAAGGGGTGAAGCTATATTGTGGGATACGCGACGCGACGCGATGCTGAACCGTACTGCAGATCTTCGGATCGAATCGACACTGGCCTTGGTAGATTGATTTCTATTTCTAGAAATCGATCCATCATGGGCAGGCGACTAAATCTTTCGGACAAACTGGACGGCCGACCACATGTTTCAATCGATGAAACAGCGGTGATCGAAGCGAAAAACGAGAGAACGAGTCGAGAGAAGCTACTTGTTACATAATTACTTGACAATATTGGGAGACGCACGCAATAGAGACTTAAAATTAACGTCGAAACTCAAGTCTAGTCAAGTTGAAACTAAAATTCGGACGATAGAAGGAAACAAAGTTCCTTGGATGTTCTGATTCAGTTGTACCAAGCAATTATTTGGTTAAAAAGAGGGACGAAGTTAATTTGAGGGGCACGCGAAGCGACGCGACGCGACGCTGAACCGTGCAGCGGATCCGAGGATCGAACCTACTGCCCTTGCTAACTAGATCTCTATGGGATAATGGACGGCTGCGACTCCGAATCTAAGGTCTCCATTGCTCCAACGCAACCCGCCGGGAGCCCGAAGGACCCGACTCAAGTTGTCTGACAAAGAGAGAGTACCTCTGTTTCAGTGTCGACTTCCGCTGGAAGGTATGCGTTTCCGCAGGATACGGAAACTCCACACCTTCCAGCAGAGTACCATTTTCCCTGGATCGAGCTACCAAGGGAAGGCGATTAGATCTTTCGGACCAGATACACGGCCGATCACATGTTTCAATCGATGAAACAGCGGTGATCGAAGCTAGGTACGAGGGAACGAGCGAGGTAGAAGCTACTTATTGAATAATTGCTTGGTAAGACGCGGAGACACGTATAATAAAGAAATCGTCGACGTTAATTTTAAGATTCGCGACGAAGCTTAAAACTAACCAACTTAGAATTAAAAGTCCCTCGGCGGTTGCGGCGTCCTCCCTCGATGTCTTTGCGATTAATCCAAATTCGAACTGAAATCAAAACTAATATTTATATTAGTGAGATATGGTAAGAAATTGAATAAACACTTAAAAATGATCTATCACCTAGCTAAAGGAAATTGAACAGAGTATTTTGGAAATTGTTACAAGAATTTAAGCCGAAAGGAAAAAATAAAAATCTTATATTAATCAGTGTCATCGAAACAAATATGGTATATGTATCGACACCATGTCATACATATCGAAACGAACATTCTTATATTCATCAGTACCATCGAAACGAATATGATACATGCATCGACCCAATGTCATACATATCAAAACGAACATTCGTAATAATAAAAGAAACTTGGATCGACACCCCAAGTTGAATCAACACCAAACAATCAAACGAAATGGAAGAATCGAACAAAGTACCTCCGCAGAATATTACGAGAATTCGAGCGAGAACGTAGAAATAAAAATTCTCGAAATTGTATAGAAACAAATATAGTGTATGATTGAAAACAATATTACATTATTATATCCCTGCAATATTATACATATCAAAGCAATAACATAAATTCGACAAGCAATGTAAACGTAGAAACAGAGAAAAGGAATATTCATAATAAATAAAGTGGAATTTTACATCAAACAAACAAATAAAAATAATAAAATATAAATAAGAGGAGTGGACTTACTACTTGTTGTCAGTACATAGGATAGTTACCACTGGGCCAGCTGTAAAGTAAGAAAATATTCATATTATAGCAACTTCAGTTAGACAAGCAAGGCAAAATCAGTTCATTGAAGCGAAATTGGTATCAAACAATAGAATAGAAGAGGGGAGAGAATTTTTGAACAATTCTTACCGTTGGTCATCACCGTCCGGCACTGGTCAGTAGTGGTCAGTAGTGGTCAGCAGTGGCAGGAGCGCTAGCCAGAACTGGTCAGTAGTGGTCAGTAGTGGTCAGTAGTGGTCAGTAGTGGTCAGTATTGGTCAGTAGTGGTCAGCCATGGTCAGCGCTGGCCAGTAGTGGTCAGCAGCGGCGAGCGGAGGTCAGCAGTGGTCCCCGGCCCACTTTTGGCGATTTGTACACTCCCGAATTCGCGACGCGACTGAAGTATTCTTCGCAGTGGCCCTGCTTATATGCCCAAGGGGATGAAAGGGTGGGGAGACTAGCCAGAGCCAAAGCCAAAGCCAAACTTAACAGTTAAGACTGTCTTGTATAGAAAGAAACTATTTCGATTGGTCCCATCTCTTGACCATTTCTGGATCTCCACTGGCCCGCTGACCTTGAGGTCAACCTCACTGTTGACCACCAGTGACCATAAGTACAATAATGAATGTATTCCATTGAGTTGTATTTCTGAATTTTGGATTGTATTTCTGAAGTAGAGCTCATGGATACCTACAAAAAAGTATTAAACATTTCCGTACAGCGTCACACAAATTTATTAAGAATGAGAAATGAATTTTTTAAAAAAATCGACAGGGGGTAGGTGCCTAAATTTTTCGGCGAAATTGAAAAGTATCAAATCACTCTGGAAAAATTATTTTCGATTGTAGGGGTCAATTACAATTATTTTTGGTCAATAGGCATACCCTCAAAACCCTAACCATTTTCGAGAAAAAAATTCCTTTCCGAAAATATCGATCAAAGAATTTCTTTCTGCTCTTTTAACAAAACGTTCAAATTTTATTCTTTTTCTTTCTGAATACATAAAATAATTATCAAGGTCAGCTTAAATCAGAAACTATTTATTTAGAAATAGCTAGGATATGTTGGTATAATAATATTTCTGTATCGTAATTTGTGCTTGGCTGATTCAATCGAGATGAAAACGGTTTAAATCTGATCAAATTCGCGCGTTCGAGTAGAAAATAGTACTAGAGGGAGCCACATTGGACGAGCATATGACTTCTGAAGTCTGACTCGAAGTCCTCTAACTCAATATGTATTGAGATCAGTGACTATACTCGGAGAATTGTCTACCTCTTGTAAACGTGTAAAATATTTATGTGAATAATTTAACGCAGGATAACTAAATATTGTATTTGACGTTAAAGGTGTTTAAAAATACAATGATTTGCTTATAAGCAGTTGTCATTGAATAATAAAATGTTACCTCGGTACGTGAATTTGAGAGATACGTCGTGATATTTAGCGTATTTCTTATCTCTTCGCAAAAATGGATTTTGGCACTTTGCTGACCGTAGCGCAAAAAAATGAAAATGCCAAGCAGGTTACTATTATACTATATTTCCTTACTGTAATAAATACGTAAAAATCATATTATTTTATCGAAGTTGTCTTCCATATCTTTATAGTCAACTGCTTGCTATCAAACAAAATTCGCTCCACCCAAAAAGTCAACCAAACAGGCCAAGTCACTTTCTGAGAATATAAAAAAATTTCTGGCCCGTAAAGAAGAAGAAGAAAAACTGAAAGTTTTAGAAGAAAAGAAGAAAAGAGAGGTACAATACGGCTTGTTTCAAATTGTACATATAAGTATACGAGTCTTTTATTATTATAATTCTTCAATTTTAGAATTTATTGGCATTACGCGATCACAGAGCACAAAGTCGTATAAATAAACATTTGAAAGTATGTAAAGCAGCAAACAAGTCTGTATTAGAAGATGCAATTGATAATGAGAATACAGCTATTACAATGGCAGGTATGATATTATGTAATTAAAATATTGTTTCGTTCTATCAAAAGATTATGTGAATACTATTCTTTCACATTCTTGTAAATATTATTAAACACATATTTAATAAATATGTGACATATTCATGCATTATCGAGGCATTTATCGTTATTTATATTTTGTGTAAAAGTAACATGAAGCATATGTAAAATATAAGTAAACTATATAACTTTATGTTGTAACAATATGCAGAGTTCACATAATAGATATATTCAAAGTATATAGAGGATAAATTTGTTAAATATGCACTTACGTAGAAACAAGAAAACTTGTACAATTGTGTTTAATGAATGTATTTAATATTATATGTGCATTATACATATTGTTATAAAATGTAATTCTTTTATTTATACCTATCATATTTTACCGTTAAATTATTAAACTTTTTGTTATAAGAAGCACAATAGAACATAATATACAGGGTGTTCGGTAACTGGTGGTACAAGCGAAAAGGGGGTGATTCTACATGAAAATATAAGTCCAAAATATAGAATAAATTTTTCATGCGAGGCTTTGTTTTCGAGAAAATCGGCTTTGAATTTTCGCCAGGTACGCGTACACTTGATCGTGTCTTCTAACGGATCTCGCTGTAGATCATTGTCTCGATTGAAGTTTATGTTGATAAACACTTCCAGTGTCACGGAATTGTTTACTGTACCTATCAGCTTACTATCTTACCTTTACCGCTAAACACTATGTAGAGACCCAACACAGATAGACAGAGAAGGGTCGTAGCGACCGTCGCATTTTTAGGCAATTAAGAATTTTCGCGACCAGAACCGTCCCCATTAAATGTTTAATGGTACAATTCAAGTCTAAATATAATTTTGTACTATTAAATATGTATTGTACGTACTGTAAATTACATACCCTCTTCCTTTTCTACCGCCAAGTAAACATAAATAGGATCATAATATTTTAGGAACGAAATATTAGGCATTGCTCTATTATTGACAAATGATCTAAATAATATTGTTCTTTTTAGGACCATCGCAACCTGATGAAGATGATTATGGTTATGTTTCACAAGAAGCTTCTGCGTTTTATAATCAATTAATGAATAAGTATAATAGTGCACCTTCAGAAAAACCAATTTTTAGCGACTATGGGAAAAGGACAATAAAAGATATCGCATCTACAAAGGTAACAAATATATTTATATTTTAGTTTCTAGACACACACCACGTATGTGCTTCATTTTCCTTAATAGCGAACGTCTTTTTTTAATATCCATTTTTCGATCCTCTGGGCATGACTTTTCTTTAAATTTGTTTATACTTCCGGAATCTTCGTTTACCTTTTAGATTGTATAATGTACATATTCTGTATCTCCTATTTACTGATCACTAATAGATCGTTTACTTTTAAATTATACAAGCTACAACTCGCCCTATGTATAAAATGTACCACCAATTCGTATTTGCATACATCTTACTTATGACACTATCTTTCTAAATGACATGGAGTTTCAAAGCCTTCTTTTATCTTGGGGTCCAATAGAATTTTCATGTTCTCATAGTCGTAAGACTTATATAATATTTCTGGTTTATTATACATCAAATAATACTAATGAGAAGAAGTCCAAGATGCGGAGGTCGCTTTAAGATTGCCAATAGATGCAAATTGTAGTATGTAATCTGTGTAGCAAAAGCTTTATAGCGCGTTTCATAGTGGACTTTCGTATTTGAGAAATTTCTGTTTAGTTTTCTATGCTCTAAGGCTGGAAACGGACGAGCGACTTTTACCGTAAAAGTTATTGTCTGCAAAACAAGGAAAAACATATCAATATACTGAAGATGACCATGGTGGTAGAGTATTCGATTATAATCCCAAAGATCCATGGTTCAAATCCTGTGGTAGACTTAATAATTTTTTTATATCGTATCTTTTTGTCTTGTTATTGTACTTATATTAATATTATATAACATCATTGACACTTAGTACAGTAATAATAAACTTTCTATTCTTTCTATTGCAAGTGTTGGTGGCTATACGGGGTGTTCGGCTACCCCTGAGAAAAATTTTAATGGGAGATTCTAGAGGCCAAATAAGACTATATCTGCTTCAAATGCTCTAGCAGAACATACACTTTAAACGCCTATAAGTAGATATCTCCGTTAATTTTAGTTGAATCAACTTTCAGGCTATTCTCGAGCCATCATATTTACCGAAAATATCAAAAAATCGTAAACATAAATTGCTAACAAATAATATCTATCCGTTCTGTAACTGCAAGTGTGGAATCTGAATCGCATTTTTTTACTCGTATTGTATTTACGTGAGTATGGAACTTTTTTGAATCCTAAGAGTAGTCCTGTTACAAATAATGATGACATTAAATCATGTGTACCGACTTGCGTTGAGTTTAATTCATAAACTTCGACAAAAGAAATAACGAAAGAATGAAACGACCAAGTAACTAAAATTCTTTTCGATAAATTTAAAATTGCAAAAATTTTATTATTAAATTCCACCCAGAAAATGAAACTCGCCGAATGCGATTCTGTATTATTTTTTTTTACACGAAGTAAAAGAGATAGAAGTTTTCTTCTTAAAATGTTATGTACCAATGAAGGTACATTTGCAAATAATGGAATGTTCAGTAGACATAATGAACATACATGGCCTACAGAAAACTCACGACTTTGAAGAAATGCGTTTCAGTATTAATGGTGTGGCATTTTAGATGCTACTATTATTGGTTCGTATTTCTTCACAGATAACGTACTAAATGGTGAAAGATATCTGCATTTTTTGGAATTTATGCCACCTGCCTTCATTCATGATGGATGGGCCCCACCCCAACTCGTCAGCGGCCTATCGTGTCCACTTACGTACGACGAACTAATTCTAACAGATGGTTTAGAGCATACGGTAAAACACCATAACACGGTCTCTGGACCTAAGAATCCTTTGGATATTTTTTGGATGGGGTTACCTTAGAGATAAAGTGCATTCACGTCCGTTTGTTTATATGGAAGACTCGAAAGAATGAATTAAACTACGTTGTTCGAACAAACGGTGACTACATTAGTTCTGTTATGAAAACTATAAAGACACTATGTATGAAGTAGTTTACATCCTATGCAAAAACAGAACAGTCGAACATCTTTAACAAAGTAAGTACACGTGGTACCCTACTAGTAGTACTTTTTGAAGAGTCGATACGAGTAAAAAAAATGTGATTCCATTAAAAAAAAAAGTGTACTTGTATTTATCAGATGCAATATCCCGAGTTTGGTTTTCGCCAAATTGTTCCTTTCCCATCGGATCTAAATATGTCTATTTAATATACCCCAAAAAAAAATTTTTATTATTATTTTCACCGTTACACGACGTTTCCTAACTATTTTAGAAATTTCTGTTCTTTTATAGTTTGTTTATTTTAGTCTTATTTATAGTATTCTTCTCGGTTTCATTTCTCGTTCATATCTCGTTGATATTTCAAAAATTATTAACAATGATATGCACATTGCGTCTAAAGTATATCTTCCGAAGAAGCGCTTTGAAACTCTCGTTATTATACAGGGTGTTCGACCAAACCTGGGAAAAATTTTAAAAGTTATTAACAATTAAATTCAAAAATTTCAAATCGTTCTGGAAAAATTATTTTCGGTTGCGGGGGTCAATTGCAATCGTTTTTTATGAATAGACATACCCCCGAAATCTTGCGCATTTTCGAGAAAAAAATTCAGTTCGGGCGGAACTTTAAACGTTAATAACTTTTTAACAAAGCCTCCATCAACAAATTGGTATTCTTGATTTTCGTCTTATTTTGGCCTCTAGAGTCCCCCATTAAAATTTTTCCCAGGGGTGGCCTAACACCCTATATTGACAAAACGATTTAACAACTTTTATATTAAAGAATTTATGTATTAACAGTATATTTTACTATTGTGTAAGTAATTATTGTGGAACGTAACGCAGATTTGAATAAGCATGAAAAATGTATACTTATGTATACTTATACAGTCGCTATCAATCAAGAATTGTTTAGTTAAAATGCTTCTACCTTCAATTAGTGAGAGATTCGTATAAAAATGTTAATGCTGTGGAATCGAGTTGTATCGTCGCATATGGCAGAAGAAAATTGGTTCAAACCTAACAGTATTTAAGAAAATTAAATTTACCAAGTATCCATTAATATATTTCTTTTAACATTATTATTGTTGTTACAGTACAACATAATTACTGTTTTTTTTTTTTCTTTTTCTTTTCAAAATAATTAACTACAACTTTAGGATAGAGTTAAACAAGCCTTAAAACAACAAGAAGTGGAAGAAGCTTTGGGACATCGACGAAAAAGGAAGTCCAATACGAAGGAAACGGAAACTGAGGAAACAGAAGAAAAAGCTGATAGAAGTATTGGAGATGAGAAAGTGGAACAAGAGGAAAAGCCCAAACATAAAAAAAGACCCCCGCCTCCGGTAATGGATTTTAATGAGCTGTTAAAAATTGCGGAAAAAAAACAACACGAACCAATTGTAATCGATGTTAAACCAAAAGCTGAAATACCAGAAAGGTTAATGACGAAAAAGCAGATGAAAGAGTATGCAAAGGAAAAAGAATGGCGAGAAAAAAAGGAACAACGAGGTAAAGACGGTGGTGTAAACAATAAAGAAGGGGGAAATGCTATACCTAGTAAAACAAATAAAACGCAAGAATGTCGTAGTACTGGCAACAATATCAACAAAATATCTAAGTCATCCGAAAAGTTACCGGATTTCCCCCCTTTAAATAAAACTTCTGTAAAACCATCAACTGGAACGCAACCTTTGCCTCCTAAAAGGCACATTGAGAAACCCAACGAGAGTAAGTCCAATGTAAATAAGCCCAATGTTTCAAAAACATCGGAGAAAGATATACTTCTGGAAGAACGTAGAAAATTAGAGACGGAGAAGAGAAAATTAGAGGAAATGCGACGGTCTATCGAAGAGGAAAAAAAAAAATTACAACTGAGTAAAAGTAAGATCGCGGATATAAAAAATGCGAAACCAGAGAAGTGGACGTCGAAATTGAAAGTTCCAGAAAAACAGGGTACATCGAAAGGTTTCAAGCAAAAAGAACCTCTAGCGCCAAGTACAGCAAAGTGCACAATCCGAGCGACTGATAATAAAGTTATGAAACAGTTACCACAAACAGATCTGAAACTCATGAGATCTAAACACGCACTGCCTTCAAAAGAACACAAGAAACCGATCGCTCATAAACGTGAGTATTTCGATATTCTATTTATTACATACTTCACTAATGTTGATGTTCTTTTGAACCACCTTTTAATAATGCACTCTTTAAGAGATACTCGGACTGTAAAAATATAGTATAATATTTTTAGAATTAATTAAATTTAAAAAAATGACCATTAATCTTTGAAATGTGTGTGATTCAAAGAAAACGATTGAAATTTCCGCGGAATCCGATAACTTTGTATTAATATTTTAATAGAAGTAAGAAATTATTATTTAATACAATAGCGTATTTAATAAATTTATAATAAAATTTATAGGCCGCTTACACGAAGGTGAAGATGAATACGACTCTGAACTTGACGATTTTATTGATGATGGCGTAGAGGAGGAAGCCGAAGACTATAGTAAATACATAAGTGAAATTTTTGGTTATGATAAAAGTAAATATAGATATGTAAATAACGAAGACGACGTAGCCATGGAAAGTAGTTTTGCACAACAACTTAAAGAAGAATATGTATCTACTAAAATAGGTAACACCAGAAAAGTGACATACGCAATTAAATTTATTTCTGTATAAACAATTGAATAAAATATATTTTTAGGTATTATGGAAGATTTAGAAGACATGCGTATGGAAGCTATGGAAAAAAAACGAAAAGCATTATTGAAAAAGAAAATGAAAAACTGAACTATATGAATTATATCGTTTGGAAATTTTTATTAAATTTTACTTAATAAACTATTATATATTATGTCTAAAAATGTCATTTTTTCCGAGATTTTGAAATTTGTATTCTACGCTTAATTATAAATTAAATTTAACGTTTATTTCTATAACATAATTGCTTTTATTTAAAATTATTTATATTACTTTGTATACAATAGCTGCCTTTGAAATTACGGTTACGAACTCCAGTTTGACTGGACAATGTAACCAATAACTTAAGAGCTCTTCGGTATAACCCATTAAAAAATAAACTTGTATAGGTGTAATCCTACGTTTAACAACTCCAGCAATTCTAATTATATTATGCTGTCGTTTAATAATGACTTCGCTTACAAACAGACGGTGCCATGTTCCGTTTATAAAATTTCTTATAAACATGTCTTCCATAGTAGTCTCCGATGGTCTGTTACCATCTTTTACATTTGCTGCAATAAATAATATATTTATAAAATAGCAAATGTATACGTATCTTGTCTTGCAAAAGTACAATTTAAAGAGGCACACATTTTGCATTTTAATTTACATACACGTATTCCAAGAATTCCAAGACTTTCTAGCAGCAATATAATGAGGAGGATTTGCCATTTCATATGTCAGGTATTGAGGTTTGTTTGGTTTAGGCCTATAACGTCCAGCTTGTGTTTTATTACATACTGCACTAACGTGTACATACCTCTTTGATAAAGTATTCTGATTAATTGCTATCTAAAAAGAGACAATATTTTTAACATGAACCAATGTTGAGGTTATGTTATAATTAGGTTTCGTTTATTACTGCATATTTACAGAACGCATACAAGTCATCAAACTCATTATTTTCAGTTTTAGCTACAATAACAGAATCAAAATTGTATCTTAATTTGTCGATAATTTGAAGTATAATACCACTTAAATTAGAAAACAAACAAGATACATATACATATATGTTACAGCACAGGCCGCTAAAAGAAATCTAGTAACAGCACTAAAGTGATAATCCAGTCTTAACATAAATATGATCGAAACCAGTGTAATTTGGTATTAGGGGCTTTATTATCGTGAAAACTAAATTGAGACTGTAGATACATCAGTCAAATATTTTAAATTTACACTAATTTAAAAAATATTTTAATTATGTGTGGAATAATCCGGCCTCACGAAAATCCAATGACTCAGTATTCTTTATCAAATATTTTTTGAAAGCTATCATTATTATAGCTTTGTTTAACACTTTCTAATAAAAATTTGATATGCCCGCGGTAGCTATTATTAATATAGTTATTAAAATAACTTTGAACAGTTTGATAGAGGAAACTATCGATAATAATCGATATTTTTCAATCTTTAACCGCTTGTATTATAAAAAAGACAGAATGACTAGCCAAACAGGTGGAATTACTTGGAAATCGCTTCAGTAAAATACTAACATCGAGTAGAAACGAGTATCATATGATCTCCTGTTTGATTTCATAAAATATATATAAATTTTTGTGAAATGAATAAACGAAGTAAATAAATGTCGAATAATAATAAGAAAAGATATTAAAATAATTGTTAAAACATATCAATTTTATGGGATATGTAAATGAAAATTTTATTTAGCAAACATTGTGTGAAATAACAACTTATTCTTTTATCGAGACCCCGCTAGACTTAAACGTCTAATAACACAGTACTATGCATACCGTTGTTTTCCGAGTGCGCATGCTCGTAAAAGTGGTAAATCTGGTCACACTGAGGGCACTGAGGCTGAATTCTGAATACGTATTTACCTAGTTAAGATTTGCCATATAAAATGGCACTTCGTACGTTACTGTGTCTACGCTTGAATGGTGATGTTAGGAAATGTTATGGGTAAGTTCTGTTTCGTAAGTCTGATTTTGTTTTGATACTTTTTTACGTAGCGTAAAATACAATTCTATGATTTTACATAACCTTCTGTGAAAAACGCTGTAAAAATATTTCAAGAAATGAATTCAATTTTTGTACAATTTGGTTTATAGATTAACGAAAAGACTGTTTGTGGCTTCGAGCAAAGAAACAGGTGAAGAAGGTTTAGTGCCAGTAACAATTGGAAAAGATCCCAAAGAAGTTTTAGCAGACAAAGAAAAACAGGCATACTTGGAAGCTCTAAAGCTTCCTATTACTGTATCTGCGGTTGAAAATGTTGGTGCGGTTTCGGGTATTCCAGAAGAGCATATAAAAACCCGTAGAGTTCGCATTTATTGCCCTGCAAAAAGTGCTATGCAATCTGGAACAAATAACACACATCTTTGGCAGATAGACTTCGATACGCGCGAACGTTGGGAGAATCCATTAATGGGATGGACTTCTTCGTAAGTAAACTAAAATATTTCTCTCTCGAGTATTTACCTGTTTGTTAATATTACTTTTCGTCCTTAGAGGAGATCCTGTGTCTAATCTCAAGGTGGAATTTGCTTCGTCAGAAGAAGCTGTCGCGCACTGTGAAAAAATGGGTTGGAATTACTATATTCAGAAACCAAATGTTAATAAACCTAAACCTCGTAGTTACGGTACCAATTTTGCATGGAATAAGCGTACTAGAGTTACCACAAAGTAAAAGACAAAGGTTTAAAAAAAAAATTAGTTCTGTACATAGCTGTATCCATTGTTGAATAATAATAAAATATATATGTATATAAAAATGTTTTTGCATGTAAAATTTTAAGCATTAAATAAACTTGCATAAAGGACACGTTATGGAATAAACGTGAGAATTCTGTAAAAGTCTCTTAAAATTAGTGTAATAGTAATACAACCATGTTTAAATCAGTTTTTGCAATAAACTCCTCAATTTATTCTGTAGGAATATTTATATAATATCATTCTTACATGGATTAACATTCTTATTATTTATCTGTTGCTTATTATTATGATTATTATTAGTATTTTTATTATAACATCAGATTTTATTAGACTGTGTATTTTAAAATTCAGTGTCTGCTCGTATTAACTTGTAGATTATATCGAGCATTGTTGCTATTACGAGAAAATACATTTGACTAATTGTGGATTAAAGGTTGGAGGAGTAGCACATTTTAGATATAAAAATATTAATTAAAGAATATGTGAAATTCAAGTGTATGTTTGTCGAAGTACTGTTAACGAACTTCGAAAACAAATATTGCAACATAGTAATCTATAGAAAAATTTATATAAATAAAAGTGATAAATATGGAAGAACAATGCCCGACTTTCCACTTATACATGTACATATGTGATGAAACGGTCGGTCTTGCAGACTAACAGGCATTACTAAACTATTTACAAGTTCAAGTTAAAGGAACATTTGACTGCTCTTTTAATTTTTTCCTTATCTGAAAATTATTACAATATTAATGTAATATTTCTGCTACCTCTCTCTTTTCTCTCTTTCCTTTCTTACATTTTTCATGTTTCCATCATTGTAAATATTAAAATTAATTAAACTTTTCCGTATATAGTAAAATCCTACTCGTACGACAATTTTAAATTTACGAAAAAATTGAAATTAACAATTGTTGGTAATAGAACATTGGTTGTTAAATATAATCATTACCAATTACTTTACTATCGTTGAAAGATGTTTTCCGAAAGTAAATAGATCAAAACACGAAAGAAAAGGAAAAAGATATTTCTTTTAAGATCTCGATTGTCATTAACCCTGTACCAATGATCGTCTATCGATTAACATTCTTTGTCAATTATTCTGTCCTTCGACGCTTCTTTTATTTTCACCCGAGCGGTAGGACATTAGATCTTTTTTTGTTACATGGCTTATACATTGCGTGATCAATATTGTCACTGATGTCAAAAATGTGAGAAACGACAAACCAACTGGAACGAACGATGAAGTACATAAGGAATCAATCGTACGTACCAGCGTTAAAAGAAAAAAAAAGCTATAAATTGCGGAGATTTATCATTATTAAAGTGTATTCTGCCCGTGAATTTAAATATGTATACATTTGAGCAGGTGTTACTTTATGATTTTTCTATTCACACGCACGCACGCAGTACGCAGAAAAATGCGCCATTTGAAAAATTATAACCTAACAATTTCGGAGCCCCGAAGGGCGTCCGAGCGTGATTGTACAATTTTGGAAATTTTACTATCCCTTAAGGTTTCAGGATAGTAAAGTCGCATATGTCCAGTCTCCAGTGTTTTGGTATATTTATAAATACATAATATCTAGACGTATCGCGCATATACCCTCCAATTATAAATAAACTACTAATATATTTATGCCTTTAATTGACATGGTACATAGCTTTGCGATGCGTGCCTTGCAAAGATCGCATTTCAGAATTTGATCATTTTAAAATATTCAATTTTATTCTTGTTTAGTTTCTTTTTTTTTTTTTTTTTTGTTTTTCGATTCAGTTATTCGTCAGCTTCTTCTCCCCCGTGTTCCTCGATGTTGTCATTGAAGTTAACGCGTGGAAAACAGGTTCACCAAACATTTAAGCATTTAATGCTAAACTCTAAAAGTAACGTATGTTGTACGTTCTAACAAGAGATGTAAATTTAACTCGCACCATTGCCCGCGTACGAATATTTGTAATATGAAAATCTAGTATACATGTCTGTATTTTCTATATACGTATATTAATTCGCAATCGTTTTCTAATAATAGGCACTATAGGTCGACGAGAGGTCATGGCGTGTCAATGGCAACATGTAATTTGTGTAAAGGAAAATTAAAGAGAGGTAAGGTGAAAATCTATTGTTGTCTAAATCAATAAGTTTTGTGTTCTTATTTCAGGGATTTAAATATCATAAATCAGTGCTATCCAACATAAGCGTAGGCGCTTAGGGAGCTCCCCCTACTTTGAGTCTGCCGCCGTACCAAAAACGCTAGTTGAAGTCGCATTACGAAGGTGCCGCTACAAATGTAATAGGGGTACGTAGAGGGGGCCAAACTAAGGGGCTCCTTCCGTGGACAGCACTGAATATATGCGAAAGTTGTTAATGGTGTATTGCGCCACGATACAGCACGCAGAGTGTCAACTACTTGTAAGCCGAATAAAGGCTTTCACCCGCGGATAGTACTGCCGTGAACGAAGACGGACCAATAAGGTTACCGTAAAAATGTAATTAATTACTACAAAATTCGTTGTTTCTTTCCTATGTAACTCTTTTTCTCTCTCTTCCTGTTCCCTTCCTCTCTCCCTTTTTTTTTCTTTCTTACAGCTCCTAGTATTTAATTCTATGTTATAGATCAGTGGTTCTTAACCTGTGCTCCACGAACCCCAGTGGGGGCCATATACATATAGGTTTGCAAGGGGCCCGCGATTTTGTATAGGGAATTATTAAATGTTTAGTTTTGTAAATACATTACGTTTGAAATATTAAAATACGTAAATAAAATACGATAGCTATTAGCTATTTACTGTAATAAATTTGTTAATAGTCTTGTACGGAGGAATTACTACCGGAAACGCTATCAAGATGTAGCTGAAATTCAAAACTGTCTATTTTCTTTAGAAAACGAAATTTGCGAGCATCTGAATTCTTTTCTGTTTAATAGAAACTTTTATTAAAGCATCATTGTGAGAAAAGGTGCCACGAATTTCATCAAGTCAAGAGATGCGTAGAAGAAAAAGGTTAAGAACCATTGTTATAGATCATAGTATATTCGTGTCGTATGTTCATTTTGTAGTTCTGGTCTCCCGTACAAATGCACCTATTTATTTCTGTATTTTCATCTATTTAATACCTTTTACGAATAGAATAGAGTAACACAATACTATGTGTTAGATCATTACTATTTTCTTCTTCTATCGTAAAATTATTCCCACTGTTTTCTGAGGGCTATTCGAACTGAACGAGCCTCGACGTTATTTATGATTTGCATGTGACAATGATTCAGCTACAAATAAATCATCGAAATAAGAAAAATAAAACTTATATATTTTTTATTTTATCGTTACAGAAATGTTTTGATCATTCTTACGTTGAAAACGATACTATAATTTAAATGATTTCAAGATAGAGAATATAGCTAGCAAGAAACCAGTAGTATCAAACAGATTCGATAATACAAATAACGACCGAGACATACTGATTTTATTAAGGGGAGATTCTCATGTAACAGCTCTAAAAGTAATTAATATTTATGAATTTTTTAAAAATAAACTACTTTCAATTTGAATGGAACTTTTTTGAAAACATAACATATTTTTAAATTACAGGTAACAATTTTTTAATTTCGTTCCTTTTTATTATTTATTCATTAATATAGAATATTATTAACCTTTTCGACGGTGAAACTTATAGTACTTAATTTTCTTAAAGTTAGATAATTGATGCTAGTATTGAGCTTGTTTTTAAAGAAAAAGAATAGAAAATTGAAAAGTCCACAGGGTTTGAAAAAAAATTACCTTTAAAAAGTTACTATAAATAAAAATAAAAATTAGAATTTTAGGTTCAGTACCTGGAGAAATATATATGCATAAAGAAGAAAACGAACTGTGCTAAAATTGACTAGTTATAACTCCGTTATTTTTGCGAATTAGACTTTGCAAATGTAAAGATTTTATTTTTGAAATTTACTTTCGATTTACAAGAATAACGAACGATCGATATTTTTCAACTTGTTACACGAGAAGCCCCCCTTAAAGATCAGTTTGCACCGTGGATAACGTCGGTGTCAAGTCAATTGGCTTTTCAAATTTAGTTTTGTAAATACTATGGAAGAATAATTGCTGTTATTTTGACGCCGACGTTACATTTAAGCGCTATTCGGATGCCCCAAAATCGAGCTTTTTCTACGACGAAATGTCGGTAATATCGTCAAGATATCGTTGAGCCGAATAAAAGTAACCGAGAAGAATGCAACGCATTAATTATAGGAAAATTATATAAAATTTATTTCTTTTTGTTACAACTTATCACGGATAACATATTTGCATATTTTGGCTGTGATCAATCCTTGGATAAATACTCTCTTGCTATAATTATATAATTTTCGAAAACTTATGGCACCCTGTGTAATTCCACCTATGGTGTTCAGATGAAACCGATACCCGGAACCCAAACCGTTTCAAACACCCTCGACAATCTCGACTAGAGGTTCGAGGTTCGAGATTCAACTTGATCCTACCTTCGATTCGAAGGAATATATTAAAATGACGAAAAGAAATTTAACACACAAATGGAATATTAACTAAAAAAAGTTTCATACTGCTAATCACCAGTAATAATATTTTGACAATTTATCTAGATACAGATTACAAATAAGCACGTATTTGGACGGATAATCATTAAAAAATACAAAACGTAACATCGAATACGGATTATAATTTTCTATGTAATAAAATACAAACAAAAAGCTCATGTCTCGTTGAAGATGTAATTAAAAAAAAAAAATACACACGCGTGTTGTATTTCTGATATATGATCTGCAACATATATTCAGAAATGTTTGCAAATAGAACGAAATTAAAGTTGAAATATGTACACTAATAGGTTGCCCAATAAGTTCAGAAAGAAATTAATATATTTTAAATAATTGTATTACAATTATTACGTTGCAACCTACCTCATTCGCTTGAATTCACCTTATCGATATCTTTATCGATAGCCATAATTCTAGGCGTTTCGAGCTTCAGCCTCGGCCCAAAATAACAAAATGGCAGAGTCGGGTAAAATGTAACACGATTACGTTTAATCACGCTGCAATCACGCGGTAATTACCGTATATTTGCGGTGTAATCATAATTGTAAATCTTTAAAGCGTGTGACAACTGTCTAATTAACGTGTAATTACCGCGTGATCAAGGCGTGATTACGGTGTAATTACGTGTCACGCTATCGTGACGAATATAATCAATCTACATTTTGCCCCACTCCTGTAATGTGATCCTTCGTTTGAAATTTAAATAATATGGTGTTCAACAATGTCTGCTACAAATGTCTTAAGAATGAATTCACCGGTAAACCTGATCGAAACACAAATTTCCTTTTCCTTCCTTATAGCGGCAAATAGAAATTAAAGGCTGCTTGAATCGTTGTCATCTAGTGCACATTCGTATATACCAGAGTTGGACAAATTTTATTCGCAAACTAAGAAAAATGTTAGATTTCTTTGTAAACGAACTTTCATTTACTTTTTAAGCATTTATCGCATTCTGGCGATCCGCGGGCAAAAGTTAGTTTACGAATAAATGTAATGTTTTTAATTATTATTCCCGAATAAATTTCGTCCAACTTTGATACATGCATGCACATACGCGTGCAAACCAGTATCAAATTATTCTTCATTGTTTATGTAATCTACGAATTTTTTACGTACTCTTTTTTTTTCAGCCATAACAATCGTTCATTTTCCGGTGCACTGTGTGACATTGATTCGTTCCATACTAAAGTAATTGTATGAAAAATGATAAATATATCAACGTTTTATCAACCGGTTCTAAACTTCTCGTTCGGCGTTATAAAGAAGCTTAAACAGTTCCACCGCGTTCCCTTAATGGTATTTAAGAAAATGTGTTAAATTTCAATTACGTGGAAGTATCGAACTCGATTATATTATAATCCAAAGTATTCATACGTACTTTGCGTTAATATTAAAGCTACGTGTAATTATCTTTTTTAAGAAGGAAGAAAAAATATGACGGAAACTATATTTGAATGATAACGTGCTCTAAAAGGAAAGCCCTCTTCCGTAATGTTCCTCATGCATTTGAATTAGTATAGAACAATCAGTTTCACAAACTGTGTAATTGTATTATACATTATAAATATCGTATTTTTTTAAAATAATTTCAATAAGTGAAACTTCGTATACATTTGTACCAATGATTATGGAAGTGGCCTAAGTTTTATTCCGTATTTATATGATGTAGATCAACGTAACGCGGATTAAGCGACAAATTCAATTATTTTTTTTCTGATTTTCTTTTTTTTTACACAGATCGCTTTCGTAATCGTTGGTACGTTTGCGTTCTACGTATATCGTAAACTCGAATTACATGAAATCAGCTGCTAGCTACCTGTATTTCTCAAAAATGTGAAAAAATGACAATTTCTCTACAATATTGCCTATTTTAAAGCACACAGCTTTTTCTCATTCTTATCTTCTCTTTCCTCCTATATTTCTTGCCTCATCTTTCCTCTCTTCTCTTTTCATGTCCTTTTTCACCTTTCCTCTCGAAACAATTATAAATTAAATATATATACGCTATGTTACGACTCGTGGCAGTATTATTCTTTCTTTTACATTATTATTACTCGTTTCTTTTTACAGCAAACCGGACAGTTTGCAAAGCAAATATCATGGGAGCTCGTACCAATCATTTAGTCTGAAAAAAGGAATCGGAGTTTACCTGTACCTTGTTAAACTAGCCCAATTATCCTAAATCGCGATACAAGGATGCGAGTTTCAAGTAATGTCCGACCAAATAGCAATCGTTTACGCGCTTGTACCATGCACAGTCAGTAACTTTAATATTCGAACAGATCGCTATTCTCATTTTCGCTTAATAATCTTGTCTACAATTAAAGCATCTCTTTTTATCCAACTTTCACGTTTGTAGCATAAAATAATGTCTGCTTCAGTGTTCTTCCTTATTGAAAGTAAAATAATCGTTTCTCAATTTTGCCCTTGTTTCTTTGGAAAATATTTGTGAAATATTTTTGAGTTTACGTCCTATCTTTACAATTTGTAAAGTGTTACTGTTTCATATTGAAACATAGTTAATTGATATCACAAACCCCACGAAGTTTCATGTACTAAATATAAATTCGATAAATAACGTTTATAATTTTATTAATCAGACTCGATGCTTTAACGCAATATACTCTTTATTATAAACAAAATTACAAAGAGACAAAGCGATAAATGCGAAGTGTTCGAATTATAAAATTACTCGCCGCGTTTAATCTCGATACCTTTTGCCGCGTGATTAAAATGATTAAAGCTGATTAAGAACAATCGACTACTAAAGATAACAACAGGATACCCTTATTTGCTAGAATTCAAATGGGCTGTAAGAACAGTATTTTCTAGAAAGAAAGTAGCACATTATTCGGATCGAAATGTAAATATAGGAATAAATGATTTTATAAGGTTACAATTTAAGATTCTACCGTATCATTTGGTCATAGTTTGTCAAGTATCGTAATGAAGTAGTAAGAGCATTTAGATGATAATAAGGTAGTATCGTCAAAGAAAGGGAGAGAGGAGAAAGAACCGGAAAAGACTCGAGGTTCCCGTAATGCGATAACAAAACTAGTGGCTCTGAGGTCAGCCTCTCATTAAAATTACTTCGGAAGGATGTCGAGCACAACGACCTAAGATCAACTGGTATCGTCTGGTTGCATCTCTTGATATTCTTCGCTCTCTCGGTGCACAAGGACATGAACGACTGTGGCGGCAGATTGTCGTCTAAGGAGCGCCGGCCTCGAGGGTGGCGCAGTATTCTCTGGACTAGGTTCTGTGACGAGTATGCTTACATCAGTAGATTCGATTGGCAGCGGAGCTGGTTCGGGAGTTGGTTGATGTTTCTTTCGAAGGCTACCGCAACGTCTGCTAAACACTTCTTTGATGTCACGATGTAAGGTGTTGAGGGAGAGTGTGGTAGCGCTCGGTGGGAGAGATCTGCGCTTGGTAGGAAGACTGAGAACTTCTTCGTCAGGATAACTTTCAACGGCATCTTGTCTGCCGAGGGTCGGTCCTGCGATCGATCTACGAATCACAATTATACAAATACAAACGTTCCGTAAACATGTCGGTGCGCAATAAAGCTGGATTGTAAATTGTTCATTTAATTGAAATTGAATTTGTATACAGGATGTTCGCGTATTCGCTAGCATTTTCTCGTTAATAATAGTTTTCTCTGGAACTAATTATCAGATGAAAATTAAAAAATTTTGACATAATTTGTAAATTTTCTGTATGAAGTTGATGTACTAGGTATGCACATTTAAACTAAAATTGTTGAATAATTTTGCTTTGAGACAATATATGCGACATAAAAGAGAAAGGTATCTTACGAATAAACTTCAAAACACAACTTTCTAGGCATATAATGCAAAAGCTAGAAGTACGTTGTCCAATAAAAGAGAAAAAGAAAGACTGGTCATTTGATGATTGAATTAGAATCTTTTGGATTAGCATTGAACGTATCGCGAACGTTTCTCGTTAAAATTGAGCATAAGAAAGAATGCAAACCTGGTGTGTAGATCGGAGGAAGTGGGGCTAGCAACGGAGGAACCGGCAAACGCTTGTTGTTCCGTAGTCGGTGAGGGACGGGATACGGTTAGAGCGGGAGGAAGCAGGTCCTCATGAGTACCGGTGGCGCCGGAGAGCAACAGCAAAGGCAAATTTGGAAAAAGCCATGCCGAGGCGGCACCTAGCTCGCTGAAATCGCTGGCGTCGCTGGTCCTCGAGGACTTGCGGCTACTGGCTCGACTACCTCTATGCACGTGTAGAAAAGCCGATACTTTGCCACTCCATCCACCCCCGCCCCTACCCTCATTCCCAACGCCAGGACTCGATGTTTGCGTCTGCGAATCTACTTCCTGAGCCATTCTTTCGCGTTCCTTCTTCGCTCTGAAAGTAACGGTCCTCGTTAGACGATCCTTGATAGTGTTAGACGCGCTAAAAAGTAAACACGTTCACTCACGCTATGTATTCTCTAATAGTGCTTTGTATCAATCTGGCTGCTTTGTCCTGACGCTTCCACATTCTTGTCGAAGAAACAATCTCGAGTTCTTTGCGAGTTGGAAATTGTTTCTTGAATTTTATGTCCATTTGTTCCTGTAACTTTCGGAAATCCTCGGACTCCTCGACATGCCCGAGAACGTGCTTGACAAGTGAGTGGAGAATGTCCAGACAATGAATCTTATTACCCTTTGCAATAGGAAGATTGAAGCTAACCAACGCCACCATGTTGGGCTTCGATATTCCTAATGGTGGGTCTAGGCTCGCTATGAAATCGCTCAACTGCGAAAAGTTTATAAATTGCGTTGCGTGCGGATCGTACCTAAGAACCATCATAATTTTACTCGTTAGAGAAACATTCTAATTAATACGCAGAGAAAAATGGAATGATATTATAGGACTTTTCAGTAAGAGCGACAGAACTTTCAATCGTTATAGCCATCATGTTCGTTATTCGCTTGTTCGAGTCACGTAACATTAAATTCAAGGATCGAAGCCTTCTAATCCTGATCAATAAAAAAAAATGATCGAATTTAATTCTCAGTCAATAATCGAGCAACCTTTGTACCCAAAAAAGTTACCTCTTGTTTTGTTTAAAATGAAGGCGTGACTGTGACAGTCACTGGTGAGCGTACCCATTCAATAATTTTATCTTTTCTTTCATCGTCTCACTAAGACGATGCAAAGATAAAGCAAAGAGCACCATATTATCTTTTGTAGTTTGCATTTTATTTGAATTCAAGTTTCTGTCACTGTTATTGGAAAACCCGTTATAAACAAGATGAATATAATTCTCACTTGGACCATCGGATGTAGAACATTTCTAAATCGTCTTCTACGATGCCAATTTCTTCCTCCTGATGGGCCTGATTAAAGTTCTCAAGAATAATGGCGATATACATGTTGATAACGATCATGTAACTGATTATGATGAAGGAAGTAAAGTAAGTTATTGCCAAGAGCGGGTATCCGCAATTTCCGTTCAGCTGCCGACTAGTAGGAGTTGGGTCGCAATCGGGTGGTTGCACCATGAGCGATTCCAATACATCGTTCCAACCAGCTGATGTCATTAATCGAAACAGTAATTGCATGCTTCTACCAAAAGTCTCAAAATTTACCTAAAGATAAAGAAAATAGGACGGAAAGTGCGAAAAAGTTGCGATCAGTATATTATGTTTCGGATAGTTGGCAGATAAAAAAAAATAGAACTTTAACGACAGAAGCATTAAACGTTCAAGTAATTCTTAGCGCTCACCATGTCATCGAGTGCACCTTGTTTTTTAACGTGGCCAAAGACCGACATGCCGATGATGGCATAAATAAAAGTAATCAGGGCTAAAAGGGCACCGATGTTGAACAGCGCTGGGAGACTGACGACCAGAGCGAAGAGCAGTTTGCGAATACCTTTTGCAGCTTTTATGAGCCTTAAGATTCTACCGATTCTGAACACTCTCACCACTCGCAGGAGCGTCGGGGACACTGGGAAGTCTACCATAATATCCTCCATTAATATTCCTAGAATTGAAGCCAGCACTAGGAGGAAGTCGAACAAATTCCAGGGCACCGTGAAATAATGATAACGGAGTCCTATTATCTTGACGATCGCTTCTAAGCCAAAAACAGTCGTGAAAAATGCATTGGACACTTCAAGGACGAAGAAAATTGGATGAGGTTGATCGTAATGCTCGATTCCCATTGTCAGCATGTTGAGAAATATCAAAATGAAAATTGCTATTTCGAATCTGGAAATATTGCAGTCGTTGATGGATTAGGTCGCGATCAAAATCGTATGGAGTGTAGGTACATTTAAATAATATTTTTTTTTTTTGTTTAATTATATAATCATTAAATAATATTTACTTAAGTAGACAGAATTTACATTTTTTTTGTAAAGATAGATTATTTGAAAAAATTTACCTGCGCGAATTCGATAGGTCGTAAAACATTGCAAGGATTTGGTTCATTGGACGCTTTATCACCTTTTGTGGCTTTTTACGGCCAAGCTTTTTCATGGCAGTGTAGTAGTGCTTTTGACTTTCGGTCAAAAACATTTCTAACACTCCACCTTCGTACTGAAATAAGGATAAATACGGGAAAAGGACTAAATATTTTGTTACGTGTTAGACGCTACATTAACACGTTCCATGCCACGTGGATCACCGACAGCTTTTATTCAAAGTTAGGCAAATTTTATTCGCGAATAACAAATACAAACTTTAGATCGTTTCGTAAACTAACTTCTACGTACGTTTTATTCATAAATTCATTTATAAATTCGAATCTATCGACGAGTTTTTTAACCCAATATTCAGATCAGCAAAGCCGTGGGCAAAAGTTAGTTTACGAGTGTATTAAACATTTTTATTCGTTATTCAAGAATAAAATATGTCCAACTCTGGTTCTCATTTACCATTTATCTAACAATTTCCCTAAGTGACTACACTGAGATCTTGTATATGTATATCTATAGATACAGGTGTCACGTTATTACATAGACACAAGCGAAAGTCAAGTGGATGTAGTAGGAGTAATTAGGTGGTAATACTCAGCAGCCCTGATTTAGGACGTTAACAACTATCTTATGATTGCCATATAAAAGAACAATGTTTAACCTAACGATGGAGTCTGCCTGCGTTGCAATATTCTATTATCTTATACTCTATTCCGAAAGCATTTAGAATCCTAAATTCATTTTCGTCCCTAGTAGCTTTCTGCCTTCACGTTGAAATGTATTTATAATAGGAATTTTAAAGCCTATGAAGCTTTTTACTCAACATTCCTACGAACTGAACAGAAAAGGTCCCAAGGTATCCAGGAAAGCCCATGCAACTGGAAAAAGCTGTATCTCTAAAACAACTAGAGATTCAACAAAATGGCATAAAGCAAAATTAAACGACATCGAATGATTTTATTCATTTTTATTCTTATTTTTATTTTATCGATGTATTTAAAAAATGCAACTGCGTCCTTTCATTAAATGGAATTTTATAATTTTGAATTTTGGTACTTATAAGGTACTTATGCCTCAAACCTAATAGTTAAACCATTACACTATTTTAAAATTTACTAATATAGCGATTAAGAATAATTATTCTCCCTTTAAAAGAGGATGCAATTGCATTTTTCAGATGCATCGATGCATAGAAGTTAATAAAATTAGGCTCAGTTTGTGCATCATTCGATGCCGTTTAATTTTGCCCCATGACATTTTTTTGTATTTCAAATCGTTTTGAAGATATAACTTTTTTCAGTTGCGTGGTAATACATATTTACGTTTGGCCCTCTTAGGGCCCCTGGTCGGTATTCGCGCCATCGCTTGCGCCTGCGCGTCACCATCTTGAATATACCCTCGGCGCAGTGGCGTCGTTACGCTGTGTCGGTCGAGGAAGTTCGTTATGTGAGAAATTAGTGTGTTCTTTCCCCTATATCATTAACATAACTGATTGTTTAAGTAACGTTTCTTTGTTTTGTATATTAAGTGAGTAATTTCTGTGAATTTCGTTCAAATATCGACACTAGAAGGCCAGGCGGACCAACACGACCCATTGGTAACTTTGCAAAGATACTTACTTGCATACCTATATTTTCTATATAAACGAATATTATAGTCTTGTACTTTCTGATTTTGTTTCTTCGTATGTTTACTTGTAGACGTATCGATTAATTATCGATTTAATTATGTTTTACGATTTATGCCCCTAGATGGACCAAATCATTTTATGGCGGAACCGGTGCAAGGTCAACGACAAACGTGACAACAAATCTTCTAAAAAGTGTAAGAAAACAGTACGTGGTAAGTGTTCCCAGCCTTTCTATTACGGTTTACAAGAAAATATGTAATTCGAATCTAATTTTCCACCTTCCTGTATGTCTCCATTTATTTTGGTAAGAATCTTATGTTTGTCCATCACACACTAATTAATATTCTCATTTTCGAGTTCTAAAATGTTCAGAATGTACGTAGAAAAAAATATCATAAGTAGAGACATTAAAAATGTTTAAAGAGTAATAAGGAACAGAAACATACGTCCAGGTCAAAATGCCTAGGAGGTCCTTCTACTGTTAAAATACATTATTTTGAGTTACTTTTATCCCTCCAGTTCTTGTATCCATTTTTTATGTATTTTATTATTATTAGCATTACAAGATAATTCCGTATTTTGTATAAAAAATATTACTTTTTTGTAGTAAGTATTCAAACGTTCCACCATGAACATTTAAACATTTGATTATATGCTTTATATTTCTCGTTACATTCTTAAATTGTGTAGTAGTTACAATCACACAATTAACTTTAATATTAACATTCTTGTCCTTGATTGGAAAAAAATACTGCAAATATGCTTTGCTTCTAAGAAAACCCTAAAAGAAAGAATTGACTGGGTTAGATTTAGAAATATGTTTCTAACGATTACAAGATACGATCGATCAGGATATTTCGCACAATACATTCCTGCAACATTCTGCCCACTTTTATTGCACTTTACAACACACACCGAACATATCACATAGGAAAACTTATCGTATATTGAGTCAATTAATCATACTGTATCTAAAATGATACATGCTTTGGGACCCCTACAATTGGGTATTATAATGTCAACATATGCAACTAACAGTAGCAAAAAGAAATTCATGCTTCAACTTAAACTCTATTTTGAAACTTCAGAGTTATAAAGTTCTAATAGGTACATATTGTGAAACAGTTCATATTGAAAGTAAACAAATGGATAAAAAATAACTATCCAACATACTAAAATAACATACAAACACACTTGGATAAAAAATACAGTGTGGAAATTACAATGGAACATCATATACACTAACATATACCAACACATAATAACTATGGCATACGTCATTCCACCAAACTACTCCATTTGTTATGCTAAACTTAGAAAATTTATAAAACTGAATAGTAAAAGTTAGACAGGCTTTGACAAAATTCTGAATGCGTTTAAATACTACTTTCTCATTATATCAGAGTGTTTGGATTTAAATGGTCAGACTTGAGGGCTGAAAGTAGGACCATAAAGTTTATTTAGAATATACTGTCCCTTAAAGTTACAAGATTTTGGAACAAATAACATTGAAATATCTGTTTTCATGATCGAAAATTACTAGTAAATTTCTAGTAAATTTGTTTATTAATTCTGTTATCAATAGATATAATGCTTGCCTCTTGGTTGGAGGCATTCTTTTATACCACTAAGTTGAATATAAGTTAAACAGATACATATTCCGACGTTATTTGTTCTTAAGTCTTGTAACTTTAAAACGACAATAAATTCTAAGTACATACTTCCAAAGGAAAAATTCATTTGTTATATGGTCCTACATGCATACTTCAATTCTGGTCATTAAATCTGAAACACATATACGCTTTCATGGAATCCAATTCAGACGAGTGTAATTCAATTACATTATATTTTAATTACTCTGCATTTTAATTACACTGATCATTAAAATAATCAGTAATTGAATTAACTGAAAAGTTTGAACTATGCCATCCAATTAGGGTGCAATTACGGCGTAATTGAAATACATTGTAATTAAGCCGCGTAATCGAAATACAATATAATCGAATTAGCACAATTCTGGTTCGAAACCTACGATAGCCGGATAGGCGATAGTGTAAATCGAGTGTATTTGCTGTGATTATATACCCTTAAGAGCTAATTTGGAAGCGCGGCTAATCGGTGTTCCACCCAACGTGAATCGTAAAGTCACATTGAAATTGTCATGGCACAGAACGTGTTAAGAACAATTTAGCCGAGTATAGTTTCTCAGACGGTTATTCATTCAACGCTTACCTTTTTCTTCAGCATGTTAAAGTTGTCTATAATTACTCCGATAAAGAGATTCAGTGTAAAAAACGAGCCGCAAACAATGAATATCACAAAGTAGAAATATGCACAAATGTTTGCTTCTCTCTGAGGTTGAAGGTCAACACCTCTTGCATCTACTGCGTCCTGCATCACCTCCATCCAGCCTTCGAAGGTGGCTACTTGAAACAGAGCCAGATAAGCTATTCCCACGTGATCAAACGTGATCTTACTATTCTCCCACGAGTAATTCGTCTTCAAGCAATCGTCCTTCGTGTTTATCACCTAAGAAGTTAATGTTAATGCGAATAAATCTTTCGGTTTCGTCGCTACGTTATTCACAAGACTCCACCGCGTCTTTTCTTTTAGCACAACATAGAAAAAAAGGACAAATTTCATCTTACCGATATATCTAATAATTCACCGTTTTCGTCAATGCATTTGAAAAACTTGCCGCCGAAAAATTGTACGCCCATAATAGAAAATATCAGCCAGAACACGAGACAGACGAGGAGCACGTTGAATATACTGGGTATTGCATACATCAACGCGTTCACTACGATCTAATAGAAACAAAAGCGATACTTTCTAGCTTTCAAACTTCCAACCAATCTACTTGCAGCGTACATTCTACAATCAGCTCGGACTCACCCTCATGCCTTGCCATCTCGATATTGCTCTTAATGGTCTCAGTGCCCGCAAAGTTCTTAGCGACCTTAACACTTTTAAGTTCTCGTTCTCTTCTATCAATAGGCTAAATGTTGATACCTGTTTAAGAAAATGAGCATTGCAATTACTAAACGAGTCCATACACCATTTTCTCGTACGAAATGTTTATATGCTGCTGAAATATTACAAGTACATCAGCGCAAATGCGTTTTCGAACTGTTTATCTACGAGTAAAAATTATATTATTATGTTGATGCATACGAAACATTGTTTTCCCCGATCTTTTTATTAACCGACCCTGTAACATCTATTTTGATCTACTCCATCATCGATTGTTTTCAACCATAGAAAAGAGGTGTAAGTATATTGTAAGACATGTACATTGAGCGCTAAAAATGTTTAAAATTAAAACATTAAAATCGTATTATCGATAGTCATGAATACTAGTGTTTGAAGAAAGTTATGCGAATGTTAGAACGGTTGGTTTGTAAAATTCAATGTGATTCTTCGCTTGAAAATTGATCAAGAGGAAGGCCAGAAAGTGTCTTAACAATTTTAAGGGGTATTATTGAAGAGAATTCACTATAAACAAGATAAATAGCGTCTCGATTGAAAGTAAGCCATTCATGCATTGTTTTTCGTTTGGCTCGAGTTGGAAAAACAAATGAAAGCTTAGATGAACGAAGATAACCAGCATGTTACTCAAATGAAACAAGCAAGATCCATTTTTAAAACGTGTCGTTACTTGTGACGAAGAATGAATTTTACACGATAATTGGAAACGATCGGGACAATGGCTCGATGAATGTGAAAAGTCAAAGCACATGCTTCGTCTAAAGAAGATAATGCTAACTGTTTGGTGGGCATTCAAGGGTCTTGTTCATCATCATTTTCTACCATCTGGGTCTGTAATTACTGGGCAGACTCTTACTGTAAAGGAACGGAAGAAATGCATTCAAAATTAATGGAAAAACAACCTGCATTGGTAAACAAATGGAAACCAATCTTGCTGAATCTGGAATATTCAAATTGATTAATCGTTGGACAAAACTGTTTCATTTGTAAAAACAACATTTCATATGCACCAACCTAATAGAAACATTATAGATTGAAAAAAGAAGAAAAACAATCCTGCATATTGCAAAGCACTTGAATTGTATCGTAAGTTGAATAGACAATAAATTCCAACACCGCAAAAATTTTAATTTATATCAGACCATCCATTAAGTTCTGTTGGGATGTTACAACCAGACAGAGGGTAATTCTAAAATAAGTAAAAAGAAAAAAGTAACATTTTTTCGTTTGATGTCTTGCCCTCCAGAAAATCGACATTGCAAATTTATGCGGTATAGTGGACGAAATTTCTATAAGAACACTATTGTTTTGAATAAAGAAAGTCAATTATTTTTATAATATAATTAAGCAATGGTTTGCATAAGGACAGTGTATTAAATTATTACAAAAAAGTAAAAAAATTATAATACTAGTAATTAGTATTTTTGTACGTCTTAATGTATATTGATTCTCTTGATAAAACTCTACATTTTTCTATTAAAAATTCGAAAACAATCATGCTTTGTTAGTTTTGTGTTAAATCTATATAATGATAGATGCTTCTATTGTTAGTTTCTCTCCTGCGATTAAAAATTTGTTCCCATAACATTGTTAAAGACGAATTATTTTAAGGATTAGAAACTTTATGTTTCGGTTTAAGTACTCACGCTTTTTATACTGCGGACAATGCCCCTGGCATTAGCGATGAAACAAAAGCGAATAAATACTACTATTCTTATTCAAATGTTGTACTCACCTCAGTTAATATTCCATGTTTTTGTTTAGAAACTGAGATCTCGCAACAGGGTACGACTTGGACTTGAACGCAAGTAGAAAAAGAGATCGATGGTCAGACGCGATAGCCAAAATTTAATTGTCGCAAAAATGAAGGTTCAAACGAAAAAATATTAATTCATTTCGATTTGCTTTTACACGTAGAATCACTCTATGCCCACTTGTACCTCTATCCTGTATATCAGAACGTTGAAAATGGTATGGAAAATATGCAGAATGCCTAATACAGTGATATGTAATGAAAGATCAATTATATTTTCAAGTTTACAAACGTTAAAATAGATAAGACATAGCTTTAGACTTTTTAGGGTAGAGGACCTCTCTTTAGAATTCTAAATTCCATTGTTTCTTTATTGCTGTCTATTATCTTTATCTCGTTTCAAGATTGGCCATCTGGGTATTCTATTTCCACTTGAGACAGTGGCGAATTTAACGAAGCGAGGATTCCTAACGTAATAAATTCAATAGACACTATAATAGAAGAATACGAAAATCTATTATGACTAAAAAAAAAGTGACGAATCGTCGAACTAGAGAATCGATTTTACATGGGAGAGAAGGGAGTCATCCCTTGTAAAGAAGATATTTTCGAACAAATAAAACGACAGTAGTTATCTTCTGGCCAGAAAAATAAGCTAAATCTCATTTCTGAATAGAACGAGTGTTCTCAAAAATAGGATTTAACTTATTCTTCTGGCTATGCTGTATCTAACAACGATGCTGAAGCATCCCTTCGACATAACTAGAACAAAACAAATTGCTTATTTGTCAATCCCACTGCTGACACCACTATCACTTCCCACCAGAGTTGGGCATCAATCGATTAATTTAATTGGAGTAATCGATCAACGGATGCGATTGAAAATTTAGTCGTCAGAAGTTGGTAGCGATTAATATTAGTCGGTTGATGGAATTAATCGCTCATATTATTATATATTAATTCGTCAATTGACGATCGAAGTAATCGTTAGTTAATACGATTAACGATTGACAAATGAATACCGTTTGATCAGTGAACAATTGACGATTAATATAGTTACAAACTGTGACTGATGTGATTGTCAATCGTTAAATCGATTGCGTTTTGCCTAACACTGCTTCCCACTGCTGACCTGAAAAACCATCACCTTTCCATAATTATTCTTTCCTGAGGGCAAGAGATGGTGCATGAATCTTTTCAGGCCACAGTCTTCTCAGAATTTGATTTCGTTGCTCGATATACGATACCCAGACCAACGTTTACATCAATTCTTAGCGAAGAAGTTAAGTAGTGGGGGCAAGAGGCTGGAGTAGGCCTTCCTGGCAATCAGCCAAGTCGAAAACCCCGACGAAACTGATGTTCTCCTATATCTGGATCATTGCCCCGGCAACAGTCTGGTGCGGAGAATTTCGGTGAAGTTGGCGGGCCTACTCTGGTCAAATCCACTCACCTCACCTCCACGCGGGGCCCCTGGGACCCTGAACCGTCTCGATCGGGTCAGGGTGCGAAAGAGTGAGTGGTCAAAAGAACACATGATGTTTACAGCCCGTGAAGTAGTCGATACAAATTCCTTTTTGCCAACTTTGTCCCAACCTATTCTTCGATGACTCAGAAACGAAGAAAGACGGCTTCTAGTGTTGGTATAATTTATTTAGTTTGTGATCACTATAGTGTACAAGTGCCATGTTCAGGAGAGGGACATTCAGGCAAAAATCAGCCGTCAATAATTATCCGAATGAGATTTTGAAAATATACATTTGTACAGCATTCTTTTGAAGTTGACGAAAAATCCATACACACGTATTTCTAGTATCATATACACACACATCACACTGAAAATTTCAGCTCAAAGACTTCGTTATTGTTCGAGTTATTTAAATTTTAGTGAGAATTATTTACACTACGTTGTATATTGGCATACAGTACATGCTGAATGTAAAAATATTTCGTCGGATCTACTATCCTATGTGAAACGCCTTTCAGTGATTTAGAAGTGTATTTCTATCATTTCTATAATAATTACTATATCGAAGAAACTAAATTAAGAAATATTATTTGGAAACATTAAATACTGCAACGGACTGCAATAGTAATGTTTCTTTGCGAAGTTCTAGTTGTGTTTTTCTAATTCAAGATTGTTCTTCTGGCGATACAATACTTGTTCTTTAACATTCAAGCATGAATATAAGAATGCAAGCATTATCAGAAACTACGATCTCTACATATTCTTGTGCTTCGGAAGAAGAAAAACAAAAACGTTTATTCGTGTACGAAGTGTGTTGACTGTGACCAAATTTCTTATACAGGGTGTTTGGCCACACCTGGGAAAAATTTCAATGAGAGATTTTAGAGGCCAAAATAAGACGAGAATCAAGAATATAAATTTCTTGACTGAGGCTTCGTTAAAAGGTTATTAAAAAATTAAATTAAAAAATTTCAAATAATTCTGAAAAAATTAATTTTCGTTGCGGAGGTCAATTACAACCATTTTTGGTGAATACACATGACCCCGAAATCCTACGCACTCTCGAAAAAAAAATTCAGCAAGGTGGACAAATTTCTCGGCGAAAAAAAAAAATTCAAATCGTTCTGAAAAAATTATTTTTAACTGTGAGGGTCAATTACAAACATTTTTGGTGAATAGACATACCCCTGAAATCCTACGCAGTTCCGAGAAAAAAAATCCTTACCGAAAATCTAATGTCTGACCATATATGACATTTTTCCCTGAAATTTCATACGAATGTTTAGAATATCATAACTTCTGAACGGATTGGACGATTTTAATGTTTCAAAATGCAAACAACGCGTCTTTTGGTGAAGAATATGTAGAAATTTTAAAAATATTCGAAAAGTTGTTCCTTAATCCTGTAAAGTGACAAAAACCCCATAAAGATGGTCCAATTTTCAAACGGCCATAACTCCTATAATAGTGAATTGATTTGATTGAAATTTTTTTCTGAAGTAGAGCTCATGGGTACCCACAAAAAAGTATTAAACAACATTTCTGTACAGCGCCAACCAAATTTATTAAAAATAAATGTTGGTGCCTAAATTTTTTGGCGAAAAAAAAATTTCAAATCGTTCTGAAAAAATTATTTTCGGTTGCAGGGGTCAATTACAATTATTTTTGGTGAATAGACATACCCCCGAAATCCTACGCCCTTTCGAGAAAAAAATTCGTGTAGATCGAACAATTTTTCGTCAAAATTAAAATATTTCAAATTGTTCTGGAAAAATTATTTTTAGCTACAGGGGTCGATTGCAATCATTTTTGGTGAACAGACATACCCCCGAAATTCTACGCATTTTCGAGAAAAAAATTCAGAAATGTGCCTAAATTTTTAGATGAAAAAAAAATTTCAAATCGTTCTGGAAAAATTATGTTCGGTTACGGGGGTCAATTACAATAATTTTTGGTCAATAGACATACCCTCGAAATCCTACGCATTTGCAAGAAAAAAATTCAGTAAGGGCGGAACTTTAAACGTTAATAACTTTGTAACGAATCCTCCATCAACAAATTGGTATTCTTGACTTTCGTCGTATTTTGGTCTCTAGAATCTCCCATTACTATTTTTCCCAGGGGTATCAAAAAATTGAAGTGCGTTGAATGTGACCAGATATCCTATACATTAATATTTAGACTTTGGATTTCTATACAATTGGAGAAGGGGATTAACGAATCAAATTCATTGTATATATTTTAACGTTTGCATTAATTCTAGTTATGGAAGCTGTGAATTTTTGCATGTTGGAGATTCGTAACTGGACTTGTAACAAAATTTGAATTTAATATACAATTTACAAAATTTTTTATGTACATATCGAAAGTAAAAACTAAATTTCATGCTACAAAACACGTACCAAGAGAATTAAAACAAACTTATGAACAACGTATTAGTGATATTAAAATTTTCATAACAATAAAAATTCTAATACCGAGCGAAGTTAAATACAAGTCTGTGCTTATTGATTGTTTCATAAAAAGTATCTTCAGCTATTTTTACAATATGAATAAATATGGTGTTTTGAATTTTTTTTTAAATATTCTGGATTCTCGAGTCTCGCAAACCCTTGAACGTCACGGGCACTAGACAATTGTCTTTTTTTTTATTTAGGTATATAATCTACCACTGCTCAGATTGCAAAACAGTGACAGACTTTTCAATTTATATTGTCATGAAAAGTTGATCCTAAGGAAAGTCCCATACATTTTTTAAAGCCTATAATAAATTTTAAAGCGAAAGGAAACACTACATCTACTATAGGGTTGTCCAAATTGAGTGTCAGATCTTTAAATTGACATAAAACAAATTATTCATTGATATAAAAATGGGCCTTATCACTGAAAATGATTTTCTTCTCAAAATTGACGACTTGTCTAAACTCCAAACAGACGCATGAAATAACTTCTTCCACACTGTTATGAATAGCAATTTCTTTAAATTTATCCACGATTACTTGGACCAAAACTAACAAACTCTAACAGAACTTGAACGTTTGTAATAATTTTTATCAATTTGTACACGTTGCTGTGCAGTGTAACGTTCCATGATGATTTGTTTACGTTTAAGAACGACATCTATGAAACAAAGAATAGTCAAACTATAATAGTGTTATCTATTGAAAGCTCTGACACTTAATCTGGGATAACTCTGTACTACTATTACATAAAGGAAACAGTGGCCGAAATAACGATACGAAAAATGCAATCGACGAAAACGAAAAATTCATGCGGCAACGATAGACGTAATATTCTTTTAACATCACATGCACTCGCATGTGCCTCTGCCCGCACATACACGTAAATACACACACGATCCACATCGATGCTGCTTGTTTGAACTTATGCTTCTACTTACGAAAACGATTATAAAATCCAAGATTGTCCAGAAACTGGTGAAGTATTTGCAGAAACCCAGAGCTAGCCACTTGAGTAGCATCTCGATACTGAAAAGCGCACAGAAGCCAAGATTGGTCCAATAGAGTATTCTCTTCAAAAAAGGATTGTCATCTAGGTAAATGTCTTCGAAACAGAGCGTTATGGAAGATGCAAAAATTAAAAATAAAATCATCCATTCGAATCCGGGCGTGTCGACGACCGATAGAATCATTGTGCGGATTTTTATCCACTTTTTGCCGATAGACGTTGCGACGCATTTATCGATGCAAGTACATCTGCACAAATAATACATAATTACGGTCATTAACTGATCGCGTGTACTCATAATTAGGACACTCGGGCTAAACGTTTGTCAATATTTTTATTGTCGTAGTTTCGTGAGAAGACACATTTTAAAGACTGAATCTTCTACTTCAACATTCCTGTATCGACCTCGAAGATCCTTCTATGCAAGAAAGCAAACGAGAAAACTAAGATGATTTCACTTTGGAAAATGCTTTTTTTAAGTAACTAAAACCACCATGAATTTGAAGATTAATACCTCCATTTTGCAACGACTCCTTTATAAAGTGTAGAATACACACATGACTTTCTTTCACGAAATCACAATATTCCAAACATTGAGAACGTTTACATTCTAGGATATCAGGTGTCCAGAATAGTTTTTGCCTTTTCTTATACGACAAATTCAAGGAACATATTTTTATTTTAAAATGAATTCATTCGACAAAATATAAATTACCTTCTATAACTCTTTTTCTAACAGTTTAGTAACTTATCAATGCCATTTTTATAAAATTCTTTTATTTTACCGGAAAAGACCTAGACACTTTGTTTCTTGTTTCTAGTATGGTTATTCATACTGTTGAGTAAGTGAAAATGTAGCAATACGATAACTTATACTGATTAATTTTCAATTATAGAAATCATTAGAATCGTGACCAACAGAAATTGGCAAGAACCTTTCTGGTCACCTAATACAAGTTTGCCACTCCAAATTAAACCTTTTGTAGATCAAATTCACCTTGTGCGTGACTCAAAAGCAAGGTAGGGTGAAGGTAGATATTATGAAACGAGATGAACCGAATTAGTTCATAAACGTGTGTAGGAAGGTATACTATAACTTCGACATCAAGTGATCAACGATTAACGAGGGAAAAGTATTTTAATGAATCTTACTAATCTATAATTTTACATTTCATTCAGAGAAAACGAGACCAAAAAATTGTCGAATGCATGAGTAGCTGCTAGAAGCAAGCCAGCATTTGAAAGGCGACCAATTGATACTGTTAGTGTTAAATATCTAAGTATTTTATGCTGTTTTTGTTTAACTATTATTCTACTATTACATTGGGTTAACAAAAAGGCTAATATGATCTGCAAAAGGGTTGATTCATAGTGCAAAACCAATGATGTTACGTGAGAACAAGTTAAACATGTCTTACTTTTGATAACACTGTCGTGGAAAGCAGTCTTGCGGTTCTTTTCGCCGATTGCTTCTTCCAAATCCCGGAAACGATCCCATGCCGTCTATGTATTTCCCTTTGCTGTCTCTTCTACCACCGACAGTGAGTTCATCGACGTAGCTAACAAGCGCGTGCCAAGGCCGATTCGGTACGCGATTCTCGTGTTTAAGAAAGTGTTCTTCTTGACGCAACATCGCAGTTTTCTCCTCCACGGGCGCTTTAGTCAAAGATGAATACTTGGTGTTTTCGAAATCCTGACCTTCCTCGGGATTACTTTCCTGCGATTCGGATTGCTTGTCTTTGATGGAGTTGCTGTCGTCAGACTCGTCGTCTTTCAGTTGAGATTGAGCGTACACGGGATCGTACGAAAAAACTGGTTGATTTAAACTCTCCTGGTAGGATCTATTGTAAACGTTGTCTTTTGGAAGGCTGAGCACAGTCTCTTGAATAGCGTACTTAGTCTCGTTGTCGGATCGATCCATCACCCGTCGTACTATCTTCTCCAGATGGTGATCTTTCCCTTTCGTCTTCCCGGTACCTTGGCCCATGCGCGAGCATTTGTTTTTTCGTATTATCGAACGAATACGATCGAACGATCTGGCGAGCTTCGAATCCTCGCCGACTTCCTCTTTCTTTTGTTTCAACTCTTCCGAGTTGAAGCTGTTGAGCAACAAGGCAAGGAAGAGATTCAGTACCATGAAGTTACCCATGACCAAAGCTGGCAGAAATATGGCGAAGCAAGTGCCCGGTCCGTCCTCCTCCTCGGCCCTCATGCAATCCCACAGCGGTTCGATCCATTCGCCGCACAGTATACGAAAGATCATCATGAACGAGTGAAAAAAATCGTTGAAGTTCCATCGTGGCACGGGATCCGGATAGAACTTGTCCAAGGTATAGTCTTTGCTGAATAATTGCATGCCGATCACGGCGAATATATAAATTACAATTACTAAGACTAGGGTGAGGTTCCCGAGAGCGCCGATCGTCGAGATGATTATGCTGAGTAGAACCTTCATCGTCGTCCAGGATTGCGCCAGCTTTAAGACTCGTAAAAGCCGTAGTCCGCGTATCACAGAGAGACCGTCTACCAACTCGAAGGCAAGATCTATTAGAGACGCCGATACTATTATCAAATCGAAATTGTTCCAACCGTTGGCAAAAAAGTCTTTGCTAAGCGCCAATAGCTTCAGCAAACATTCGAAGGTGAAGATACTGGTAAACACTTTATTGCCGATGTTGAGTGCCTGTCGTATCGATTCGCTCATTCCGTGATGCTCCATTGCCAAAAAACCGGTATTCAGGACGATGCAAAGTGTGATTGTCAACTCAAATAGCGGATCTCTCACTACCTAGATATGGACCACTCGTCAATCGAGAGTCGAGCATTTTACCCTTTCGCGCGCGCTACACTTCCGAAACAAAAAGATAACACTCTCGTACTGTCTTTAATTTCTCAGGTTGCAAGTACGATAATTTGACAATCTTTATCAATACGTGAACACTAGCTCCTGCAAATATGAAAATTACCCCGATTTCGTCTTCGGTAGTTCTCAACTCCCCCACGGATTCCTTTTGGCAGTCTAATGGAGCTTATGAACGTTTCCTGTGCTATGTTCTTCGGAGTAACTTTTTTAAATGCCAGGTGTTTGCAAAATTTCTTTCTTAAAAAGATATTGAGAATTTTTTTATTATTTTCTTTTAAGGTGTCTAAGTATGCTATCATTTTGTCTCTACATATCTATGCGTTTTGTATTTCTTGACTTTACTGAAATCAGGATAATTTTAATATTCGTACAATTTATTGTTCACGTATTCATGAAAATTTTCAAGTTGTCATGATCGTAGCCTGAAAGATGAAAAATGGCACGTGCGCGCCGAAAGCTTTTTATCAAGGATCCGTGTGTTTAGATTCATTATTCGTTAATGTTCGCGAGCTTCTCTATAAATGCAACGAATATCAAACCCGTTGCGGAAACTTCGCGTTTTCCTTTCGCGTACGCTTTTCTCTCGACGATACTTTCTCACTTCTCTTTGTATACTTACCTTGTACAGGGAATTTTGAAATCTCAACCAGCCCTCGTAATCTACGCAACACTGTATGCACTTTTCACAGTTCCTATCCGGAAGATCATCTGCGGACAAGTAAATCCGTAATAACGCGTTACGTCTGTATCATTTGCTCGGTTACAGTGACTGAAACATTACTGTTTTACCTAAAATAACAATGTGCGATAAATATTCTGGCGGCAGGGTGTACATTTGTTTCTTCGTTTTAACGCCGTTGCATTTAAGCACTCTAATTTCTCGAGTGGTCCCACTACCCAAGGAAACAGGAACGTTGATGGACGCTCGAAGATATCCGGAACGCGTTGTTATTGACTTTTCTCGTTCGCTATCGATATCTGCCTCGGTATCGATACCGTTTCTCACTGTGACTCTGCTATTAGGCTCGACGCCAATATCCGTATTATTGCTGATGGCCGTTTTTTCTTGCCAATCGGACCTCGATTCTTTGGTATCCCGTTTGTCGTGCTCGTCCATGGACGCGACGTCGTCGCCATCGTGGTCGTCAACCACTCCCGAGTCGTCTAACGATGACTGTTGATTACTGTTATTACTTGCCTGTCTAGAATGAAGCATTCCACGATTTGGCGCCAGTCTATGGACCGTGTTATTCTCTACTGTTCGGGGACTGACATTTTGTAGACATAAGTGAGATGGTCGAACGTTCGAATGCCTCGGGCTTGGACTTGGGCTCGGCGTCACCGATCTAACGCGTGAAATGTCAAAAGAATTCTGGAAGATCTTTCTCTTTATCGAAATAGTAATACACGGTTAACTTCTCACGATTCACGCCCCCCCTGATAAAACCTAACTTAGAGTACAAAAATTTTTAACCAACTTAACATACATGATATTAATATATATAACTCGTTTATAGTTTTTGCGACACTATTAATTGCTTGCACATTACAAGACGTTCATTTGAAAACTTTACGTCTGAATATCTCGAAAACAACGTACTTTCAGGGGAAATATTAAATACAAAGCCTCTTTAGTTTCGAGGGGAAAACACGACTATCCTATTATTTTTTATTTATAGAAGTTTATATGGTAAATAATAAAAAGCTTCATGTTCATAAGAACGTCTAAAAAATTCTAATTTATGGATTAGCAAAATATGTAGGTACACATCATGCAATATTGCATACATTAAGTCAATTAAAAATAGTCGAATGTATGTCGTGTTTAGACTTATTTTAATCAGAAGAACTGAAAAATTCTCTTTGTCAAGCAATGTTCGAGTTCAGTTCTACGAAAGATACATTACTCTGCACGCGTAATTGGCACTGTTGGGCCCCAAATCTTCTGACAATTAACCGTGCATTACTGTATTTCTTTTATAATTTTAAATACTTACCTGCTTGGAATAGAGCCACTTTTTTCTTGCCCCGCTGCGCCAGATCCAGCATTACTTCTTCCGCGTCTTCTTCTTCGCGTTTTTTTACGCGTATAACTGCTCAGGAGGACCCCTTTCCTCGCATCTAATTTCCTCTGCTTCTCTTTGGCAAGAGTCTTAACGTTGATTTTTGTCGGGTCGAAACTAAACGTCGAGTCTTCGCGATGGTCGGTTAAATCTTTCCTACGTTCCTACAGATTCGAAACAAGCTCAAAATAGCAGGAAAATATTAACGGTTACAGGCTAATGTTGGGCAAATTTTATTCACGAATAACGAATAAAAATGTTAGATTCGCTCGTAGACTAGCTTTGCTCTTTTGGTTACAGTGGTCACATACCTCGTTCGTGATTTCAGCTTCCTCTTCGTAGCTGAGTGCAACAACCGCGAGCATTAGGTTGATTAAATAAAACGAGCCAAAAAACACGACCACCGTGAAGAACGAGACGCTGATAGGTCCGCACGCCGACAATACCTACGAATCAGATACATTCCGTCAATATCGATCTATGGATCATGTGTAGGATGTAAATTAACGTATGATGAAAAAATTATTTTTGATTGCGGGGGTCAATTACAATCATTTTTTATGAATACACATACCCCCGAAATCCTACACATATTCGAAAAAAAAATTCAGGAAGGTGGACAAATTTTTCGGCAAAAAAAAAAATTTCAAATCGTTCTGAAAAAATTATTTTTAGTTGCGAGGGTCAATTACAAACATTTTTGGTGAATAGACATACCCCAAAAATCTTACGCACTTTCGAGAAAAAAATTCAGAAATGTGCCTAAATTTTTCAACGAAAAAAAAAATTTCAAATCGTTCTGGAAAAATTATGTTCGGTTGCGGGGGTCAATTACAACCATTTTTGGTGAATAGACATACCCCAAAATCCTACGCACTTTCGAGAAAAAAAATCCTTACCGAAAATCTAATGTCTGACCATATATGTCACTTTTCCCTGAAATTTCATAGGTATGTTTAAAAAATCATAACTTCTGAACGGATTAGAGGATTTCAATGTTTAAAAAAGCAAACAACGCGTATTTTGGTAAAGAATATGTAGAAATTCTAAAAATATTCGAAAAGTTGTTCCTTAACCCCGTAAAGTGACAAAAACCCCATAAAGATGGTCCAATTTTCAAACGGCCATAACTCCTACAATAGTGAATTGATTTGACTGAAATTTTTTTCTGAAGTAGAGCTCATGGGTACCTACGAAAAAGTACTAAACAACTTTTCCGTAGAGCGTCGAACAATTTTTAAGAAAAATCGACATGATTTTTAGAAGGAATTTTATATACTTTCAACTGCACGTATTATGTTTACATATAACAGTACATATACGAAGACTGTTGCTGAATAGAGCGTCAAGTTGTCGTACTTTGTGAACTACTTAAAGAATCCTAGACATTTGTCAATAACTGTCAATAGAGAGATGTTAAAGACAAGCTATTTCTGTATCTTCTATATTTTTCCAGTAAACATCCACTGAAACTTGAACGAAGAATACGGAAATAGCTTCGCCTAGGTTAAAATGACCAAGAAGCAAGACAGTGCCGTATTGTGAATCGCCAATATGTGTCGCGAGAATTGTTCAATAACTGTCGCATAGTTATATCTACCACTTCTTGGAACTAGTAGTTCGTAGCGAGGCTCGATGTTATCGTCGACACGCGAGCAATGCTGCATGTTACTAATGATTTGCCGAAGTAGAAAAGCAGAAGCTTTATATATTTTATTTTATTGTTAAAAAATTGCTTTGATCAAATCCACAGGATTCTTGGGATGAAAGTAATACCAAACGTGAACGTATTCAAATTATTTCGAATTAGACGAGGATGTGCGTGCGCGCTGAGCCGACTGAATTCAAATAACGCGCGCTGGATGACAACCCCATACATTTAAAGCCCTTATATTTTGGTAACAAAATCTCAGATTGTAAAATATTGAAGGAAAGAAATATCAAAGAAAATAACAAAAGATACTTTTAAAAATGTTAACTTAATCACTTTTCTTTGATGACATGATATTAAAAATAACATTCACGTTAATGATTATGTTCACAAGTTACTTGTATCTAAATGCATCGATGTCGAAAGATTTTTGGTCGAGATAGGTATGCATGAAACCGCGATAGAAATAGTATTAGATTTCACTTCGTTTAGTCAATAACTCCATGGCACTTATCAATGATTTATCATGTGTACAGGGTGTTTTACAACGTTTGGAATATATTTCAGTGGGGCATAAAAACAATGAGAAGTGCTCGTATAAACATGTGCCCCATTTAACTTTGTTCTCAAGTTATGGTTATTTCTGTGCTCCGGTAATTACACAAACTTACTTAATCACAAACTCTGCTACTACAACTGATACACCAAACCGTATACAATGGTCCATATTTCCTTGCTATCTCACGACCTTATTATTCCGTTGTACAAGTCAGTTTAGTTCAAGCTCTTGAGAAGAGCACTTGATAACTCATCAAGTTGCCGCGTGTTAAAAGAAATAGCAAATAAGTGTTCAAACCAGGAAGTGTCAGGCATGCATTTGGGACTGAAATCCATTTGGAAACAATTGTTTAATTGGTGCCCATTGCTGGAATACTTTGTCAACGCAAAAAATAAGACTGTCATCAATTTTTACTGGGAATCAAAATTTTTGAACAGCCTCTCAATAGTCAAAAGAAAGTATAAAATATTTCCATTTATAAACACGCTCAACTAAATTTAACTTAAATTAACTTACTTATTATATTACGTTTGTTATGTGTTCTATCAAACATGCATTTTTCAAAATTACTTTATTTCGTACTGTTTTATTACTTTGGTTTTCCTGGGCCGATTATCGGAACAAAGTCTGCCTGTTAGTTTAGATAATTGTTTAGTAAAAACGAGGTTAAATGAAGCACGTGTTTATTGGCCCCTTTCAATTGTTTTTATGTTCTCTGTCGAATACTACAAAAGAAGAGAATAGAATAGAAGAAATACCTTATTGTAGACATCTTCCCAGTAATCCAAAGTAATCAATTGAAACGTGGTAAGCATCGACCATAGAAAATTATCAAAGTTTGTATACCCGTGGTTTGGATTCGGGCCAACACAAAGACAAATGTAACTCTCGTTGCAGTGTCTGAAAGGTGAAGCATTCTCACGGTAAAATCGACATATCATTGATAACACTTGACCGTGATAAACGAAGTTTAGCGAACCTTGCGCCAGTTGCGTTACCACAAATTATTGGCTCTTCATCTTCGTCGAATGCCCAGTTGGATGAGTTCCAAGTCCACCTGTGGATGACAGAAGGTATCGGTTAATGCCTTGAAGCTCAACGAGGTGTCATTGTTCAGGTCGATAGACGCAAGTGCCGCACAAAATGTAAATACAAGTACCATGTAGGTACTTCCGTGGATGTTAACTAATACGTACTCTTTCCAATCGATTTGCGTATTATTAGATTCCATACTTTTTACACATTTATTTCGAAGTTCGCCCATGTAAACTTGCAGGGCGAAAAGCGCGAAAACCATAAGACAAAAGATTGTGAGCGTCATCACTTCGGCAAGTTGCTTAAAACTATGTAACAATGCGTTGATGATGGTCTTTAAACCTGAAAGAATATCAGTCACGATTACGTTAAATTTTTCGTACATACAGTGCTAGACATATACCTTACGAACATTTCTTAATTATTTTGGTTTATTTTAAATAAGATAGGAAAGATTACGGTCGTTTTTATGTTTTATTTAACAATATATTTTCGGTGAAAATGTAGTTATTCGCGAATTACAAATAAAAATTTTAGATCCATTCGTAGATCAGTTTCTGCCAGCGTCTTCGCACATCTCCGTACCAATTTTAAAATATGTCGATGAATTTTAATTTTAAGTTCATGAACGAATCTAAAATTTTTATTCGTTGTTCGTGAATAAAATTTATCCAACACTGTTCGTAAGTGTATGCCCATCACTGTAGATTGAATTAAAGAGCAATAATGTACTTGATACATTGTGTATCAAGTTTATATTACAGTTTATGGAAGAATTGTACACGTATTCCCTTTGTGATCTTACCAGGCATAATTGAAACGGTTTTGAGAGCCCTCAATACACGAAATGTTCTCAGCCCAGCTAGATTTCCTACTTCCATACCTATAGTAGCGTATCCGCTAGTGATCACCACAAAATCCAGCCAGTTCCATGGATTTCGCAGATACGTGTACTTATTTAGGACAAATCCCTTAGCTATTGATTTAATTACCATTTCGGCTGTGTATATAGCTAGGAATATATACCTGTAAATAAAATGAGAAGCATGGATGTCGTTTATTGCGGGTTCGCGTATCGCGATACTTACTCGGCTTCCTCGATGGTCTCCGTCATCGCGAGGAAGGCGCAATTTAATATTATCGTAGCCATTACCACATAATCGAAGTACTGATTCGTACTTAGGAAAATACAGTATCGTCTTATGGGATTCCACGGAGAAAATATGAACCAACTGCTTGTCGCTGTAAATCTATGGATGTAGTTTTTACGAAATCTCTTCGACACCACGCAAAACGTCTGAAACATACGAAATCGGAAGTATACAAGTCACAATTTTTTTCCGTCCAAAGCACATTTAGGCGCACTATAGTCTACGGCGAGTAAGATATACTTGTACAACTGGTAATGAAGGCTTACCTTGAAAACAATGTTGCCGTGTGCGAATATAACAATACACCAATTAAAAACCGGTAATAAACGAACGCTTTGTAAAAGATTTATATTAAAGGATCGGTGAACAACGGCCACAATTAAAGGAGGATGTTCGTCAAAAAGGAACACTATTTGTTGGTTCATTTTTAAATGATCCTACAGTCGTCGATAAATGCTCTCCGAACGTTAGGAAACAATTGCAACATATTAACACCCAAAATTTATCAGATCTACAATTCAGGGCTCGAAACTGTCGTGAAAAACTTTTATTCTAAGTAACTAAGTTACGAAGAACCTAAAAATCAGCTCTCGTATAGGTTCTATAATCGTTATTTTTTAGGTTCCACATAAGTTCTGAAACGGTTTTGAATCTATACAGTATAAATTATTAAACACAGAAAATTATTTTGTAAATAAATTTTCGTTAAAATAACGATTCATTTATGCAGTTCAAAGTATGGGAAAATTAATTTAAAATAATAAGCTCGACCTTCTATCTTAAATATTGTTTCATTTTTTATTTTATTATGTTTTAGTAAAATAAATTTCAATGCTGAAAACAGGTGTCCCACGCTAACCTGCGTTGATTGAATCGTTGATATTAATTGAATTAATTCATATAATTTAAACATTTTATTCTCCTGTTTCACTTTCCAGGGTCGAATATGTTTGATTATTTTTTTATGTAATACAAGCATACTGTGCATTTTCAATATTTTGAAATAATTTTTCAAAATCATCTTCTCCGATTTCAGTAGCAGTATCTGTATTTTAAATGTTCTGTTGTAAGTTTGTAGAATCACTGAATTTGTTAAGAGTAATAACGAGAAATAACTATATTATTGAATAATTTTGACTGTTGGTATCCCATATTATTTTTACTTTACGAATATCTTAAGAAGATATCGATATCGGAGACCTCCGAGAAGAGCAAATATTTACATTATGTAGATTCGAAACCATTTCAAAATCTCTATAAAACCTAAAAAATAACGGTTGTGGAACCTATATGGGAGCTGATGCAAGAATTTTAACTTAAATCGATATAGTCCGAAATTTAAGTTTTTTTTATAACAGTTATTCATAATAAAAATTCTTTGTAACTGTTTGAATAATCTAAACCTATATTCTAACAGTTTTCAAGGCCTGCTGCAAATTAATTCGATGCTTTAAGTTTACTCGAAATTCGGATTTTTCGGCCGCCGTTCTACTGTTTGAAAGTGTCAACCTTTAGCTAAAAAAAAACTCGTCATTATACTGCTGGAGAACGACATCACCCTTTTCCGACTTGCTTATGTATGTCAACTCCGAACTGTAGCGAGTATGAATGGTTTTCATTTTCCCTTTTGTATCATTAACCCCCGAAGTACGGCGCAACGTTCAATCTCAAACGGCGGGATAAAGCTTGCAATTTAAATTTTAATGATTTTTTAAGTAGTTACATCGCGCGAGAGATATTTTAAAAAATGGTAGATTTGAAATCTACACGGTCTTTAGGCGGTAAAAGTTGATTCGCGAACATGAAAATACAAGTTTTGGTGTCGACAACTAACGAAGGTATTAGTGCAAATATAATACACAGTACCGACGTCGTACTTGAAGGGTTAACAGATAACTCGCATAACTCCAACTCATTATACGTGGCCTCGTATGCGGTTTCGCAAATGTCGATTTTATGATAATTCGGAGACTTATTATTCGAGGAACGCTCGTGACTCAGATATATCACGAAAAATCTTCCCATATGTTCGTCTTTCCACAAAAAAAAAAAAAAAAGACATTTCTTTCGCTGCCGGCGCCAGGAAAAATGGCAACGACAAAACGATGAGTTATGCCTCGAACAGCTATTCCCTTGTCATCGGACACGTTCAGAATTGTCACTGCAGCCTCACTATGGATAAATCATCCGTTCGTTTGATCAAAAGTAGAGCGAGGCTCTACATCTTTCACTGTTCATTCTCAATGCTCACTTTGGATGAAATGCAGATGAAAGTAATATTTATACATTTCGCCGCGGATGATCATCCAAAGTAAAGAGACGTGAATTATACAGTGAAATTACAGGCTCGGAATGTGCGAATCGATGGAAAAGAATCACAACGTCCTTAGGTTTTGTAAACGATAAAGGAAAACTGCTGTATCGTATGAACGAAACGATAGTACACGTATAAATAAAAATATATTCCGTCGAATACTAACTTACAAATAACTGTTATACCTATTTAATAATTAGCAGATCAATCATTCGATTCAACTTGATTTAAGTTATTTCGCAGTAGCCATCGACAATTTTCAATAACATTCATGTCCGGTGACTTCACGGACCACGATAAAACCGATACATTTTGTAGATTAAAATAGATCTGGCCAATTCGTGAATTATCCTACAGCCTCAGAAATGCTTTCTGCATATTTATTGATTCGTTTTATCGAATATAAATAATTTTTACTCTTCGCTTTTCCAGCAATTAATCATGTTTCGTTTTATGAAAATATCCGACTGTGACCCATATCATTAAATTTTCACCGCCCATTACGCGTTGAATTTTTGATAATTTGTCGTTTCATGTATAGTGGAAGTAATAGCCAAAACCATCGGGACCATCAACATCGAATTTCTTTCCATAAACGTAAACGTTCTTCCTCATGTTGTGGCGTTCATGATGATTAATTTTTTATTTTTGTTCTTTTAATATTCTTAGATGATCGTAGCATGCAACAAACAATTGATATGCTTCGTGGTCTGATCAGAGATGGTGGTCTTTCACTTTTTTTCCAAGCCACGAATTTCTCACATTTTTTAATAAATTTTTTTTAAACATCTGCCAACTATTTCCAAAGTTTCTCGTATAGTTGAACTTTGTTTTCGTCCAAAATTTGTTCTATTTCGAATTTGTAATTTCACCCAGAGTTTCTTTTGTATGATTTCATTTTGCATCGTTTCATTCAAAGTACCAGAACTTTTAAAGAATTCATTACTTTGTTAAATATCTTTTTAAGATAAAAATCTAATAAAAGTGTTCCGTGAAAAAGTTTGTTCCCTTTTTGCTCAAATAAAAATTATAGGTTTCCATCAAAAGAAAAAAACCAAGTTACTCTCCGAATAAACTTGAAAGCGTCCAACGAATAAAAAATAAATGAGCAATGCAAGCAACTTTTATGTTTGATATTTTTACCAAAAGTGTATTGTTTTTCTCTGTTATTCATAAAACCTAGTAACATTGCGATTCTTCTCCATCGATCCGCACACTTTGAGATCACAAACTAACCATATTTTTTGTTGCAAATATAAAACTGTATATGCACTACTGAGATATTAACGATAACCGCATGTATGCTACCTTTTTGGCCGAGGGTGTAGTTTTCTTTTGTTCGATTCACTTCTTTACAGTTCACTTTGCAAGTATAACGATCGAATGGTGTATGATAAAGTAAATAGATGTTATCAACAACAATGGATCTTACGTTATACCAATATTACTCAGCAAATAATATTGCAAAAGGTTACCAAATTAAATGCTTGCGGTTTCACTGGACATTTGTTACAGTGGTTGAGCAGCTTTTTATCTGATAGAACACAAATAGTGAAATATTGTAGTCGTTTCTCTTGTAAAATAAATGTCAAACCGAGTGTAACCCAGAGATCACATCTTGGATCATTACTCATTACTCTTTTTATAAATGACATCTACACATATTTTGAACACAATCTAAAATTCCTTCGTACTGCCAATTATCATAGCCATTTACACATACAAGATAATCTAAACCATCTATATAAGCGGTGTATTCAAAATAAGTTATTTTTAAACGTGTGCAAATGTTTCGTAATCCGTTTCTCGCGTAAAAATAACGTTTCAATAGACGACTATATCCTTGAAGATTCTATATTATCATCTAGGAATAATGCCCACAAGCCTGGAATTTATTTCTCGTCCCAGCTCTCTTTCGAGGAATATATCATGCATATAACTGGCTCAACCTTTAGGATACTTGGCTTTATCGACATGGTTGCCAGGGATTTTAGGGATTCAAGTTTATCACGATGTCCGTAATGTACCTTCGATCGTTCTAAATTAGATCGCGGCTTTTAAAGTTGGTCTTCTTATTTTAATTGTCACGATTATACACTGATAAAGGTTCGATGTAGGTCCATGCGATTAGCTGCCCATTATATGGGGATTCCTTTGGCATTACTTATCCATGACTGCACAAGATGCAAATAAAACTGAATTTATGACCGCTTCGTATTCGCCGTATGAAATTTATTTTAATTTTTGTTTACAAGGTGTCCCGTAATATAAAAACAATAAAAAGAAGTTCGTATAAACGTGTATCCCGTTTGACTTTGTTTTTGAAATGTACCGAGTTCCTTTTTTTACTCTTTTTTATATCTATCGTGTCACAAAAACTCTATGCTAATTTGTGTCATCCAACCTATTCTAGTCGTTTTAAAAAATTCACTTCTCTAAATCTGATGGACAAATTTATTGCCTGATTCAACCTATACAGTATCAATTTAAAGTATAAACGAAGAAAAATTTTAATATATTAAACGTCTTATCAGTGCCTCGCATGTTTATGCATTTATGGGAAATTTTAAGTTTTCAAAGAACTACAGAATGCACTCAACGTGCAAAAATATAAGAAATACGTAAGATACGAATTATTGTATCTAGGGGTTAAGACAACCCTCTGGAAAGCTCCAATTTCTATTAATAAAAACATGAATTTGCATAAAGATCCGCAGTCTAATTATTATCTATAACGTCAAGCAATCTATTCGCGTTCGTATTAAAAGCTGGTTGTAACAAATAATCTTGGTCCAACACTTTTACACACGCTCAGTTTCAATATCGATAAACATGTGTGATTGCCACGAAGTCGGAATTTCATTACTCTCGTACATTAATACCTTGCACATCGAACACCGTTCGCGTGTTATGAAATTCTTTGTACGACTTTAAGAAAAAGCTATTGCAGGCCGATAGTTCTCCACGGCGGTGTACGTTACCTTTTTGAAGCAAGTTCTGTGTTAATCATGGTGAACGTACAGAGAAAAAGGGAACGAACCCGTTAAACGAACAATTATCGTTAAGTTATAACGTAATGGGAGAAAGGACTTACCTCGTCGTATATAAAGTTGTCGATTTCTTCGAGCGGCCTACCGTATAGTTCGGTCGGGAAGGGTTCATATTTGTTTGGAAGCACCGCGCCATCCTCGACGGACATCCGTCTCTTCGGTTGAAAGCCATAGTCCCTCACGAGCTGCACCGTTCTATTTTCCAACCTGTCGAGGCTCTCTTTTGTGAAGAGTTTCACCGTTTGCTTATTCCCGGTAGGCGTTTTAACAGCCGACTTGCTACCGTTCTCGATGTCACGCACAATCCTCTTATCGTGGATCTCACCGACGGTCGTTGTCCGCGGAGTACCGGGCAAATCTACTTGGATCTCGGCGCTACCCGAGTCACCGGTGCCGGAATCGGCCGACGTTCCAGCGGTCGCGATCAACGGCGGTCGTAGCCTCGCGACGTCCCTGGACCTCGAGGCACCCCCGTTCTGGGATTTCTCGAAGTTACCATCCGGTTCCGTGGACTCTTGGTACCGTCTCTGCCTGGAGGAGCTCGATCTGCACGACGCAGCGGCTATCTCCGACTCGGTGATCGCCGACTCGAATCTCTCGTCGGCGTTCAAACGATCCTCGTACGCCGTGAACTCGAGCTCGGCGTCCGAGACGGACGATCTTCCATGGCCGTGGCGCGTTTCCTCGGCGTACGACGCCAACGGATAACTGGGGAATATCGGCGACGGGGTCTCGGTGTTCTCGTACTCGTGCCCTATGTACTCCGGTGGGCTGAGACCCGCGTACGCCGGCAACGAGGATTTATCCGGCCCCGTGGGCGACGCGCCGCGGCACTCGCCGGTCTCGCTCGCGGGGGAAATGAGTATCGAAGCGGATGCCGAGCCAGCTTCCTGTCCCTTCTTACCGATAAAATCGCGGCTCGGAATCGACGCTCTGGCGTCGTCGGCGCCCGGGTCCATCCACGACGTCTCCTCGGTACGTGGAAACTCGAGAATAGATTCTCGTAGGGACCCGGCAATATGTCCAGCGCGTTCTTCCTGCTGCTGATGCTCCCTCGGGCAAGTCCTCTCGGCAGTCGGTGATCCATTGCGATCGCGTCTCGGGAACTCCTCGAATCTGGATCTGGGCTTGTAACGCGGTGACGCGGACGCCTCACCTCTTCTAGACGGTTGAGGTGTCTTCGAGATACCGATTCGAGAGCGATCGCGGAGCTCGAACTCCTCGGCGATGCCTGCGGGAAGGTTTAAACTTCGTTGGCTTCCAATTTCTCGCGGCGATCTTTCAAGAATATCTCGAGCTGGAGCACGGGATCGAGTGGTCTCTCCGGACGAGAACCGAACGAGCTCTTCTCTGGAGAGATTCGTTGCGTAAAGGCCCACCACTCGAGGTCGATTAGTGAAGCCATTGTCCTCGGAGCCGTTGCTCGGAGGGTTCGGAGAACCTTTACATCCCTCACGGCCACCTTGCGAAGGTATCATTGGAATCTTTGGTTCCTCGGCTTACCGAAATTTGTACCTTTCATCGTTGCGGCTCCAGTCAGAGCTTCTTTCCCTTGGTATTTCGCGCGAGAAATTCGACAGTCTGCGGCGTGTAAACCAGTTACTTCCTCTTTTCGACGTTGCGCGGCTTTGTTCCGAAATTCGTTAATACTGCGGTAAACAACGGAACACTGCGGTTCACCGGTGGTCCGATGCCCATGGTGCGTTCCACGCTCATGGATGATGCTTTGCGCTCGTAATTCGTTTGAAAATTTAAAGGATGTGACTGCTATTGACTGAGCGCAAGCGAATGTATGTCGCAGATACAGTATATAGATTCTTCTTTTTTCGTCGATGACGATCGTGTCGCTGTGACGCGTTTCACCCTCGAGCGGTAAGAAAGTCGGGAAGGAAAACGAAAACGAGAGAAACGGATAAATAGAAACGACAAACGAGGAGGAAATAAAAAAAAAAGAGAGAAAGGAGAAAAGAAAAACAGGCGACGAGAGAGAAAGGAAGAGTGTATAGTACGTTTAGAAAGAGTCGTGTGTGTTTATTCGATGTCTCTGTATATCGGACGTATCCCTAATCTGGCCTGTCCTGCAACAGCTCCTGAATATCGCTCACACACGATTCTGTGGCTAATCGCATCGCAGTATAAAAGTAGAGAACGACGTCGTATAAAAATGAACCGGATCAACGGAAAAGTCGCACGAAAACTGGTCGGTTTCTTGCTCGTCACTTTGTACAACACTCGCGAGCCATGGTTACAGCTTGTTTTCTCTAAAGGAATACGAGGGTCGCGATGTAGAAACGTGCGAGATGACAACGACGTCCCGATAAATGGTGCGAGGAGAACGAAAGAGATAGAGAAGAGAAGAAGGGTAGAAGTGGTGCGTGAGCGTGTGTACGGGGTTACGATGAGAAATAGAGCCTGAGCAAAGAGGAAAAGTAGCACGTATGTAAGCACAACGGGCACAGGAAACGGCAAGTAAAACGAAACTGACGGAATGGGGAAAGAGACCGTAGCCGTGGATAGAAAGCTGGAAAAGAGATAGACGGGAAACGGAAACGGAAACGAGGGAAAATAGAAAAAAGGAAGCCGTGGTACACCCTCGTGTTCCAATAAATTGTAACTCGAACAAGAGTGCAAAATCACGGACGTCTCCGACGAGAACCGTGACGATACTATGGACGAAGTCGATTCGTTTCGCGCGCGCGCGTATCGAACGGTCGAGGAAAACGGCTTTGAGGTCTCTCGTTCTCTGTATAAGCGAATTTATTCCAACACATTGAAACGTCCACGTACACACGCGCGTTCCGGGGTGATATTGCTGCCGTGAAACTAACTAGCCAGCCACCAACCTGCACGAATGTTCTTCATCGCCGTTCACGCTAACCCCCACCCCGGGCACAGCTGACTCCTGCACGTGATATCGTGGTCAGGGAACGTTGCAAATCCTTCTGTTGAGCCAACGTTCCCCTCGTGAGGCAATTTTACCGACGGAAACATGGTGATAATCGAACAGGTCCCTGGGAAAAGGGCGTACGTTACGAATGTTACAACTTTACTGCTCTGATCAGTACTATGTGATCTTCAGTCGATCGCGTTCTCCTTATTTAGGATTATTATTTACTTTTTAAAATAGACAAAAGTTGCCCCATCTCGCGAAGATCCTACTTGCCCGAAACTATTCACGATTAACATTTTTTGTTCGATTGTTCTTTGCCGATCTTTTATCCCGCCGTGGCAAGTATTATGTTCATCCGTTCCTCCATTGCTCGATTCTAAATATCGAATAAAATTTAAATTCCTCGTCTCGTACAACGATAACCACTGGTTTACGCGAAGATTACAAATTCCAAAAATGGAGCGTCCATCGGTCGAAGAATGTGGGTCAACAACGATGTTAATTGTTGCTCCCTATTCAGAAATGCGTAGGTACTTTGGTTCTTCATCGATTTTTAACCACGAATTTGCCGGCGATTATTTTTCCCGCCTTCCTCCCGCACGTTTGTGTATCTTTCAAAACGTCAGTTCTTGAAGGAAAGTAGAAATTGGACCGGAATAAGAGTAAAAAGTTTTCAACACTTTTTCGTAAATTCTAATGTAGCAAGTATTTATTTTTATATTTGTACTTAAATACTGATATATTACATTAATATCAAGATACGTTAAAAAGGAATGAAAATAAAAATAATACCTTTTTCTAGATTTTAATGTAGTACAATATTTATTTTTACATTAATACTTCGGTATTGGTATGTATTGTATTAATATCAAGATAGACGGAATCTCGATACTTGTAAAACAAATGATTACACTTATTGCTAGAGTGGTCCTTAGCTACGAATAATCGAAACTTTTTGGTTCAATCCCTCAACCTAAATATATAAACTCAGTCAGATAAGCCCGAAAGTTTAATCAGTGTATCGTTGAGGAAAAACCTGATTGCATTGCTCGAGAGGTAGGCATAAATCTATTGTATTCCATTTTTCATAAGAATGGAATATATTTTTAAATATTCCATCGTCTCTGCCACTCTTCTTCTGTGAATATATACCAGGAAACATTGATTCGTGCCGTAAGGGTGGAAATTTACTAACTTTAACACCAACCAAAACCTCGACCCCTTCGTGCTGGCGTCACTATTAGTACCGAAACTAGTAACTTTTGTGGCACGAATCATTGCCACTAGGTGGAAAACTATGAATGCGTAGGAGGCATTCAATTCCAATAGCTTTTGCACAGAACTGGGTGAATTTTATTCGCGATTAACGAATACAAATTTTACATTGAACATTTATGAATTAGAATTCCTAAACGGATCGTTTAAACTGACATCCAGACTAAATTGCAGATTAAATTTAGTTTTGAGATTAGATCTAGAAATTTATTCGTTACTCGTGAATAAAATTTGCTCGACTCCGCTTTTGCATTTAAAGCGCGTATTTTTAGATAATTTTAATAATTTCTGACTGGAGAACTATACAACCTTTTTCATCAGAATTTCTCGCATATGTATATTTATTGATATTTATGAAATACGTACAAATTTCTTCAAAGTAAAATATTAATAATTGACTATTCTGTATCTACTAAAACGTAGTGAAAAAAGAAATCAGATGGTTTCCATGGTTTCAGCCATTCTATGCATTTCAAATGAAAAATTAAAATAGGTTCTTAATTAGGACGAATTTAGTTATAGCAGGTACTAAAAGAAAAAAGAATCGATAATTAAAAAAATGACGACACTCTGAAACTTAATTATCAATTTTTTAATGATTCTTATTACTTTCACAGATTAAAAGTGTTTAAAATAAATAAAACATTTAAATAATAAAACCTTTTTATTATTTTCATGGACCAAACAAATATGAAACGCACAAAGAATTTAGACCAAACCATATTTCAAAAAACAAATTGATTTTTTCAGATTAGAATATATAGCCTTTGCAAGCAACTTCGTTCGCCTAATGTGAATGTCGGTTTAAAAAATCCGTTAATGGATTCTAATTTACAAATGAATCTAAAATTTATATTAGTCCTGATCGTGCATGCTACGATACTTCTTGAACGTAAATAATCGACATTTTTTAGGCCTGCCCCCCTCCCCTGCTCCCTAATCAATTAAATAACAGAAAAACGGGATTCATAATCTTTGGGGTAGCTTCAAATGGCTGCAAATCTATTGAAATCGTTCGAATACAGTGGCGGATCCAATGGAAGGGCGATGAAGGGGATTCCCCATCCAAGAATCGAAATCTTTACACGTTGACTGCTATGGCGGTTACTGATGATCGGCACTTTGAACGTACAACGCGTTGCAATATTGTTTACAAATAAAAAAAAACCCTAACACTTGTAAAATAACAGATATACCATTGAATCGTCGAATATTTCTGTTTCATTGTTTGAGGATATCTTTAGACATGACAAACTGACGTGGCAGTCAACGTGTTAATATATTTATTATTCATTTTATACTACATTCTATAAATTTTTCGAGCGTACACTTATATACATAAATAATTAACGCGTACTTAATTATTTAATCTACTGTTCAATATAAATATTAATAAATAAATTATAAACACGTTTCGAATCGTACCCAAGAAAGTTCAAAAATATATACTCTTATATGCTTCGCCCTTCCTTCTTCAGCGCAGCTTTTTGGACCGCCACTGACCGAAAGAGTATTAAAAGAGTGACTATACACCAGTAATTAAAAAAATATATTGATCGAGTAGATGAATAATTTTGTTATACCACGTAGCTTTTTTGCGTGTTAACCGTTCAAAAGGCGAAACAAACAAAATTCTACGCCTACGATGTAAAGACCACTCTAATATACATACATGTATACACTTGATATAAGCATCAATGATCATATACAAGTTTTTTGGTTTATGTTATAAAATAAGAAAAATATACTATCTAATTATTAATCGTTTTATTACATTTCGAAAATTCTCATATGTCGCACTTCGTGTCAGCCAAAATATATTAATATGTATGATGATAAAAAATTCTTAGCTTTCTTTTCGAGACAGAGAAGCCATACGAAAGAGTTTGTTCTATTTGAACTATCGTATATGATAGCATAGCTAATTCTTCTAATTTGTTAAGTGGTAAACTCATTAAAAAAAAAAGTTTTAAATAAAAATACATACACACACATATACGCATGAACATGTATTGCTTATTCAAAGAGTTTTATAAGGTGTAGTATATCCGAAATATCGACGATTTATAAAATGAAATTAATGGTCTTTTATATTCAAATATTAACTATGTTTATAAATCTTGCTCGTACGTCTAATGTATATGCCTTCATTTGATCTAGTGTATATTTGTTGATTATTTTAAACAACTACTCGATAATGAAACAAAAAAGTTATTTTCATTATGGACGCACGGTACATGTAGCATACCATAATCAGCTAAAAATGTTTCAGCTACATGATTCCACGCTTGTGATCGTTGAACTTTTTGTAAGATGTATCTAATTTTTCGATTGATACTACATCATTATAAAACACTTTTTCTATCATTTTCTGATACAGGATGTTTAAATATATGTGCCGTTCGTAATAATTACCAAACGATAGGAGATACGAGAAAATGCCGCAAGATTTTCATCGTTGCTCATTAACGCGAAAGAAAAATTTTCCCTGAAATTTTCAAAATCATACTAAGGACTACTTGTGTTTTTAAACGGAACGCTTTCTGTTACCTCAAAAGAACAGGTAAAAGTTTAATTTTTAAATTAAACTTAGTTAATAATGTTTATTGTACTAATTCGAATAGATCATGATGCGATCGAAAATTATAGAAATGGAGAAATTGTTGGAATGCGTAGAAATTACTTTCCGTGCTACTCGACTTACTTCATTTATATAATATGCTCGAAATATCCATCATCAACTTTCATCGACGCTTTGGCTGTGGGAAATTCTGATGCAAAAAGCATCGTATCTTCTACCTTTTAATAATCATTTCATTTTTTTATAGACTCTCTCTTTTTCTCTCTGAGCGCGAGCGCACGTGTGTGTGTGTAGACGAGCGCGTACGATTTATACGTATATACAATTTAATTAAACAATACGGAGTTAGGATCTTCATTGTCAAGCTGCTTTACGTGTCTCAATACATCCTTTTTCGTGATGACTCCCAGAAGTCGGCTATGAGAATAAATGAAACAATATAAATATAATTCACATATAAAAGAGACATCGATATACCGTAAAACCTCAATTAATGATCAGATTATATGTTTAATGGAATATTTCTATTGCTCATTATGGTTCAATAAAAATACAGAAATAATTATTAATAATAGTAGTTACTATTAAATAACATTAAGCAAGGTTTTACTGCAATAAAAAGATAAAAAATAGATACCCATTATGCGTGACGAGTGTCTGCCTCAATCCCAATTTTCTGAACATGTCGACAACAGTTTCCATAGGCGTCTGGTCCGTAATTGTAATCGGAGCCATATCAAGAATTCTCTTCAATTTCAGTGGCGGAGGAGAATGACTTTGAATGTTGTTTCCATTGGTGAATATGACCAACGATTGTCCGGTTATCTCTTCCGTCATACGTTTAGCGTTTGCAATCGCAAGATTCAAGTCTCTCCGCAATACAAAACCGACAAGATATTGCGATTCTTTTGAAACTATTACAGGGAAACCATTATGTTCCGTTTCCTTTAATAAATTTTCAACGTCTTCGACCGTCATTGAATCCTGAGTGAGCACATGAAGGGCCTCATTGCGCCTGGAGAAGGTTAATTGCGAATCAATTACGAACGGGAAGACAAGCATAGAACGCATACAGTGACAAGCAAAACTGAACACACTGTAAATACATAAATAATACAATCGAAATATACGATAATGCGCTTACTTAGGTTGCATGACATCGGCTGCAAGAGTTGTGTGTTGAACTTCGTCTTTGCTATCGAGAAACGGATATCCGTTCAAGGCGATGTGAGCATCGTAGATACCTTGTTTCCCAAGCGCGTCGCCGACCCATTTGCTCGCCATTGCGGCCGCCATTAAGGGCACGATGTATCTTACACCGCCAGTTAATTCGAACATTATCACGACGAGAGAGACAGTCATTCTAGTGACACCGCCAAGAACAGCCGCAGCGCCCACCATCGCGTATAAGCCAGGGGTTATACAATCTATACCAGTCGAACATTCTTCGCTGAACATCCAGATATGTGGATAATTGTATGCGAGTTGTTCCATTCCAATACCAACGATACGGCCCATTATTGCTCCCAAACAAAGCGAGGGAATAAATAATCCACAGGGTACTTTCATACCGAATGTGAATATTGTCATAACAAGTTTTAGTATTAACGCTAATACAAGAAGCCATATGGCCTTATAAACCCCGGGCCCCGCTGCTGCGATTTCAATTGCCGAGTTTACAGCGCTGAAGTTTCTATTATAATCGCTATGAGAAAAAAAGATGGAAGATTGCAGGATATTGTAATATTGTGGAATGCTAAAAAAACAAAACAAAGATCGTACGAACCATAATATATCCGCATTGGACACCCCGCACTGACTGAATAATAAATAAATTAGTTGACTCGTACTCATTCGTGTATATGGATTCGGATATCCGATGACGGCAGTCGCAACCGTCACTATCAAAACTTCGGTAACCGGATATTGACCTAACTTTGAAGTTTTACGATAACGACACCAAAACAGATTCGCCTTGATGAATAAAGTGGCAATCACTCCCTATAAAAAAAAATTAATAAAATAACAAGATTGAAATGTTCTTAAGCTACAAAGATTGACGAAAAGAAATACTTACGCCAATTACTCCGAGCATAACGAAGGGTATCAACTCAAAAAATATCCAAGGCTTGTTGTATTCAACGTAAAAAAGAACCGAATGCTCGTTACCAAAAGGATTTATCGATCGCAAAATGAAAGCGGCTATCAGAGCACAAAAAAACGACCGCCACAACGTCTTGAGAGGGAAATAATAGCTCACCTGTAAAACAATTGCTACATATTTGTGCACTAACAGATAATTTTTACTTGTTTCTGTTCCTCCTTTTCTAGATCCCTAAAGAAACTCTTTTCTTTAATCACTTACTTCTTCGAGGCTGAAAAGAACACCTCCGATCGGAGCACCGAAAGCTACCGAGACACCCGCAGCGGCGGCGGCTGATAAAATCTCTCTCTTCTTAGCTTCGTTTCTACCATATTTTGGAAATAGATAAGAAAATATATTTCCTATGCAACAAGCTATATGAACCATTGGTCCTTCCTTGCCCAAGTTTAAACCTGCTGAGACCGACAGAATCAAACCCACTGACTTAATTATCAATGTCCATTTTCCCAAATATCCACGAATAATAAATCCACTTAGAATCGTCTTAATCTAAAACACCGTTTTTCAAGTATAAGTAACAAATTAGTAGTCTTTACTTTCTCTTTTCTTTCTATATGTACCTCGGGAATACCAGAGCCACAAGCGTACGGAGCAAACATTCTTACTAACGAGGCAGAAAGGGAAGCAAACAGGAGTGCCCAAGCTATGTAAAACATGTACGAAATCATGTAAGGTCCTGCACCGTCTTTCGATTGGCTAAATACCTCGGGCCACGTCCGCCACTGAAACAGACAACGAAAATCGAAAATTCAAGCATCGAGAAACAGCAAAACGGAAAGAGAAAAAAAAGCACAAATCAATTGTGTACCTGAGAACAATTACCACCGTCGAAAGTTGTTTCATTGTAACTCCAACAACATTGTTCTTTATTCAGCCAAAAGGCTTGAGGGCATATACCAAACTTTAGATCGGTCATCCAAGAGGCTCCTATATCTATAATACCTGCCGCGACTCCTGTAAATAGACCAACAAATAAAACACAGAGCCATCCAGACCATGCATCATGTACCCTCTTGATTAAACGCCAAATGGAATCATGTTTTTTCTTCACGATATATCGATGGTGCATTCTATCGAGGGCAATATCTCGCTGCCAATCAATCGTGTGAAAGTCATCATATTGAGCGATCCCGAAAATATCATCGGAATCGACCGAAACTGAAAAAACAAAGAACCAAATATAATGAAGATGTTATTTAACGTTATTAACTTTATAAACTGTGTAAACCAAAATATAACTGACATAACTCACTGTGGGAGGAAGCATCATCGATACGAATACAGTGATCTGAGAGAACGGTATTCTCTCCATGGTTTGATCCTATGTTATTAACTTCAAGCATATCGTCGTCACTGCTTAAATTAGTATCGCGTCCAGCTGTTTGATTTCGCGACCGTGTATTCTCTACAAAATACACATCATCCGAGTTTTCCACCTGTAATTGACAAAAACAATTTATTATATACCATTTCTGACATTCTATGACTTAAACCTATTTAAACCTTGCCTTTGTATCAACTGATTGGTACGTTGTTAAAGGATTCTGATAATTCTGTGGTACTGTATTATTTAATAAATTTGTACCCTTCAATGGAAATTTCTCCATGGCATTGCAACCTATGGAATAAAATTGAATGTACACTTTTCACATATATATGATATATTTGAAATGAATGAAATTAAAATTTAACACGATCAAGATTAAATTCTGAAATGACTTCTTTTATTATATAAGATAAGATATGATTTAACAAAATTGTGCTTTGTTAAAATTTTTTATACATATATTGATAAAACTAATAACATAGGGATACTTATGGACTAATTTTGAAAAAAATGAATTATTTTCTAATATAATTACACCAACTAAAACTTTAGGAAGTACAATTGTCTCTGAGTTGCTCTCAAGCGTATTAAAACACTACTGTTCCATAAGGGATTATCTTGCTTTCAGTCTATGTTATGTGTGAGATTACAGTGATGAATAATTCATGTTAATATTAAATATATTTTTTTGTTGAATGTGCCATAATAATAATAGGACAATCGTTATAATTTTGATACAAAAATTTGTACAACTCAGAAAGATTTAATTACATTAATTGATATAAATTATATTAATCATGAATCCTAAGAATGGAAAGAAATATTACAATACACAGGAACTGGACCATTTATTAAATATCCAACACAAAGATTGCCAGCATAATATTACCATACTCTTATAATTCAGTTAATATATTTATGTTTCATTGCTGCAGTTGAAAAAGGGCAATAAACAATTATAAATATATACATAGGAAAATCCATTACTTCGAATAAGTTTGTGGAGAGGTTATCGACATCCACGTAAAGTGCGGGAAAAGGTTCTGGAAAGAAAGTTAAAAGGGAACAAATCTTTAAACAAAATATTAGAAATGTTTTAAATCTTGTTGTTACGCAAAACAAAATGATATTCATTTAATTGTATCCTTATGCGGTTAGGATTAATGCCATACTTTGCCACATTAAGATATTTCAGCTGCTGCTCGTACTTACCATCTTTTTAGTTGGTTTGGTTTTTAACTTCCCGTTCATTAAGTTCCTTTCCTTTTTTCGTCACCTCAACATTGAATCATACTATTTACGTCCTTCAAAGTGACAGATTTACCGAAAAAATACGAATATCTTTTTTCGACCACAGAGAAACTAGATCTGAATGAAACACTTGTCAAAGCACGTTCTTTCTCTCTTACTCACTTAGCTCACTTTCTTCCTTATTGAATTAAAATGTGTCATCAAGCGCCACCTTGCCGAATATCATCGAACAAATGATTTGTTTAAATTATTGCGAAATTTTTTTTAAATCAAACGTTAAATCAAACGAACCTACCGTCACGAAACAACGATGGAAAAACATGATCTCATCTTAACCAATTTTACGTCATAAAAAAAAAAGGTTCAAAAAATGTGAATGTTTTATAAGCATCTGTTCTTTGTAAAGATAATTTTTCAAATCCAGATATTTATTCATCGCTTAAACATATTATACAAAACAGAAACTATATTACGTTGATACTACATTTGATCGATTTGTGGAAATAAAATGTAAATGGTACATGGAAAGAATTTCAATCGGAATATTTAAAAAATTGGGAAAAGACATATTTCTCACGTCTCTTAGTTTAACCATACATTGATGAAAAATGAAAGTATAAAATATTACATATTCTATTCACTTATTTATATTAGATTAATGCGGATTTTAAATTTCGGTGTCTACATCTTTGAGCTCTTCTTTCGTTGTAACATTTGCAAAGCCTTGATACTTGATAGGATATGCCAATTGATTTCCTTTATTCCACGTGTAAAGTTCCTAAAAAGAAAAAGAAACAATATTTTTAATGAGCGTTCTCGAATTGATATTGTGATTTATTCGTGTTCTAAATTAAAACGGGATTTACTTTCGTCTTATGGTTGTAGCTGACTGCCGTGGTTTTGTGGTAAGGATTTGTGAACGATAAGTGAACAGGTATTGTAACGTTTTTATAGAGATCGAAGGCTAATCTGAAAAAATATACAACATTAAACAAGTTCGTTATTTTATTTATAAACTGTTCTTCATTTGCGTATTGATCCGCACCTTATTTTCATTGTTTCTTCGGTGACGCTATGAACGGCATAAAGTACTCCACCAGCAATAAACATTTCTCCAAATTTATGATTGTCGATACTAATATTCCATGCATATTGAATATTCATATTGATTGCATCTATTTTTAGCACTACCGTATTATTTGATGGCAATCCATATATTATCCATAAGCCTATTATCAAAAATAATCCATCGATTTGAATTTGTAAAAGAAAATATTTTTTAAACTTGATTATATAAAATTACCATTTTCATCGACATTAAAGTCAACGTAATTAAAATTATGATTCGGCGTATAGAGATAATTTTTTGTATTTACTAGTAACCCTGGTAGATGCAATTCGCATCGCGGAAACTCCTTATCACATATATGATCAGAAATGGAATGAAGATTGAAGCGAAAAATGGAAGATCGATTTATAGGATTGTAATAGAAAGATCTATTGTATACTATGTGCCCATTACCCTGTAAATTAATTAAATTTAATGTTCTGTGACGTAATTTTAAAAATATCGCAATGTACCTGAAATGCGTAGGGTAATGCAATGGGATATGAACTAGCATTTTTAAAATGATCTTTTGATTTGTACTCGTAAATAAAAGAAGTGTCATTCTTTCGAGTAACCCAAAGTTTATCGGGATAATTATCAGATCTCGATGACGCGTCGTGCATCCAACTTCCGTAATGATCATCCATCGTACCCTTTAATACAGGTTTCCCCAACGCTTCTATCACGCCATCTGCAACGTTAAAAAAACAATTATTAAACAACTTGTCAAATTCTACGGGTATTTGAATCGAAAAAATATTGACATATGTAGTTTACCTGCTAATCGCGATGAAAGACCAGTGAAATTGACGCCTTTCAGTGTTTGAACGTTTAGATATTCGGCAATATCTGTAAAGGTACACCTTAAAACAGGACAAGCCGTGCAAGTTTCACGCGGTGCACAAAGTTCCTCTAAATCAACGTGTTGCGGCGCAGGCTCTCCATACGAAACATGTTGTTCTTTTCGAATAATTAATCTTTCCATGCTATTTACATCGTCTGAAATTGTTCGATACCAGCTTTTATTAAGTAATTATTTTTAAAATATAAATATTAAAAGTGCGTAATAAGTATCCGACCATTGACCACAAACGAGCCCTTAGTGGTATCAATATCGTTTTTGGCAATGCAGTGGTAGGTACCATAATCCCCCGATGTTATTCTTGTAATCTTTAATCGCATTTTAAGCTAAAAATCATTAAATAAGATATACAAATACGTTGATCTATTATACATATGTATATTATCGGGTATTACCTTATATATGTCTCTTTTATCATAAACTTCTAGTCTGTATTTGTCGGACATTTTTAGGCGACGGCCATCCCCGCGTTCCCAGTAAACAATTGGTTCCGGAAATGCCTCGACCTCACATTCCAGAGTGGCAGTACTCTGACTACGCACAAGAATCATTTGATTGCGTATCCGAATAAAAGGTGGAACTAAAAAATAATTCTACCTTTATCTCGAACCGAAGATAAATAGATATAATGAAATGAAACGCGAGCGTGTCAGATTTAATATTTACATTTAACTTGAAGTTTGAATCTTTTGAATGCTCTAGGAGGAACTCCATTATCAGCGATGCAGGTGTATTCTCCCATGTGCTCTCTGTTCACTGCAGTGATATTAAATGTGTGCCCAATGATAGAAGTCACTGTATAATAAATTATATATTTTACGATTAAAATAACATTTATCAAAACGACTAGAAACAATCAAACGTATTTGGGAATACAGTATTATGGCTTTTATTACCATGCCAAGATCCTACAGGAATGACTGTACCATCGGTTCTAAACCATTGAACGACAGGCTGTGGCTTTCCGCTCGATGCGCATCTCAATCTTATATTGGTTCCCTCATAAACGGAAATTAATCCGGTAGAATTTAACGTTGCTGGTAACATTCTATCGTCTGAAAGATGTCATAAAAGAAAGTATTGTTTCAGGATAATATTTTCAAGGGGTTTATTTTTTAAAACTACTTACCCAAGATGGAAGGAGGAATTAATAAATCGTTTACATTATAGTCATTCATGTTCACCTTCCAGGCTGTTATCCCTGGCCTGCCATCTTGCCCTGGTAAGCCGGATCTACCAGGAGGACCCATTTCTCCTAAAGTTGTTCACATCAACAACGTATCTTTTTTTTCATCCATGCGCAATTAGAATGAGGGAATTTGAAATAAGGTTAAGTTACCGCGCAGTCCAGGTGGTCCTTGTGGTCCTATGTGACCTGGCCTTCCTAAAACAATAGTATATAGGGAGTTTCTTGTGAGACCCATTTTGTCTATGTACAACAGACATAAAGTAATGCAAAAAGGTTGTATTATTTTGGTTGAGTGCATACTTGTTACATTGTTTTTGTAACTGTTGTCTACCACCAAAGTACAGCAGTGCCCGCATAAGTGACCACGCTCGGGCCCGGTCGCGGTCATTTATATGGGCATGGTTACTTCTCAGAATTCAACGGAGATAAGGAAAGAGGATAAGTGCGAGTTAGATACAATAGCTAGTACCCGAAACCATATATACAATGTATCGATAGCGACCGGCGTTGAGTTACGCTCGACACGCTCGATGTTTTAAGCCGCTTGGCTTCTAAGAATTGGTAGAGATAACCACGGTCATTTAAGAGGGCACTACTGTAGGCTGTACATGTTATGAAACACCCTGTTGTAACAAATAATATTACAATCCTGAAGTATTAATATGTAGTTCATACCATCTGTGCCATTCCGCCCAGGCCGACCAGGAGATCCATTTAACCCTGGTTTACCATTTATTCCCGGAAGTCCATCTAAGCCACTGCGTCCAGGAATTCCATCAAGACCAGGTTCGCCTGGTACTCCATCTCTGCCATCAAAGCCATGAGATCCTACATCGCCTTTCGGCCCACGAGGTCCGGTTAAACCAGGCGGTCCTTTTGGACCAATCATTCCACGCAATCCTGGAAGACCTGGTTCTCCAGGTGCCCCCGGTAATCCTGGTGGACAATATTTCATTGAAGATCGACAAAAATTTTCAATTGCATCGACCTAAAATATATAATCCCTTTTATTAAAATTTTACTTCTTTTACGTTAACCCTTTCGATACTGACGATAAATCAAGCCACTCGTTAAAATTGAAAAATTCTACATCTTTCGTTTTCTGTAAGTAATAAGTTTACTTATTTTACAATAAATAAATAAATCAAAGATATTTTCATGAGAATAAATAAATTTATATTGAGAAGAAGAAAACATGAATCATAATATTCTTGGCTTTAAACCAAACAAATTTTTTGTAGGAAAAATAACAAAGATATTAGGATATTAGCTCGCCATATCGAAAGGATTAATTAATTAAAAGAAAGCAGAGAAAGTAACCTGCACACGTGTGTCCGCGTTTAGCCACACCCAATCGTGTTCCATGGGAGTGATTGGAGAAGAGGATAATCCTGACATTGCTATGGGAGGTAAAGTCACCCTTTTAGACTCTTTCAACATATCCTTTTCCTCCCAAATCTAAAAGATAAAAAAGAAGTACAAATATACAGCATATCTTTTGTTCAATGTATACAAATGGTATGTACTCTAGAAGTATCTGAAACTTTATTATCTTCAGTTACAGGCAATGCACTATTCCGTTTCCTCCGTATCAATTTTTCAATCTCTAAAATGTCATGGTCTTGCATGATATGAACATCAGTCTCCACGCGGGCCACGTAAGTGTAAAGATAAATAGACATAAAAAATTGTATTAAAAATTGGATCAGTATAAGGGTAAACAGACTCCATGGTTGCAATATCCAGTACGTCGATTTCATCGATATCTTCCTCTGCATGATTAATATTCACTGTGTCCCTAAAAATTAATACATTTATTCCTTTCATGAGAGATCTCAAAATTATTAAAACACTCACCAGAAAAAAAGTTTGTGTACCTAGAGAGATCTGTTTAGAGATTCTGAATCAATTCTCTGGAAAATTGATTTCTTTGGGGAGACTTTTGATTTGTCAAATCGATTCCTGTACGTCCGTTTTAAACGCGTATCGATCTTTTTAATCAAAAATCGATCATTGATTTATCCAGCCTCCCTTGGTCCGCATATCCACCGGCCGAGCAAGTCAACGAACGCTCGACGCGAATACACATTACGTATATAATCAGAGCGAGTAGGGAACAATGAGAATGAGTGGGATATAGTTAGCATTTTCAGCAAACGCTTGCGACTGCGTGGCTAAGCAGATACGCTGCCGTAAAACATAGATTTTGTTCATTCGCCATTATCTTCGAATTTCACATAAGTTTCGTTTTTCTTTCATTCTCTTTAAATTCCACAAGGATTTCTATCTTCTTTTTGTGATGCAAGCAAGTATTTTTTGCTGAAACTTTCGTCTTCTCCACATTAGATATTAACTCACTGTCAGTGTCGGCATTCTGACGATTTGACGGACATAGTCGATTTTTAGTACTCTTCCCCCCTTAAAAAAGTAGGTGGCAGTAAAGTCCTGCAGTCATCAGGATCCCAATTATTAAGATCCAATATCCTTCTTTATCCTTTTTGCGGTAAAATTATTTTTGCTGAACCTTTCAAATTTATTCACATTAGATATTAATCTACCGTCAGTACTCTAACAATTTGAAAAAAAAATAGAATTAAGTCCGTTTTTAAATACCAAGAAGAGAGTTGGCATTACATAAAAGATTGCGTTGTTGGATTGAAGTAACGTGTTTTGAAAATAAATAATATGTTTCTTTTGCATTTTTACTAATTTTTACGGTGATATTTTTACTTATAAGTAAGTTTTAAAGAGATAGTTGACAGAGATGTGGACTAGGTATTAACGTAATATGTATTTTTAGGAATATCTCTAAAGAGCAGGACGATTAGAAAGAAATCGTTCAAGAAGATGAATGGCAGAATGCCACCAAGTGACTTCTACGCAGAAATTAATGTCGATAAAAACTCGAAGTCAGTGCCTGAATAATAAAGAGACAATCAGGTCGTCCACATTCATTATTCTTGACAAACATAATTACAAGTGGGTGGTTGAAAAACGCACCCGAGACACAGAGATTTGCTAAACGTATATGCATCTACCTATGACTAAACTTAAAGGGACATTATTAACGCATTGGTAGTTGCTGGAAGCTAGATACGGAATAGGAATGAATAAGACTCTCATAAATAGTAATAATCAGTTTATTAACAAATTAAATAAGATATTACTACAACATAACGATATAAAAATCCTTAACGGTATACACGCAAAAGTCTGGTGACCTAGATGTCGCTATCTTAACCAGTGTAGTCATATACAATAAAGAGGATTAGATAGAATGGAAGGTAAAAAAGCGTGTACGAGTTTCAGTGCCCTCTGATGTGTCGGATACTTTAGAAGGTACATGAATACCACTTTGTCTAATCCTCTTTGATATACAAACACAGAAGCGTCAACGTTCGTTTCAGCTAGGGGAAATCTAAGAATACAAGGAAATCTCTCGACTCAAAAAATGATGCAAAAATTGTATCGTATTGTTTAGTTTCTTCATAAAACTAATTAGCTTTTAAAAAAACGTCTCAAGTAGAATTCAAATTTCCCCATCCCACATTTAGTTCCGACGCATCTCGCTTATGGCGCTGCAAACGGATCAGTAAAATCTCAAATCCTTTGCCCTTATATAGATGCAAAATGTAATAACCACAGAACGAAACAAACCTAACCTAAACCTATTTTCCATTTTACAGTAAAATTATTATATAAATCAATGTTTAATTGGGTAATAACTCATTTATTATGGTTATGTTATTCATATCTGAGCTGCTTAGAACAATTAGGATTGTTTTAATTATTGTTTGAAGTCAATCACTTTTATTATCCAGTTTAAACAGAAATTATGAGTTTGAATAATGTATGAAAGTGTTTAAAGAAATATACTTTCAAACAATTTAATATGATTTGCACTCTACAGAGGTATTCATAATTATCGAACTCAACATGATGTTTTTGCGTTTTTTATTATACTATACTGAAATATAACGAAGTTGCGATTATATATCTGAGAATTTTGTGATATTAGAAATGACTGGAAATCGCGGGAGGAGATTTAGAAAATATGGTTTTCCGATTAATTGCTTTATCAGTCAATGATCGACTGTTGTCTTAAACTTTTTATTGTTACCATGAGTATGCGTGATATTTACTGTATTTTAACATGTTTTTATATTTTATCCATTAGTTTCGTTTTAGTCGAAGCTTTTGTCGATATCGATTTTGTTCGCCACATGAAATTAAGGTTATCGCATGTTATCATAAATGACTTATCAAAAAAATAGATATAAAAATGAAAGTCCATAAAAGAAATTTAAATAAAATGATATTTACAAAAAGAAACTTGTTATTTATATCTTTGTAGCTTGATACTAATTATTTGAATACCTTTGTATTATTTTCGAATGTTAAGGTTTACATAGTTTTGTATAATTTCGCACAAAATTAAATTCACGTACTTTATATTCTGGAAGTTTGTTCTGTAAAGTGTTAACTATTTCTATATTCATTTTTAAATAGTATCGTGCTTATATTTAAACTGTTACGGACGGACATTTTGAAACAGATAATAGCAAACTATCGTGTATATAAACATTACTTTCTCCAATGTATAAGTTTCATTATAATTCATTTAACCGTTCCATGCTTATTAAGCAAATTAATTTTTATTAATTTGTGGCGATGAGTTTGTCAATAATCTATCAATTGTACGTGAAAAACGATAATAATGTTTTGTTCAATATATCGTGATATCCATCTGCAAAGGGGTTAAGTATAATTTTTGTTTGTTTATAACTGGCAAATAAAATTGTGGATAGAGTTAGTTGTAACTATTTTTAAATAACTTTGTTATTATTATTAACAACGAACATTTAAGAATAAATAATATCTTTGTTTATTAGAACACCCTTAAAAAAGTATATATCTAGCATCGAAAATGGTCACGCTACAGGATATTAGTATGCAGCTTATGAAACCAGCAAAAGATCTTGCTGATTGGAAATTTCCATTGTCGCAGGTATATAATGTTGCAATAATTACAAGTACAAAAGAACATCATTCTATTGTATTTTAGGTTTTAGAAGAATATTATGCATTATTAGAAGACCCGTGTAATATAAACTTTGGGGAAGCAGCACTCGTTCTCCAAAATTCAACTAACGTATACGTGCGCAGAATTGAATGTCTTTTGAATGAAATAGAAGTTCTAAAACAAATATTTTTTGTCTACGAGTAACTATTGCTCTTAACTACAGTTCAAACTGCACACGTTGTAGTTGATAATCCATGCGTATTTTTTATAGGGAAGAAGAAATAAAAAAGAGTAGAGAAAAGAGGGTTCCAAAAAAAGTGTATATTGATCTTGAGAATTTTGTTATTAGAGATTTAGAAGCACATGTAGGGAAGAACATAAATAAAAGAGATCAATTGCAAACACAAAAGAAGATTAAATTATTAAGTCACCGTTTTACTCAATTAGAAAACAATGTAGCTCAGTTGTGTAATCACTCCATTCATGTGTACGACGTGCTAGGGGAAATAATTGGAAAGAAATATGATTTTCGGTAAGCCGAAATTTGTTTCTTTTTTCTTTTTATTTTTTCATAACAGTTTACTTTTAATTTTAAGGTGCAACCAAGCTATAAATACGAGTGGAATGTTGGTGGATGAATTAACACCTTACGATTTTACTCGCGTGCACAGTTCTCGCGTACAAAAAGGAAGAAATTCTTTATCGTCATATTCTGAACCAAAAACACCTGGTACTGGAACATCAGGATACCAGTCCGCCACGTCGTTAAACGACAATGAATTTCTTACATCTATTCACGAAGAATTTGAAGAGGATCATGATTTTTCTTTGCAAATGGAAGACGATTTCGCGGCGAACGAATCCCATATCGTGGAAAAAGAAAACATAATAAATAGAGATCGTGGAATTCCTTTTGCTAACTCTAATATTTCACCGTTTATTGCCGAGAATGTTGCTTCCAAGAAACAGCATACACAAAATAACTTACCGCAAGATCCTGTAGATATTAATGATGTTAATTGTAAAGAAACCAATCAAACTAAAAGAAAGCATCAGAATGAAAATTCAGGGCAAACAACTCGAATTGAGGAATGTCCAAAGAATAAAAAATACAAAAAATGTGGAGCTACCGAACGAATGGCGAATGATAGCAAGCAGTCGCTAGATCGTATTTCTAAGGAAGATAAACTACGAATTGCTGAAATGGATAAATTAGACAGTATCCAATGGAAGGAAGGATTATTTGGCATGCAGAAAAAAGGGTACCTTTTAAAGTAATATTCGTGTTATCTTTGAAATAAGTGAAATTTTTGCATATATCGATATTTCTACTAGGAATCAATCGACGAAAATATCGATATGTTCTGTAGACGATGTAAATGAATTTGACTGGAAACCAATGCCGTTTATTCAGGGAATGAAAAGTGAATGTTTCGAGGATCCATCCGTTTTGAAGCTTCCAGAATACTTTTCTCTCTTAGAAACAAAATTTGGCTCAGTATGTATAAATAGTAATTTTTAATTTGTTTTCTACCTACAGGGTGAATCCAAACTTATTTTAATTCTAGAAGAAACGCAAGGTCGTGTCAAAAATATACAAACCAGAGTGTTTGACAAAGCTTATTTCATATGAAGCCGGATTACTTACGATTAAGGAAAAAGATTTCATTTTGCGAGCAAAGAAGCAATTTAAATGCTTGCACAAAAGTGAGTTAAGACGAATTATAGTAAAATATAACGTAGAAATACTTCAAAATACGTGTGTTTTTTTTATCAGAGGAATTGGAGGATTTTATAAAAAACTGTGACGATTGTTTAAATATAACAAGAAGAGATTATGATACTTCTGGACACAAAGCTACGAGAAATGTAATTCTCGATTTATTAGACTTTCGTATTGCTCAAAATCAAAACAATTTCATCGAAAATGATACCGAAGAGATTCCAAGCAGAAATTCTACGCCTAGCGACTTACAATTGCAATCTATTTCTCATAACTCACTCGATATCACTGAACAATCCCATAACTTATGCGATAGCTGGTATGAACCTTCAGTCTCGGAAATTGATGTGTCTTATTCGCTACCGGATTATCAGTCGTTGATCGAAGGTAAAATGAAAGAAATTTTCGAAGAATCTAACGTCGCAACCGAATTAGATCAAGCTGTTGCCAAGTGGCATGCCTCTCTGCAGTCGAAACTGTCCGAGGCTGAAATAAGGCCTACATTTCGAATTCACGACTACACTGCTCGTATAATGGGAACTCTACAGGCACTGGATCAAAAGAAGATCAATTTCGACAGCGTCGTTCGCGACAAACCTGCTTGCGAAGTAGCTAGATATTTTCTAGCTTCGTTGCAATTGGTACTGCTCGTTAAATTATAATTTATAATCGTTTGAAATTTGACACGAGGATTTACGAATATTCTGCTTTTACAGGCTAATACGTACGACGTGGAAATAGAAACAAAAAACAGTGATAGTAGTATAGAAATAACGTTACTCAGCGACGGAAAAGAAAGTGAGACATGTTGAAATTATCTTTGCTACCGGTGATACAGTTAATAAAATAATTTTTCAAATACTTGAAATACGTGTTATATATTTGTTTTTTTTTTATACAAAAGTCAATTCTGTACTAAAATATATCTGCTTTTAAGTATGGCTATATGGCCATTTAGGCCATCGACCAACGCCTTACCACGCTATGTCTTGGATAAAATCAAATAACTTCTACCTCAAACTTTCTTTCCTATCTTTGGCAATATAGTAGTTATCCAGGTGACTTGTCGTAAGTGCCCTGATAATTAATAATCTAATAAATAAAGCATTAAAAAAAAAACAACCGTATTAGGCTTACAAATGGTTAGGAAACACTTTGATATTTTTCAATTCGTTGATAAGGAACTGACAATCATGTTTATTTCTCTTGATAAAAGATCTTGCGAAATTCAAGATAATTACAAAGTTGAAATGTTCATTTAGAATATAAAAATAATAATCTTTAATTCTAGCTGTTAATTTAAATTTCAAATGGTTTCTTTTTATCTAATTTATATGAAAACCTTCGTTTCAATTTCATTAAAAGGATCTTAACTTTATTTAATCCTTTTCTTTTATAATTTGGCAATATGAAGCTTTTATAACTGGCAACGTGTAAACATCAAAGTATGTGACTATTCGTAATAAAGTTTGAAATAATATTTTAACAATGATTTAATGCTGTAATCAATTATAACGAGAAATGATGTATGTAAAAGTTTTCAATCAATACAATAATAAGCTACATATTCGACAATCACAACATTTCACGTTCAAAAGAATTGTGTCAGAAACGAATCTTCGTGTATCTCTTAATTAATCCACATAATAGGTCCACTGTAGTATTTTTTGGATCCCCCTTTGTTGTCCGAAACATTATAATTTTTCACACTTTATTCCCCTGCGACGATAGCAAGTGAAATTCAGAGAATTCGTTCATAAAAGAGAAGGTAAGCTTGGCTTTGAAGTACAGTTGTTTCATCGACTTCTGTTACTCTATAAAAGAAAGTAAATTTAGTGTAAAATCTACGTACGTACAGTACAATTTTATTTCGTTATCTTAATGCAAAGTTCTTTTTATCAATGGAAGACATTTGATTTGATTATTGCCGTAGAACATATCATATTATGTTCTCTCTTAAAATCTACAACTTTTGTAAATAACATTTTCCCGTATTGTTAGAAACATCGATGATATATACACTGTATAGTACTTCAGCTGAACAATTAAACTACTTGGTGACAAGCTCACAAGTATCTTAAATAGACCTGAACTATGTGACACACATCAATATGAGTGTGTTATTTGACACCCTTAAAGAAGGGGGTACAATTTTTATAATAAAAGAAAAATACATACCTAGAATCCGAAACATGATACCACTTTCCTGGTGGAGGTTCCACTGTAGACGACAGGTCTGCTGCTGCTTCTTCAGTTTCAGAATCGGAACTTGTAGATGACGAGCTTCCTTTCCGGTCCCCGGTATCATTCGATGGCAAAAAGGACCATCGAGGATCGTCTGACGCTAACGGTTGACGTGACTAAAAAAACAGAAACTTACAGTTTACAAAATGTAAAAACGTGATTGAATTTATAATTATTCACAGCACTGTGTATAGAAAGTATCTCCTGACTTTCGTATATACATGTTGCAACGATATTCTAGTTCACGTCTTTCACTAGACGTTTGCTTTCTATTGGCCATTTCTAGATATAATTTTTTAAAATATATCGTAATAATAATTAAAATAATTTATATTTTATATAAACAGCATATACGGATGTGTGTAGAATTTCACTTCCTAAAGAACTGTCAGAAACTCGTGAATATCCCAAACTTCTACTGGAGAAACTTAATTTTTCAATAGTTCGATATTTACCTTCACGTAAGCAACATAATGTCCTCCATGAATGGTTCCACTATGTTCAACGACACCGTATAACGCATACAGTCGTCCTTTTTTACGACTTTTGCAAACAGGTGCTAAATCCAGCATTATTGGAAATGAAACATGCCTGGTTACTTTCCGAAAATCAACTCGTTGCGCTTGAAACCGTTTCAGATGGAGTATTAAAATTGCCGGAACACGAGAAATAAGATATTGCTTTGTACTCGGAGTGCATATCATCTTACAGTTCTCTGTCACCTGAAACAATAATAAAATACTTCCACAATCTTATAGTTGAATATTTTAAAAATAGTACTTTGCACTGTATATGATATTAAAAAATATGTTTGCACTTTTTAAATTCATTTTATTAAAATATTTTAGACAAAAACAAAAATGTCTATTAACAAGAAATTGTATTATTATACTTCTAGACAAAATCAATATACCTTTCTCTCTCTGGCAGTACAAGCTTCACAGCTAACTTTATTATTACCACTCATTAATTCCAAAGCTGTAAATTGATTTAAGCAGGATTGAATCGAACACTCTCCCTCCTTAGTTGCATATCTACTATGAGACGGTTGCAAATTGCCAAGTTCTAATTTCGATATCCCGAGAGAAACACCATTGATTCCGTTGCAAGCCTCGTTTGAATATTCGATTGCTTTCCATTTTCCTTCCCTGTGTTCAAACAAATCATTACATTTGTAGCGAATTCCAATATTTATTTAAATAAAATAAAATAAAGGGATTTAATTTTTATTCTAAATTTTAGTTTATAATGTTGACATTGTTTATATTAACAAAACTTGTTCCTTAAAAAATTAAAATTTTTTAATATAAGAATGGACAGAGTTTTAATTTTGATTAAAACGCTAAATTATGTAATTGATATGGTAAAATAATGTTAAACAGTACCACTGAACCCAGGTGGCTTCCTCTTCATTATGGGTACTAGATTCAACTAAATTAAGCCTAGATATCGATCTTTCAATTTTTTCCGTATTTGTATCATTTTCAGGAACAAGAACAGGAATGCCAGAGCATTCTTCCGACGTAATCGCGTCGTAGCTGACTGTTGGTTCTTCCGAATTGGTTACATCCGAGTTCGTTGCTAAAGAAACAGGCAGAGGGAACTCGGTTTGAACCCCCATTTTATTTTCTAAACTCTCAGAACTATTTAGTCTATCCAAAACTTTGGTTTGCGATTCGTTTTTAATAAATTCGTCCGATGGATTTGGGCTGGGGGAAAGAATCAATCATCGAATTAAAGAAAATTATTTGACAGAGACAATAATTTCCTTTCGACTGTTATTCTTTTGTGTACCTGTGCAACGAGCCTGCATCGGGAGAGTCTTGAAGTTGCATCGAAGATAGATTATCTACTGGACTAAATTGCATGTAATTATTTAATATCGCTTCATTCATCGTGTCATCTATTTTCACTGGTTCAATCGAGGGAGAAGCAGGGCTTGCCAATGTTGACTGTTTCTCTGAACTATAACCAGATTCGCCGATTTCTGGAAGCAGAACTTCTGCTTCCACATTGTCTTCAACGTCCGCGTCACTTTCTTCTGTAAACAAAAATTCCTATCACCTTATTCAACATACATTTTTCATTACACTGTATACTTAGTATATAGTATAGTCATTAATCAATATTTTATATATTTTTATAACGACAGATCGAATAATGATTTTTGTTTCAGCGTACTTTACCTAATTTAAGTATACTGCCATTGTGTTCTTCGATAGTGTTGTTTCTATTAGACGTAAATTTTTTGTAGTCACACATTTCTTGCTTCTTATTTTTCTGATTTTTTCGAACAGGTTTCTTTTCCTTTTTTAATTGGTACTTTGAAGGTTCATATGAGATATTTTTATCGAAGATATCTTCAAAACCACTGCTTCTCCTTCTTAAATAAATATAAACGTAGCTAAATTATTCAGTTACAATTACTATTATTATACTAATTATACTTGTTTTCAAGATTATTGGGCGGTCAAAATTATTGAGGTACATTTACTTTTCTTTTCCTGTTGATCTATCTACACCACAGTTTGCCTGTGTTAAGTATGCTGATAAAATTTCATAGAAGTTTATTTGTATACATATACAGAGTGTTTGTCCATGAATATTCAAGTAAATATCTCGTAAATGGTTAAAGTTACAAAAAAGTTACAAAGCATGCCCCAAAGAATTAAATGATATTGTATTTCATCTGTAATGTCATCGAATGTACATGGAAATAGTACAAGTGGAATGTGCATAGAATCATTCTTATCCCCACCCCTTGAAACCGTCATGCACGACCTGGGTGCGTAGGATCAACTTCCGTTGGCATTGACCTAATCCAGATCCCCTAGGCACTGGCAGTACAAACCAATCCCTCTATGGGTGGCTGAAACCAATCCCTCTTCAGATTTGTTTTGGTATCTAAGCAACGGTCAGTCCCCACCCGACTCAACGGGAGATAGAGATAGACAAGCAGATTTAACAGGTGATTTAATTATTAATAATTGTTGTTCAATTATATCCTTCATTTCCTCGTACATTTAAAAGAAAAACTTACTTTAACGTTGGCGGCTGTGGTTTGTCAACCATCACTGGCAAACTGAGGTCTAAGAAAGGTTCTGTTCTCTGCGAAGAATGATGGCAGTCTAGACATTCCAGCATGGAGACCAAAACTCCACGAAAAACAAAATCCGGTCCAAGTAATCTTGCGCTAGCTTGATTTCCATAGAATTTCACACGAGACTTGAGGTTGTCTTCCACCCCTTCTGGATTTGTTTTTTCGGTTAAACCAACTTCCTTTAAAATTATACTCTGGTATCTCTAAAATATCAAAATAATTTTCACTCTCATTCATTAACATTAATAAACGGTACACCCTATGATTTGCATAAATGTAATCTTACCCTAAGATCCTCGTTTCGAACTAATTCTAAAAGGTGTCTAAGAAGTTCGTGTGAATCGTGTTGCCCGCCATCCATACATTGCATCGTTTTTTTCTTAAACGAATTTAACAACTCCGATGGGCGGTAAGATTGATTTCCATCAGAGCTTTGCATTTCCACGAGTGTCTTGTATAAAACTGAAGTGAAATTGCCCCAGCCTTCCAAAGTACCCTCTATGGGTGGCTGAAACCAATTTTATGATTTGAAAATTAATTTAAAAATGATTGTTTTCTATTTTGTAAAACTCTATTTGTAGAATTGTTCTCACAAGTTCGACTTCTTCTGAACTATTGGCAAGCTTGTGTTTCCCTCCTGGTAGAATAAATTTCTGTCCAGGAAGACGTAGATCGTTGAGAACTTTCACTAAGAAAGGTGTCTGCGCTAAACATTGTAGAACTGCATTGAAAAAACAAGTGTTTCCCAAATTCATTAAACCCTGGGACAATAAAAATGTGTACATTTTCTTAACATAAATTTCTTTTTCTTAAACGTACGTTCCATAGAAAATGAAACTCTAAAAATTGTTAACCCTTTGATTGCTAATTCATTTCTAAATCTTTCAAATTCGATAAGACTAGCAAAATAATTTTTCTTCTACCCTATATGTATACTAATCGTATAAAGAGCTAAAAAACAATTGCTATCAACATTAAGGATTCTTTTTTACAGAGGCATACTCTGAAGAATGGCATTTCAGAGGTTTCTGAGAAGGGAGCACATTAATTCTACTGGCCTTTCTTCGCTATTATTCCTCATAGAGTAAGTATCCTTATTCAAAGTAAAATAAAATAAGAGATTTAGAAGAGTAAAGAAGAGATTTTAATCTCTAAATCCATGATAGTTTCAGTTGCGTAACAAATCTATTAATATTTCGGGGACCGTTAGAATTAAAAAATTTGTTTAGAACGACACCCTCTTCTTTTCTTACTTGCTTCTTAGTGTAAATGGTTGGTTGAAAAGATTCAACCGAGGAATATGAAAGTAGAAAGTTTAATCTTTAGAATAATTTCATTGTTCACGAGATTATAGTAGTTTAAAGATTGATAATGTTTTAACAATTATTACCAGAGGTGTGCGGGATGCTCGGAACGGGACGAGTTGGGACGGGATCCCGGGCATTTTCGGAAAAATATCCGGAATTTCTGAAAATTTTAAGAATTGCCGTGTCAATATTCATTTTGTTAAATATCGTCGGTCTTGGAAGAGTTGTACGGCATGGTATTTTGTATCTCAGCTCAAAAATTACGTGAACATACTTTTGGTCTTGTTATTTGAGCCGAAGCTAATAACTTTCTTGAGGAATTAAACATCCCGATGAATTCAGTACCGTGTACCCGTGCGAAAGAACCCCCTTTTCTCGATACTGTGCCCATTACAGCTTTACCCTTAATAATGATCATCGAGTGTAAAATTCTCGAGCGGACACGTAGCACAACTATCACGAATTAAGAGCACGATACTCGATAAACAATTACAATACAGTCGATTCTAACAATACTTATTTCCAATTGTTATAGAACAAAATCAAAGCACCTGACAACACACGGTACGAGTTTTATTTTCAGCATCTGCGTGCGCTCACAGCAATCAAAAGATTAACATTCATATAAATAAAAGAATAAAAATATACATACCCCAACCTTACGACAGTTCAATAAAACTTTATCTTTTTGTACATCTGTATCTACAGTCTCTTTCTGGCACCGAGTTAACACCATGTTAGTCTGCGATAGATTACGTATTACCGTGGCAGACCGTTTTATAAATTCCACTGTTTCTTGAAGCTTCCTTCTAACAATTGAAAATATTCATTTAACGTACAATAATAATTAAGCTTACTCTATAATTGTTTAAAGCTTAAATTTTAAGATATAGTAAGGTGTTATTTGTATATTTAAACAGCCTACAACGTTTCAAAATCGTCTACATATTTTAAAATTGCGTTTATAAAAATTTTCAACTTCTTCAATTTCTAGCGTTTTTTTATATGTACACATGGTTGTTAAATGTACACATGGTTTGTAAATTACACAGAATGATGTAGCTACGCTTGAAAGTTTTATCTGTTGAAAAATACAAATAACTTTTTACATATGTATGGAATTTACATTGTACATCTTTGTATACGCACACATCTTTTTTACACATACCTACAGCCAATACTAATTTTTGTTTCACACTGAAAACACCAAACACTCCAATAAAGATTATCTACAACTATGCAATGACAGTCACTATGTGGTTTTTTATAATGTTCTAAAGCATGTCCACATTCCTCTTTTCCACAACCTTGGTGCCCACATTGTAAACAAATCAATGTCACAGAATTTACTGTGCAATCCTGAAACACATGTAGGTATAAATATTTTTTTTTTACCAAGTATCAATAACAGAGAATTAAGATTTAGCATGTTTGTGATATTAATACCTCTTCTTTATTTGTCGAGGACTGGCTTTTATTTTTCATACATGCTGAACATTCTATATTATTTTCCATTTTATTGACATATTTCTTAATTTTGTTAGAATTTACCCCCTTTACGATATGGGGGCATTTACTACCTGTAAAAAGAAAATCAATCTAATTGACTATCATTTTAAAAGTAGAGGCAGTTTGTTACTTAAATTATTATATAGAAATACTTATTCTGTTCCATTCAAAAATCTCTTTATAAGCTTTCTTCACTGCTAATAGTAATTAGAATGGAACAGAAAGCAAATTAAGATTTTTATTTTTTAATCATTGATGTCAAAGAGGAAATCATTTCTCCGGGGCTTTCAAGTTTCTATAATAATTATGACTATATGAGAATACATATAAATTAAAATTAATGTAACTTTCTGCTGATTGCACCCATAACTTCCTTCTTTCCTTGACTTTAATAACCAAATCTGATGGAATTTACAAAAGAAAATCTAAATTACATATTTGAAAGTATTTAAAAAAAGAGATGATTTATAAACTTTGAACAATAACAAATTATTCTTTCATGTATTAATGCTTTTTTTTAATGTAATGCTAGCAATATTTTAGTAAGCTGATACTATTGAAGGTAGTTAATTACATGTAGATGGAACAAAACATTAACAATAACTTAGACCACAATAAATGACTTTGTAATGATAACTTTAATCTTATTTTATAATAAAAATAAAGAAAATATAAAAAAACAAAGATCCTCATTTTTTAATACCACTTCATGTATACTTCGAATTAATTTTTAAAATAATATACCTGTAAAAAAAATTCATATTAATACAGAAATTTAATGTATCAAATGTTACCGATTATTATACTAAATTAGAATTTAATTCTAATGTGGTTCTAATATATCGTTCGCTACACTAATACGCAATTTTCAATATAATCGAAAGGGAAACAATTATTTTTAAGAGGAGCTCTCGGAAATGTGCTACCCTTAACTACAGATATAATATAAATAAGGTTTTAACGTGCTTCTTAAAGGAAGCAAATTCTAACCTGCATTACTAGATTCATCGCAAGAATCGGTAGACCCATCAATCATCTCACTGTTTGCATCTGGTTGACGGCTGCGTTTTTTGCTCATTTTCAATTATTACCAATATGTATCCAATTTAATTGCGATGACTCTCTTGCCTTGTAGGATTATCGAAATCCAAGAATTTAGTACATACACGAAAAAACAAGAAGTGATTTTATTCTACAAAATATTCCAAAAAATATTCGCATTATTCATACTAACCTACCAATATTCAAAAAACAACAATGCGCCTTATCATATTTATATTGTAATGCATTTACAAGTATTTTTAGAAATTACTAAATCCTATAATAATCATTTAAAATAATCTAGGGAAGAATACGAAATTAAAAAATTACTGACACAATTCTTATTGACTTAGTTTACATCGAGCGCGGCAGACGCGTACGTGTACCCACGGACAATGATTCGTGCCGTTGGAGGGGAAAGTCACTAGCGCCTGAGATGACTAGGGAGACCGCAAATAAACCTTATGCCGCAGGATTCATTTTCACGTGGCAACGGAAGTCATGACGATATGGTGACTAGAGGTTACCACTAATAATATACTAGATTAGATTAGCTGTCGAGATGTAAATTAAATAGTTACCGATTAACTGCTTGTTACATTACGGTCTCAAAAAGATTGAGCAATTAGTACAATTGTATCATTCATCGCAATCATTGTGCTAACTTCATAAATGCGCCCCAGACTGTAACTCCCAGTGTACATTTTGAAAATTGATTGTACTCGAAAATGAAATGTTTTATATGGACATACATTTTTTTACATATTAACTATTATAAATATAACTATTATAACTAGTATAAATATTAACAAACATCGTATAACTTTTTCAATTTGCTAAATTTACTAAATAAAGGTTTCGTTTTTATGCGAACCACCCTCGAGTCATTTTGAAAAGTTCTTAAATATTTGAAGGCACCGGAAATGACAAAAAAATACAGACGTCAAGATGGGTATTCAAATCTAATTAACAAATCATACGTATCGAAGTTTATCACGTTGATGGGCGTAAACAGTTGTTAACTAAATTACAGCGAATAAAAAGTATAAGAATTTTGAATAACAGATCGTTCGTAAAACAGCATCCATTTGTTCGAAAATTTTTGTTGAAATATCACGCTGGAAATTATTCACAATACTATCAGAATTGTGGAAGTTGGAAACACAGATAAAAATAATTTGTAACTAATAGATGTTAATGTTATATTTGGTAATGCTTTTATTTCTCTTGATTATTTGTTTATTATACTACACAATTTCTCGTTATCATTTTCGTACTATTGTACAGACATATTAAATCTTATCAATTGAAATGTTATTTTATTTTCATTTTCCTTCCCCTAAATTAAAAGTTCGAATATGACAATAGCTTAATAGAATTCTTTTATCTGGCAGTCAAAAGTTGAGTGATGAAAGGAGGATGCAAGAAGAAAATTTTAAAATTAATATGACCAATGAAAAAGAAAGAAAGATAGAAGATAAAAAGCAACATGAAGAAGTATTGCAATCACGAACAAATACAATGCTTGGACCTTGTGATATTTGCCATCTTACACTTGGAACCATGAAATCTAATTTTAATGAAAATGTTCCTTGTTCCAAAGGTCATACATTGTGTAAACAATGTATTCTGCGTTTTACGCCCCCATCAGGTTAATTAATGTACACTTTCACAATTATATTCTTCTTACATCATAGCTCTAAGAAGAATCAAAAGCATTATTAAGTAATTGCTTATAAATTTCTATTGATACCCATAATCCTTTCCGGGCGAAATTAATTGTTTTGCAACTTTAGAAAAAAATTTTGTTTAGACATTTACATGTTGCAGATACGAGTTGCATTCTTTGCCATTCGGAATCTCAACAATCTAACGTAAGTTTATCGCGAGAAAGCAATACCAGTTTGAATTCCATATGCAAGCAGTCAAGAACACAAATTCTACGACAGCAATCGGAACAATATGTTAATCATCAACGTGTACAGCAATGTACACCGTTTAATGTTAAGCAAGCATATACGAAATCATGGAATCAAAATTGTTTAACCGTAGTACCTAATAATGAGAAAAACGTTTTGGAATGTTATAATGTTCAGAATTCTGACGGGAGCTTTGATTATAAACAAATAAAAGATAAAAGTAATGCTCAAGAAGATAGAAACAAACATAACAGTAAAGAATGGCAACAATATAGTTATTCTAATTTATTTCAAAATGGAAATTCGGACTTGTACATGCCCGAAGCTAAAATTAATGGACAAATTACATCGGAATGCTCTCGTAGACCAATTCGTTGTCCGCGAATTGATTGTGCCATAAATGTAGCCTTTTCAGCATTAACGCATCATTTTATTTTCGATCATCCGGAAGTGCCAATTATAAACGTAGAACCAGGCATTAAGAGTACGCTCACCGTCAGTTTCAATGCATTATCTTTGGATACCAGTTTGTGCTTGGCTCTCCTTTTAGTTTCTGGTAAACTCCCGTGAGTATATATAAATATATAAATATTAACATAATGCAATATATTAAATTACACGCGTCAAAACTTCTCAGAAGTTTGTATGCCCACGTTGATGGCGTACGCAGACACAAATATGTATACGGCGATCGACCGCGAAGGGTTAACAGTTTCTGTTTTTTAAAACTATGTAATTAATTCAAATTTTTGCAATAAGAAATCCTGTTGCAAGACTGTTCAATGGTAATCAAATCAATCCAAAATTCCGAAATCGTTTACCATTACCAGTATTAGTCGCCCGACTACATTGTAGAGATCAACATCTATATGCTGATAAATTTGATAATAAAAAGAACTTTCGTGGAAAAGACATAATTATTGCTTGGGTTGCTGGATTGGACATTGGAAACGCGGGAGAAAAACTTCTATGTAGTATTCAGGTATATTGTTTCAATTAAAAACATTCAGTTAGACAAGTAATTATGTCTATGTACATTATATAAATGATATGCATGTAATAAAAAATGGGCTATTTCCACAACAGGCTGTGGATAAGATCGATGGCGATGGCTTGCGTTCCTTGGCGTACACAGGTCCAGTGAATTCGCTAAGAACAGCTCAGTGTCCTGAAGATATTTTTTTAACAGGTGATTGTATAGTTCTGCATGAAGGCCTCCTTAATCACATCACATCCGATTGCGCTACACTCAATGTTAATGTCACCGTACATTAAATATACTATAAAAATAGTGTAGATGTTTAAAATAAAATTTCAATATTTCTATTATGAGTGTTAGTATAACATACTCACACAGAGAAAAGTGTAATTGTCGTATTTCCACGCTTTTCGGCACTGTTTAAAATGTAGCATTATATAAAAGTACTTTGTTATTTGAATATATGCGTAAAATGTCAGATATACAAGATTATAGTTTGTATCATAAGCTTGTCATAGCAGGAGGACGCGCATACGCCTTCGGAATAAAACCGTATTTGCGGGTTTTGGGTGCATACGCCCACAGCCAACCATCTACCGTTTGATTTCCCAAATCTGCATATATCCAATCAGCCCTCCTCACAGATAAATCATCTGGCGCCTGCGCCTTATAATCGTAAAGTACAACTAATTCTGTACCATTTGTTTCGTCACGAAAATCTCGCAAACCTTTTTGTTGTAATGATTCGTTACCTGGCATTGAGTTACTGCCTTTTCCTTCAAATTAAATATTACAATAAATCAACACATGTTCAAACCAGGATTTACACAAAAACCAAATATAAATTAGACGTAATTGTGTATAATATGATATTCAATGGATATTTGGTAGAAGTCCCAAAATAAAAAGAGTAAATCTCACCTAAACTATGTGTCTCTGTAGATGTTGTAGCTGCAGTGGTAGTAGTGGTAGTTGTAGTAGTTGTTGCATAAGAATGAAGAACATGTCCTGGATACACAAATCCAGATGGCACAAAACCCTCATTACCATCGCAATGTCTAAGTACCCAAAACCAATCGGGATCATCTCTATTGAGAACAGTTACAAATTCTCCCCTTTCCACGCTAACATCATTTTCATCTCTGGCCACAAAAGTATAGAGTACAATGTATCTTCCTGCTGATGGGTCCTGTAATGCATATTACAAATATATTATACTGTATTTAAATTTAGAATTCTTCACTAAAGAATTTATTTAAAAAAAAATATGATTCACCGAGAGCGAAATTTAAAAACATTATTTGATTTTATATAACTTATATTACATACACACCTTAAAGAACGGATGTATATCTGCCTGAGAGGATATAGTTTGAATAGAATTTTGAGACTGTGTAATTTTAGATCGATTAACATTTACATCAGCAGTAGTAACATTACGAGCATAACTTTCACAATCTGATGCTGATCCAGTGTCAGTTTGTTGTGCATCTAATGTTTGTGAACGACCTGTACCAGCAAAATCACAATCAGTCTCGTTAGACCTTGGTAGTTTCTTTTTCACATTGTTCATTAGAGTAGCAAGTGTTAATTCAGCAAGCTGTGATGTGTAAGGTGCACAATACGAATGTGGAACAAAGCCTTCCATACATGTATCAGCTGCTATTACATACACCCAATCATTCTCTCTATATAAAACATTTACAACCTAAAACATGCAAAAAATAAACAAAACAACACCAAAAAAATGCAGTTTACATTCAACGTCAAACAGGATGAAAATTAAAGTTGAATAATAATTTGAACATGTATTATTCATAAATATGAAGCAAATACAAGAAGATAGAACAAAAACAAACATACAATGGGTTATTTACATTTTTTTTTTTTATATCATTCAAAATATTAAACAAAATATTGCTTACCTGGCCACGTTTTACTTGAAGTTCGTCATCAACGCAAGGTGTAAAGTCATGGACAATGACCATTTTACTATCTGGTGAAAGTCCATTTTCTTTTTCAATGCCTACTCTGACTAAAGTTTCAATACTAGCACTTCCTGTTATACGTCCAGGAGGTAATGGTACTTTAGTTCCCAAACCCAATCCTGTACTTCCTGCTCCAACACAATCTTTCTCCAAATTAAAATTATGAACTCCAGCTGTATCATAAATAATATATAATATTATTAATATATAATAATATAACAAATAATATATAATAGCAGTGCATTCTTAGCATATGTTCTAATATAAAAAATGAATTATTGTACGTAAACTTTTCAATAGAATTTTTTTAAAAACTCTGAGCTTTAAGCATTATATACAATTCAGAGAAACACTGTAAATTCAAGATAATCCATGAACATTAACTAACTATACCGAATGATATTATAACAATTTTAGAAAAATGGTATGTGCCTTATATGCATATACATATATATATGTAGACTTTATGGTAATCCAACATTATTTCAAAATTAATTTATTTAAGGCATATTATTCGATATTTTCTACTCACGTTTCTTTTTCTTTCCTCGCCGAATACGCACCGGACATAAAAAAGCCATTCTGTTTTTCTTAAAGTTTATTCAGAATTACATTTTCAGAACATGTATTGTTAAGTGTCAGAAAAGTACCGAAGCAAGCCGTACAACGAAAGTGCACATATTAAGCATATGAATGGAAATGACGAAAGCTTGTTGCGTTTAACAAGTAAATCCTACGTAAATGTTTAGGAAAATTTATTTCTACAAGCACAAATATGTTAAGAATATAACGGTAAAGTCTCGAACCAGAAACCTAATTAGTCTTTCGCTCTTCTAAAAGATTTTGGATGGAACTGGAATTCAGATACCCGTAGTCATGAATGCAACAGGTAGACGGCGCTTCAACAACATACGAATTTAATACAGATAAATAATAAATTGTTTATTGAACATAATTATTCACACGTATGTATAAGTTGTACAAAAATATCTAATCATCTTGTTAACTATTCGAAGTCATTTTTTCCCCCAAAGAAAAGAAACTATATTTTTAAATTTGAATTTTTAACATACAGCTTGATACCGCTATTTTTCATGTTACTATTTAAAGGTATACATTTAAAATTTATTATTTTTGCAAAAATGTGGATATTAAACCCCCAAATTGTTATAAGATTCGAGATTCGAGATTCCAAATCGTATGCCGTTGACTGCAGGTCGGATTTCACTTGTTCAAGAGCGAGAAGGCAAATGTGAGCTCTCTCTCGACTCCCACGAGACGGTTCGAAGTTACTTCGGGTAGGTTCGGAGAATCGAGAAAGAGGGCATGTCAGTTTGCCTTTGTCGGCTCTCCGAAACTCTACGAGTTCACGTAAGACGTAAGTACGCGTATCTGGCATCTCTGTCAATTATGACAGATCTGGCCACACTGCTGTCACGCGAGAATCGTTCGTTACTTTTTTACGCATAGTTCGGTACATCGATGTCAACGTTACTCACCGATGCGAACCGATCGTGCGTTCAACGTGGTCATTGACATCGTCACCGTCTTCGTCACCTTTGTTACGCCGCACAACGTATAAGATGTTTCAGGTTATAGATGTGGAACATTTCTAGCAAACGGACCGTTCACCGATCGGGGTGAGTTATACGTCATTCGATTCGTTTAATTCAGTATATTATTAATATGCATTTCATTATTTGCAGAAATTCGTTATTTTTGTTTAAACTTGTCGGAAAGTTGCAGTAAAAACGTAAGGTTAAGTATATTTTGACAGATTCACAAGTAGAAACAAATGGCTGTCGTTACTGTGTTCATGGTGTAAATTATAAATGCCAGGTAGTCAAATGCAAATTCGTTAAACATGTATGCATAAAAGTCATTTTTTTATGCACACACTATGCAGGAGTAGGTCAGGTAGACAGTATGTGCAGCATATAACTCACCCCGATTGGTGAATGGTCCGTTTACTAGGAGTATACCATAGATATATACATATATGTTTATTTGACACGTTTTAAATACAAGCTTTAAGTACAAGTTTAAGATTGTTAAAGAAGTTCCAGCGCTGGAGGGAAGGGAAAGGTGGAGCCTTGGATGGTACTGAGTGGTTCCTTTAGCAAGCAGCCAGTCGATTCATTGATTCATCATTGTTGTGTCTGGTTTGTTATCTATTAAGGAAGAAGGTGCCCATCACACCTTCATCATCGACGTCACGTCATCGTTTCTCTCTCAAAAAAAGAAAAGATCACTGAAACCGTATGTAAAACAGTAAAAAATTCCGCAGGTACTTGCAGACACGAATCTGCCGAATCTTGGTCGCCAGCAGCAGCAACAACAGCAACAACATAGGTGCCGATACGACACCGGCAGACAATTCTCGCAGGATCGTGAAAATCGGCAATGCAGATCCGCGCGAAACGAAAACTCGGAGGAGATATTCGTGTCGAATTTAGTGGACGGGGAGAGTTTGAGCTACAGTTTAGCGTTGATACACGGCCTCACGTCGACGCCGTGCAGCTCCATCACCGTACGGAACCAGATGAACCAGAGTTCCGAATGGCCGATCGTGGCCGGTGAATTTCGCGCCGTGGTGGAACTGTCACGGGGCCCGAACAAATTGGAATTGGAGGCTGCCGGGCAAACGAAAAAGCTGCTACTCGTCCACGAGCCCAGAGCCACCAAATTACGCGTGACGCCGGTCTACGTGATTTTCTCCGGCGACGACGGATACTTCCAAGGTCCGTGCGGGGAGGATCGTTCGCCGGAGAGCGCCGCGACCAGGATAGGGCTCGGTGCCCGTCTCCTGCAGGCCCTCACCGCGGAGAAATTAAGGGAGGCGGGTTACGGGAGAAAAACGTTTCAATTGGAACGGGACCTGGACGGTCCGGAATGCTTGGTCATGCACAGTACGCTCGACGTCGAGAGGGCGCGCGCGATGAATCAGTGGGAACTCTGGAAACTGATCGCGGTGGAATTGTTGACCGGCCCTTTGTGGTCGAAGGATCGAAAGTATCTAGCGATTCTCTCTTGCACGAGGTATCGTGGCGCGCCGATTCCGCCCACTTACGAGGACACTCTCGCGAGGACGCAAGGCCACGCGGCCCTCGGCGGCGGCGGTTTGGCGTTGTACGGCTCGGCTTGCCTGCACACGTGGCCCACCTGCACGGCGCAAGTGTTGCCGAGATTCCTTGACGCGACGGTCGTCGATACGGAACAGCTGATGGACGACAGTAATTACCGCGGCACGTACGGCGGCTGTCTAGCCACCACCCTCGGTTCGGTCCTCCACGAATTGTGTCACACGTTCGATCTCGGTCACACTCGCGAGGGAATAATGGGTCGGGGTTTCGACTACGTCAACCGGGTCTTCGTCAGCACGTCTGTTCTACGAAGAGATCCCCAGCACACGACGGTCGCGTTGAGCAGACCGCTCAGCGTGACGGTCACGGTGCAAGAACCGTTTCCTCCGTTGAACAGCCCCCGAAAGAGTTGTTCGCTCTCTCGAAGCCCTCCGCGATTACTCGGTAGAGTATCCACGCCCGCTAGTCCGGAACTTACGAGATCCTTCACGAAGATCCTCCTACAATCCGCGTCGGAACAAACTGCCTCTAATTCCCAGACAGACCGGACATTTTGGACGCCTTCGTGCGCGGCGTTCCTCGCTTATCATCGGTGGTTCAACAGCGAGATGGACTGCTTTCCCGCCCCGCAATATGATGATATCGAGTACGATGACAAAAGGTAAAATAATACTCTCCCCTATAAAATATAAATTGAAAGGTACATTCCAATTCCAACTGCACCCACCCTAGTGTGAGGTATTGTAAAATAGTTGCTGATAGTAGGATTAAATCAGACATAAAACATGTAGATAATAAGTATGTGACTCAAGACTCCAGACAATTGCTAAAGAATGAAAAAATCATCTTTTAACCTAATGATTATCTTGACTTGCGTCAGCTATTCCGAAACCAATTACGTAAGTCCGGGCTACGACTGTAAATCTTCCTGCTTTGTTCTTTTACATTTACTTGCTTTCGTTCCACGTTACTAGTAAGACGATAATACTTGTTTTTACGACAGGAACGTTGTACGATCACGTTTCGGAGTACGGGTGATAGAGCTTAGAGAAACATCGACGGAGACAGTGGTTGGGTCCCGGCAATTTCGGGGGTCACGACCGCCCTTGGAAGCGCTAGTTCCACCAGCTCCGCCACATTGTCTTGCCGCTTTGACTCTCGTCGCCGAGGATTCAGCAGGCAACGTACTTAAACACCCTCTTCCGACGACATTCTGAAGTTCCGTGCTTATCGTATTTTGTCACGGTTTTGAACCTTCGAACGAATATACGCAAACGTGCGCGATTGGTGCGTGTGTTAGAAAGATAGACGCATGCATAACCTCGTAAACCAGTCAGAGTTTTATACAATGTTACGAACCCCACATCTCAGAGATTATTATTATTATTACAATATCTTTTGTAAATATCATTCCGGTCGTAGCTTTCCGTGGAAAACCTAGATACATCGACTGAATTTGTACGTGTGACGGACGCATGTATGAACGTAGATAATAACCATTTAGTAAAAGAAGAAACGCTTTAGCTCTGGCATTGTAATCTGTTGCCAACGACTTTGTAAAAATGCGATCAAATTACAGAACAATGCAACTGCCAGATACACGTGTATGTACAGTGTAGGTATCATAGGATTTACTTTGGTAAATATTTCCAATCGACGAATATACTATTTACTAAGTATTGAGTTATTTGGAAGTTCATCCGCATGCGTTTATTCGACAAGTAGCGAACGAATTGAACTTGTCCGTAGAAAGTGTTCATGTTATTTTGAACAGGCATAAGTATCGTCCATTCAAAATGACGTTAGTCTAGCAATTATGTGATACTGATGGACTTCGACAATTGATACTCTGTGCGTGGCTATCTACTATGGAGTTCTGTGTTATAGAAGATGGATTCCAGTTTGAACATAAGTTGTAACATAGTTTTGTCACAAGTTCAATTTATTTAGTTTACTTATATCGTTTGTGCTTATAAATGATTTCATAAATTATTGTTATATCTATTATTGAGTTATTATTAAAATGTTAAAATTATACCTCAAGTCCTTTGGTGCTAAACCGCCCAAGTTTGTCGTGGAATAGTTCGTGTCGTCCACGCTAGATGGATTTCTCGACAAGCTTGGGTGTTTTAGCACCAGGGGGTTTGAGGTTGTGGGATTGTGCTGACTTGCTGCACGTGGTTCGTTTCCACGTATGATGCGCGTGCGTTCGTAGGCCCACCCCTACGACCACGGATATTAATATTTGAAATGACTGAACGCGTGTATATAACAACAACAACAATAACAAGTGTTCTTTATTCACGCTAGGCGTACAAGTCTTTGTTTAACAGGAGTTTTTACTCTGGATCTTTTGGAAGTGCTTCTTCGTGCAGTTCTTACAAAGCAGTGGTTTGAGTGTCCTTGCATTTTGGGGAGGACGCGCTTTCGCCCTGCTGCGCTGCGCGCGCAGCCTTACGGCGGATTCGCATTTAACGGGAACTGCTCCCCTATACTCTTGTGCGGACGAGACCATAAGTCTCGACCCCACAAGGTCGAAAATAAGCGCCATCTATCGTTGAAAATAACGAACTATTTCAAGACGAATTCTGGATCGGACTACTGGCGCCCATACCCATGCTGGCTATCCTAGTCTAAACGTGGTTAATTTTTAATAAAATGTGTATTTGAAATTCATAGAATTATACACGAACACAATTTTTATAGTTATTGGCAGTAGTGATACATTTTTAAATAAAAATTCTTAAAAAATGATTATTATTTAACGTTCCAATTGAAAGGACATATTTAAATTACAATGGAAGCAAACGAGGTTATAATAGAAAAAGTTATTTTAAATGGTAACGCTAATGAACAAATATTAAACGTTGAAGAAACTAACGATGTTCTAAATGTTACTAAAAATTTATCAACACCCGAAGAAAGTATAAATGACAATGAAATAATTTTAATTGGCGAAAAATCTGTAAACAAACTAACCTGCAATGAAGAAAGTAATATAAGTAAACAACAATATGAATCGTTTATGAATAGAAATTATAATAGAAGATTTATTAACAATGATGGTAACGGACAGGGTGTAAGTAATGATTTGCTAATTGAAAATTTAAAACAGAATGATGATGATATTTATATTGTACATGAAAATGATATAGCATTGTCAGTTAAATGTAAGGATATACAATACTTTTTTTTATAAAATTTATATTTACGGTCTTTAATTACAAAATATTAAATTCTATTAATCAATGTTAACAGCAAGCAACAAACTATGTTCTCTTGCTAATATTGCTATTGAATATGGAGATTCTGATTCAGAAACAGAAAGTACTTCTGACTTTAGTAAACGTGAGAATGGAAAGAACATTGTTTTTGAAGAAGTTCAGATGGAATCTTATAGATTAAACAATGGTATGTCATCAGGTGAAGAAAGCAATAGCGAAGATGATTCCATTAGCAGTGATTCTTCAATAATAATTGAATCAAACGAATCAGATAGCGATGACAGCACAAATAAGTAAGTGATTTACTTTCTTGTATCTTTATGTCTATTATATTAAAATTTTAAATAATTTTTGTATGTTTTCAGAAAAGGTAAAAAAAATAACACGAAAGGACCAAAAAATAATGAAATTAAAAGTGAATTAGATGATTTACCACCTATTGAAGATTTAACAATTAGTGTACCTGAAGTACTATGCGATCCATTGGGCAAGGTATCTGTTAATTCTTAGCTAATTATTTACTATTAGTAAATATATTTTATATCAGTGAAATATGATTTAGTATAATGGAACGAATAAAACTTCTAGATTGCATGGATGGTTGAACAATTGGTTGTTGTACGACCAAACTCTGGTAAACCAACATTAAATTTAGATACAATTTTATTTATCGAAAAAGGACAAAGAGCTCTAGGTAAAATATTTGATGTGTTTGGACAAGTCAGCGAACCACACTATTGTATAAGATTCAATAGCTTGGAACACATTCAGAAATGTGATATTAAAGTTGGAATGAATGTTTACTATTGCCCAAATACCGAGTATACATCCTTGGTTTTTTTACATGACTTAATGAAGTAAGACTAATTATAATTATCGCAATGTATTATAAAATCTAACAAACTCAACGCGTAACTTAGTGACTTATAATTATCGCAGAATTAAAGGTATCGATGCAAATGCAGATGAGCCTCCCGAATTTTCCGATGACGAAGAAGAACGGGCTTATTATGAAAAACAGAAAGTAAAACAAACATCTAATACAACCGAAACTGATATCCCTTTTAAACGAAAACGTGCTACAAGTAAGTTTTTTATAGAATACAAATGTTTAACATTGAATCTACGTAATATTTATACTTTTAGGTCCTACTGCTGGTTGGCAATCAAATCATCCATGGAATAGAAATACACAAAGACAGAGAAAAGTACATCATCCGCGAGGAGGAAAGAGACAATTTTCTCCCATGCAGACTGGAAACCAGTCACAAACTCCATGGGTACAACCGTATCAAAATAGTTGGCCATCCATTCCAAGAGGTTTACATTTAGGGAATAATGAACAATATGGATATGCGATGTATCCAGCTGCATTACAATCAATGCAATATATGAACCCTAATATAAATAGTATTAATCAAAATTTTTATAATTCGCAGAATTATTATAATGAAGATGGTATAGCAGTGCCTTTAAATCCTAGAATTCCTTTCAATACATCTCCAAGACTCTCTCTAGGGCATTGTCAAAATGGTCCAAATTTAAGATTTCGAAATGCCAATATGTCTTGGCAAGTACAATCTGCTCCGACAATGAACGTCCCATGGGTATCCTTACCACCACCGCCGCCACCCCCTCCTCCATCGTCTTCATCGCCATCATCATCAGGAAAAAATTGAACATTTGTCAAATTAATAAAACTACACTAAAAATATGATTTGAATAACTACATCTATATTAAAAACAATACAAACAATTAGTTAAATCTGTATCAAATTTTTAATTAAAGATTATATTTACATGCTTGAAACTAAAATGTTATTAATTTTGTAATCATAGTAGATAACAATTTGTACACAATTTAATATTAAATGCTATATAATTATACTACTCTACCAGGAATTTATTATCTTTGTATGCATTCATATTTGGTTGTTCTAATAGCTGATCAGCAGTTGCAATGTCATTATTAATAGCTTTAATTAATTCCTCTGAAAAAATAAAAGTATAATTTAATTAAAGAAAGTAAAACTTTCAACAATTTGTATTGAAGTATATTTACCTATAGAAGTAAAATTTTTTTCTGGTCGTATATAATCCAAGAAAATTGCTTTGATTTGTTTTCCGTAAAAATCGTTTTCAAATTTGTGAAGTAAATGCACTTCCTGTAATAATAATTTATAGATAACGTAAACATCGTTTAAAGTCATGAAGTATTAAATACTGAAAAATATATAGTGCATTCTATATTTTAATTCATACCACTGTTTTTTTTTTATTTTTGTAAAATGGATTCCAGCCAATACTTGCAACCATCTTATAAATTTTTCTATCTATAGAAGCCCATCCATAATAGACTCCAGTATTAAAATCACTAGGTAAAGCATCAATTACCTTATCTTCAAGATTTGCTATGAACAATTAATATTATTACTTACTTATATGTAACATTTACATTATTTGCAAATATCGTTAGACTTTAAATGAAACTTTTTAAATTTAAAATATTTCCCCGTTATTTTCAAAATAAATTGTGATACTTTTTTTTATTTTTTCGTCAGTAAATATCTCTATACAAATTGGTCGTTTGTTCCGTATAAGATACTAGATTCTCGTCAACAATGTTACATTAATTTTCATCTATTTTCTTTTAGTTGCCTGATCAAAATTTAAATTTCGTAACTTACCTGTTGGTACGCCTAAATCTTTGGAACCTCTGCCAAAACCTTTAACCACTAATCCAGAAACATAATACGGTAAATTTTTGACAGACATAATGTATCCTTAGTGTCACGTCAGACTTGTAACTACGATATAAGACACAAAGCCTGAATGTATAATCTAAAGAAGATAAAGAGTTGACAATAACACTTAGTATTAAGTGAGGTTCAATAATAGGTTTCTTGTTTACAATGATAACAAGTAGCGCATAAATTATTTAACTTTATTAGATAAGAGTTATACATAATGGACTCTCTAATATAGTACAGAAAATTTATCCTTAGATCTGGAAGTCATGTGTTATAACTGTGATAGCAATCCATAGCAAAGGTTATTGTAAAATTGTTTTTACTTATGTCTTACTTTGAATTAAATATTATATAATTTTATGTTTCCTTCGACAACAATAATTTTTAATTTGCGGAAGAAAAGTTCAAGAAACAAAATAATATATCCTCTTTACATATTATTTTTCCTTGCTTAGTTTATAGTCCTTATAATTCATGGCAGTCTTTGAATTTGATAAAGTAAATGTACCAATGACTGGCCGCTAATGTAAATGTAATTATTATTAAGCTATATACGCGAAGTTGACTCACTGGTTATAATTATTAATATTATTTAACCATTCAACTTCATGCCTCAAGAATTATTCCAGTAAATATATTGTTTAAGGCATTTTTAAAAATATTTCATACGTGGTGTTAAGATGTGCAGTGAGTTTTTGTAGATTCCTTAAGCTTTTGTTAAGGAGATAGAAGATAGTTATTAAGCAAATAATTATTATAATATTGGTAACGTCGCCGGATATGCGCCCTAGAGAGAACACGTGGTTACTTAAGATACGACTCTCATTGGTCAATTTATTCGCCCTCAAATTTGGTTTCGTAAAAACTGCAACAGTCGTATTACGAGTAGACCTTACACCTTACGGACTTTCGTGGCCCAATTTTTGGTGAATACACATATCCCCGAAATCCTATGCACTTTTGCAAAAATTCTTTACCGAAAATATAATGTATGGCAGTATATGCGTGAACTTCGCAGCCAACTGCTTCTCTCTGGTTTTAGAAACACATCGATGGTTCGCAATAATTTAGTTTAGGTCGGCTATACATATAATGGTCGAAGTATTACTAAAACAGTATTAGTTTTTACGACTTAGGTTAAGGTTGGGCTATAGTTCGCTCCATTGCCGAGCAGAGGGCCGCTTGCGGCCCGGAGCTACAATGATACCACTGATACTACCGTTTTAGTAGAATAAAATGTTTAATATTTTATATTAATGATAGTTACATTTTTTACCATTAAACAAAAGGTGTATTGATATTTGAATTTTTTCATTTTTAACTCTTTCAATATGATTTCCAATAGAATAGACACTCAAATTATTTATAAGCGAAAGTAGTAAAAATAATCATATACGGAATGTAAATTAACGAGGACACATAGCATGTCTACCTCCATCTACAGATAAAGTTACACCTGTAATAAAACTAGCATCATCACTTGCCAGGAATGCAATTGTTTTTGCAACTTCAGTAACATCTCCTGGTCTGCCAAGTGCATGAGTTTCTTTACTGTGCTCAAAAAATTTCTTCAATTGTTCATCTGACATACCACTACTTTTATGAAGATTTGTAACTACAACACCAGGATTCACAGCATTTACTCGAACCTAAGAAAATGAAAACCAAGAATTACTATATTTGTATAAAGATGATACTTTATTTTTATGTATATCACATACTTCCTTTGGTGCAAGATCAAGAGCACAACATCTTGTAAATTGATCAATTGCTGCTTTACTCATACAGTATGACAAAACATTTGGAAATGATCTTATTCCACAAACACTTGACACATTTACAATACTACCTTTAGTTTTCACTATATGTGGAACAGCCAACATTGTTAAATTGTATATGGAACGTACATTTATATTGAACATCCTATAACATTTATATATATATTGCTGTAATGTTTCTAAAATTCAATGTTTAAAAATAACAAATGTGTACCTATCATATTGCTCTATCGAAGTATCTTCTATGCTTCCAGTTTCCAATATACCAGCATTATTAACCAAAACATCTAATCTACCATATTGTTTAATGGTAGTGTTAATAATATTTTTCACATCATCTTCATTGGTTAATTCCCCAGTTACAACAAACGATTTACTAGGTTTACATTTTTCAACAGTTGCATTTAAATTTTCCAAATTACGTCCTGTTAATAATAACGACGCTCCATGTTGAGCAAAATGGATAGCTGTTGCCATTCCAATACCGGAGCTAGCTCCAGTTATTAACACAACTTTTCCTGCAAATGCCATCTGAAAGAGAAATATAATGGTTTTTAAAATTTGTATTGCAATTTTTTCAACACGATATGTGTAAGTAACATTGACATAATAAAGGATCAAATATAAATAAAAAATATTATTTTTTACTGTACTTTTAGTTATTACACTTTCTTTGTTATATAACGTTGAGACCGTTAGTCAAATCGAATTGTCTTTGCAGACTGGAAATTCCAGTTCAAATTTTATACAGTGTTATACCAATGAACGTGGTCACGTTGGTCACGTTGCGATTTGCGATTTTAATGTGCCTTGGACTTTAGAATGTTAACCACTTTACTGCAAATAGGTTATATCCAAAGATAAGATACATAAATTTGAATTTTTGGTGCTGATTTTGTAAAACTATCACCTTATTAAGAAAGAAGTAAATAAAAGGTATTCTAATAAATAATATATAACATTTATTTAAATTATCTACAAATATATAAAATATTGTGTTTAAATAGAAATTTTAAATAGTTTTACGACAATAATTTAAATTATGTTTTCGTCAAGTTCACACGTAGCGCTTCATGTAAATATTTTAAACTTAAATTCAACTTAATAATCCAAAAATAAAATAAAAATCCGTTAATGACAGCGAAAGATATAAAAAAAAACTTGAAATCTAATTTATTAAAACAAATAAATAAATGAACATGTCATTATTATGAAACTTATATTTTATCGGCATATATTGATCGTTAGCTTACTTTCCGAGACGACTGTATACATGTAATAAATATACATTTTATTGTGTCTAATTTGTCAACTTTATTTCTTCTAATTTATTTGTTACAATAGTTAAATATTCTTCAACTTTCTTCAAATGTATAAGAATGTTTTTATTATTACATTCTAGATCTTTAACTTTCTTTACTACTCCTTGAAGAGATAATTTTACACTTCCCATCAATGACCTTTGTTTTTTAATTTCTCTAGTGGAAGCACAATGTAAATTCATTTCTGCTAATACACAACATAATTGCAACACACTTTGAATTGATTCTTCTTGTTGTAACCATTTGGGATCTGAAACTGCAGCACGGTGTGCTTGCTGCAAGTATTGTACTGCTTTTTCATCATCAATATCCGTTTTTTTAAGAGCAGTAAGCTGACCATACATTCTCCAAATATGTGGATTATTAAGTATGGAGGAACTAATTCTTCCAAATAACTCTAAAGCTTTTGGAAGCAATCTTTGTGCAGGATTCCCATCCGAATCATTTATGTTATTTAATATAGCATGAGTTAATATATCAAGAACTTGCACATCTAAATGACGACTCTTCAGATCCAAAATACGATGATAACATCGAATTACCTATGAAAATTCAAAATTAGTATACTGTACGAAAAATTATTACGTGTACGTACCTCTGAAAAGTGGCCTAAATCAATGCTGACAACCATTAAATTATCCCAAACTTGCCAACTATCATAATTGCATTTTATAGCATCTTGAAGGGTTTTCCAAGCTCTTGTTTTATCACCAAGTTTTATATAAGCTTTTGCCAAGTTATTCCATGCCTCGAACGTCTATAATTATTTTATAAAATTATAAAATATTAGATATTCTGTATTAAAATTAGAAATAATACAAAGTTATACAAACTGATGGTTCCAAAGCACAGTAACGTCTATATGCTGTTGCTGCCAATTTCCAATTCTCTGTCTGCAAAACTGCAAATCCAAGCCTCATCCAAACGTTTTCTTGAATATTATTTAATTCAACTGATAATTTTAAATGTGGTATAGCCTCTTCGTACTAAAAACGATTTAATTGCACTACTGTGTAACAAATAAAAATTTGAATTTTGTATTGGTTACCTTTACACTTACATTTTTCTTTGCAAAGTAATACAGTCCCCAATGTCTCTGGGCTCTGCTACTTTTTTCATTAGATAATTTCCATGCTGTCTCATAATGATTTGGATCTTGGGTTGCATCACCAAGTAAACACCATAACAGAACAGTTGGTTTTTTAGATATCTCTTGATAAATTATTTCTGCTGCCTAGAATTAGTAACAAAATATTTATAAAATATCTATTTTGTGTGTATGTACACAAAAAACGTGATATAAATTAATAGATAACTGTACCTTATGTTTTAATTCCAATATATTGTAACATGTAATTACATCTTCCCATAGCTGAAGCTTTAAAAAAATATCTAAAGCTCCTTTAACCAATCCAAGACTTAGCATTAAATGTGCCCATGTTTGTTCCAAGACCCAAATAGGCTTAAGGCCACTTGCAAAAAACATATCCATTTTGTATGCAACAGAAACTTTTGTATTTTTTAATTCATGTATTAAATATTCCATCTGCATCATTGATCTTTCAACAGTTCTCTTATCAGCAGATTCCAATAAACAACGATTATAAAGAGCAGACATTTTTAAAGACCAAATTTTTGTATTGTCTATCACAACCTATTAAACAATTACTCTTAGTAATTTGGTAATATAAGAATCAAATAATTATAATACCTACAGTCAGATAAGGTTTAACTTCTTCATCTATTAATTTATCCTTTGGTAATGATAACTGCAATTGGACACTATTAAAGGTAAGATTTACATTAGAATGTATTTCTTCCTATAAGTATAATTTGATAAAAAAGCTAAACTATATTCTTACTATTTTGTTAATACAATAGCTTCCTCTACTCCACCTAATTGGGTATTATCTACATTTTCTGTAAATTCAATGCGTTCTAATCTAATTTCATCATTTAGATCAAGAGATTTTGGTACATTTTCACAATATCTTGAAGCAAATTGATCTTTTTTTAGATCTGTCTTTAAGTACAGTTGGGCCTTGTTTTCATCTTGATATTTTGTACGCTTACCTAGAGCACCTTCAAGGCTTAAACTTAATTTTGCTGTTTCCTGTGCAAGCTCAAGATATTTTTCTGAATTTTGAATTCTTCTATAATAAAAGTAAAACTGTGCTACTTCAATAAAAAACAGGGTTTTACAGTGGTTGTTTTTTAATATAGATAAATCCCTTATTCTATTAATTAATTGTTCTGTATCATTAAATATTGTCCCAGAACATTCATTCAACACATATTGATGTAAAAGATTTACTCTAAATAACCACCAAACACAACTCTTATAAGTGTTTTGCAATATTTCGTTTGAAAATATTATTTTGGAAAAATAAAGAAGCTCTGGCTTTTTTGTATTTTTATTGCATTCATCGTGCAAAGATAAATATTGAAGTGCACTCTTTTCCTGACTATTTAACCAATCAGTGTCTTCATTGTTTTGTAATCCTGTCCAATTACATTGTATAAAATACAGTAAAGAAGCTATGCCAGCACATAGCCAAGAATCATGCAAGGTAACATCTTCTTCTATGCTGTTATGTATCAGCTTGTAAAAATCAGTATTGTCACACGGTTTAACCAAATTTGAACATAATTCACTATTTATGACATCTTCATATCTCCCATTTAATATATTTTGTATGCAAAGTGGTATTTCAGACACTAAAATGAAGACAATTTTCAATAAAGGAAAATCTCCAAAAATATAAAAGATAGGATATAACCTAATGCTACACGTGAATGTATTCATAGTATTTAAAATCATTTTTTGCTTACCTTCATTTTTAACAAAATTTGTTAATAATAAAATTTCGATTTCTTCGTCCATTTTTTTCGTTGTATTTAACGTATTCATTGTTATGTGAAAAAAACATCGACATATAATTTACGTTCGTTAGTTCATACCTAATAAGAAACGCACGCTGCTAGAACTCATGATACGAATTTATGTATATGTAATATGTATAATATTGTTAAAATTGTCTCAATTAAATAATAATATATTCATAAAATATATGGTATAATTTTGTTTTTATATAAATGGACTTTTCAAAAATTAATGACAATTATTTACAAGTACCAAATAGACCAGTCCTTAAATATTGTCATAAGGAATAATTATATGAAGCTATTATTTCAATGTATTACAAAATAATACGACATTCAAAAAATACATGTATACTAATTATGCAGTGTTTACAATGTAGTATAGATTAGGTTAATAAATTCCTACATACATGTATTTGGTACTTAATCTATATATACATATAGAAAAAAGTTTTGACTTATGTTTTATTATTGTATATAATAAATATCTACAACAGATATTTGTTACAATTTTATTGAAGGGAAAAGAAAAAGACAAGTTTCAAGACACATATCTTATTAATTTGATAAAAATTGTATAAATTGCTTTTTATCAATAATACTTAAACTGTACTATAACATATACAAAATATATCAAATATAACTATTCTTTACAATTAATTAAGTATGTAATATATATTCTTGCTTATGCAATTCATAATTATTATTACATGTTACATGTTACAATATGATTCTTAAGAATCTGTGATCATTTACATGTGAATGTATAGTATATATCAAAAAATATGTTACAATCAACAAACGCATACATTAAATATATACTTGTAAGACTTAGTAATATTTTTTAATCCAAACGAAGGAAGTAATACATTTATTTTATTGTAGCTAGTTTTTTTAATACTGAAAGCTTTAAAAGAAAGAAAACACATTATCAATCAGATAATGCTTTCATTTTTAAATAAATATCTCCTATGATATTAAATAAATTAACTCGCAAATTGAACAGATGAGTAGAACTGATATGTATTAGCATAAAAAAATACATATCTTAAGAATGAAAGGCTTATCATAGCTAGCATACTTTTTAAGGTTTATGCTATCTATTTGACTCACTTTAAGAACGACTTAAAGCATAACAGTTCAAAAGCGAGGATTGAGTTGATTACTTATTTCTTACAAAATGTAGAAACATTTCAAAAGTTTAAGTCATTGTCATTACCATTATCATTAGATTCTTTTTTTGCAGCTATCAAAGTTTCCCATTGTGCTATCAGGGTGCTCCGACGTCGTGGATTAGGCTGTAAATAATTGAATGTCATTTAAATTAGTTACAATGTGCACTAAATAATTCTTTATATAGTGTTCATTTAAAAATTTTTTTCATTTTCTACAAATATGTTAATTTTCTAAAGTAAAAAAAAATACTGTCATATTTATCTTTTAATTATTGAACGTTTTTAAGATTATTTAAAGGTCAGTTTTCGCCGATTTGAATGATTTTCAAATATGTTATAAAGGATGAAATTTTGAATAACTAATTCCTCCGATAACATTTCCGGTCGATTTTAGTTTCTAAGGCATTAGCAAAATTCGTTTTATACTGTTGCATTGAATTCAATGTACTATACGTATTTACATTGCACTGTAAAACTATATACATCATCTACGTTTTTAAATATTTAAGAAGTTAACCATACGAGGTGAAAGGGTATGAAAAATAATGAACTTCAAACGTATTTTATTGTGATTTTCTGTTCATACAACAAAAATACACATGAAACGTGCAAAACTTTATAAATAATGTAATTGTTATTAATTTTAATATTATCATCATTTAATCACCGAAAAAGTAAAAAAATTTCGCCTGCATAACTTAATTTTCCATTCTCTAATTCGGGAGTAAGGGAGCTGAACAAAATTTTTCATTTTATTAAATATATTTTTAACATATAGTCTGATAAAAAAATGTCTCATTTAAAAGTTTCTTCTTCTTTCCCGTAGAATAAGAATCTGTAAATAAAAATACAGGCTTCTATTTAAAAAAGCAAAGTTGACCTTCGAATAACCTTGGAAACGCTCAACAAATATAAAATTGATTGGACAATTGTGTTTCTCCCTTGAAACTGAAAACGTTTTGTATTTAACATTTTCCTCCAAAATGTGTTATTATCGAGGTAATTAGACGTAAAGTTTTCAAATGAACATCCTTATACGCCGTACAATTCCGTTTAACATTAGATCGTAACAATTTAGTAGAATAGTAATTATCGATATCTGTAGATTAGGTACATTACGAATACATTTAGATAATATTAGTGTTAATTCTAGAAAATATTAATACCTTATGTTTTCCTTTGCTCTCTTTCTCTATTTCATCTTCGTTTAACGTATTAGATGAAGTACCGCTTCGTAACGAACTCGAACCATCATAAATATCAGAATCATTGTCATTTCCAATGTCCAAAAGATTCGGTTGAGACTTTGCCAACATCTGCGATCGCATTAATCTATAAATCCAATTCGTTACGTATTATTTTACATGTATATAATTTATTTCAGTACGTATACACATCCATATTAACATAGTGATTTACCTCGACCGTATTTGATCCAGTAATGTTCAATTGGAACCAAAATTCATATTAGAAACATCGTTAACGTAAAATAAAACACTAAAATAATTATTTGATTTTAATAGTCGATAGAGTTGATGTAATTTTTAAATCAGACCTCAACAATGACATTACTCCATGCCATACATTTATCATATTTTATTTTAAATAACAATATAAAATATACCAATGAATTGAATTCGTAATTCCTCGATGTAAAATGGAATATGAAAATTATTGTCTTTTTTTTTAATAGTAAATGGAACGAATACGACTATCGTTGGTTATATTGAAACAAAAGAAAAAAGTAATTGTATATTTAAGAAAGTAAATTCCCACCTAAGTTCATTTTCTCGCTCTTTCATTTCGTGTAGCTCCTTCTGAATTTTTTCTTCTACGGGTACGTATCCTTTTCTAATCGGGGGTTTCTTGGGCTCGTCGTCCGGTTCAAGTTGGATGTCCGGACTTCTGTTGAAGGTCTTGATGCTCAACGGGTTGAGCGCGATGGCGGGTGTCGTGGTCGGCATCAGTACATCGTTCACGGGAGATTTTGGTTTATAAATTTTCCCACGAGTGGCGAGAAACCTGTGCATCAGCCCCTTCTGGCTGGGCGTTGTCGCAAAACGCAAAGGCGTCGGCGTGGTGCGGCTGGATATCACTCCGTTCGTCATCTTTGGCGTTAAGGATGGCGTCAACGGTGTTAGACTGACCGTTTCCAGGATCTGCGGCGTGGACGTTGTCCTCTTCAATTTACCCGATGCTAAAGCTTGCGGCATGCGTCTCACCTGTCACACGATCATTTTTTAACAACCCCATTGAATTTATTATTACCTGACATATTGTATTTTCGATGAGAAATTTTTTCAAGTACGAAATAAATATATCGCGAGGCTTGGTGTCAACAGAGTCACCTGATGTGATATCTTACACCGAAATAGTAATCTTGAATTTAATTTGAAATCTATTCAAACAAATCAAGGATTATTTCATCGTGCTATTCTTGGAATATTTTTACGATAAAGAAAGTACGAAACAACCTTTGTATCTGTAACTGCGCTATTATTATAGTACAGATAGACTGGGCGGGAACTGCATTTTTAACTATCATGTATTATCAGTTACAATGGCCGTCACGAGCCAAAGGCTGTTACGTGGAAAACAGTATCATATTTGCTTTAACATATCAGCAGATAAGATATTTTCATCGAAAAGTCATATTATGAAAACCACGCACAACGGCCAAAATAAATTTATATTCCTCGGGTTTGTTTAGCGAACGTAATATTTTATTTGCAGCGAAACGCTTAGAAGTATTCCTATATTGTGCTCGACAATTGCGTAGCGACAGAATATTTTTATTTTTAAATACAAAGGCACTTTAGTTTCAATTGTTCAGTACATTTTAATGAACAAGAGAATATTAAATATTATAACGCGAACACGTCCATCGTTACTAAAAAAGAAACGAAGAAAACGCAGCTATTTTGGATCTAAATGTTCAACAAAGAATTCTTGTTACGCGTCTAACGAGATTGTGTATGTGGGTCGCGACACTCGAGGAGTCATTAATTCAGTAACTACGTATAATCGTCCTCGTCGTTCATGGGCATGCACGCCATCCGATGCATTTCGTTCCTATAAGGTATACGTAGGCACGACAGCCGTTTACTTTTTCTTTCTTGCGTTCAACGACCTTGAGCATGGCCGACATGAATATATACATGTTTACGTGCACGGTGCGTGTAAGTATTTACGACGAGGTTCAAATGTACCTTGGAATCCACCGTCTCGTGGGATGTGGTCTTAATGCTACCCACGTTTCGTAACTCGTGCTCCCTCTCCGTGACCTCTTCGATCTCCTTTTGTATTCTGTCCGTCGCCTTCTTCAGCTGCTCCAACCTGTGCTCCGCCTTTGTATGCAACAAAATGGAATCGAAGTTAACAGTAAATGTTTATTTACTGTATTTCTCTAAACATCACGATCACAATGTCACTGAACGAGAACCCAACGTAAATTATAATTTTAAACTTATCAATTCTTCCTACTTAACACTCGATGATACGGAAGAAAGTGAATGGTATTTCTTCACTGACCGACTGGTTCTTAATCTAGCTTTATCAATTAATATCACAACCGATAGCAATTCTTAGATTCTGAACTGTGTCACTATAAACGCGAACGCGTAGTAACAATGTGTTCATAGGTAAATAGAGACGTTTAAATCGAAATATTGTAGCATTTTCAATCAGGAATAGCGAGTCAAATATTTTTGGTTGATAAACAGATGTGAGGATGACACTACTTATTCTGAAATGGATGCAGTTTTGCTATTTTATCACAGCTTCAAACGTTCGGAGACGATCGAGCTTAGCTATGGTACGCATGGTCACGGGATCTTTCGATCGCACACACGCGGATCTAAGTACATACATCGACGTTCGGATGACCGAAAAGGAGGATAGAAGACTTTCGTGGCTGACAGAAGGAAGCAAGCTTGCTCAGGTGTTTCGTTCGCACTTCCGCGTAGGAACCGAATATTACTGAAACGGGTTCTCGAAGGGTTTCCAGTTGAGCAGCTGTAGTTGGTCAGCAGTCAGGAATGTTATTCATTGAAAACTGAACAGCAACTAGCGTGGCTGCTTAACTGTACCCGTGCCTGTTTCCTTTCTAAAAAAAATGGGCCACAGATCTTTCTGCCCCTCTTTTCTTCTGCCAATGTAACCCCCCGGGTTTCCGTTTACGCCGATGGTCGACTCGAAATTCCTGCCATGATGATGTACTCAATTTCGACCAGAGATTACGGAATTTTCAGGTCGAGGTTGCCAATGATAAACGGTAAAAATATGCGGATTTATTCGCGGGCAAAAATTCTTTTCTCGTCCTCGTTGAACTGTACGACATCCCCCCCGTAAAGATCGCACCTGGTAATTTGGAAAACAAACTAACTTCGTGAAAAGATCAATTTCTCACCAGTTCGAGTTAAGAGGAAACTCTTATTCGTTACGAACATGATAGATAGTTTGGTAGTTCTCTGAAGAAACCTTGTTGGAACGACCGTGTATCCCATTTCGGTCGTCTCGATGACCGTGATCATGACCATGATCGAAACGTATCGATCTCGACTCCCTGCTTATATGCACGAGACCTTCAAACGCGATAATTATGCGGTTCGAATTCAATAGACATTCGTTTGTTGACAATTTATTAGAGTATCATGGAGCTCCGTATTATAATTGATTACAGATACTTAAAAAAAAAGTGTATCGGTTCCCCTTTACAAACGCGTACGATTGCACGCGAGAGCAGAGTCAAAGTCATCCGGGCGTTCTAACGATCGCAGTGCAACCGAGAAGGTGGTGGTTCCGCGTTTAAAAATAAATAAAAAATATAATATCCTAATATTCGAGTTGTCGACATTGGAAATAGAACTTTCCGCGAGAATATTCCTGCGCGAAAATCACGTACAAACTGATTTAAATAGCCGTCTAACCAGTCTTTCGAGAGCACCAGTACGGCGGCACGTGTGAATTCGCGTATTTTTCATTCGAACGAAGGAAAGATCGAAATGCTCCGGAGGCACTTTTTCAAACGCGTTACGCCGTTTGGTACAGCGACGGTGGATAATTAGAAACGGTGTTTCCTCGAGTGATCGTAGGTCTCGTTTACGTATCTGCGTCCAGTTATTATCTAGAAGTACCGTCGATCGTTTCGAACCGTGATTTACATCGGACGAGCATAAATATTGATAGAACGATATACCTGTCTGGCGAACGGTACACGCGCGTATGTGCACGCGCACTTACCTCCATTTTCATCGTTGCCAGCGAGATTTCGCGCAGAGGATCGAACACGAACTGAACCTATTATCGGATACGTCCACCGATACGAATCGTCGAACTTCGTGCACAATTTCGGTTCGTTTATCTGATCGTGGACGCGAGCGGCTAATATCCGTATGTATTATCATGCCGCGTAGTTACGTCACTCGTCGAATCACTATCGTCTCGCGTGCGCCACGCTGGGAAGAGTGATGCTCGATCGGGATTCCCTACCCGCGAGTTTGTCGCCGAAAAATCAAACGCCCAAACCGACGAGACGACGGGCACGTTCTCTGGCTCGAGATCCCCTTTTCCCTCTCGGGACGTGAAACGGTTCGAGCACTTCGCCCTGTCCCTCTGATCGATCCCCGTCGAGGCGATTTCAACAGTTCCGCGCCAGGTAGTATCTTAAGCGATTCGCGGAATGCGAGAGACCGTGAATCGTTCACGTTTACCGCGACCAGACTCCGGTTTTGGAATACCTGAACCAGATCGTTCGCGACTCGCGGTCGGTGCCTATGCGACACGCACAAACGTCGATCGAAGGACTCGTTTTCGAAACACGACACCTCGAAATCTCGACGTGCATTTACTGTTCCCCGATTAGGCGAGTGTTCCTGTAATTTTTGAGAGCCGCGAGCTTATAATCGAGACGCGGTCGGAGTCCACTCGACGACTGCCATTTTACCTGCGTGACCTTGTTGTTCCCCGGCCGTTCTCCGAACAAAAGCAACAGAGCCGACGACACCGCGATGTATCCGACAGTAGTCTGCCCCTTTGCACCTATCCTGTAATAATAAAAGTATCTCGTAACAGGTCTGATAGTACTTGTCGATTGTTTCGATGTATAATTACGTTTAAATACCTTTCCATTCGAATATAAATCTACCTTTGCCTGGTACGTACGTGGTATTAAAAACCAGTCATCTTTGAATAGGTACAGGCAGTGTGTTTTGAGTCACCAGCATATTGGAATTAAAAATTTTTATCAAGATTTAATTACCCAGTACTTTTCATTAAAGTATCTTTTAAAATGTTGAGATGAACACCTACTTATGTCTGATGCCAACTGGAGGCTTTTGCTGTCAAAAGTTCATTTAATGGAAAACTCTTAATGACTCTTAGGAATCAACACTCTCCGATGGATAGCTCCATCGTAATTTCTGCAAAAAGAATATGATTTCTTCTATGTCATTCTGGACTTGTATTTGGAAATTTTAAAAAAAAGTTACTGTGCAAAACAGTGTACATATTGTCTTCGTTATAAATTGTTTCCATAGGCTCGTAATTTTATAATTTATACAGTGGATCTAGAAAACATTCGTCCGGTAATTATTATTGAATCTTACATGACAAAAAAGATGATATATAATTCATTATTTTCAATAATATTTTCTGTTTGTTAACTTGTTTAAAATTGCGCGAAAAATTACAGTTTCCATTTCGATTTTACCGCATAATTGAGCATGTATCGCAACACGCGCGCCATCTGTATCCTATCGCTATTATATTTTTAAAACAAACAAATTTTTCTACACATTTTGCGCAAATTTGCAAGGTATATATGATCCAAGATTTTATTGTTCGTCTGACAAAGGAAATCTACTCTAAAATGGCATAAGAATTTTTTCATTCTATGCTTATCTTTTACTTTTTATAAGTGAACGGTTAGATATTCTTAATGGAAGCATTATTGTCATTGGTTACTTCTTGTTAAAAATACTGTATTTAATAACAATTAACCAATAAGGGTTTGTTTCGAATATACATGAATATACATGTAAATTGAAAGTTTGATCTTTATTTCTGATCTTTGATGAATATACAAGTCCACAATTGATCATACACATGAATACATGCATGTATAGACACACGTTCTATGTATTGTAAAAATCTCGGGCATGTAACAATTATAAACTGTATGAACCTAAATGTTTTAATTTTATTGCAATTTTTATTATATGCGGATACTGATAGACGTACTCATTCTATTATGTAATTGTTAAATTGTGTTTACATGTATCGTACATATAATTAAAAAATTCAATTTTATCTCAGTGGCCAACATTACGAAAAAACTTTCATGGAAATGATGAGTGAGAAACAATTTTCTCCAGTCAGTAGTAAGCATTCAAACTTTCTAATTTAGATATGTTTATTAGGTTATTTCATATGTTTAAAAATATAAAATCATAATTCAAATTGAACTTGTATTATAGAATCTCTGTCTGCAAAAACAGCTCAAGGAAAAAATTTGGTAGGTTCTGCGCGACATGTGCGAGATTTAGCTGCTGACATTCATGCAAATATACAACAGTGGAATGAAACTCATTTACAAGGAGTGTCATTACTAAAAGATATAACATTGGAGAAACAGGATGAATCGTATTCTCAGACTCTTCAAGAGTTATGTGATAATTTGGAACATGTTTGCGATAAACTGGTAATAGTATTTTCATATTTAAAATAAATAAAATACAGAAAGAAATTTATTTATAGGAGACCATTGTGGAAAATCTTGCCAAGATCGCACATCACATGAAAATAACAATATCTTTAGAGAAAAATATGGACAAATTATTTACAACATGGCCAGTAGCAACATTTGGTACAAATAATTATATTTCATAAATGAAAAGCAATATATATTAAATATATTTTATAATTGATTGATTTGTCTACTTTAAAAGGATTCATTGAAATTAATACATAAACACATAATCACTTATGTTGAATATGTAAATTCTTTTAGGAGAAGTAGCAGAACTAATATACAATGCATATTCTCAGGAGATTAAAGTAAAGCGTAAAATTCTTGAAGATGTAGCACATCATTATACGGAATCTTGGAAAATGCTATTCCTTGCTACTTGGGTACATCAGCCATTGTTGCCATTAAATCTAACAACAGTTTTGGAAGCATTATTGATAGAAACTGGACACAGATAGTTATAATTATTGTTGATACATATTTTGGTAAGTATTTTTCCATTTTAAAAATGATTTGATGTTTATGATTATGTTTTTGTATTATGCAATAACTTAAAACTATTGAAATAAAACAAAGATTGATAGAATGTTCATTTATTTGTGGTTGTTCAAATACCATTTGTATAATTTCACAAAAACGGAAAAAAAAAGTATGGAATTAGTGTGTGTATGTGTGTTGACTTACAATATATACATACATATATTCATAGTGAACAATGAAATTTTGTTTACAATTGGTACCTGAGATCACAAAGAAATATTAATATAGACAAATACAAAGGTACTATAAATTTCTTTGCAAATGCAGATTCTAGAAAATGTATCTTATACAAGAAACAAGAAACCAAACCTGCAAAATTAATATGCATTGAGATTAGTATAGTTAGTTTAATGGTTACTGGTATTATTAATGTTTAATTATATCAATAACTTCTTATACATGTATAATACATATTTACAGATAAATACAAAATTAATCATTTTTGCTGTACATAAATGCTATAACAATGTGGATGGAATTATTTTCTTGATGTTTAAAGTTAATATTCTATATGAAGCCTGTAAACAATCCACTTTAATTCATACATAGTTACTTTTAATTTTCAAGGTTATTGCATTTTCATTTTTCCAATACTTTTTTTTACAGCTATATTGAAATTATTAAATAGAATGTAATTATAATTTCACTATTATTCTTCAATCTGTGGATCCACTATAATTAAATGGTACCTTGTTAAGAAATTAATGCATTCTTAAATATAAAAAGATAAAATTAAATAACAAAGTAATTTGTGCACGGTCATCTTATCTGTAGCACTGTAACTGAACAAGTCACGATAATATATTTCTAATTGACTGTATGACTAATCTATGCAAACTTACATTTACAAAAAAACTTATATCTTTATATTTCATAATATTCAATGTATAATTCTACCAAGTCTAGTTTCTTATTTTCTGGTTTAATAATGTACCATTATAAGTTTCTTTTTCAAGAAACGAATCTGAAATTGAAACTAATAGTTACACTATGTGTATAATTATAAAGACTGTTTACCAAAAAACAAAGAATACTGATGTATCCCAATAAAAATTTCTTTTATACTGAATCAAACAGGGAAGTTAAGGTTATGTACTCCTTTATATAACAATCTTACATTTCTTAAACTTAGTATGACCTTCTCGCATACGAAATATACATTGTATGTAATAAATATAATAAAAACAGTCTTATTTACATACACATACCAGAATATAAGATATTATATTACTTTACTATTGATACTTTTCATTCAAATATGGAAATTGTAATACATTGATTGCGATACTGTCAAAAATTCTATAAAAAAATATCTACACCATTGTGTAATTATATGCATACAATTTTAAATAATTGTATAAGTTCAGTATTTTTATACACTATACACATTATTTCAACTTGTTTAGGAACATGTTGCTTACAAGCATCCAAGAATCAACTTCTGGTATTTCTATTAAACTCTTCGCTTAATGCATCAAAATCGAGATCTGTATCTAAATTTGAATTATTTGGTATTAAATTGTTTTCTAAAATATTATCTGGCATGATGTTTTTTAATCGTTCGGAAACTAGTTCATCAACTAAATTTGATTGATCTACTAGATGCAATTGTTCAACTAATTTTTCATCAATTAATAAGTTTTTATCTATCACTCCACTTGTATTTAAAATATCTAAATGTGCAATATGATCGTAGTGAGCTATTTTTGACATGTCTAAATTTTCTGCACTACCAAATATGCTAGTATCACAATTATTGGAAATTATTGGTACTGTATCCTGAAGTATAGGTATGCTATCTGAAATTTTACAACCAGAAGTAGCAGGCATTATCTTACAAGAACCTGTATCTAATGGTGCTGATTGGGTTTTAGCACAACTTATATCTGAAGAGGTCATAGGAATTATTTTAGACACCAGTTTTTGGAATCCTTTAGCAAAGTTCTGAGATCCATTCTCCAAGTTACTCAAGCCATTTTGCATTTTTTCAAAATTTGGAGTATCTTGTTTTGGATAAGTTCCCATAGCACCGTTTTCTAGCTTAACAAAACCCTGTTCCGTTGGTTCCAATTTTATGAAAGCTTGCTCTATATGCTCTAACTTAGATTGATCGTAATTATCATCAACTTTACAAAAATTTGACGATCTTAAACTATTTCCTAGTTTCGCAAATCTTTCTTTGTGAGGCTCTGTATTTTGATAACTTGAAACTTTTGGCGAATTAATATTCACCTTTTGGAATCCAGGATTATCTGAAATTTGGCTTTGAATCTCTGGATTCGAAATTAAAAGTTTTGAAACATTGTTCGATTTATTATTCTCTGTATTATTTGAAGGACTGGGATTTTTTCGCATTAATGTTAAAGCTGACAACACTTCTGGACAAGTAGGATTTGTTACTGGATCAGTTCTTCTATCAGTTAAAAAGTCTGAGACACTGAGATCTGAACTTTCTGAAAAACCACTAGACATTCGTTCTTCTAGATTTTCTTTAGTATCTTCAGAATGATCTGTTTTTTGGAGTTTAAAAGGAGGTTCTCCAGTATCATATGTGCTGCAAGCAGGAGTTTCAACCTTTTTCAGAGCATCACTGTTAATCCTATATACACCAGGATTAAGACCTAAAGCATCACAAAGTGATTCTTCACTGATGTCGATTAAATCCTTATTTGATTCTTCATTATTATTTGCGATTGTTAATATATTTCCAGCTTTTTCCCGTATTTTACCCATTAATTTTTTTAATTCGTCCAAAAAATTTCTTACATTATTTTCTGATTTTAGTACTAATAAATCAAATAATGACTGTGCGTTAAGTACTGGTTTTGCAGCTATTTTTATTATTTCGAGATCTTCACAGACAGAAATTGCTTCTCTTAATTTTATTTGACGTCTTTCTGACTTAGCTTCTGGCGTGACATAAGCCCATGGGCCTCGCTTTTTCCCTTTACGTTTCAAGGGATCTTGTCCTGTACTTTGCTTTAATTCAGGTTCAGGTGTTGGAGGAGGTAATTGCTCAGGACTCCCATGATCAGGGTGCATTTCAAAATGTCTTGCCATACGAGTACGTCCTAAATAGATTTTATTACACGTAGGACACCTAAAGTGATCTGATATTTTTCTTTTTGGTACTTCTAATCCTGTTAATAATTCTTTAGGTGATTCTTCTTCTTCAAGTTTATCGTTATTAGTATTATAATCACTATAACCACCATCTGAATCATCTAAATCAGGTTGTAGGAAATCCAGATGATGTAAATGTTTGTAATCTCGCACCATGTGTCTAGGGGGTCGAGAAAGTCTACCAGAACGTGTTCTAGCTACAACTTTTTTCCTTTCATCCTGAAGAAAATGTTAACGTGTTAAAATATTAAGACAATTATAGTTTGGTAAAAAAAATTAACTACCTTTAATTCTTCCTGTTCTTCATCAGGAATCGGTGGTGGTTTAGGTGGAAGTAGAGAAGGTCTAATAGCACTTTTTTTGGGTCTACCTCTTTTTCCGCCGCGATTCTTTAACAAGTTCCCCGGATTTCTAAGTCGCAAATCCAGTTCTTCGGGAAATACAACTCTGAATACATATATGGATTAAAATTTAGGTACAAGATTTGTGATAAATGACAAGTGTATACAGGTACCAACCTATACACAACTTTTTCATTCGAGGCAGCTGCTTCTTGACTACGTTGTTGCAAAACATGAGCAATTTGCTTTAATTGTGTTGGTGTCAAACGTTGCATACTAGAATAAATATAAATGATATCAGGAAACGAAACAAGTACTCAAAATATTATACATACATGGATATATTATACTTACCTATGAAAGGTTTGACCTTGTTGAACTATTTGTATTGGATTTTCGCTAGAACCTAATGGTTTAGATGCATCTGTAGACTCATTTATTAGTGCTGTAGATTTAACAGGAGCACTTCTAGTTTTTTTATGCGCTTTAAGATTTGTGCCATTTACTACAAGATTAAGTTTTTGTTTAATAGTTTCATTTTGTACTGATTTGGCACAATCAACCGTACTATTTTGTTGGGTTACAAGTGTTTTTTGTGAATTATGTAAGATATTAGAAACATTTTGAGCTGCAATAGTTACACTTTGTTTAGTCGAATTATTAAATGCTATTTTAGCTTGAGGTTTTAAGATAGATATGGGCATTGAAGACATTTGAGTTGGTTTTAAGATCGATGTAGAACTTGTTGCTGCTTTTAAATCTTGAGTTTTAATAATCGACGTAGTTCTAACTACAACCGGTGAATTAGAACTAATTGTAGTTTTTGGTATTCCAGTTGTTGGTATTGTCTTCCTGCCAATTGTGGCTTTTGTTTTAAGTAACTGAGAAGGAATTTGTACTGATTTTAGAAGTTGTGCAGGAATGGCTGCTGCTACACTGGTATTAGTTAAAATTTGATTAGACTTTGAAACTACATTTGATGCACCTTTTAGCACCGGAGTTAAAAATTGTTGAATATTTCCTCTCTGGAGAGGCTGCGATGTTTTCACAATCGGTGACAAACGTATTTGCGAAGTAACAAGATTTTGTGTTGCTCCTGATGTGGTATTTACTATAGCATTAGTAATATGAGCTGCATTGACAGACTGATTCTGTATTTCACAAGCACTTGTTAAAATCTGAGAAGTATTTAACAGTTGTGCGGACATACCACTGGTATTTAACAACTGAGCCGTTATAGGGGTAGCTTTTATTATTTGCGACGATAAATTATTTAATATTGCAGCTTTTGACAATAACACAGAATTAGGATTTGAACTAGTATTGAGCGAATGTATACTATGAATAGGACTAACTGTTGCGTTAGTAAGTCTGCTCGAACCTTGAAGCAATCTAATGTTTTTAGTTGGTTTTAGTATAGTTTGTGCAGGTTTTATAATAAATTGTGAAGATGGTAAAATCACAGGTAGTTTTTGTAAGATTTGCGCCTGAGAATTAGGTACTGTATTAAGATTTTGTGCTATACTATTGTCGATAGTATATTGCAAATCATTTTCATGGATGTTCTTAACATGTGCAACATCTGCTTTTATCGCGTGTACCTTTGTTTGTTCCAAAATTATTGTCTGTGTACCTGAGTTTTGTTGAATTAGATTATTTTGATGTTGAATTATTTGTTGAGAATTGTGGTTTTGGTTATTCAGGTTTATTTCTTCTAACGATAAATCATTTTCAACTACATGATTTTGAAGCTGTTCGTGCTCGGAAACCTTTTGCAAATGCCATTCTTGGAAATCAATACATTCTGTTTTAATCAAATCATTATCATTACATTTTTGTACTTCTTCTGGGTGATAGTTCAATTGATCAATGGTTATAGAGTTCTGAGGAGATAATGAATTTTGATGGTCTATACTAATGTTATTTTTCGTAGAAATATTTTCTTGCGTATGTAAAGTGGCATTATCTTGATCATGTTGATACATAACCTCTTCGTTCGAGTTTACCTCGAAGGTTAGACCTAAGGCTGCTGCTTGTTCCGGTGTCAAATGAATGGTTTCAGAATCGTTGTCGTCGTTTTGTAAGAATGCGACAAATTCATTGTCGTGATCGTCATCGTCAACAACTTGCTGAAATGCTTGTTGAAGAAGATCGGAAGCTCCAGTAGAGGATGCATCGTTTGTAAACACAGTAGAATTCGAAATTTGTGCCATATTCCAACTTTTTATAACTCCGTGGCTTATGAAATATAATTACACAACAGTAGTACTCACTTTTATGCTTTAAAATGACATTTTAATAATTATATTCTCAGAAAATCATTTTACAATTCGCGTTTATTTCATTTCACTGTACACGTTTTTCGCGCAAACAGAAACACATGATGTACGTGAAGTTTGTCACAGTGCAGCAAAGAAAATGGCGACAGAGCGCCATTATTGTATAGTTGCATTAGTTGCATAGTTGGTAATTCGCATTTCTGTCTACTTTCATCGCATCGTTCATTCAATAATACGATTCGATATAGTATGTAGTATGTAGTTACATATAACGAAATTATAGATCTCGTTGCAATACATCTCTATATATACATTTAGTTTCTGTTATAGAAACATTTAATGTTAAGAGTAAAATTATAATATATAAAAGAATAGAATTTTCTTCATAATACAAATTTGTAAACATTATTTGATTGTGCATCGCAAATATTTATGATTGGCTGTTTCGGGTACTGAAATCATAGAAAGTGAATATTTATTTTTATATGTCAACTTAATCGTATTTAGTGTAATCGTCACCCACATTGATATTGTATCAAACAACAGTTGTGCATCATTTATTACGGTTCTACGTAATTATAAACAAAGATATGTTTCGTTTGTATTGATTGTTGCTTACTATTAATACATACTTTTTTAAATGTGTAGTACACTATAATATTGTGAAAGTTTATGGATATAAAATCTATCTTAAAACAAAGGCACTTTAAATAAATAAAATATCTTAAGTAATACGAATATGGTAAGTATAACAATGACTCAAACTGTTGTATTGATAACTGATGTCATGTTATATGCTGATAAATTGTTCTCGAGCAAATAATATTTTATTTTAATCATTTTATTATTTAAATTTATTCTATTTAATATACATTATTCTACCAAAATTTCTCACTTATATTTATTACTATTTTCTACCATGTTGTACGTGTAGGAAAACATTAAAATATATGTTTCATAATAAGGTGTTGCATTTTTATTTCAAGGTACAATTACGTACATATAGAAATTAATAATTTGTACAAACTAGATTTTGAATTAATTTCAAATGCATATAACATGCTGTATTATTTATATTATTAAGAATTTGATTATTATAGGATGATGATGATCAATATCAAAGTGGCTATGATGTAGGTTCATTTCCTAAAGATTTTGGATATGCACCATTTGATGGAGAAACGGAAGGATCAATGGATCCTTTAGCAGGAGAACAAAAACCTAGGATACTTTTAATGGGTCTTCGAAGGTACTCACTTCAATTTTCAATGTGTTTTCATTTTGTCTGTGTTATCGATTGCTTGAAATTAATGCTCATTCCAGGAGTGGGAAATCATCAATACAAAAAGTAGTTTTTCATAAGATGTCACCAAATGAAACATTGTTCTTGGAAAGCACAAATAAGATTATTAAAGACGACATAAGTAACTCTAGTTTTGTTCAGTTTCAAATTTGGGACTTTCCAGGGCAAATTGACTTCTTTGATCCCACTTTTGACAGTGACATGATATTCGGTGGTTGTGGAGCATTGGTTTTTGTTATCGATGCTCAAGATGATTACATGGAAGCACTTAATAAACTCCATTTAACAGTTACAAAAGCATACAAAGTTAATCAAGCAATAAAATTTGAAGTGTTTATACACAAAGTTGATGGTTTATCCGATGATTGTAAAATGGAAACACAAAGGGATATACATACTAGAGCAAATGATGACCTTGCAGATTCTGGTAAACAAAAGATATATCATTGAAAATAATGAAATACTTTTGTATCATTTGTAATGAATATATAAATATGTGTATGTATTTTTTAGGATGTGATCAAATACATCTAAGTTTTCATCTGACATCTATATATGATCATAGTATATTCGAGGCATTTAGCAAAGTTGTTCAGAAATTGATACCACAGTTACCAACTCTAGAAAATTTACTTAACATACTTATATCAGTAAGAAAAGAAAATATATTTATTTATTTATTTTATTTTTTCATACCATAAATTGTAGATTGTTTTGCAGAATTCTGCGATTGAAAAAGCATTCTTATTTGACGTAGTATCTAAGATTTATATTGCCACTGATAGCTCTCCTGTAGATATGCAAAGTTATGAACTTTGTTGTGATATGATTGATGTTGTTATTGATGTATCTTGTATATATGGGTATGTTTCATTCAAATCTCTCTATGCAAGCATTATATATTTACATTATGATATAATTAACTTTATAAATTAATTTTAGTTTGAGAGAGGATCTAGAGGCTGCAGCATTTGACAGTCAAAGTTCCAGTCTGATTAAACTAAATAATGGAACAATTTTATACTTGCGAGAAGTTAATAAATTTTTAGCTCTAGTATGTATATTACGAGAAGATAATTTTGACAGACAAGGTAACATACTTTTCTAGAAAAAGTGTGTAAATGTATATAATGATGATATTATACATGAATGCTGATTTTTACAAAAATTTTTTGTAGGTGTAATTGACTACAACTTTCTTTGCTTTCGTAAAGCTATACAACAAGTGTTTGAATTACGTAATAAGGCTCTAGCTTCTACAAATGTTAATAATCATTCAATCTCGCCCGTTAACGAAACTTCAAACGCCTCTACGGTATCGCAAAGTGGAACCATGGGTCAGAATGGTACTGTTGTAATTGCACAGAGTTAATTTCTTTATACAATGTTTAGAATTTTTATTTAAACCTTACATAAACAGTAAGGCTTTTATCACAGATATTTTTCCATTTTTATTTACATGTTGGTAATAATGTGTTGCATAATCATGTTATTCATAACTTAATTTCATACATATTTAGTTAAATGCAAAATGTAATTATTTTATTACCTAATACCAATTTTTGTAATAAATTTATATTAAATAGATAATGTAAATGTATATATGTTGTTACTATCTGCTAAAATAAGAATTAATGCAATTATTAACTGATTCTCGGCATGAAACATTTGTATTTTTTTTTCAATTCCATATTATATAACATTAAATTAATCATTATCAATCAATATTTATTCGACATTTTCTGTATGTCAGTATAATTTTTTGTAACTTACATTATATAGAATTTATTTATATTTTAGTTCTATTAAATAATAATTATTATACTTCAGAGGTATCATCATCATTATCATCATCACCATCATCAATATTATTATTATTTCCAATAATGTCTTCCATTTCGCGGTGTAAGATATATGGGGACAAATTAAATGTAACGATATTTTCTTCCAGTTGGTACCACCGTATATACGAAAATGTTTGTTCGTATTCATTTAGACTAATTTCGTTAGGTAAAGAATTTAAACTGAAAAAATTTTAATTTTATTTATTCAATAAATATTTCACAATAAATTTTGTCTTTATCGACGTGAAATGAAAACTTATCAGTTTATCATAGCAAATTTTAACGATGTTTAGTGAAGTCGTATAATATAAGTGTTTGTACCTGCTTCTGTACCAATCCGTTTTGTGTATCAGTTTTGGAATAGGAATAGGTAAGCCTGATGGAGGTAAATGTTGATATGCTAGCTCAATTAGTAAACTGTGACTAAAATTATTGAACGAACAAATAGCTGCATCATCCTCTATGTACACATCTCGCATATTAAATTGATATCGTAACATTAATTCATCTGGAAGGAATTTATAGGAAATGGATAGAATTTTAAAATGGAGGGAATAAATCGAGAGAATCGATTTTTAAATGGTGGAAATAAATCGAGAGAGAATCGATTTTTATTCTACGATATAAATTCAATTTATAACGTATTTAACAAAATATTCAACAGTACAGTTTTTACATACAATATAAGTTTTATCTATAAAACACTTGATAAACTTATACAAATTATCTTATAAATTTGGATATTTGTAAAATTGAAAGGTATGGACATGATTTGTTAAAAAGAATTTAGTACAAATGATTGCAAAGCATTAGTGAAGACAACATTGTTCTTATTAATGAATAGTTACTGGTATTACAGTTTTTTAAAATGTACTATTCTTTAAAAAAAAAAAGTATAAATAAATATAATAATAATCCATATGCACGAAATGATAAAGGTATAAATTACATCATGCTCAGTCTCTACAAAATTATTTCTTTCCGTGTAGCGTTAATTAATAATAATGATACAAAAAGATTTCTAGAAGTAACATAATTTGTTGCAATGTTATTCCTTATAGATACAGGCATTATTATTGGTTTAAGAAATGTAATATGAGAATGCATTAGTATTAAACACACGACATACTCCAGTTAAATTCTGAGCTTAAGCCAGTCACTGTGAACAAAGTAATTTAAAAAAAAACGTGTTAAATTAAAGGACAATGTTAATTGACATGCTATTATGTAAATTTCTGGTACTATTAGTAAGAATTTTTAAAACTACTGAAATGATGAAAATTATTATTTCACGAATAAATAATTATTTAGTAATTTTATAATTCATTATGTTTCTGGTTTCGAAGTTATTTTACTAAGTTTAGGAATATCAGATTGAAATATATTGTACAATGCGGTTAAGAGAATTTCTGACTTACAGTAATTTGCATCTTTATTTTGTATTGCATTGTGCAATGCTAAAGCAAGATATGTGTGATACTTGGTGTAACTGCTTTCTAATACTTCCAACTCTTCACTAATAAACATTAATTTCTTGTAATTCCATCGAGATCGAATGTGACTGCACATTTCAATTAGCTGAAAGATACACATATAAATTAATATATTTGTACAAAAAAAAATGATAAAATTAAATATGCATACATACGTTGTTTACAGTTGCCATTAAATCATCATACTCTGTTGTGAGTAAACAGTGTTCATGAACTTTTCGTAAATATTCATTGTGAACTGAAATTACAATTGTATTAGAAAAGAAAATATTTTATATCCACATATACATCTATTGTACCATACATTGCAAATCCATTGTACCTGATATGATCGCGTCAAGACTATCAGCTTGCATCAACGATTTTTCTAATACGAGGCTCAAATTTTGTAGTACCTGGCCTGATAAGTATGTGTGTATCGAACAAATTGCATGTAATAAAGAAAATCGCAAGCTTTCAATGCGCCTTATATGAAATTGTTCCAATTTATTTCTTTTACACGTTAATTTTGAACCTTCCAAATCTATAAAAAAGACAATTATTTATAATATATTAGTAGAAGCGACGAGTTGAACGTTTTCCAACATTCCTTACCACTGAATCTTAAATTGTTCAATGTCCACAAAGCCCATTTTAACCTTAACTGAAATCTAAATATCTCATTATATTTTATGAAAGTCTCTTCATTGAATATAATATTCATAGGCCAACCTATTGCATAGTGTAATGTTATATTATCCACGGCCACTAATACTTCATTTGTATTAGTACTAGAAACTGTAACAGACCAACGTGAACTCGAATCTGGCCACCATTGAGAAAGTATTTCCTCGAGCATACACGACAAGAAGTAAGAATTACTCCACATTTGATTAGATTCGATCTATTAAAAGAAATTTAATATAAAATATGTATAATATAAACTTTATGGGAGAAAGTAACACACCGTTCAGAATATTTTATATTATACCTCCGTGAACAATTTTTGATAGAATTTGCTCATGATGTGTCCAGCTTCCATCATATAAACAGATCTCATTAATGTTAAATGTAACTCTAATTTATATTCTTCCGACATTATATGTTTAACTAGCTTACTAGCGTTATTATATCGCGAAACTAAAATATCTGCTAAAATACTTTCTAGTATTTTTCTAAATGGCAAAATATAATTCGATACTTTTTCGAGCCTGAAAATTTATATTTTATGTTTGAAAAAGAATATTATTTGTGCGGGATCTTAATTTTATAATGAAAATACCTTTCAAACAAATTATTAATATCTACTTTAGTAATCTTAACATTGGAACAGCAAGCATCAACGGTATCTTGTTTCAATAACTGAGGAGAAATGTAGCCTTCTAAAGCTTTCAATAGAAATGGATTATTGAATTCAGTTAATTTCTCTATGATATTCTTCTCCACATCTTCATCGTTCTCATCATCCATTACTACATTTTCTTGAAATATAGGTGATTCTTCTTGTAATTCACATGTACTATATTTCGAAATTTCCATTTCCAATTTGGTGTAAAATTCATCCACCAAAGTTCTTCTTATTTCTGTAAAGTGTACTTTATTAAATGTTTTAATTCATAACAATGGTATGTAAATTAAGAATAAACATATTGCATACCGCTACGTTCACTGTTTATTTGCCATATGTCCGTAATGCGATCAAAAGATACTAATAACTCGATACTTTGGCCCATATGCTGCACTTTTTTTATTAAAAACTGCATTATCGGATCTGCTAAACATATACTGTCCAAAGGTCTTAAAGAAAATGCTCCATATTGTTCATTATTTTCTGGAACTGCATTGTTTGAAAACCTGAGATGAAAAATAGTTACGATCTACAATCACATTATTTTATATTCAAATATCTATACCTGACAATTATAAATTCCTCCCTCCAATCTTCGAATCGACCGTCGCTTAACCATGTGTCAATTATATTTAAATAAACAGTAAGACTAGATAAATATAAACTGGCACAAATATTCGTTCTTTTTCGATTGTGCGATTTCTGCATCTCAAAATACAAAGACGACAATAACTTGGATGCACATTTCCAATTTGAATGAGCTCTCCAATTACATATGGCTTTTTTATGAACTTCGTATAAAATTTTTATACTGTACAAATGTTTTTTTAGAAGTGTCGATAAGGACAGAAACGTAAAACAATTATCTAAAAACAAAATAATTAGCTACAAAATTATAAAATTTTATTAATTTTAGAAAAAATTTTTTTTATACCTTGTTTCATGAGATTCTTTTCGATATCAAGTATTTTATTTTTAAATTTTATTAAATGTTGCCCAAGTGCTGCATTATATGCCTCATAAGTCAAAGGTGGCTTATTATAGAAATCATCCTGTTCCGAATATAGATCATTTCCAAATTTCTCGATATCGCGTATCATAGAAAAATATTCGCAAAATGGTAGAAGAATGCTATTAAAAGCAACCTAAAATTTTCTAACAATAATATTTTTGAATTTCTTTATATTCAAAACATACATATCACGGATATAAAATGTATATCTTATTAAACTCACAGTAGTTAAGCTAGGTATGGATACATTAGGGCGAATAGAATAATACTCTGAATCTTCATTTTGTTGAAACACTACCATGTGTGTTTGAACATAAAACATCCATAATAATTCTCTGCAGACTAAATATTCGCTAAGAGTTCCAAACGAATAGAAATCTGTCTCTGTCGCTTTATGCCTATTTGATATAAATATATGTATAATATAATATATCATGGTATAATGTCTTTATAAAAAAGAAATATCTACCAAATTTCACAAAGGTATGCATCGCAAAATTTACTCTTGACTGGATATTTCCACCAGTCTAATTCATTCCACCATGTATTTTGAACATTTGACATCAACCAATTTCTAGATTTAAGTTCTTCATTTAAAGCCAGAGATAATTTACTTAATTCTGTTTTAGTGCATGGTATGCATAACGCTCTATCTAAATTGGTATTGGTTATAGGTGTTTGAAAATTCATACTCATGTCAGGAGAATCTTCTGCATCATCTGACCATTCCTGTTAAAAATAATATTTAAAATCTATGTAAACATGACATAGCGTTGATCGAAAGTAGAGAATTAAAGATACTTACGCTTTCACTATCGCTTTTATAATCGTCAAAAAACTTCTCTTGACCATCTTTCAAATACTCTGCCCAATCAATTTCCTCTGTAACTTCATTTTCATTTTCACCTGTCGCGTTAAAAGTACATTCTCCGCGCGTTAACTTTAAACATTCCAAATCTGATTTACAAGTTTCCTTAGATAATTCCAACAATAAAGTTAATAAATACCATTGTAAATCATATTGTGGATGTTGTTCAAACTCGAAACTAGATAAAAATGTATTTACAAGTTCTTCAAATTTTTTTGCTACATTATACTTTCCATGAATTGAAAATTTTGTAATCAAAGAGTTAATAGATTCTTTTGTGGTATTACTATTGACAGACAGATATCGATGATGTTTAATGATCGTTGTACAAAAACGTTCGCAAACGTGAAATCCTTCTTCATTTTGCTATAATTACACGAATAATTATTACACATGCAGTATTTACTAAAATTATTGATAAAATAATATTTATAATTTTAATAAATCAATCATTCAATTAACTTAAAGTAAACGTTACCTCGAATGATGTTATTGTTGTTATCAATTGCTTTATATCATTATGAATATCATTTAATGTTTTTGTACTCATATTTGCTTAATTCATTAGCAGTAGAAAATTGTTATGACACTGAAATACATAATAAATTAAACATAGAGTACAAATTTATCGTTGAAAGTAGTCGAAATTTTTAAAAATTCTAACCCTTTAACGAACTCTTCATTCAATACGAGAAAGACGCTCTTAAACGTTGTTAATATTTTCCTGGTGTGTGATTTCGAATTTACGGACAACAATATAAAAACGCATATTTTGTTATAACAAAATCAGATTTAAATTCTCTATAAGGAAGGATAAACTCGGGTACAATAGTATGTATGCACATCATTTCTTATACATTCAAGCTCTATATTGAATTAGATCCATACACTCTGTTGCTTTTCATAGTATCAAATAATAAAAAGTGATAAAATATGATTCTTTTTGTTAGTAAGATTATACATATTAAAAAGAATCTTTATACACGACATGGACCTAATTCGTAAAATAAATATTATTAATTAACGGAAATATTGTTATAAATTAATGAAATGTTCTTTATTTAAATTTGTACATAATTTCTAATTGACGAGTGACTTTGCATCAATTTACAAACAGTATCATGTATAGTTAAATATTAATTTAAAAAGTACTATTTTTCCTCAGTAGTTCCTTATTTTGCCGAGTTGTCTTAAACGTTTTTACGGGAATTATTGTTTATTTATTAATAGAGGAATAAAATAAAACAGAAAGGATACTAGGGCGTACAATTAATAAATTATCATGTTGCAAAATTTATTTTGATAAAAACGTAAAGTAAGATTACAATTAATTAAGTATAAATGAGGAAGTGATTATTTGAAGTTTTGATATATGTATAAAGATATGTTGCATTGTTGTAATGTTGCATGACATAAATTTTCTCTTGATAATTATGATGGAAGACTACATAACTCAGTTAAGTAATGAAATTTTTAAATAAACATGAAGACCAGAAATATGTACCATAATAAAAACCATATTTTGGTCCCATTGTAGGGAGAACCAAAGATCTTATGGAATGCATTAACATCTTATACATTAGTGGTAATTATTTTATGTTTACAATATTTTCATAAAAAAGATTTAGTTTAAATACAATCAGAGGACAAGTATATACTTTGTTTTCACTATGAAGTTTTACAACTTCGTACGATCTACTATCATTTAAAAAATATACAAATAATTGCTTTAAAGTATTTAGATACATCCCCTGATATTGTACCTGTTTCTTTATTTTTGTACAATAAAAGCGATGCGAGTTAAACTACATTCGAAATTTAAGTTATACAATAATATCGTAACGAACAGATTAAATTTTGTAAAATTGACTTCAATGGAAGAATTGTTATCTGAGCATTTAATTTAATATACTTAAAATTCCTGAGGATTGATGTTTGAATAACAGAATGATGATACACTTCAGCTGCAAATAAAAAAAGTATTCTTGATACTATGGCAATGACACTATATTATTATTGTACATTAATATGAAGTTGTTAAACATAATAATTTAATATAAAAAAAAAAAAGTATCGAACTATTTTAAATAATACATGATGTATGATGTGCATACTTTTCTGGGAAAGAATTGGGTTCTGTAATTACAGTTCATCCTTCTCATCTAGGTTTATATCGCTAAGATCTATTTCTTCTTCTTGCGGTGGTTCGGCGTCCTTGCCATCCCATGGTGTTGTTTCAAGGATTTCAGGTAATTGAGAACCTTTCAAAGGAGCTGTGCCTCCCCGTCCATAGCTCAAATCTCGTAAGAATTCATTTATACCATCATAAGAGAAGCTTCCTTTTAATAATGAGTATTTCATTTTTTTAATATTTACAACTGCTAATGCAGGATAGCCAAAACCTCCTATTTCTAATGCTTCTTCGATGTGAGGCTGAGCGCCAGCTTCAGCCCAAACCCATCTATTAAAGCAAAGGAGAAGATGTTTTTACAATCTAATACCGGAAATACACTGCTGTTCGTGAACAGCTCGCGAACTGTTCTCTCCAGTGTTTATTCAGCATAAAGAGTCTAAAAAATTAGGAACACCTATTAAATTTACTAAATAATGACTAGACTTTATACATACCCCCACATCTTCTGTTTATATTTTTCTCCAAGGTTGTTTAATGTTTTCAAATACTGATTTCTACAATCTGACTGACAATCTAAGATATGTGGTAAAACAGATACAACACACAGAGGCTTATCTTCGCACGCGTCTCTTAAATTTTTTTCATTTACAATTTGAGCTACTTCCGGTGCCGGTATATTTTCTGCTAGTTTCTCCAGTGCCCAACTTACAATATCACTGCTTGTGCGATCACCATCGTATTCTTGCACGGAATCAAAAGATTTTTTGCCAGGTGCAAAGTATTTGATGGTAGGGTATCCCTTTATTTTGTACTGACTAGCCTATAAAATTAATATTTCGTTAAATATGTACAAATATTAATGCAGCAATTTTTTTTATGCAATCTGTCAAGATAAAGCACTTACTTTAACTCCATTTATAGTAGCATCAATAGCACCTAATTTGACTTTTCCTTTCAGTTCTGTAGCTGCTGATGCCCAAATGGGAGCTAAGTTTTTACAATGGCCACACCAGGGTGCATAAAACTCAACTAACCACAGATCATCCGAATTCATTACCAATTTCTCAAAATTTTCATCTGTTAATTCGACGACATCTTTGGAATCTTTAGACTATAATAAAAAGAAAGTTTTGTATTATTGATGTGTAGTTTCCTTTTATACTAGTTACACTTCATACATCATCACACTTACCTTAGAATCTCCACTGCTTTTTTTACCACCCAAAGCTCTCCGTGCTTTTTTACTGACTGCGTTTATAGCGGTGTCAACAATTCCAGCTGCAGTCCTCGGTCCATTGTAATCTTCCGGTTTATTATCAACACCAAAAATTTTAAGTGTTGGAAAACCTTGGATTCCATACTTTGATCCAAGGGATTTATGTTCATCTGCATTTACTGCACCAACTTTTACAACACCCTATTAAAAATGTATAGTTGGTATAAAAAATTGACTAAAAAAAAAAATAACAAAGAGGAGGAAATAAACAATAACTATTCAAGTACAAAAATTACCTTTAAAGCAGTAGCAGCTTTATCATATTCAGCTGTTAACTGTTGACAATGTCCACACCATGGTGCATAAAATTCCACAATCCAAACATTATCACTGTTTGATACTAAACTGTCAAAATTGTTTGGTCTGAGATCTATAACATCTGAATTGGAGGAATACAAACAATGGGATCCAGTAACCAATATCAAGAGACCTAAATGAAACAAATAGAACAAATATTAAATTGCACGTAAGTAGTATCTGAGAAAAATATTTAAGTCCATAAAATCAAATAATACGATGACAAAAAAAAGCATTACAAAAGTATACATCTGCCGGTCAGGATATAATAATAGAAAGACATGAGAGAATTATCAACTATTAACTTAGAGAACTTACCTAGTAAAGCTTGCATTTTTCTCAACAAAGAACCGATAAATTTACAACCTTTTTAGAAAAACATTCACTGAAAATTCGCTTCTAAATAAGAAATCTAATCAAATACGAGTTGTACAGTTCAATCGTTCTATGTTCTATCCACTACCCCACTCTTTATAATCACATACAACTTTTCGTGGACCGTTTTGATTGGTTCTCTATAATCAACAGTCATACGCATGGACCTGAAGGATAGTGCACTCTACCGTTGGTTGAAACTACAGACGGAAGGGGAAATAACCCTAAAAGATCTTTCAATCATTTTACTATGATCTACTAGTTGCTCTATCTATGACAAGTTAGTGACTTTGTCATAGTTTGTACAGTTCTAGTGACTAGAGAATGATGCCTAGAAACATAGGTGGCTTTGTTAAGCTAGGGAATTGTCCTAGCGTACTAGTTAGCCGTTATCCTATGTGTTGCAAGTCTAGTGTCGCGTATAAATGTCGAATATAATATTTGATGATGTTTAAAAGCGGTTTCCACAATCTAATTATTTGCTATCTGGTAACTAACTATACGCAACGCGATGACGAAGGGTTAAAGTGGGGGAAACATACGCCACGCGGACGTTACACTAGCAACGATATATCTTATGGTGTGAAAATAGCCATGGAATAGAGAGACTTTAAGATTCTATAGGCAGCAACATTTGAAGGATTTTTTATATTGCAATGATATTTATATCAAATAACATTACGATACGGGCTGTATAGTTGGGAAGGAGTTTAAGAACCTGAAACAAAAAATAAGAGTTAATTATTAAACCCTGAAACTAATCATGCGTTTTAATTTTAGTCACGAAACCTCTTTGCCTTTGTTAGCCTGTAAGAATATTAAGGGGCTTCAAAAGAGCTCGACGTGTTAAGAAATTGCTGCAGTAATCCACAGGCGCGAAATTCCTGTTGGTTCAGAATTTCCCTATTATAACGCACATTTGAAATATCTAGTAATTTTATATTAAGTCTATGTTTGGTTCCCCTGGGTATATTTGTTGCGGCTTTTACAGGTTTTTATAAGTAACGAACGTTGCTAACTCTGTTCAACGAGTTTGTGTTCAACGATCGAAAAGGTATTCGAAGATAATTTTTCATGTTAAAAAAAAATCGTTTTTAGTATACGTATGGATTTATTGTGACAAGTTGTATCCATAAATATAATTTGCATTATATTTTCCTTCACTTCGTTCTTGTTACATAAAGATTAAGCTGAATAACTTTTCGTGTCGTCATTATATTCGTGACTGTTAACTCTACTTCAAAAAATATTAAGCATCTATCATTTGTTGTATCATTTGTAAATATATTTTGTTTCAATTAATAATTTTTAAGTAATAATTAATAAGCGTATGAAGATATATAAATTTGTATCTTTGTAAAACGAAAAATGCGTCGTATTTAATAAATAGCAAATTATGTCGTTTTAAATACTGCATGTTTATTTTACAAGATAGAAGCACAAGTTTATCGTTCTCCTTGTTTTATTGTTTAAGGACGTAAATATATATACTTATACGAAATACTTTCAAATAATGTAGGTTACTTATAGTACAATGAATCTAATGTAAATAGATGACTTAACAATTATAAATTAAGAGATTTTAAGTTTTACTTTTTAGACACAATGTCAAGAGCACACACGGTTTTTAATGGAACAGCTGACAACTTTTATGACCCAAATATTAGTTGGGACATTAACAAAAAGATGCATGTGCCAGAAAGTATTCGTGTATGCGATGACTGCACAGAGGGAGAAGTAATTGGTACAAATGGATCAGAATGGAATCAAGTTGCAGCAGAAAAATTTGATATGCATGTTCCAGATAGGATTTTAGTTGTTGGTAAATATATGACTTTTTGACATTTATTTCTACATTATAACTATTAATTTGAATTAACAAAAGTATTGGTGCATTTGGTTGATCGATTGAACAGTTGATTCCATAAAGTAAATGCCCATGAGCACCCAAGATTTGTGTTTATTTAATAGATTAAAAACTGTTTCTGCATAGCATGTAATTTGCATCAAAGACATCCATTGCATTAATAACTTTGATATAATTGAATTTATGCAGGACAAGGTCAACATATTGGAACAAGAGCACCACCTAGAGAAATTACATTGGAAAATGCTATCTTGCCATCTGACCCAGACACAGTTAGATTGCAAGTAAATATCTACTTTTTAACATGTATATATATTTAACCTAAATATTTAAAAATATTCAAAAATATTAAACGTGAGATAATATATCGATCTTTCATATTTTTCGTAGACTCCTCCACGAATTTTGACACTGGATAATCACTATTTTCCGGCAGTCGATGAAGACGAACCAAATACTTGTCCGACGGAATTTAAGGATCCGGTACCTTTTAGAGCTCATAACCAATATTCCACGGAAACACAAATAGTTAGACACGCTAGGTACCAATGTTTATAAATATACTTGAATGTGGTATACTTCTTTGGAAAAATACGTGTATTCTTTTTGTTTTAGAGAACAAACGCCATCATTTAATACGCTCGATGTTTCTCATCAATCTAGCGAAGAAATACAGCATTTACGTCGGCAAGTAGGGAAATTAAATCGTCGAGTAATGGCTATTGAGTTGGATATGTTACAACGTCAACAAAAAAACAAAATTATATATGCAGTAACATTAACATACTTCATTCTAAAAGCTTTGTCTTGGTTAACAAGAAATTGAATTTGTGTCAAATAAATATGATAGGTGAACATCTTGTGTAAAAAATGGTTCTGCTAAACCATATAAATGCAGGATGCTCTGTAAGAGTCTTACTCCAAGAGAAAATTTTGAATCAAAGACTCTACCGTGGATGCATGAATTTATGATGATGTTCAAAATGAATGTATCATATATGTTCAAGATCAAATTATTAATGCTATTTATGTAAAAGTATTGTAATCAAATTTTCAAATACTTAACTTTACAAAGCACAACATTTATTATTTTTTTGTCTGGTGACATGATAAATTAGGATATTTATCTTTTTAATTTAATATAACCAAAGATTGAACATATACGATACTAGTTTTTTAAAGTAATTGCATTCAACATTTAAATAATATATTTGTAAAGTATATATTGCATTATCAACTAAGAACTAGAACACAATCTTTTTCGATGTTCAATTAAAGATATATTTTATGTAAATGTTATTGCTTAGTAATTAAAACCATTAAGAAATATTAGATATAGCAATAACATTGTAACAGATAGTTGTAAATTTCTAAGAGTAAGACATACAATGTTGCGATCTATTCATTTTGATTTTTATAATTTTCTTAATTACTGTATAAATAGGAATAATACAGTAAAGTGATACATTGAGTAAATTGTTAAAACTGATTATTATAAATACTTAGAATTTTTCGTGGCTTGATACTTTTTGTGGCCATACGTATTCTTGTCTATTTATATAAGTACTCTTACGAAAAATACATAATAAAGGTATACAAGTTTTCTTCTATTGATCCATAACATATTTTGATGAAGTATTTACGATTTATATAATCCAAATTTTCATGTCCTCGCTCCTGTTCATGTCCAGTACTTAAGATTCGAATAACGCAAAAAAAAGACCGATTCTTTATTCTCGAGAAAAAAATTCCTTACCGAAAATCTAAGTGCCCAAATTTTTCGACGAAAAAGAAAATTTCAAATCGTTCTGGAGAAATTATTTTCGGTTGCGGGGGTCAATTACAATTATTTTTGGTGAATAGACATATCCCCGAAATCTTGCGCATTTTCGAGAAAAAAATTCAGTACGGGCGGAATATTAAACGTTAATAACTCTTTAACGAAGTCTCAATCAACAAATTGGCATTCTTGATTTTCGTCTTACTTTGACCACCAGAATCTCCCATTAAAATTATGTGTAGTATAGTATATCTCCAATAACGATATATCGATCATATTTCCATTTATACCGGATCAAATGGACGTTCGAGACAAAATAAGGGAAACTAAAAGTGAAATAATAGTTACCCGATTGTGCTCGTTCTTGTCGAGCGAAGGTAAGAAGTGTCAATTACAGAATGCAGTTCACTGCAGTACAATTTCATAGTGAAAATGAATTGAAAAGACAACGCACGGAATCCGTAATTAATGTCACGTTGCTCTTTTGACGCGTGAAACAAAGAACGACTATTTTGAAATGGATCTTGTTACAGCGAGTTCGCAGTCAGTACACAGGGATTAAAGCAATTTTCAATTCTCCCGTTTACGCTTAACGTTTGGCTGAGCCTTTGTGCAAACGGAGGGTCGCGAAAGCTCATTGAAATTCATTAAAATCCTCGTTTCATCTATCCACCCTTACGGGCTGCAATAATCGATTTCTTAATCATCGTTCTGGTTTGATCCGAATTCAATAACATCCTTTATGACGCAACAATAGAACCGTATTTTTTAATCTCGATTGTAGAACAGATAAAAGTTAAAATATAACCTCGTCCGATCTCTACGACAATCAACATTGAACAACTACCAAGCACTTCACCGAATACATTTGGTTCTGTACAACGCAAATGGTCACACGAGCGAGCCTACCGAAAGAAGCCGAAGAGATAATTTAGAGATTGCCTCGAAACCCGTTCTGCCTCGCGGACGATGTATCCGATTACATACGAAACAGAACCAGCGGGAGACAGTAGAAAATTAGGCACGGGTTCATCTGTCATTTTAAACAAGACGGCAGAAAGACGCTATTAATTTTGTCACCCGACGTTCCCCGTTTGACTCACGAATTACAGGAGTCGTTTGCGAGACGATATCTCACGGTTTGATGAACGATTTCCGAGAAAACAAAAACTTACAGCGTCGCGTTCGTCCCTTCCCCTGGTTGAGGTTCCGTTGCCCCGCCAACGATGGACGAATCTTCAGAAATAGCAGGACCAAGGAATCGGGTAACCTTCGTGGAAAAAAGGGGCGGCGAGAGAGCTTTATGGCGTTACCGCTTCGCGGCGATGAAACAACGAACAATAACATCGTGTATCAATCAGTTTATTGTGCTCGTAAACGCCCGCGATTTGTACATTATATATGTAGTTTCTCGACCACGTCGCCTCTTCTTCGCTATGTACATAGATTTCGGCAAGTCGAGCGTGCGTCGAGGGCACTCTTTATTTATAGGTAACGCGCATGTATATGTATACTGGATCGCTGGAGAGAAATGCCCTCTGCATGGAAAATACAGACTTAGCGGTCAGAATTTTTGGCAACGATTATCTCACTATTGGCAATACCAAAGTAAACGAACAACAGATAAACAATAAAAACCGACGTGCAGCGTATTTATTTGCGACGTTTATTCGATCGACAACAATTTCTTTGAGGTTATAAATAAAAATATCGAAGTTTCGATGATCGATCAACGTTTGTCAACGAATAAAAAAGAGAGTGTAGGCTACTACTCGGGTGGTATGTACTTTTATTTACTTTTTATGGAAAGTTTAAGATCGAATAAGAAACGTATGCAATTTAAAATCGTGAAAAGATGTGGAGTACGTATTGTATAACAATTTCCATTCTCTTTAGCTTGAAACTTTCTAGCTGAATCGAGCATACGTATTACACTCGGTCAGGTACGTTCCAAGTTTTACGGTAATAGCATTACTGCTGTAAAAACGTATTTTACGATCGAAAAAAGCGGATTCCTCTCACGTTCTTGCAGATATCGGTTAGGGGCATTCCTCGCAGCTCGTTGCAGTAAGTATGCATGTAAATATGTACAAAAATACAAAAAGGGATATTGGCACACTCGAAACACTCGCGTGGCAAGCGAAACGCGTATCGCATCGTTCGAAATTCATCAAGGGGACTTTCTACACCGTACCGTGTAACTGAATTAAATCGAAATCGCAGTTTACGATGACACAGGGAGTTTGGCAGCTGTTTTTTTATTCCTTGGAAAATATTCGACTATCTTCTACGGATAAATTGCGAACACGTGTCCATTCCGTGGACTATTCGATTCAGTCTTAACGTTTAAAGTGGGAACAGGTCGTACGATATATGCGTCGATCTCTACTGTTACACTTTACTGCCCTCTATTACAAATATTAATACGCGTCATATACCCGCGTCTACTCGAAGTCTCGTTAGACAAGCCTAGCATTTGCAAATTGCATGCGATATTTACTCGACATTTCTCGACAAATTTAAACATTAATCTTTTAAGTACTACTGTTTATATACATATGCTCCCGGCGTGTTCGCATCAATTCTCTCTTCCCACGATTCAATATAGCTTGGAAACGCCATGGGGATGCGATGCCACGCGTTTTTCTAGCGATTAAACGTATCTAGTTAACTGCGTGTGAAAATCCTGAAGGCAGACGATCAATTGGCTGAACGTTGGCCTCTCGTCGGCGGACATCGCCCAGCAATAAGCCATCACCGCGAACAGCTCGTCGGGACAATTGATTGGCTGTGCCAATCTGTATCCATCACGGAGATACGAAGCCATTTCGAAAGCATCCACCTCCACGTACGGTTGCTGAGCCAACGTCATCAGTTCCCATAACAACACACCGAATGCCCACTGAAAACACAACCGAAAATAAAAACGCGTTTTGAAATATCCGAAATATCTCTGTTACATAGATCTGGGGTAACCAAGAAGAAGGCGCCATAGAGTTTTTTAAGTGGATTGCTGGTTACTCTTTTTTTTTCGAAATTAAGGACTACATTTTTCAAATATTTAAATACTGCAAAAATATTTTTCTCTCTCGGTTTGTTTTTTATTAAATATCTTTCTCTGTTACATAGGTCTGGAGTAACCAAGAAGAAGACGCCATAGAGTTTTTTAAGTGGATTGCTGGTTACTCCTTTTTTTTCGAAATGAAGGACTACGTCTTTCAAATATTTAAATACTGCAAAAATATTTTTCTCTCTGGGTTTGTTTTTTTTCCAATCCAAAAAATATAATGAATGTAACAATATAGCAGCGTTAAGATGATGCACTTACCACATCGGAAGCAGTGCTGAACGTTTTATTGAGCAAGCTTTCAATCGCTAGCCACTTGATCGGACGATTTTCGTTGTCGCCGAGACAATGATAATCTTGCGGGAACAGATCTCTGGCCAGGGCGTTGTCCGTGATTTGAACCCTCAGATCATCGTCGACGCTAATAAAAGTTAACATTCGTTCATCAACACACGTCTCCCGAGCGATCCGGGCTGCGATATAAACGTCAAACACAGGGAGGCACGAGAGGCACGCACAATAAGCGTAGCCCGATCTAAATTTGTCGACTGATTCGCTCTGGCGATGCAAAAAGTCGCGCAAAAAGGGAAAGTTCCTGCTAGGAGCCACGTTGAAGCAATCTCCGCGAAACGAAACAGTAGCAAAGCCAGTAATTAAATAGGTCCCGAGTCGGTCGTATTTATGGCTAATTAATGTTCACGGCCAATTGAACCCGTAACAAAACGTAACGACCTTAGGTTTACGACGCCTCCACTAAAATATTCGCTGCGTTAAAATATTCAGCTGTACATCCTGCAAAAGGTGCCTCGTACAGGAGTCGAAAAAGAAACATTTGCAATGGAATTTAATTAAATTATTAATCCAATAAAAAAGTTTCCACTTTAAAGAGCTACGCTTGTTTAGGGAGTATTTGTTCTATAATTATTTCATTAAAAGTTCTCGCGGCCGCGCAGAGATCCGTGGTTTCGAACAATTAGGAATAAAAATATTTAAATAATTCTAGGTAGGTACTTACACGCAATTTCTGGCGGCCAAGTCTCTGTGTACCAGTCTCTTTCTGTGAAGATACTGTACCCCTTTAGCAGCCTGAAGGGCCATTTCCACGACTTCTTGCGTGGTGAGAGCCCTCGGTGGCCCCTCGCTGCTCAACTTGCACCTCAGCAAGAACCTCTTCATGTTCCTGTAGCCGGTGTGTGGATACAAAAGGAACGGAGCGCTTCTGTCCTCGATGGAAACACCCAAAACGGGGAGCAGTACCGGATGACTTAAACCGTACAACGCTAAACCCTCTCGCAAGAGAAGAGCAACCTTTAACAACAAAATTTAAGAGCCCGTTCAAACAGTGAAGAGTATAACGATAATAATGATGATGGACATCGTTTAAGAATTGGAACAGCCAGAACAATGTTTCGATTCCAATCAACTCGCATAAAGATATGGTAAAGATAAGAACAACAAACGAGGTAAAGAAGAGTCTCCATCGGTGTCGACGCATTAATTTTTATAACGCGTTACGTAAAGTACAATAAGTTAATTATACGCATTGTTGCTCTAAAAATGTTGAACAATACCCTCCGTAGTGCAAATGAACCTATTACGGTGAGCGTATAAGACGAGACAGGAAACGTGAAGAGCGTGTAATTATTATATGGCGATGTTGCGACAAATTAATTGTAAGCCGATTCAGATGCGCCGCGTAATGTAATCAGTAATTATTGCAGAAGCTTCCTTAATTGGGAGGCAAAGTAAAAATTACTTACCTGCGATTGTGATGCATGTTCAGCAGCAGTTTTCACTAGGACATCCCTCGGGGAAGTCGCGCCTTCCTCGTGATAACTGCCTCTGTACACGCGACCGAATGTGCCTTCCATTTCGATGCTGAGAAGGCGTACCCTGCATCTGTAACAAGTGCGGAACAAGATTACCACGAGATTCGTGACGTTCAGCAACGATCGAACCGACAATTATTCTGTACAAACTTTCAGAGTCTGTTTTACGAAATTACACGAGGAGGCCCAACCGATCGCCTAATTATCGGAACGGGTTAACGTACCCAAAATTTTTTACGAATTACAGTCAAACTTGGTTGTAACTTTACAACGGCGGCCATATTATTGCGGAAATTCTTTAATCTTTTATGCACGATTTGCATTTTACCTCAGCCTATAAATAAGACGATATGAATACCGTAGGAAAATTTATACGTTCTTTTTCTTCGCGAGTCGGAGCAGAACAAAAATAGAACCCCGAGATATGTTACGAGTGCCTTTGAGAGCAGCAGGCGTTCATTTGATAATTCTCTAGTCGATCGATCGTTGAACGATTTCTTCGCCGCGTTCAGCGTACTTAAACACGTAGGATGTCAAGATTTCTTTTTTGTTCTGCTTGCAGAACGATCCACTTAACCTGGAAAACACGAGGCAGGTTCTGGATAGGTAAGGGACAACTGCGGATAAAAGCACGGGTTCTTTTCAAACGTGTAAGGTATAAAATAGCGCCGAGAAAATACGGCAATGTTCTTAAATTAATTTTGATAAACGATCGTTCTCTTGCAGGTTGGTTTCCAATAAGTGTTTAAATTGGAAAGAAAATAATAAGTAAAATTTGAAGAACCTTTGAACCGTGATTTCCTGGATTCTTTCGTGCAATTCTCGGCTAGGTCGATCGTCCAATCGTCTGTAAGTGGAAGTGGAAGTCGCGGATGCTGGAGGAGGTGTTTCGGAAGACAAAAATGTTTGTGCAGGTCCGACTCCTGTGCTTCTTTCCACGCTGCACGCGGAACTAAGTCCTCTCGATTCCCTGCAACGATAAAAATAACAATGTTCTTAACAAAACTGAATATTAACGTTGTTAAAGAAGAATATTAAATTAGAACAAATATAAATGTACGTCTTTAAAAATTTCGATATAATATTGTCTCTGAACATCGAAGAACTAATTATTTACCGTATTAGAGTGTTAGGTGAATTAAGGAAAGGTGACTTACTGAAGAGGATCACGATGTCTCCTGGCTTTTTTATCGCGTACATAGTAAGCGATAACCAGAACGAAAATGGCAGCAATGAAGGCGCAAGCGCAACCGATGGCAGCGTAGAACACTTGTCCGCTCGAAGTGGAACCGGAAGCAGCGACGAGAACCTCTTCTGCTCCTACGTTGCTCTTATCCTTCAGGCATATTTTCTTCCTCCTGAAGTCCAAGCTGGTCGTGTTCCGTCTCGATAAAGAGACATTTATTCGAAGGCTCAGATCGACTTCCGCGTCGTAGAGGCCGCAGTGCAACGACAAGGCCCAAGTTTGGAGACCACCGACCGGGATTTCGCCAGCTTGAGATATATTTAGGGAACTGGTCAACGCCGACGGATTGCTGATGTCCACCGACATCGCGTATGGCAACTGGAAACATACGACGCGTTCGTAATTCGTTCTGCAACTTCGTTATTTGCCGCCATCTTAAGTTTCATCGACTTCAGACTGTGTAACCCTCAGTCAAACGACAGGGAGGTACCAGAATCGAATTTTATATAAGAGTAAGAACATTCTTGATGTTTACAACAGCTGATGGGTATAAAAAAATATATATACATACATCAGAGATGCAAATAACCGAGAAGTCCTGATGCAGATAGAAACAGTAGTTGGCGCGAACGCGTGGAGAAGAAAGATGAAGGGTGCCACGGACGGTGGAAAGGTATTTTTTTCAGAGCACGTAACCGACGTAGAACTGGTAGGACGAAAAACAAATGGAACAAAGTCGAAGGACGTAAGGGACGAAGTTGCTACTGCTCGCTCGTAATCACGCGAGCGTTGAACCTTCCTATAATCTGAAACGTAGCGTTCTCGGAAGACAATTTGCGCCCAACGGAGGGCAAAGTGAATCCAGAGGACCGCGGGCAAGAGAATCCCGAAGGAACACGGAGTGGAAGAAGCGAACGGAGGAGAAACCGGCAGAGGAGGCGAGATATTCGATGGAAGAAGGAAAGAATAGACCAAAGAAAGAGAAGACTAAAGAGGGAGAGCTCACAGCTGATTACCAGCTCGCAATGATGATCGGTTCCCAACTAGCCGCGGAGAAGACACCTCGTCAACCTGCCTGGGCTTGTCGCTACCACGCTACTCCGCCGCCATGGCTGCCAACGTTGCGGTCTTTTATGACCGCGAGCAGCAAACTACGCGCTGACAATGAATGCCTTTGTAAACCGGCTAACCGTTCGATTTAAACTGTCAGGAATTTTTACGATTCCCTTTTCTTTCCTGCCACCGAACAGCTTGTAGGCTGTCTAGGATTTTGCGGGCAACTCGCCAGACGTCCGCGTCGCGTGAATCTCTGCGGACGTACCATAATGGATTCTTTTGACGGAATTTCAGGGAAAGCACGAAATCCTTGTCAACTAAAAAACTACTGGAGCAGAGAAACTAGAACACCGTAATTTTCAACCTTCTTCGTTTCCTAAGGCAAATGATATTTTGAAAGAAAGCTTAAACATTTAATAGAAATGTAAATTCTATTTTAATTATTCATACTGAATATTTCATAATCCAAATGTGATTTAAATTACTTGAAGAAAAAATAATGGTATTATTTGAAACAGTGTTTCAATGTTGTTTCAGAAGTATGGTTCCAGTGATATTTGTTTCCCCGCTCTGTACAGTGTATCGATTCGAAAGTACGCAACGAATTCGCCGAAGGGAAGAATCCGTGTAGTTCGAGAGTGGTCTGTTTGATTGACAGGTAGCCGGTTCGCCTAAGTAGCGTTCGGGACACTCGGTTTTGTCGCGGAGGTGACGGATGTCTCGACGCTGGTCATCAGTCTCCAGCTTTCCGTCCCTCTTTCTTCCTCTTCCTTCCAACGAGACAGCTCGGAGAAGTGGCTGGACCACTTTGTCCTACTCTCGGTCCTGTCCTTTTTTTCTGCACATCGTCGACGAGTCAATCCGACACCGTGCCGCATTCTACCAACTTTTCGCCGCCAGTTTGTCACAGTACCGTAATCGTGAACAGGTACGTATCGACGGTTTTACTCGATTCGTCGACAGAGTCGGGGAAAAATATTCGTCGAACAACAGACGACCAACAATTCACTCGTGAACTGTTTATTCGATCGAAAAATTAAATTTGTTAATATTTTTAAAGAAACAGGTGATTCGATTAGAGCTATAATCATCGAATGTATCCAAGAGTCTAATAATAAATTATTACGTACGAGATACACGCTGACCTATGCTAAGAGAAATTAATTTCACAGGAAAGAGTTACAGCAATTTTACTGCGCGGCTCCTATTATTACTACAACATTGCATGCTAAATTACATTTCTCATAAAGTACTCTCCTCGTTCGTTTCAACCGTCCCACTCGCTGTCAGCACAATATTAACTTGAACGGTACGACTCGGTTAATAAATCGCAAGAGATCCGCGATTCGTTATTGAAAATTCTCTCGAGAATAGTTCACGGTAGGAAAATTTTAAACCATTCAAAAGAAAGATGAGTCCTCGTCGAGACGGAAGCCGCTTGGTAAATTCGTTTCGATGGAGTGTCGAATACGGAGGGAAATATGCGCCACTGGCATCGTGCCGAGAACCCAATGGATGACAAAGTTAAATAAAATATATAAATATAAAGTAACGTCTTCGATCAAGTCAAAGCATTATTTACATCGATATAATTAATAAGCAGACTGCGGATCTTCTTTATGCAAATTCATATCAGAGCTTTGCAGAGGGTTGTTTCCTAAATACAATAATTATCTTACTTTAAGTGTTTCTCATATTTTTGCATATAAATCCACTATTAATAAGTCTAAGTATGAATTTAAATCCACTATGCTACGACATCGCTGAGTAAGAAATTACGCGTTTGAAGCTAGTTATTCGCGAATAAAATTTCCTCGGCACTGTGTTTGCCTATCGTGTATACCCAGTGACTCGAAGAAAGGGGCGGACGAAGGGACACGCCTCGAAAGTACGCGGAAGAAAAGGGAACAAGGATCGGGGAAAATGGTTGCTCGGTGTCCGTCGAAGCTTGAAACGTGCTCGCGGAGGATTCATCCGGGCGAAAGAGTTTCCCCGTCTGCGATATCGCGCCAAGACGACGCGGATTCCTTCGTTAACGAGCGAATTCACCTTTCTTTCGAGCCCGTGGTGACTTTGATCCGGCAACCAGCGGAGAAATCAAAGAAACGTAAATGAGAAATAAAGCACGCGGAAGACGTTTCGAGTGCGCGACGGGCGTGTCTCTTTTCCATTACCGTTTCGCGTTTCCTTCGGGTCTCGCGTTTTTTCTTTTGATTTTTTTCTCAAATCCTCTCTTCCCTCTGACGATTTACATCGAAGAGAACCGCGCCTCTTTGTAAAACTTACCGGTCTGCCCGCGAGATTTTCCCAAGTGAAATGCAGCTTGTGAACCTGCGCCGGCACCGGCACGACAAATTTAATTGCGTACTCGTTTATGACGCCCTCCCTCACGTAAAACAATTCCGCCTGGAGACCTGAAACAAAAGACAAGAGTTTCTTCTTTTACAAGAAAGTCGCCAACGTTTCGCGGTTAATATTCTACCCGGATAGGGTGCTGCGAGTCGACCAGGGCAATGCAACGGTATCGTTCGATCGACGATCTCGGATTCTGACGAGACCTGGCGCGGAGATAGAGGCGTTCGAAGGAAACTACCCTCCGACTTAAATGAAAATTAAGATCCTAAGAGTAAGTTTGAAACGAAACTACATCTCGTAGAGACGTCTAACAGTATTTCAAAGGTAAAAATTAGTACCTCGTTCGTCGAGACGCCGTTGAGTTAGAGTGGCGGAAGAAAGTTCGCGCGTTAATCAGATAACGGAGGAGAAATGGAAGGTGGGTCGCAGCCGCTGGAAAACGAACGAGAAAGATTGCTTCTAATCAGCGATAGATAAAGAGCGAAAGAAACGAGCCTTTCGAGTAGTTAGTGTCAAAGCTATCTCCGAAGGGACGCGTGAAGCAATGTCTCGAGAGCAATCGACTGGTCGGATACGAATACAAATCGTGTGAACCAAAGCGAAACGAGAGAGTTTCTCCTGGCAACGATTTACGAAGCGACGGAGGCAGAAAGAAGGTGGTTTCAACAAAGTCGAACATTACGATGCGTGGCCATTTTCATCGATACATTTTTTAACCTGACGGTTAAAATTCCACCGAAGTTTTTTAAATGCCATTTCGTAGGGGTGGCGAACGTTCGAACGACTGGATGTTCACGAACACCGTGGCAATTCGATGTTACGCTACCAAGTAATCCCCTGGCAGAGTTCACTTTCAGGAGCCGCAAGGTCACGTGGACGAACCGGCGAAGGTGGAGGATGAAACGAGAAGAAAAAAAAAGAAAATAGAAACGAGGGAGGGAAAGATCGCGCGGAAGGGAAGAGGAGGCGAGCCCACGTCGTGTACTCCCTTCGAGGGCCTATGCTCGTTGTATCAGATAGGACGGTTAACGAGGCACGAGTTGGATTTTTAAGTCACCCGAAGACAATGTGCCATGGCCCCACAATCGTGTCTTTGCTTTTGGTCCTTCTCCTTCGTTCGCCATCCCCCCAGCCCTCTTGGTTCCATCGGCCTTCGGCCTTTACCGGTTTTCTGCATCAGATATCGTATACCCACGACCTCAGCGCTGCCCGTTCCTTCAACCACGAGAACCTCTCTTCGCCTTCCCTCCTGGGGACCCGGAGCACCGTCTGTCGTAAAAAAGACGCCGAATACACCGTAGGATCCACTCGGAAAATAATTACGCCCCGATCGTTGGAACCACGCTGGTATTATCGCCACTAAAAATCGAAACCCTCGTCCCTCCGTGAACAAGACACTTTTATAGATGTTACCCGGGTATTGATGATCCTGACTTTTGTCGGGAGTCACTGAGTCATTGGGAGACGGAAGTTTCTCCGTTTCGACGAGCTGGAAAAGGTACCACCCGAACAATATCGGTTTAAGATTACGACGCAGTCCTGCTGGTACATTCATTCCAAATAATGGCTGACCTATTTGAATAACTTCTTCGAAAAGCAGCGTAGTCTCCACTATTCGACAAACTTGCAACAACAGAACACGTTCTTGAATATCGGTCTACGCTCGTGTGGGAAGAGAGAAAAGAAAACGAGGTATACAAGTAGACCTTACACCTACACCTTACATTCGTGGCTTAATCTGGCTGCCAAATTAAAATATTTCAAATCGTTCGAAATCCTACGCACTTTTGAGAAAAAAAATCTTTATCCAATTTATCCGGCATCTTTGTTTTTCTGCCACTGCTCCAGTCCCGACTATGTCGGATAATTAGATTTTTACTGTATCCGACTGTTGCACATCGTTTGTTGTTCGAGGGCCAGTTGGGTACACGTTGATCTATATTTGGAGGAGGATGTTTCCTCACAAACATCGAAATGTGATTAAACTTCGTAAGTTATTTGTATGTACAAGGGCAAATTATGGTCGGTGATTCCTAGAATTGGAGGTGGCAGTTATCCAGGAATGGACGCCATCCACGCCATCGCCGCCAAGAGTCGACGGGTGGCGGTTTACGACTTCCTCTTGATCAAGCAGACTTTTTAAGTTCACCTGGACGTTTCATAATCGACTGAAACTAACTTTTACGCGAATAACACAAGGGTGGCTATCCTCGAACGACATCAATCGACCTGCACGTCGTAAACACAAACGTTGTCGTAGTTCGTGTTCACCGCTTGGTAACCTAGCCGCGATCTCGTTACCAGCTTACGCGCCCTTAACGTCCTTATCTAGTCAGGGTTGTAGTTGGATCTTCTTTCACGCATTTATGCGGGAGCCTCGCATGTAGGCGACCGAGGGGTGGCCGTACACCAAAGATCCTTTGATGTCTGGTACGCTCATAGCGGGCCAAAGTGCAAGCAAGAGCGGCAAAGGGAAAAGAAAAAGATGAAGGAGGCTGCAGAAAGAGAGAGAGCCCTTTCAACGAAGGCGTCGACACTCGACAACGAGTGCCAGACACAATTGTCACGAGGGGTTCTACGGCACTTCGAACCTTTCCTCTTGGAACATGTACGATCTCTAACTACAGAGACCTCTATAGTCGGTTAAAAATCACCTGGACGCGCACGGCCACTTGTCAAATCGTTCGAAAAGGACTTGCACCGTTAGGACGACTCCTGCCATTTCGTTCTGTTGGTTAAGTGTCTGCTCGACAGCGGGCTAGCCAATTGCTATAGAAAGCTTCTATACCACCGAGCGGACAGTTGATTTTGTTCCCGCTGTAGCTGAACTCTCGCTGTTACGGAACCCTACCGCCTGCTGACACCCGGAAAACGTGCGAGACCAAAGATAAGGTACTAAGGAAACTCAGGCTACCCTGGCGGCTCGGTGAGCCTTACACACAGGTATCGATCAACGTCTAAGGGATGAGACAAACGTATGAAAGCCCTCACCGTCGCAAATTCTGACGTGCATTTTTCCTCTATTCTTTCGAGCCCTTTGATGCGCTTACCAAGTACGCTCCAAAGGGGTCGGCTACTTTGCCAGAACAAAACGGGGAGTACATTTTATTGCCTCGTGGTAGATTCCAAACGCTATACGGGGTATGCTTCTTTTTTTTTTTAAATAAAAAATTGTAATGGACTATTGCTTCTTGACAAAGTTTATCAAAAGATAAGACATATACGAGACTTCTTAGACGGATAGAATCGCAAGTAAATAATATTTACGAGTTCTGCAACTTTGAAGAGCGTGGGCGATGGTGAAAAATAATCTCGAGCCGCGTCCACGACAAGGTGTATTTAAAAACAGCAGCGACGACGTTCACGGGGAACATCTAAGGCGTTCTAACGTGTGCCTGACAAAAGACCAGGGGGGGAAAAAAGTGGTCCGGACAATGGTTCGAGATAAAGACGGAAAGCGTGCACGTATCTTCGATTGCTTGAGGCGCGAAACAGCCGGCAAAATTTCGCAGGCCACCGGTGTCCCCCGCTGTCAAAATACGGTATAGAAGCGAGTTGACGAGCGAAGCTCCAAGAGTCGCCGTATAAAGAGGGAGCCTGAAAAAAAGGGCCCGCTGAATTGCAGCAGGCTGGCTGCGGGGGCCCCGTCGAGTCCTCTGTCCCCCGTGCTCCGGGGGACCCCAAGGCTTTGGGTCAGAAACCCAACACCTTCCCAGCGTAAAACCCACGGTACGCTTATAACGAGATCTTCCCGTGGCGAGGGCTTTAGAAAGAAATGACGGCGGGCGGCGGGGGCAAGAGGGACCCGCACAGAAAAAGGAAAAGGCAGAAGGGTGAATTGCAGCTCGAAGGAACGGAAAATATTGGATTTAAACATCACGACGCCCGTGCACAATAAACCCGCTCCGATTTCTCTTCGATCCCTGCGCGACTCCGAAACACACCAGCCTCGAGGCCGTAAAATGGATCAGGTTCGATCCGATTATCGTTCGTCTCCTAAAAAATATATAAATTACAATATACAGGGTGCTACCGAACTAGTAGTACAAGTGGAAATGGGGTGAATCTAGATGAAAAAATAAGTCGAAAATGTGAAGTAACATCTTTTTGGAGACGTGTCTTGCATCGTTAAATGTTTATAAAACTTGGATGTTTAATATCTTCGAAAATTGTCAATCAGGTTGTTTGTTAGTTTCCTGGATTCTGTCAGCAAGAAGAAGTATTTTCGAAGCGTCAGCGAACGGCTGGGCTCCGGACAAACTTCGTACCGAAGACGTGTACGTACGTGCGAAACTCCGAAGTACCAGTTTCTCAGAGCCAGCATGGCCGGACGCGACTAACGATTTACGGAGAAGTTCATCGCGGATCTACGATGAGTGTTTTCTACGGAAACTTGAACTCGCCAGGCTGATCCAAAAATGATCCGCGAGATGAGGTTAACGACCAGATCAGGCAGCTGGTTCTCGCCGATACCTCGACACGCAGCCTCGGGAGATCTAATAACGTATCCACGTACGCTCGTACTAACGAGTTCGCATTTATATGTGCAAGTGTACGGTCTGTTGCGTGTGTGGAAACGCGTGCTGCTGGCTGCAGCACGGGATATTTTTCATTTACTCGCCCGGCGCGTACGAACAACGTGGGCGTGCGTATATACCCGGGTCCACGTATGCAAACATCCATATATCGCCACAGTCTCACCCACGTGTGAGCTCAGGGCTGTACCCGTACACCTACAGGCTGCGTGTGTCCCGGTTGTTGCGATCTTTTTCAATTGGCTGTGAAAACTTTCGCGCCATTCGGCCGCAGTTAGGCTCGATATTGTTGAGGTTGGAAACAGCGACGGGCGTTCCAATCTTTGTCTCGGGAGATTCGAAACTTCCGAGACCGAAGTTTTCGAATACTTGGTGCGTTAGTCGATACTCGAAGGGCTCGATTGGTCTTGAAAGTTTCGAAAACTCGCCGGGTCTCGAAAGTTGTAACCAGTCTGTTTTGCATGAAGCTCTCGTTAATTTTAGTTTTCATAGACGATGGCTGAATCGCAAGTTTCGTTAATTTT